CATCTTCCGTGAGAAATATTAGTTTGACACTTTCAGTTGATATCTCTTTATAACAGTTAAATAAGGTCCTCACAATACCGCGAATTTACATTCAAAAAATCAGATATTTTTTCTGCTGGTCCTCCAAAATGGTTTTCTAAATCCGAATTTATTTCTCAAAATGACGGTGGAACGACTGTAAGCATTATAATATCTTTACTGCCTTTGTACGGCTCACACGTCTTTACTGAAAATCCTCTCCCTAAAGTCTCAAAAGTATGTGACTTTTGAACATGCTCGTGTTTGTTCAAATAAGGAAGCGCTTTTCATAGCACCTGATGTTTCCGTCTGCAATTGCCAGCTACCGAAGGCTTAAATGGTGTTTGCGAGGACATTTAGGAAAACTATTCCAACTAAGGATAGCCTTTTTTTCCCGTTGGGGGGAATGTCATGAAAATGAAAGAGTTCATGTGTTTAGCAAAGTGTCTTCCTTAGGTTCCAAAAAACATAGGAAGACGGGATTTAGAGGATTTTCTGTCATTTGATAAGCAGTGTTCAGTATTTATCATCGAAGCATAAGGAGAAACAGTTACCACATTTCAAGGAAAGCAAAAATGTTCCTTTTCTAATTCAGACACAATGCATCATTGTAATTTATGTAGTATAAGCAACATGAGACTACAACGACCATAAAATACCTATAATCTTGGGCTAGATAGTATTGCTACAATTTGAATGCGACCTTTCAATTGCATTGTAATACATTCTCGAATCGATTCAATAGCCTTTAAACCAAGATCTGGAAGGAATGATACACAAAACGAATTAATCAGTTGGTGGAAGCAGCCAGCAGATGAAAGACAATGAGGAGCGGATGACGCATGTTTTCATTCTGTTTCCACACAATATGACTATCGGCGAGCCCGGGAGCGGGAACGGACATTCTTTAAGCTTGTGTAATCAAGCATTCACCACACTGAATGATGAAGTTGCACACTATATTACATGTGCCGAAAATCAACACACACATAACTCTGTCACAATGACCGATAAGCTGTAACATGAACGAAAGAGAAAAAACGCATATGCTACAAGCGGTAAGAGATAGGTCATGTTAAGAGAAGATGTACCGGAGGTTTGACTCGAGAATAAAATTGATTAAAAAATTTTTTCATTATACAGATAAAGGAGCAAATGCCATGCGTTTTCTTTTTACAGGATAACAAAATTGAGCAAAAGAAAGTTAAGTTTGACAAGCTGTCATGGATGCCATGCTTACATAAAGTCCCTTGTACGTCGTTAATATAGTTACACTGATTCTAAATATTTTTCTTTTTTGATTTTCCTGCCTTTAATTCAGTTCGCCACATAAGCAAAGCAAGTTAGCAATGACATCCTTGGTTTTTATATATTGTTTGTAAAAGTTAGTCAGCTTTCATTGAGTTATGAAAGAAGTGTTAAAATTGCAATTAAGCCTTGCTTCTTTCCATTATTCGCTTTGCATCAAATTTACCCGCTTCAATAGAGTTTCTATTGTTCTCAAAATGCAAACGGAGTGCATAGCAGAGTAAATAATAATGAGTTGGCAATGCTGCCCTTTGAAGCTGTTGTAGAGATAAGGTCGAACGCAGCAAGTCGATCTTGTAAAAAAAAGGGCGTTCTTCATGAGATACACGGAGCTTAAATCCTTTATGTAGAACAAGCATTCGGTAAAATGTGATTATCGAGCTGACGATCATGATGGGCAGGCAAGATATCATTCATATTCATTATATGCTTTCTTTGTTTTAATACTGTGATACAAAACTTCAAAGTTCAAAATGAGCTACACCTGTCCTAAACAAGGGAGCTATTACCTTTGACTTTTTTAAAACATATAAAAGGAAACCGAGTTTTTCGGTTCAGTTCAGTCGATCAAGTTTACACAACAAAGCATTCTTCTCTTCTATCAACTAATAGAGCTTCTATTTCTTTACAATTATCAGAAAGCATTTTTCTTTAGCTCAAGCCTCTCTTCCTCTCTCTCTTCCTCTTTCTCTAGATGCCACCAGATAGACCCGCTAAGCCTGCTCTTCCTAGACCTTATCCCGCTCCTGTCAAGCGTTAATCTCATACCATCTCATCGTTGTATATTTTACAATACAAAGGCTTCTACTGGGTTTTTGTCTATATCTATACCAGCTTTCTAATGCTTTTTTGAATTGTTTATCAATTTGAAAGCATGCAGCAAAAAGTCTTATCAACACAATTGGAACATTATAGCAGCATTCAACGACATATTAATTTCATTGATAACCTTTCATTTATACAACAGACTCTCTCTTAACGATCGACGAGTTGGAGCTTCATATATCACATAGTTTGGCTTTTTCTGTTTTTATCTGCATTATTCATTTTTCATTTCTAAATACATCAAACATCATACACAACTATTCCCTTATTCTCCTTTATGGCTGAATAAGAAAGATATACAACGAACTTTGATTTGCAATGCCATTCTCATCTTTTTTTTATTGATTTTCAAAATAAAAACTATTCTGATTCCTCATCCATACAATCTATTGAAAGCAATTGCATTGTGTTACCATGCATTCGACCTCATGTTGAGGTTTCACTTTTTCTGGTGTGAAAGATATTACCGGAGTTATATTACCTTAGATACTGCAGGAGAAGAAGGGAGAAGACTTCTCTAAAATGCTTATAACGCGCGTAGGTAATGTTCCAGTACACTCGTGTTGCTACTTACAAATTGACAATGTAAATATGGCTGTAAAAGTGACAGTCAACAAGACATGCTTCTCTGAACAATTTTGCATTTCATATATAGCAGCATATAACGACAAGTTGGGACGGCAATGTTCTGACTTTGATAATTCATCTATTGGTTATCCATTGTGCTCTCCGTAATCGACTGCCTCCCATATTCTGGTAACGAGCGATCTTATGACCTACATAAGGCATTTTTGACAGCTCTGTTCATCTTCCTTTTCAATGTACATAGATTCTTTCCTAAAACAGAGTAATGATGCAACGTTACAGACATTCTGACTATTTTGAGAACAGAAAGAGATACAAGACTTTTGCGCGATACGTCGCAAAAGTAGGCGTTAGAAATTAGTGGCAAAAGCATGATGAATATAGAGAAATTACCTTCTATCATGCTGGTAGGACAATAAATCTTGATCAATAAGGGGTTACAAAGTCAACTTAAGAAAGCATTCAAGATTGTTATTATAGTTATAGAGCGCCTACAGACTCAATAATGATGTGATTCCCTGTGCTGATGGTTCAAAAGGCATCAGATTGTTCCTAACCCTGGTTCAGCAAATGATGGGCGATGTAAAAGGAAGACGAAAGATAGAATAACAACTCTATTCACGTAAACATGAAGAAAAAAAAGTGATTTTTAAGGACTACGAGGAACTGCTAGTAATGGGAGCAACTAAATTGGAAGGTAAGGGAAGATCTTTGTGAAAGAATAACAGCTCATTGGTACACTGTATACCCCAAAATAAAATGGCAAAGATTCAGGATTAAAAAAGCGAAGAGAGGATGAAGCAGTATATCAAATAACACTGAAGACTGATATTGTATTGCATACGGGCTTAAGTGGCTCTCTCTTTATCTAATTTCCCCGCTCTGAGATGAAGCACTGGTCATACTTGATGCTGAACACAATTACTCAGTCACTATTTTGGTTAAACGTTCGTATTTGACTTGTTGTAATTCATCTGTGACGAGGAAAAAGGGAGAGCACAATATTCAAGGAAGTTAATGCTGCTTTTAGAAAGATCCCATTCCAACGCTTTTATTGAGATGAGGACTGTGAAACGTTGAAAGACAAGGATCTGAAATCGATTGATAATGGGTACGCTAGAAGATACAGGGCTCACAAAAAATTTGAGAGACGTATATGTATCGCAGTTGCTTAAAAACTTAGTTGAACTAACAAGTTCGTTAGGAAGTCATTTGTATGTGCTAGCTATATCCTTCTGGACAATATTAACACGCAACTCGATATCATGAACAAAAATGTGATCAATATCGATTTAATAGTTCTTGGAGAGTTTCGATGTGCTAAGCATTGATTTACATTTCCTTTGTGACAAATTAATACGCAAGTACCGTAAAAGCCTGGATAGAACATTTAAAATTACGGTGATTGCGCAGTGAAATCAATATACGAACGTGATCATAAAAAAATATAGATTATTTTCTTTTTGTTAGGATACAAAAGATTTACTACACTTTCAGCCGCGACTATAATCAATTCGAATCTAGGTAGTGTTTCTTAAAGTATACTAAACGTAAAATGTATGGTTGATTAGGCCTATTGATCCCTTTTGGTGTAGAAAAGATCAGTGCAATACTGGCAGAACCATATAAAATTATACCGCTTTGATTAATTTACTAATCGATAAACAAAGTTTGCCAAGAATTTATTACCAATACTGCCGATCGAAGATCTCAGAGGAACACTTAATGTGTCGTATTCACTCTTTGAATGAGGTTAAGAACATTGAAAGAAAGTGATAATGCTTGCGGTGAAACAATAATAAAAATAAATGAATCCTTTCCCTTTTGCTGCCTCAATCAAGCTCAAAGGAAACATATAGAATCAATGCCAAAAGCATAGCATGTATAACTAAGCAATTATACTAGTGCTCTAATTTGGGAGGATTAGTTATGCTATATATACAATTAATTTGCCGATATTCAGTTACAAGTTGCAACCAAAAAAAAAGCTATGTATCATAATCAAGAAACATCTTTGATTGATTAGCCTGTAAGAACGAACAAAAATACGATTAGTATGGAAATTATAATGTGCTTGTTGTATATGTAAACTTGCTTTTTTCAAATTTTGTTAGCGCGGTGTCGCTGCTGCTAAAAAATATGTGACGATCGCAAATATACCCAAACTGTGCAGAGGCGAAGATGGTTCTGTCAGTTTTTCCATGTGAGAATTGAGGTGACCTTTGATATTTCGCAGTAAATTCCATTTCATCAGTTGACGAACATTTTTTGTCCTTTTTTTTTCTTCGTCTTCATCTAACGTCTCAAAGTCGATTTATCACTTTTGATGCTTTTTCCTTTTTCAGATTTACATACATGGTAAAACTAGTTACTGAATAGCCGAACATCACAACAATGTTTCCCTTTTTTTTAATTTATGAGCTAATAGTTAGATTGTTATGCATCTTTGTCCTTCGAGACCCTGTTTTGAGTTCTTGGTTTTGTTTGGTTCATGCATGCACCTATTGCTGTGTTACTAGTATGCTCAAAATTATTTGAAAAACAGACCATTACAGGGATGATTTGTCATAAACCTTTTTCTTTCGTAATTGTGCTAGATCTGATCGCATAATGACCGACAATGGCAATGGTCAAATAATGAGACTGAACCTCAGCAATCCTTCCAGTGAATTTACTCGCAGGAAAAATTGGTCACAAAGCATACTAGACGCTCTGCGCGATGTAATTCATGTAATGACAGCTGATATGCGTCTCATTTATTGTTCAGATGCTTCGAGCGAGTTCCTAGGTTACAAACCAGCAGAACTAATCAACCGCACATTTACTGAATTTCTACATGTCGATGATGTTGATATGTTTGCTCGTGAATATAGAAACGCTAAGAATACTATGCAAAATTTCGTTTGCACGTACAGGTTTTTGCGTAAAGACGGCAAGTACACAACGCTAGAGTCAAGAGGCAAGTTTCACAAAAACTCATTCTTTGGAAACGCACGAAAGGTCCCCTCAAACGTTGCCCGATCTATGGACACTTTTTTGGAACTTAAATTGGAAAATGAAAAGTTAATGAACCAACTTTCACTTCTAAGAGCTCAACGTAAATTATCAAGAACATCCGAAACTTCTAGCGATCATACACCCTCAAGTACATCATTAACCACAGGAAGCACAGATGGAGGAGGAGATGATTCCAGCGACGATTTTGACGATTTCAATATACCCTTAAACCCACCCAATGTTTATGCACAAGGTGTTAACGCTTCGTCTGATGCAAATGAAAGCTTAGCCATGTTCACTGGTTTACGATATGATTTGGGAGAAAGATCACACGGTATCTCACTGGGTTTAGACGCGGAATTGATAAATGTACCTCCGAACCACTTCTCCTCGCTTCCCATTGTGATGAACAATTCTGATATTGTAACGATAAACTCATCCTCGCAAGACAAACATCGAGGGAAGAAGGTAAAATACAAAATACACTCCTTCCGTTTACAAGTATAACAATTTAATTTTTCTGCTTTTCTTTAATGATTCCGTAGAAACGCGTTGAAAAACCAGTAGGAATGAGGATATGTACGGATTGTGGAACGACTGAATCACCTGAATGGAGAAAGGGCCCCAAGGGACCGAAAACGTAAGTTTAGTAATCCAAGCAATGCTCTGAATTTCGCATGAATGTTGATAAAAAATTGAATATAGCTTGTGCAACGCTTGTGGTTTACGTTGGTCCAAAACTCAAAAGAAGGCTGAAGCCACTAGGTAAAGTTTAGAGAATGCTTTCTTACAATAAACCATTGATTGTCTGTGCTGTAATAATCGGTTCGGGTGTTTCAGCTTTTTTTTTTTTTGTTTTTGTTTATTGGCGGGTCAGTCTTGTTCATAAATGGCAGTGATCCGCAACTTTCCCGTTTCTATTCATTTCTTTCTCTCTTCAAAAATATTCCTACACTGACATGGCCTCCATTTACCGTTTACAATGCAAAACCCAATCCTACGATTGGGGTAAGCTAGGTGATGTCTCCAAGGTCGCGGCTTATGCCAAGGCCTCGGGAACTGCTGTTGACAATGACAAACCCTATGCTGAATTGTGGATGGGTACCCACCCTAATGCGCCCTCCATTGTCATGGATGACAAGAATACTTCACTTAGAGATCTTGTCAAGGACAATGTCAATTTGAGCACCAAGGCCGTCTATGAACAATACAATAGTGACTTGCCTTTCCTCTTCAAAATTCTTTCTATTCGTAAGGCATTGTCCATCCAAGCTCATCCTGACAAAACTTTGGGTGCGCGTCTTTTCAAAGAGTTTCCTCAAATTTATAAAGACCCTAACCATAAGGTACGTACATGGGAACAATCGCTAACTTGAAGTTCGAATGAATATTCTTCTAAGCTCTTTATTTCAAATGATTTCTTCCTTCCAAAAAAGCCTGAAATGGCTGTCGCCCTTACACCTTTTGAAGCACTTTGTGGTTTCCGTCCCTTAGAAGAAATTGCAAAGCATATGGAAACATATCCTGAATTAGCTGAACTGATCGGCAACGATATTTGTAACGAGTTCAGAAGCAGAGTGAAGGATAATGGCAGTTCTACATCTGAGGGAGATATCGCTCAAAACAAGGAACTTCTTAAGAAAGTGTTTGCAGGTCTTATGACAAGCTCTGAAGAAGAGGTTAAGAAGCTTTTGTCAAAGTTGATTGCTCGTCTTAATGACTCAAAGGCCGACGATACAATTTCCAAGTTACTCATCAGACTAGACCAACAATATCCTGGTGGCGATGTCGGTGTCTTCTCCTCTTTGATGTTGAACTATGTCGTCATGGAACCAGGACAAGCTATCTTCTTGGGTGCAAACGAACCTCATGCTTACTTATCTGGAGGTAAAGTCGCAATCGATGGCAGTTACAGATAGAAAGGCTAACGGGAATTCTTCTTACTTGACAGATTGTGTCGAGTGTATGGCTGCTAGTGATAATGTTGTTCGTGCAGGCTTGACACCCAAATTCAAAGACGTTGATGTGTTGGTCAACATGCTTACTTACCGTTATGGCTCAGCGGAGTCTCAAAAGATGACACCTGTCAAGTTTGCTGACCATTCTAATCTTTATGATCCTCCAATTGATGAATTTGCTGTTATTTGGACAAAGTTGAATGGTGGAGAGACCGAAAAGCATCAATCAATTGAAGGCCCCAGTATCCTTATCGTTACCTCAGGAAGTGGCAAATTATCTGGCGAAACAGATAAGAATACTTTTGACCTCAAGGAGGGTTATGTTTACTTTGTTGGAGCTAACACTCCAATTGTTGCTGAAGCCGCTGAGTCTGGATTAGAATTCTATAGAGCTTATTCCGTTGCTACCAACTAGAAAAAAACTGGAATAAAAACATATTTTTATCATCAAGTCATCCCTGCATCTACTTTAGCATAGTATTAAACTCTAAACTCTCTCTCTCTCTCTCTTACAGATTACAACCGTACTGTAAAACACAAAAATTGAAATGGACCTTCCTCGGAAGTCGCTGACGGGAAGATCTGGAAAGTGTTTTAGCGCCTTTTCGACTTTCCCTTTCCCAATTCAAAAAAGCATTGCACACATGGGGGACGGAGATTACCCAAAGATAATAAGAAAAAAGGATGTTTTGAGCTTTTCTTTAATCTAAGGCAAAGGGTAGTCATGGGAACAGAAGCCAATATGTCCATTACTCAATTGGGTTGCTCTGAAGGCGGCTATTGATCCGAGCGGCCCAAGTCTTCTATTTTGAGTCCATTCACTTCAGCCTCTTGGTCAATCACCAATGCTAATCTACGAAGGGCTTCATCCATATTTTCCTTTGAGACATTACTATAAGACAGTCGAATATATTCTGTTTTGCTTTCATGAGGCATGAACTTGACACCAGGGAGGCCCAGCACCTTCTGTTTTAATGCTTTGTTCATAATGAGGTCCTCGGAATCGTTAATACCACCGAGGAGCCGCACCCAGAAAAACATGCCAGCAGAGGGAACGGCCCATGTTGCGCGTCCTTTCATATGACGATCTAAACACTCCACAAAGTCATCTCGTTTCTGTCGGTAAAAGGCTGCTACATTCTTCACATGATGAAAGAAACCTTCGTGACCCCAATGGGCAAGAAGTTGATAGGCCATCACTTGAGGAATCCCAGAAGGCTGAAGGTTTGTACCCATGGTATGTAGGTTGATTCGTTCGATGAGAGGTTTAGGACCTGTAACCCAGCCCAATCTTAAACCTGAAGAGAGAATTTTTGACATGCTATCGCAGCGAACGACACGACCATCGACATCCATGGACAAGTAAGAAGGCACTCGCTCAACTGTAAATTGAAGGTAGTAATAGGCGTCGTCTTCAATAATAATTATATCATGCTTGTGACAAATATCGTAAATGGCTCGTTTTCGCTCTATTGTTGATGTCGCGCCAGTGGGATTACCTCCGCTTGGAATGGTGTACAAGCAGCGAGGTTTTGGCTGGTTTTGTCTACCGCTAGGATCGCTTTCAGGCCAGGCCTCCAGGATCTTTTCCAATTGTTCGGGTATGATACCATAGGCATCTGTCATGACATCTACAAAGTTACAGTTGAGAGTTTTGAGAAAGGATAAACAACCAGTGTAGGAAGGGCTCTCTATCAGAATTGGATCGCCTTCATTCAGTAACATTTCGAAGGTCTAGCGCAAAAACCAGTGCAACGTCAGTCAACTACGTTCGTATAAGCCTTCGTTGCCATTTTAGCATACCTTTGTAAGAAGATCCTGCGAGCCTGTACCGATAGAGAGTGTGAAATCTACAGGTGGGTTATGTTCGATTTTTTGAAGTTGGCACAACCATTCATTCAAGTGCGGTAGCCCTTGCTAAAGAAATAGTTAGGCTTCCGTAAACTATCTCGTCAGTTATTTGTTATCAGTGTATACTTACAGTATTATCATAAGACAAGGCACGGCTGAACAATTGCTCATCAATATTTAATGTTTCTCCTGTCTTTAATGTAACACTCATGCTGGCATAAGGAAAGGTATCAGGATTAGGCTGACCTACACCTAAAGATATCTACTAGAATGTTTAAAAAAACCATTCATAAACGCCCCCAGTTATTTTATGTGGGTGGTAATGGTAGAGTTACCAAGTCTTTTTGATGAAGAAAAGGGGCCAAAGCTCGTGCTAGCGTAGATTAAATTGTTTGAATAGTTAGCACTTTGATGGTAATGCGAAACCATCCTGTCAGTAGTTATTTTTGATAGTTTACTTGCTGATGGTTGTCTGAGTTTGCTACGTTCGCTCAAGAATTTTGAATAATCCATGGTAGTAAATTTGCTTAAAGAAGACAAGATATGACAATGGAAATGAGTGAAAAGGAATGACAACAACTGCTTGTATCTATAACTGATCCAAACCTTCATCTTTTTTTTTCCCTTTAAAATTGATTTTCATGGTGACTGTGTTAGATAATCAGTGATTTAGTTTTAATTGCAAGTTGGAGATGTCTTGTGTAACATAAAATGATTGTAAAAGGAAAAGCTGTACAGGAATCCTTATAAAGGGTAGTTGAATTAATAAGATAGTAAATAGTTAAAAGTGTAAGTCTATGTACAGTCCTCGATTTGGGAGTTAGCAGAGCATGAAGGGGGGGGAGGGGAGGGGAAAATTACGTACAGTAATGGAATGCGTCGAGGAGGTTGATAAGATGGAGAATATGAAGAATGCATACTATACAAGCATATTTACGTGAAAAGATATATAAAAGATATGTAAGAGTAAGTATTAATGTGAATGATCATCGATTAGGCCACCACCTAAGGATTTGAAGCGACCAAACGCCAGTTCTCCAACAAAGATACCAAGAACAATAACAAGGAAAAAGCCGCCATTACCAGTCATAACCACCATCATCAAAAGATAGCCTACAAAAGAGTTCAGGGTACTAATGAAACTTCTGACAGTATCCATCGACCAAGAGAAAGGGAGAACTTCAGGTAATTGTAGAGGATTGGGGTATGCAGAACGTTTAAAGGATCCTGAAGAGCAATCGTCCTGTGGGTTTGGCGATTTTTCGATATCTGTTCTAATTGTCTATATAAAAGGATGTCTTTTTAGTATGTCAAAGTTCTGTTAATACTAGATAGAAAATGTGTATTATGCCAATTTTACCCTAGATGGAGAGGATAACCGATTGCATGCCCCTCTGTTTTCACGTAATCGCTTCCAAGCAATAAAATAGGCTTCTAACGCGGGTAGAGTTCTTGATAAGATTGCGACGAAGAACAATCCGAAGCAAGCGCCAATGTAGGCTCCTTCTGACTGAGGCACCCATGCATCCAACCATATGCCATCACCAGACCACCCCCAGTGAAATGTCCCCATAGACATCGACATTTGCATACCATCCATGCTATGGCTGTAGCCTGAATCTGCTCCGTTCATATGTGACATATCATGCGCTGAAGCAGACACTGTGGAGGAAGGCATAGGCATTGACATAGACGTTGTTGGTGACATATCCATGTTCATATCAGACATAGTATGAGCTGAATGATTCATTACGCCAAAATATAAATTTCAATCAAAGGTGGAATAAAAAAGTGTATACTAGAACAAGAAGGTATTGGTGGAAAGACCTGATCCGTATAACAGAAATACGTTCCTCAAGACATTTATATAAAAAAACCCCCTTTTCAACCGAAAATCTAAATTTCTGATAGCTGGTAAGCGATAATCGCGCATCCGATGTCATCATCCCAAACTTTAAAACTCAGAGGAAGATCGGGAACACGTAGTACTCGCATTCTAATCATGATAGAGCGTGCAAAGCGTGTCGAGATGCAAATGCACTCAAGATACATAAGCTAATAACTGATTCTTACATAACAACATTTCGATAGCATGAGATAGCAGCGAAAAAGGGGTTCTGATCCTTTCTTTGTTATCTGCAGATCAGATAAAAAGTACCTGTGGGCAAATTCCAAGTTCAGCCGTTATACAGCTTCTTCATAGGCTAGAAGCACAGCAAAAATGTCTCAAGCTAACAAAAATTTAATCTGATAATACATGGATCGCGCACCTCTCCAGACAGTACACGTCTACGAGCAGTCTTTGAAACATGAATACACTGAGTACGTCGCCTTGAAGAGTTTGTGCAAAAGACGAATTAATGGTTTGTGAATCCGTTTAGCCAGTCAGTTATTCCTGCTCTTTATCAGTTGATAATCGCAATTGTAGAACGACAACAGCTGAAATTTCATAGCAGGAAGAAGCGTGATACCAATGTTCCTTTGCCCAAAATGCTAATCAATACTATGGTTGACTTTTTTCAATGTCCAACTTATTATCAAGGGGATAAAGTTCAAACGGTTGTAAGAACAAAATAAAATTCTTCGATTCGCAATAATATGTTGAGAACAATGTCTCACAGAGATACAACTGATTGTCACTTGGATTTTAGGCTAATTTTAGAGATTTGCAAATGCTAAAAAGACATAGGTCACTAAGACGGTCAGGAAATTAGACAGATTTTCTAAATATGCCATTTTAACGCTCAAAAAATGGACATTGATTGCAAATCAAAAACGGTCGCGAGTATCTTATCAGTCATAAAACTTGAATGGTAAGCTACATAACGTCATTATCAAACAATAAAGTAACACTCTTATCATAGGAGGTAGTTGAGATATTCACACTAAAACTTTCAAGTATGTACCCAAATTGAATGATATAGAAAATGTGCAAGTTGTCTACAGACCAAATTTGTTCGTGAAGGTTCATTCACCACTTTCTGATACAAGCAAATATACATTGTGCATTGAATAATAAGAATGTTTAAAGGCTGCTCCTCTGTTAACTAACATCAAACCTCTCGATGAGGATAGGACTTTTCCGAAATCCTTACGCCGAGTACTGTAGCTTAATAAAAAAAAAAAAAAAAAAAAAAAAAAAACTGTGTGCAATCGATGAAGGATTTGAAATTGAAGGTTGCAGCAGCTATTTAAAAAACCATCTTGAGTTTTTTGATTGTTTAGTACAGCTTTGATTACCGCAAGACTATGATTTATCATTCGGTGAGTTACGACCATTCATTGTTCCTTTATGTCAAAAACCGATATGGGAGAATCTTCTGCTATTCGATAATGGACGCAAGGATAAATACAAATACTTGATGTAATTTTCTACGGCTTTTTTGCTGCAGCCATGACATTCTGTGGCATTCGCAAAATGAGTGACATTATCCGTCGTTCACCTTCAGACAACTTGTACGTTGCCTGTTTCGATGCGAAACTGATCTCAGATTCCTATATCTAACATTTGAATAGGATCATCTGAAGATCTGTGCATAAAAAATACACAGACAAGGAACAGAAGTACAATAATTCAAATGTTATTGTAGATGTACATGAGCATCCCCAAGTTGCATGAATTTTGATTTTTCCTTTTGGGGGGAAATTTCGGGGTGTTTCTAGGAACACGATAATTTTTGAGAATAAAAAGCACCAAACTGAACAAAAGTGATTCATGGACAGATCTTTCGCCCATTGACGCCTTTTAAACAGATGACTGTAACATTATTGAACGAAGCACCCGACACCTCTTCTTTAAAGCCTCGACATATACAGAAAGAAACGGCACTTCTTATTTCACCACCTCTTGCTGGTCATCAAGGGCCCATTTTTGGACAATTAAGCGTTTGTGAAGAGTAACGTTCGATTAAATAAACTGGAAGCTGATCTCTCCATTGATACGAATAGCCAAACTCATTTGTCTTTTGCCTACCTTTGCGTCAATATGTAGTCAATTTTATTTTTACTCAGAAGACGCCAATTCTGGTATTGCTGTTGAGTATCCTGATATTATCATCCATGCTATTTCCAGACAGGAAGGGCAGCCAAATATTTACTGCCAACTTGATTCTGGATTATTCTTCCCTAACCAACAATTACCTGAAGACAAAGAAGAAAGAAGAGAAACCGTGACAGAACTTCGCTTAATTCCAAAGGATACTGGCGCCTGTAAGATTTGTTTACAAAAAACGTAAAGCAAAATTTTACTTGGCAAACGTAATAACTAAACATGATTACTTTTCTCCCTACACGAACAGTAGAGGGCATCTATTTAGCTATGTCTGAATGTGCAGCGCTTCACCCTGACGAGGAATTCATGGCTGAGCAAGAGGATTATGAAGACGAAGAATTCTTTGCTGATCCAAGTGATGAGGCTGAGTTGAATGAAGCTCAACAAGCAGCTCTTCGTCATTTAGAATCAGTTTTCGAGCCACCCATGTCAAACGGTCATGAGATACAACCATTCGAAGACGCAGAGAACAATGACCATTGAGCATGACATAAAAATTGATATCCATATTAGAAAAAGAAAATAAAAAAAAAAGAAACCTAGGAATACACAGCAAAATGCTGAAAGTTGGAATCTTTATTAAATTGTTTTATTATTATTATGTTGAATAGTGTGATATACATATATTTACGTATATGTGTGTGTACAATTTCTACAATGGGTGATGGTGGTAATAGTGGAGACGGGGGTAGTAATGGTTAATAATTTGTTGAATTCGTTTACTTTATTTGTTGGCCACCAGGGCTTGGCTTGTGAATGCCTTCACTTTTTATTGTTTATCAGATTCTGCCATCTTTCCCAGAAGTTGAATGATATCAGCGGGAGCTTCCACTTGCCAATTCGCCATACTCTTCTTCATAGCAGGCCCAACAGTCAAGGTGTAAAGTGCTGACTTGGTATCGTTCCAATTCACAGTAGAACCTTCGTTGATCATATCTTGGTAGTGAGCAAAGTAAACGACAGACAATGTACGGAACATGTCTTCATCGGTCTTGTCGTCTCCAGCACAAATGATCAAGTCAGGGTGTTGTTGTGACTGAGACAGGATACGTTTCACGATTTCACCTTTATTGATCATCATAGGTCGAACTTCCAGATTCTTCTTACCAACAAGGATTTCAACAGGCATTTTTGAAACGACAGAGCTTTCCAGATGGTTCTGACATTCCTTGGCTTGGAACTCACCATATTCTTCGTCTGCCATACGATAATGCCAAGTGATGGATGACTTTTTATGCTCAACAAAACTACCTTCTGTACGTTCTGTATAATAGTCGAAAATCTCTGTGACGTCCTTCTTCCAACTCATATCAATGTCTTCCAACATGTTTGTCCACTGATCTGATCCAGCGGCCTTGAAGAAACAGCCGTGTTCAGCACTGAGACCTAGATTCTTGACATGGCCAAGCCATTCTTCCAGACAGGCTTGGTCGCGGCCCGAGACGACCCACACCTCGTTACGAGGATCATCACACAATGCTTGAAGATACTGTAGCATGTCGGGCGAAGGCTTGGCATCTGTGGGAACAGAAACAATGGGTGTCAAGGTACCGTCATAATCAAAGAACATGAGACGCTTTTTCGAAGCGTTGTAATGTGTGAAGAATTGGTCGCGGTTCAATGCAGGTGTGGCCTGTGATTGAAGGGAGAAGTTCTTGGTACTTTCAACCAATTGCTTCACGAAGGACTTGGCCCAGAACGCGGCAGAATGCTCGGTGACGTAAGAGAAAAGTTGTGTATGGCGGGTCAACTTGTCTTCAGGGCTCATGGTCAAGGCCTCATGAATAGCTCTAGCGACACCGGCGTTATCAAATGGATTGACAATGAGAGCAGCACTCAAAGCACCTGCCGTGCCGGTGAATTCAGACAGGATGAGAGGTCCATGTGTCTCTTGTTGGCAAATGATGTATTCCAAAGAGGTTGTGTTCATACCGTCTCTCAAGCTAGTGATCAAACCGACATCAGCAACGGACAATAAAGCATAGTATTCGTCACGATCCACATCTTGATAATAGTGATGTACAGGAGAGAATTCCAGGGAACCGTATTTCGAATTGATGTGGCTGACAAGCTCGGACACTTTAGCCTCCAGTTTTGAGTTGTCGCCGTGCGTGGGTGTCGTCACTTGGATCAAGACAACTTCCTTGCGCCATTCAGGATAATCGTCCAAGAACTTTTCAAATGCTTGCAACTTTTGAAGAACACCCTTTGTCGAGTCTAACTTGTCACGACCAATGATGATCTTCTTATTAGCGTACATATCACGAATAGCTTTCATTTTAGGCGCAACACCGGGTTCACGACGGAACTTGTCGACACGATTCGCATCGATACCGATAGGGAAGGTACCCACAGAGACAATATGACCATTCACGTTGACACCGGTTTGCGTTGATTCGCAACCCAGGACTCGAGTACATGAGCCGATGAAATGTCTAGCATAAGAATAGGTCTGCAGTATAAAAAAAAAAAAAAAAAAAAAAAAAAAAGCCCAAAAATAAAAAGGCGTTAACTCACTTGGACCGCACACAGGGGAGGGGAGGACTTTTAAACTGTTTGTCATGCACATTACCTGGAAACCGATCAAGTTAGCGCCCAAAGAACCTTGAAGAATTTCTTTGCGGGCTATAAAATGAATGAAAAGAAAACCCGTCAGCATGAAAAAAAAAAGAAGTTTCTCCAATGTTCTACGAAAGAGGAGGAATGCTACTTACTCGTTAAGCAACGGAAGATTTCAGAGCTTGGAAAGGTAGCATGAAGGAAGAGACCGATAGGCGCATCTGGGATGATTTCTCTCAACATTTCGGGAACAAGTAATAAATGATAATCGTTCAAGAAAACTGATAATTTCAAAGTAAGAGGGTCAATACATAATCCCGGCCGACCCTGAAAATTTGGATAAGAAAAAGCAAGCAATGAAGGGCTACTTACTGACATCTCCTGGACGATAGTTACTAGCGATGATTTCAGCAAATTGACGATTCACAGCAACATAGTCCTTCCAGTATTGCTTGTTGGATCTACCATCTGTATCGTCTCTCCAAACCAAATAATGGAAGAGAGGCCAAAGCACTGATGAAAGGGTGTAGAGTTAATTTGTTCGTTTCAGAACGCTCATTCATTACGATGCCCTTCCCAGCCTCTCTTTTATACCATAGAAGCACTGACTTACCTTCTTTACAGTAGCCTTCGTAATGACCACGAGATGTACTGTCTAAAAAGATGGGAACGAAATTACTACCTGTTTTCATCAGCAGGTTTTGAATTTTAGCCTTATCATCTTCGGTCAAGGTTTCTGAAGGGATAGTCTTCTTGGTACGCTCATCTTTGATAGGACCGGTCCAACCGATATGCAGGGTTTGATATTCATCCTTCAAACTTTGTAAACCAGAGTTGAGAGCACCATGGCCTCTGTCCTCGACAATAAGCCATTCAGCAGCGCGAAATTTGGCACGCAAGGTTCGAGCACGGTTATGGTGACGGGCGAGCTTTGAAACGGGTGCAGCTGCCACTTCATCGGTACCGGTAGGGCCGTTCAACTGATGTGATGTAGCATTTTCAGTAGTAGGAGGAGTGTCCGTTACCATAGTGGCAGAAGATCTGGAAATATGGAAAGGAATTTGATGGGTGACATTGATGATTTTGCCAGAAATATGAGGCATCTTGCCAGCTAGAGGAAGGTAGTCAGCGACTTTTTCAGCAGTGAGGGGTGACATCTTTCTCTGGTGGACAACGTTGGATATCAAAAATTAGAGGGACTATGTAACGGTTGCCTACAAGGACTATCACCGGATGGAAAAAGGATAAACAAACAATAAAAAAAAAAAAAAAAAAAAAAGAGGGAAAGAATAAAGACCTATGCTATAATTGTAGTTGTATATAAGGGGAGCGGGGTTGTAATTTATTATCTTTGCTTTCTAAAGTCGCATGAACTTCAAAGTTGATTTTTCTCGGAAATTTCTATGTAGCCCGCGTAGTGCTGTTTAGGGTTTACTTGCTTTAAATAAGCTTTCCCTGTTCCGTTTTATTAAACAGCAACCTATCCGTAATGAATCTATAGCTCGTAGAATAAGCAACAGAAAGCTGTGTACCTTTTATCGTCTTGGTGCAATCAAACAAGAGAATGGACGGCCATCATCATCGTCCGTTCATATTTTTGAAAGCAGCCATGTGACAACATCATTTCATCATAGAATTTCAAACAGCAAAAAAAGCCAGCTAAACTTGGTTTCAGCGTGTATTTTCAAGGTGTCTCTCCACCCCACCATGAAAAAGACTGAAAGAAGTCAATATGAATAAAACAACAAAGCTAAAGACGAAGCATCAGCCGGAGAGGTTTCTCTTTTATCCTTACTGGAAAAAGAAATAATGAAAGAGCATGCCATACTAAACCAAGTAATATTCTCGAAACTTAGGAACTCCACCCTTTTACTTTTCTTGTAATTAAAGTCAGTCGTTATTATGTAATGTGTACTATTTCGACGGAAGGAGACCCCTCCTTTTCTTTATTGTGCAAGTCATGCTTTTTTTTTTTTTTTTTTTTTTTTTTTTGTATTTCTAGTCGACAAACACTCAAAGGTAGCTTGAAAGGAGCTATTTTATGTCTTCCAAAATGCATGACTTCATTTTGTGCACAAGCAATTTTGATGTTACACTATCAATGATGAACATTGAATGGCGATCGTCTATTACCTTTACATGATTTCAGCACTCTATTTCAATGAATGTAATTATCAGACGTACATGATAATGGTAGTATTTTAGTTTTACTTAAGTATGTCCAAGCTATGATGAGAAAACACGTATGGATGTCGATAAGGCTTCTGTTTATCCTTGTCATAAATAAACAGATCCACTCGTGTTCATTAAAAGTCAGGAAGGGGATGAGGACGGCTCAAATGATCAATCGTCCAGAAGAAACATATGGCTCAGACAGGTTGCCTTTTCGCGAGACAAAAGTCTATTCACAATTCAAGGGTCTTCTAAGTTAGGAAACCAACCTAACAATACACTATGTCGGTTAATAGGGAACACTCTTACCTTGGGTTTAGTATATGTTCCTGACATATATCCAATCCCCTGAGTTAATATATGAATGAAAGAAAGAGTTATCAGCTAGATGATAGATAATCAATCATTTGAGATGCTTGTCATTTGCTTGGCTACCATGTCTTCCGTCACATGTCCATACCAAAATTCAATTCCTACGATACGTATTGCGTTAGGATTTATATCATAGATGTATGCCTGGGAAAGCAGAAAGGTCCAACTTACGGGTTTTGTTGTTTGACTTTTGTGAGCGCAATGCAATTGTCCCAACAGACAATTTGTCGTATGAAGTCAAAAACGAAGAGCCTGAAATGAAAGCATATGAGACAACTTGTATCTTCTCCATAGACATGGTTCAGTTTATGTTTATAGCTTGAGACTGTACCTAGGAAATCATGCCTTAAAGCGTCGGTGATGGCTGTTTGTATATTGTCTTCTTTTATTAATCTCTCAACGCATTTATGAGTAAACATTGTTCGCATGATTTGCTCGCCAGTGCCTTTTAGTTTGTTTGTTTTTTTTTTTTTTTTTTTTTTTTTTTTCAACAAGTGAGTAAGCAAACAGTATACAGATTTGCGTAGGGGAGGGGTTTCTTTTATTCCCTGCTGGTCTCTGCAAAACGCCCCTCATCCTTCTTTACCTGTGGTACTACAAGCTATCCCTGGAGTATCGTTTTTCTCGTTTTGTGCCCAACATCCAGCACCATACATCGCAGCCTGACGATTTAAAATTTTCAATTAATCTTAAAGACATTGCCATGGGACACTTTAACAGGAACAACAACTGCTGAAATACCTCGCCTACTCTTCCTGGAGATTTCAATGAAATACCACCACTGCTAACACCAGCAGCTATGTTGCCAAATCGATCAATGCAGATGGCGCCCACTGTATCATGGCCTTGATCGACGCCTACCGACGGGTCTTTCTTATCTGCTTCCATAAGCATTTTTAAATGATTCAAGTACGTCTCGAAAGCTTGTGCTATGCGATGGATAGGACCACATCAATCTTTTGTATCTGACAGATAGCTACGATTTTGAAATCCCCTTACGTTCAATCAAATCGTCTTCCTCCACGATGGGAAGGTTCCGCGACTTTGACCATTCTTTTGCACCTTCGCCCGCCAAGAACCTGAGAAAAAAATAATCACTTATCAGAGAATAGATGGGACGTTTCCCAAAAGGGGTCTTTTTTAAATTTACATGGGCGGTATTCTACCAAGGGATAATAAACCTTGATCTGCCTCCAAGACCATTTGATAGGCAGAAAGGATTGGATTTTTAACGCCTCTTACAGCACCCACTGCTCCAAACGTCCCGTTCGTTCCTGACATCAAACTAGCATCACATTCTACCTTTCCTTCCAGACTCAAATTGGATCCGTAACCAGCGTTGGTTACAGGATGATCCTAAGATAGCAACAAGAACAGTAGTGCTCAATAGAGGCTCTAAAATCTTTACTTTTAAGGAAACGTTATTTTGCGGTATGCCTCTACCTCCAATTGCCGTATAGCTTCTGCAACCGCTAAAGACGACGTGCCTTCTTTATCCTTTAAAATCCTCATAGCTCGTATACATGCCCTAGTAGACCACTCCTTTCTTTTTTAATTTCCTATTTAAACTGACTCTAGGGGAAAGAGACTACCTTACTTTGCACAGGCTGATCGGTATGTCGACTCTTTTGATCGCGACAGATGACCTAAACAATGAGATCATTTTAACTCGTCATGTTCTCGCAAAAGAAAAAATAAAAGTTTTGACAAGCATCAAGCAACCTGCGCCGACGTGTACAGCAATGAACACTGGAGAATCCATTCTTATGTCTTTTTAGAATGATAGGTTTTCTTTCTATTTGTTGGTTATTCCCCTTTGGATGTAAAAAGTGACCTTTTTGCTGAGTTCAAATACAGAAACCCACATCCAAAAATTTGTTTTACATTTTATTAGCGACTTGAATAAATGTTGAATTTCATCAAAGGCTGCACTTTACGTACACAAAAAAACTTCAATTCGTGACGCTACTTATCCATCAGATAACGTTCACGTACATTTAAGGGGAGTTGAACGGTTTATTTCAATGAAATCGACTCTCAGCATTGAGAGCAGACAACGTGATTGTTTTTCTTTCCAAAATAGAGTTCGAATAGCGCGCTTATCATTCGGTCTTACTTTTTACATAATTTCATCACTGTTTGACGCATTGAAGAAGAATATTTTTTTATATTTTTTTTTTGGCACATATGGATCGATATTCTTGAGAAAAACTTTATTGAGATAATCGATGATAACAGATTTGGTAGAAAGATGTACAGAAAAATAAGAGTAGGTGAAATGAGATAAAAGTATAAAAAGTAAATTATGAGAAAAAAAGTAAAAAAAAAAAAAATAGTTTGTAAAATTATGGTAAAAATATAAATCTAGAATTATTTTTTAAGAACGCATATTTTGATACAAAAGACATGCGTTCAACTATTGATTATAAGAAAAAAAAAAAAAAAGTAAAAAGGGCAGAGATAATTATGTAAAATAAAAAAAAAGATTTTCACTCCATGTCATGTGCTGTAATAATAACGACGATACTATCGTTTGGTTTCTTTTTTTCTGGTTCATGTCTAATTTTTTACATACAGAAACAATCATTCTTCTTCTTTTCTTGCTTTGCAGCAGGCTTCTCTGAGATGGGTTTGCTTTGAGCAGCAGCAGCGGGTTTGCTTTGTGGTTGAGCTGAAGCAGTTTCCGTTGGCTTTGCTGAATTGGCTGCGGGTGTAGTGGTTTTTGAGGCGTTAGCTGCCTTATCAGTACCAGAGGTAGCGGTGGCGTCATTAGCGTCGGCTGAGGCCTTATTGATAGTATCCTTGGTACCAGCAGCATTGGCAGCAGCAGTAGCACCAGCAGCGGCACCGACAGCACCGGCAGTTGCAGTAGCACCAGAGGTGCTGGGGTTCACTTGCTCAATTTTATCATCCGTTTGAGCATCCGTAGCGGCGGGTGCAGCAGCGGCATCAGCAGCATCAGTAGTGGAATCGAGCGCCTTGGAGCCACGGTGGAAAGCGGTCAAAATCTTTGCAAAGTTTTCACCTTGAGTTGTAGCAATTTCCAACTCTTTAACGGTAGGTTCACGAGAACCATCACCATTTGCTAGTAAAAGTAAGTAGGCCATATTAGTACATTGTTCATCTACATTGTATACTACTCGAGTGTCTCTCTATCACACACACACACACACACACACACACGCACGCACGCACACATATTCTGAAAACATATTATATATATGCATATACGTTACCAACAGTGCCAGCACCCCAAGCGGAACCGCCAATTACTTCGGAATTATCGAAAAGATGGCTATTGGCGAAACCCAAAGGAACATAATTGATTCCATGATGAGCAAAATAAGTCATGAAAGTGTAGGCAGTGGTTTCTTGACCACCATGTTGGGAAGCTGTGGAGAAGAAGGTACCAGCAAATTTGCCGGCAAGAGCACCGGTAGCCCAAAGGGCACCAGTGGCATCCAAAAATGACTTGAGTTGAGATGGGAAGGTACCGAAACGAGTGGGGATACCTAAATAGTGAATGATGATCATAGGGATAAAGTGAGTTTGATTTTCTTTTTTCTTTTTTTATGCCAATTTTCTGAATTTTTGACAGCTCTCTTATTCCGTCGCGAAAATGGTTAATGTTAAATACATACCAAACATGAATGCATCGGCTTTAGTAAGATCATCGACGGTGATGATAGGCAAATTAGGCCTATCGGGTGCATGCAACTTGCTAAGGATCTCGTCTGATAGCGTTTCGGTAACCTAGCGTGTATTGTCAGTAAGTATTGGACTATGCATAGAAGGGAGAGGATATTCTTTTTGCATCGTCCTTTTTTTTTGGATTACAAACCTGGAAAAGCTTCACATCAACGCCCTCTGCTTCAAGACCTTTTTGAACAGCCTGAGCGACCTTATAAACGTGATGATAGAGAGAATAGAGGATAATATAAACGGTGGGCATCCTTATTGTTTTTTTTTTGTTCAATAGAGAAAAATATTTCAAGGAAAAAGGAAAAAAAGAAAAAAGAAGAAAAAAGCGGGACTGGAGCAAGGCAAAGTTAGGATGGTATTATTAATTTTGGCAAATTTTTTTTTTTTTTTTTTTTTTTTTTGGTCCCCCACCCCTCACTCATTAAAACACAGCCTTTGACGTTTCTTTTGTGGTCAAAACGAAAAGAATGTACCCTTTTCTTGATTGGGTAGAAGGTTCATAGTAATCATCCATTACTAATTCTATTATTTTGCTCGTCACTTGAAAGGAAAAAGGACACGCAAAATGTACAAGTACAACTATGTATGTATTTTTAATGGTTGTACAATAAGCAGAAAGGCAAAGTGAACACGCCAACGAGGAATGATTTGGTCGATTCAACTTTCCACTGACAGTCTCTGATGAGTTAAGAAAGAACCGTTTGAAAAACAGTGTTTCTATTTTAGTCCTATTGTTAACAAAAAAAAGAGAGACAGAAAGAGCACTAGAGATAGGATAGCTTCATAGTATCTGCTTTAAAACACGTGCATGGCCAATTTTAACCGAAGACTGACTACAAAGGTGGGTTACAGACAAATCTATATTCCCCCCAAATTTACGATTTCCCGCTACCAGTAAAAAGGATCCATCGTATCATACACTCCCCCGTTTTGCTTGGCGTTTCCCAGCTTCTGAATCATTTGAAAAGTTAAAAGTCACAAAAAGGGCTTACCCAAAGAATGAAAGACGGGTGAAGAGGTCATTAATAAGGAGGTCAATGCGTTTTAGGCCAGCTGTAAAACACGAACATGTCAGACCTTTTTTTGATTTGCAGCGATTCAGTCATTTTTGCTTGTCATATTTATGCAATCGAGTAATAACTAAAAAAATAAAAAAAAAAAAAAGCAAAACAAAAGATCAAGTTACAGTTTTCGGCGATTTTGGGCTTTCGAAATCATTGTCATTAAACCCTTTTTCATTCATTTTCATGCTTTGACGATGGATATTTAGGCACAAGCATTGAGGAGTGTAACCTTAAATCAATAAATAATACTGCATTCCACACAGCTGATTTTGAAATGGGATGAATTGTAAGCACTGACTAACCACTTAGTAAAAACTCAGCAGTCACAAGCTGCGATCATGACAAATGGGCGGAATTTGGATAAGGCTTACGCGATGGCCCAGCATAAAGATCATCCACACCTAAAAAAGAGCTTATTAATTCCGCAAATAACGGTGGACGATTGAAACCCGAATGGAGTGGACGGGACAGAATCATATAAAAAGCTCAACTTTTTCGCTTATCCAATCTTTTTTCTCCAATTTTTTTTCTTCTTTCTAAATACGAAAAAAAACAGCATTAAAAATGGCTCCCGCTAAGGTTTACATTATCATCTACTCACTCTACCACCACGTTTATAAGCTTGCTCAAGAAGTTCAAAAGGGTCTCACCTCCGTTGGTGTTGATGCCAAGATCTTCCAAGTCCCCGAAACTCTCTCTGACGAAATCTTGACCAAGATGCATGCTCCTCCCAAGCCTGACATCCCCGTTATCACTGTCCAAGACTTGACTGAAGCTGATGGTTTCCTCTTTGGTGTCCCCACCCGTTTCGGTATCATGCCTGCTCAAATCAAGGCTTTCTTGGATGCCACTGGCGGTCTCTGGGCCTCTGGTGCTCTTGCCGGTAAATTCGCTGGTACTTTCTTCTCCACCGCTTCTCAACACGGTGGTCAAGAAACCACTGCTTTCACCACCGTCACCTACTTTGCTCATCACGGTATGGTCTATGTTCCTCTTGGTTTCAGCTCTCCTCATCTCTTTGACAATTCCGAAGTCGTCGGTGGTTCTGCTTGGGGTGCCGGTACTGTCGCTAATGGTGATGGTAGCAGACAAGTCTCTCAAAAGGAACTTGAAATTGCCCATACCCAAGGTGAGAACTTTGGTAAGATCATCTCTGCCTATGTCGCTGGTAAGACTGCTTGAATGATGTACCCTCTACCGTGTATGTGCCATCCAAAAAAAGCACGAGATGCAAACCTTTAAACTACGCATTACTTATTCAACCCTCCACACCACACCATTCAACCACGGCCTATGTATTTAAAAAAAAAAGTCTAGAAGTGATTCTTTTATACGCCATCCCTTTTTTGCATATTTTAAAACTTAATTACAATACATAATCATTATCATGAGCTATCCATGTTTGTTGAACATGATGCTTTTTTAAAAAAAATAATTAAAAAACTGTTCTTTCGTTTTGTTTCCCCGCTCCATTGTACAGAAACTAGAAAGAATCACCTTTGTTTGTTCTTTACGTGGATACATTCCATGGATTGAAAGTGCACAACAGGATAGGCAGAAATAAGTTTCGTTCTCTCTTTGAATCAGCCTCGCGCCTCATGTTCTCATTAGTACAGTATGTAACACAAACACACGCGCGGTAGGTTAGTAAACAAACACAGCAGTAATGTAAGTTTATAAATAATAAGCATTTGGAATGAAACATGGTTTAACGATCAAGAGGGAATAAACCGAAATAAGTAAAGAGGGGGGGGGTATAAGTATTACTTTACAATTAGTATGAACAGGGTTTGGGCTTGTATTTCGTTGAGAAAATCAACAATAAATAAGTAAAATCGAGGGGAAAAAAAAAAATAGAAGAAAGTCTATTCTAAGGAAAATCATGATGGACTCGGTTTGTTGGACTTTACTGAGATGTTTGCCGTTGCTGCTGGTGCTGTTGCCGGTGCTGTCAAGATATCACCGCAATGGAATGAAACGTGAGGGATTTCCATAAAAAAATGAAATTCGCTGCTTGTATTTTCTTGTTGTTCAACATATGTCAAAGGTAAAGGTGGTGGTTGTTGTTGCAAATGTCCTGATAGGGCACGATTTTTTGTTTTCTTTTTTAAATTGGGGACGATAGGCGTGGTGGTTGATGGAAGCGTATGAGAAGAAGGCGATGAAGAAGGGGATGAAGATGAAGAGGAGGAGGAAGAAGAGGAGGGTGGTGGTGGTGGTGCTACTGTTGCTGTTTTTAGCGGCATCGTGGTCTCCCATACTCCTTCTTCCTTGTTATGGTCTTTCAACGTTGTTGCCACGTTACTTCCATCACCACAACGTTGTCTTTTCTTGAAATGATCCGTCTTCATGGACAAGGGTCTTTTTTCATTATGTAACTTTAAGCTATTTGATCAAAAAAAAGGGGTGCTTGAGATGAGTCACAGTGATTGTATTGTCTTGCAAGAGGGAGCCCTATACCCATATACTTTACTATAATCCACATGCATTACATAAAGAAGATCCATCCGTGTCTCTTCTCCATAACGGAGTCGTGCATGTACCGCAATTTGAGCATTGCATATTCGGCGGGCGGTAATGGGTCGTCCCCCGTGTCGTTGGATGGCACGAGCTTTCACTCATCTTGTCCACGCGCTCGTTGTTTCTGCTACTACCATCATCACTACGATGGCTGTTGCTGTTGCTGCTGCTGCTACAAGTGCTATTCCTCCTTCTCCTCCATGGACGACTCGGATGATCGTTGGCACGTTCTGAACTCTTGTGTTTACCAAGATGACTCTCCTCTTTTTTTAACGATGCTTGATGTGGTTTCAAATATTTCGGTCTTGGTACCTTGTGAAGCTTGAAACTACATTGTGCAAAAGTAAAAAGAAAAGAGGGGGCGGGGTGTCATTTAGCATTCATGGTTCCTCTACCAAAAAAACACATACACACAAACTGAGTGAGAAAAGAGAGATGACTCACTATAGACCACAAGCATTACAAAGTAATTCATCCTTTGCTGATCTCCTCCACAGTGGAGTAGACGTTGCTTGACAATTACTACATTGTGGGCTAGGATGATGGATGGCTGTGGAAGTCATGTCTTTTTTATCGCTTTTTCTGTTGGATAAAGTCGTTGTCAAACGACGCCTAGGACGATGGCGAGTCTCCACTTGCGTAGAATGCGTAGTGATATGGACTGACGCAGTTGAAGAGGAGGTAGAGGGTGGTTGTACAGCAGAGCATGCTGGAGAAGTAAAAACCGCCACTGAAGTGGAGGAGGGTTGGTGACGGGCCATATCAGTGACGGTAGCATTGGCTGTAGCAGTAGGAGGAGAAGGAGGAGAAGGAGGAGAAGGGGGAGGAGGAGGAGGAGGCGTAGATGCTCTGGACGTGGGAAGTGACTTTGATGAGGGTCGAAGGCGAGTGTTTTTGTTTTCCAGTTGAGGCTGCGGTTGCGAGAGACCATACTGTGGTTGACAAAGAGTCTGGTTGAATGCCGTCGATGGGCTGGATAGGGTGGATGGAAAGACGATAGGGCAGGGGATTGGATCTGTAGAGTAACCCTGTCGATTCGTATCGTGTTCCTGTGGATAAAAAGGCGGTGGATACGTTTGCATCATATCTAGCATGTGGACATCTTTTCCTTGAACGTCTTCTTGTTCTTCCGCAAAGGCAGGGGTAGGGAAGAAAGTAGTTGATTGTAAGAAAGGCGTATTAGGTGTCGAATGGATCATGGTAGGATAAGGATCGGCTCTAGATGGTTCAGAGAGTGTCGGCATTGTAGATGCTGACAGAGGCTGAGAGGCGTTCCGAGGATCCATCCACGCCATTTCTGTGGGTGGTGCTACGGCGGCTGCTACGGCTGCTGTCACAGCTTTTACCTGTTGAGTTACTCTACTTGGTAATTGTAATTTATCGGTGGCAGCAACGAGTGATTGTTGTGGAAGGTTGTCCAATGTCTTATTTTGGGGCGTATGATGGTTGGCAGAAGGTAGAAATGCTGCCAAAGCAGAACTACGAGAAGTGGTCGTCGTAGGCTGGTGTATACCTGTTCCAAAGGTAGACATAGAGTGGGCGACAGATGCATCGATGTTATTATTATGGATGGGATAAGGAGAAGGGTGATAGGCATCATTGGTGTTGGTAGTAGGTGGATGAGCGGCATCGTACAGGGTTGTTGTAGCAGAAGGGTACATGTGGTAGTGTTGTTGCTGGAGTAGGGTTGGATCCATGTGCCTATTCAGGTGGGTACCGTCTACTGTGGGGACGGCAGAAGAGAGAAAACAAGCTTGCCTAGGTGAGCTTTCTGTGGAAACGGTTGCTGTCACAGGTGTAGTGATACTGTGACAAAGGTTCTGCTCCATGACTCCGAGTACTGTTGCTGCAGTAGCTGCAGCAGCAGCAGCGTTCAATGGATGGACGTCATTCCATGGCGGATGCAGGGTGGTTGTGTCGAAAGGATGGGATGAAAAAGAGGATGGAAGGCTTTGATTGTTGTCACTAGCCATTGGCCAAGATTGATGAATAATGCTATCTATTTCTTGTTCGTTTTCAGAAAGTGATTTAAAGTATGCTTGTACTTTTTTGTTTTTATCCTCGTCGAAAATATCTTTTAGCTCGATCATTCGATTTTTTGCTTGATCCGGAGGAGTGAATGGATACAGTGTCAACTCTTGTCCTTTTTTATGTTGCCACTGTGGGCAAGCAGTTGCCGTAGTAGCCTTGTGGGGATGAGGATGACGATCATCAAAAACATGCTGGTCTGTTGCTTGTTTTCTCTGTTGCAAGCATAACTTTCGTCTATAGTCTGCTTCTGCTGTGAGAGTGTCGATAGGAAGCTGCTGTGACGATAGGTCTGCCATAGTAACATGACTGTCCGTGCCATTTCTTCTCCTGGTCTTTGAGATGTTGTGAGCAAACCACAAGCGCCAAGACAAATTTTCTAATCGAGGACCATTCTCCAAAGAATCTCTGACTTTGGTGCATACTTTCCATGTTTTTGATAGATCCTCTTCGGAAGAAGTCTCCGTGATACTACTTAGAAAAGGTAGTAGAGAAGTACATGACTGTAATCGACGATCGATAGCCTTCTTTTGATGATGATGATGACTGTTATTGCCGCTGCTCTCTTCCTTGATTTTCAACACAATAGGAGCCATCGTGTTTGTTACAAGGTAAGTTGACTTTGATTGTAATGGGTAAAGTGTGAAGCAAAAGAAAGAAGCAAGAAAAGATAACACTATGTTTGAGGGATAAGAAAACCCAGAATGCATCAATAGAAGAAGTAGAGGTGTAACGCTACAGTATCTGTCTGCTCTTTCTAATTTTTTGATTTCGGAGAGACAACCTAAAACGTAAGGGGCGGTGGGGGGGGGCGGGGATGGGGGTGGCGACCAGTACTTTAGGATGAAGTCTGCACAAACAAAACAAGAGGTTGTTGCATGTCCATTTGTAGACATTTGGCGTCGATTCATTAAAATAAAAACAGGCCACGGTAATCTATACATATATACCCATCTATAGATAAGCATGCACATCACAGACACAATCCTACCTTCCCCAGCGTAACACAAAAATTAAAAAAAAAGTTAGAGTTTCTTCGGTAAAAGCAAATTGCCATTATGGGTTGCAAGTTTTTGATAAAAAAAGCGGCTGGATATACAGAAAAGAGGTGTCGTTCATTGCCGGCGCTAGAAAATATGCAGTAGAGATGAATTCACGCAATGGAAAAGCGCCAAAATGTGCTCCTTTTTTCCTTTCTCACATCATCGGGTAAAGTGAACTATTTGAAAAAGGGTCTGGTTTTCAATTTTCGTGTGTGTGTGTGGGGGGTAGGGGGGTAGGGAAAGGCAAAGGTTATTTACGTAGTTGGAAGCTCAATGTTGGCTCTCTTTTGGAAAATATGTGGATAACTACCCCAGTTCTTACTGCCACAAGTTTCATTGTGAACCGAACCTTTTTTTTTTTTTTTCATTGCTGATCAATAATAAAAAATACAGTATTTTGGAACGAATTAAAATGATTTAGCTTATCTTTTTTTGAATGAAATAGAAAAAAAATTTAAACAAAAGAGCTTTTACTTTTTGAGAGGAACAGAAATTCGTGTTTAGCTTTTTTATCTGTTTTGATCTGATAAAGACTGAAGTATTCGGATACTGTCGTGAGCAGTACCTATGCAATAGGTTGATTCTATGTGTGAATCATGACATCTTAGTAATGATGATAACCAATTAGGTTCAACTATTTTGGCAAATGTGCATCGAGCTTATGTTATTCAAGTATATCATCACTGAGATAATTTTGAAACACGCACTTTTATCCAATTGAAGGAACATGTGTTTTGTCATGGTAAAGAATGACAAACTGTCTGGCAGCGGGAAGTTGACGCATCTTTGAATAGATGGTAATAGCGTTGTCGACTTGGGTCAAACAAAGGAAGACCGACTGAATTTCAGCACTATGAAAAAAAAGATCACCCTAGCCAATACAAGAGATTTAGATCATGACAGGTAAAAAGTCCAAGATAAATCCCTATTTGTCTCCAAACTGAAGCTTTTTTTTGTCTAAACCTTTTATTTTCTTTACCCCAAAAAAGGGTAAGCTAACATCTGGGAGTTGATTTTTTATTCGTCCAAACGAAAACCCAACGTCCTGAATTTCAGAAAGTAGAACAACTGTATCCGTGCGCTGCTTGGGAAAAATGAAGATCAATTTAAAAAAAGTTTATTTGGGAATGTTTTTATATGAACTAGACACTTGTTGAGCCAATAAACCAGCTGCATGTATTTGGTCCTTCTTGGTATTATTATTACTTCCAGCACCAGCTGCAGTGGTATTACCTGCTGCTTCATCTAATAAGGAGGAGGCTGTTACGGAGGAAGAAGCAGTCGAAGCATTTGTGCTATTGAAAGAGGACGACTTGGATTCCGATTTAGACAGAGATTCTATATACTCTTCTATACGATTTGTCAGTACTTTTAATGCGATTTGATTTTCAACGCCTCTTGGAATAACAATATCAGCATTCTTTTTAGAGGGCAAGATAAATTCTTCATACATAGGCTTGACCTTTTCCACATATTCCATAAGGACCTCTTTGATAGTGAGGACCTGTCCATTTCTGACCTTGGTCTTGCGAACTCTACGAGCAAGTCTTTCGTCACTATCTTCATCAATAAAGACCTTCATAAACATGAGGTCGGATAATTCTTTGTCGTAGAGTAAAAGTGTGCCTTCTATAAGCAACACATCCACTGGTTCCATCACACGTGTCCCTTTTCTATGATGGAAAAAAGAAAGATGGGACAAATTTAATCAAGGGTTGGTATCCAAAGAGGTGCTAATAAACTGTACCTTGTATGGCTGGATGCGTCCCATTCAGGTACAGTGGTGGATTTGCCTGCCAAGATAGAGCGAACAGTTTCCTTTAAAAGTTCCATATCGAAAGCATCTGATGTATAGAAGATGAGTATCCAGAGTATGATCTCTGTCTCTCTTTGTATTGATTTATATTACCTGGATGATCAGAGTAGAATTCACCAGCTTCGTATTTGATACGTTCTTTCGGTGTCAATTCACGATAAAATTGCGTCAAACTCAACAAAGCTACTTTGGTAGCATACTTGTTTAAGCGAGAGGTTAATGCCTCACAAAACGCTTTCTAAAAAAAGGAAACTCGTTTGCATCATCGACAACCTTTTTGTATCACTTTTTTTAAAAATTAAATTACCTTTCCAGAGTCAGCACCACCTGCTATGGCAATGGCCATAGGCGTCTTTAAGGAAACTTTAAAATAACTATCAAAGACATAGGTGAGTCATCCATAGTTATCTTGTCAAGATCAAGTATGGCATGAGGTCATCTGGGATTCTTTACTTTGGATCAGCATATTTCGTTGGATCGATCGACATGTTTTCTTTTTCGTGATGGGCTTTTATTGCTGATGACTAAAAAAAGGGGATTTAGAAGCTTTTCTTTTTTTGGCTTGCGTTTGGGTTGTGGAAGCTCTATACCTACTTTTTAGAAGGTTGATTTCTTTGAAAGCGCAAAATAAAAAAAAAAAAAAAAAAAAAATAGTAGAGCTCTCATTTGTCCTTTTCCTTTCTGTCGTTGGTGCAGTGCTCCCGCCCTCTTTTGAAAAAAGCCAGACCGCTTTTTTTTCGCGCATTTTTTTAGTTCAAGTTGAACCCTAATTTTTGATCAGCTTGTTTGAGAACAATTGCTGACTTGAAAAATGGCTTAGCCCACTCTTCTGAAAATAAGTCTAGCAAATGGATGGTAAGGACTCTTTATGGATGCTCAGATGAGTGGTCTGACGTTCTTTATTTGGTCCCTATTGAGCGTGGAAGCACTTTCTTAAAATAAAGTGACAGTCAGACAGTGGTTCAAAATGGGTCGACATCGGATTTCCCCGCTTTATCCAATAAAAATGGTGCAAGTAATGGATTGATTTTTCTGAATGGGTGTGCCTCATTTTTAGTGTAACTGAAGGGCAACAACATCATTTAATAATTTTTTTTTCTTTTTTAGAATTGCATTAATTTGGCATGGCGTATTTTTTTGATGACAAAAAGATATAGGAAATTTTATTCATAGCAAAAAGAATTTCTTTACATTTCGTCCATTTCTTCTACTACTTTTGCTTCTTTTTTCCACTTTTTGTTCACTTTTTTCTTTTTTTTTTTTTTCAAAAAAGAGCATTTTAAAGCACTATTTTTCTCTGACTTGGTTTTTTTTTTTTTTTTTGGGCACCCCTTAGAAAAAAAAAATTATCTGATTTTTTTCAAAAGAAAAAAAAACCCCACATTTTTCTTTTTTTTTTTTTTTTTTAGAAAAAGTTACTACTCCTTTATTTTCTTTTTCAATAGACTTTTTTTTTTTTTTTTTTTTATTTTTCCCTATCACAGCAGATTATCTATACCTTTTACATCCCTATTTGACAACATCATTTTAAAAACCTTAAAAAATAACAACAACAACAACAACAGATAGAGACACAGACAGTTTCTCAATGATGATCAGTGATCCAGCACCATTTACAAACGCATTCAATTTTAACGACATGCAACGAGTCATTCACCCACTTTCAGCTTCCCCTGGTTCTTCCGCTCTTTTTCGTACAACATCCCCTGTATTGAACATAACAATGACAAATCAACAACAGCCACCGTCTTGTTCAGTCTCCACTACGACTCATGCTGCTTCTACTTCATTTATGGATGATGTGACAACTATTTTCGTGGTAGGATTCCCTGAAGATATGGCCGAGCGGGAATTTCAAAATATGTTTACTTTTTGTCATGGATTTGAAGCTGCTTCATTAAAATGGCATTGTAAAGATCAGACAGAAGAAGATAATGCTTCTACCACTACCGCTATGACCGTGACAACCACCCTACCTCATGGTACTTGTTCTTCTTCTTCTACTACTGCTGCTGCTGCTGGTGGTGCTGCTGCTTCGGCTAATAATAAAAAACAAATGGTATGTGTGTACGTCTAAATTAGAATTATTTTTTTTTTTTTTTTTTTTTTTTTTTTTTGTGACAGGGGCACTCACGCAAATGATATAATCCTATTTTTCTATAGATTGGTTTCGCTCGATTCAAAACAAGATTAGAAGCACTGGAAGCCATTGAAGTGTTGAGTGGTAAGAAAATAGATCAAGAAAAAGGCACTGTCTTGAAGGCTGAAATGGCCAAAAAAAACTTGCACATCAAACGAGGTTCTCAACAACAGCAGCAGCAACAACAACAACAAGGCTCTTCTACATCTACTGTTTCTTCTCTGACAACGACACCCACCTCTACTATTTCTACTGCCTCTAGTCTTGCTACGGAGACTGCTGTTGGCGCTGGCCCTGGTCATAGTCATGGTTTAGTTGCTGCTGCTGCTGCTGCTACTGCTGCTACTACCGCCACGAATCATACCGTGGCTGGTACTACTACTACTACCAGCACAACGACAAGTGATCTCAAGTCTTTGGAGACCCTTGGAACTGCAAAACATCAAACTTGCGCAAGATATGAAAATTTTTCACCTTTGCCAAGCGATTTACTCTCTCCTCAAGATTTTAAATCGGATCTTTTTATTGATTCTATCATTCATACGGCTACAGGTGCTATCAATGATACACCGCCCTCTTCTACTTTATTTGGTAATTTCCGTTCTTCTTTATCGTTTGATGACCATTTCTCTCAAGACCTAGGCTTTTTACCAACGGCTTCTCGTTCGACAAACTATACAACAGCAAGTCAACATCAACCCTCACATCCTTACTATGCAGCATTCCATTCCAATAACTCTGCCACTATGGACAGTCCAACGCATCACAATTACTCCTCCATTCAAAACCCTCCATTTCAATCCAAATTTTCAAAGCTCATGATGACAGGCAGTGCTACCCATAACCACCTTGACTATTTGTCCAAATCTTCACCACAAAGTCACGATGGCATGAACCAGGGTTTAACTAGCAGTACCTCTATGCTTGAACATGAATTCTTGCGTCTAGGTCAGCCATCGCCTCATCTTCATTCAATGTATAGTAACATGCATCATCTCCAGCCTCCTCCTCCTCCTTATCAGCAACAACAACAACAACAACAACAACAACAACAACAGCAACAACATTCCCAACCTCATCCTCATTCACATGCTCATAGTAACAGCAGTCCTCATCTTCCACCTCATTCTATCCATTTTGATTTGATCCGCTCTCCTAGTTTCTCTTCACCTATTCAACGTCTTGGCACGAGCATCACCCATGGTACACCGACGACTACTTCTCCTCCTCCTCCTCCTACTACCACCACCAGTACGAGTACGACTGCTCCTATGTCGGCAATGTCACATACAACGAGTAACAACAACAACAGCAACAACAACAACAACAATACAAATCCTGCAGACCAAAATCCTCCTTGCAATACACTCTATGTGGGTAATTTACCTCCCAACACGTCTGAAGAAGAATTGAGACACATCTTTTCTGTTAAAAGAGGGTATCGTCGTATGTGTTTCCGTACCAAACCGCAAGGACCCATGTGTTTTGTTGAATTTGATGATATTCATTTTGCTACTCAAGCTTTGAATGATTTACAAGGCTATCAGTTATCAAATTCTGCCAAAGGTGGTATTCGATTATCTTATTCTAAAAATCCATTATTCATCAAACCACCACCTCAAACACAACCACCATCTAATATCAACCATCATCATCATCATCAACATCATCCACAGCATCATCATCATAACAATAACAGTCATCACTCTCATAAGCAACAACATAATATATTAATGTCTACTGCGGCTACAGCTACAGCAACTGCTCATGCTGTCTTTGATGCTTAAAGTATACTTAATTTTTGCACAACCTTGGAAAATCTTAGAACATATTAATTATACATATAATATAATCCCACTGAATTTTGCACACACACACACACACACACACACATATAAATATAATCGATATTACTGATTTTTTGAAAAAGTAATCTAATCCTTCCCTTTGTTCTTTTTCCTCCCCATCAGAAACCCTCTACTCTCTCTACGTTTGTTTTCGACTTTTAACAATTTCAAAAAAAAAAAAAAACTTTTACTTTTTTCAAAAAATAAAAAAAAAAAACCATTTAGATGCAACTCACGTTCCTAAGGGTTACTCAAAAAAGTCGCTTGAGGAAAATCTACATTGTTATAAAGTTAACCTTTGGGCGAGGGGGTTTCTTTTTCCCTGCCCCTGCACGGCGCATCCTTTTTTTGGTTTTTAGTTTTTTTTTTGGCGGGAATTTCGGACTTATATCCTGTGCTACTTTTTTGATTGGTTCCTCAATAGATACGCAAAAAAAAAAAAGATCGCAGGTACACAGGCACCAGGACAAGAAAAAAAAAAAAAAAACCACAAAAGATAAAAGCGGCATTGTCCTCCCTCTTGTAACAAATGTCTATACGGATGTGTATGCACGCATGCACGCAAGCAGCAGGATCCTTGCTGAGATGAAAAGGTAGGTGCTAAGAAAGGGAAGATGCCCTTGTTTTATTTTGTATGAGTGTTGCCATCCATCTCTTTATGAGCCTTCATTGGACATCGAAAAGGATGAGGACCCATGAGAAAACCTTAACTGCTGTCCACTTATGTGTGGGAGGGGTGTCATCTTTGGACGCCACTTGATTTGAAACAAAGCTAAAATGATCAAAAATGGTTGTAAAGCATGGCTAGGGTCTTGTAGGTTCTCCATGTTTTCAATAATGTTATTTTAAATGTTATTTTCAATGAATACTTACATAATGACTCTTTCCCCTTTCTCTCCTGCTTTTCTGTCTGAACCAATCATACCTTTCATTCTTCTCCATTTTGTTGTCCATCCAGATCCATTATCCAATGAGACAATGGGGTTCAGAAGGACACTTTTTTCTTTTTAAAGCTGAGCTAAAAGACATTGGTTCAATCAAGAAAGGGCCTTGGTGAAACACAAGACTCTTATCAAAAGCAGACTCATTCTGAAGGAGGCAACATGTTCTTCCTCCAACGGCACCAAGGTCTTTCAAGTGATTTACGCTGTTTGTAGTGACGAGCTATGACCAAGATGATCCGATTGGCTGTACAGTTTGTTTTTTTTTCTGCTTTTCTGCACGCGTTGACACAATGGAAGCATGACCGTCATGGTACTGCTAATGGGGTATGTATCCCTTAGGCAGCTTTTCGTTTGGCCTTACAATCCAAGAATAGACTTACTATACCATGGACGGGTGTCATTTACCCGTCAGTGACAAGATATCTTTGCTCGACATCTTGAGCCTATCGCTTGTATGGGAATACTTTATACCTAGAATACTGTACTATTTCAGATAGTTGGCAAGTCGCGTCGCTATAGGGGTGTGCTTTTTCTTGGCTTTTTATTATTATCGGATGATGAGATTTTACTTTTTGTTCTATTTTAAATGACACAGCTTGAACACGGTATGTACGCTAAGCAAAAAAACAAGAACAAAAAAAACCCCATTGTATTGTGATATGGCATCACATGCTGCACTTGTAAGTGCTACCATCAACACGGATGAGCTCGTCACGAGAAAGAAAAACTCTATTTCCAGGAACCATTGTCAGTGCATTTCCCCCCCTTTGTTTACGTCAGCTGACGATGATGCGAGCAGTCGTTGATTTATAATGCTCGTTGGGAAACATCCTGTTGCTCTTGTATCCTTTCCTTCTCTCTCTCGCTCTCTGTGTGTCTTTGTCTATTCTAAATGCACTCTACAGATAAAAAAGACTGACAGATAACGTCTTTCTCCTCTTCTTCTTTTCCTTACCATTTCTCTTTTGTGTGTGTTTTTAGAAACATGATTTTTGAAACAGTCAATTGTCACGTTGACTCCTCTTTAGAGGTACTGCAGTTTTCTTCCTAAGCTACACTTATCGGTGCAGAAACGATTTACTTTTTATTGTTTGAAACTTGAAAAAGATGATTGATAGAGATTCGTTGGATAAAATGATGCTGGCAGATATAATAGAATACTGTCAAGAGAGAGGTCAGTCACTTCACTACCCTTCTCTGTCTCCTTCATTTGGGTTCTATCGTTAACAGCTGCTGATGCCCCCCCCCCACCTTCTTTTCATATTCATTTAGGCTTGCGAACAGAAGGAGCAAAGGCAGATCTTATAGAAGATCTTATCAGTTGGGTAACGTCCATCGATAGGCCTGTTTCTTTTTTGTGTACTATCTCATCTCTTCTCTTCTCGGATGATGACTTTATTAGAAAGAGAACCTGCAACTCGTGCCAGCGCCGTCTACACCCAAACTCTATACAGCCTTTGAACTCTTACCCAGCTCTTCGCTCACGTCTTCCACTCGATTGTCTCGTAGAAGAGAACAGCAGCGTCTTACACTCACGTCGAGGGATCTGTCCTTGTTGTTTTTGGACGATAAACATCCACAGTATGATATCCCCTTCAAAGCCTTGACGATCGGTAAAAAGATAGGAAGTGGAGGCTTTAAAGATTGCTACAAAGGTAAAAAAGAAGGAAGAAAAGGGAGGGATCTCGATGGTTAAAAAAAGTAGCCCATTTTTTTTTTCTCAATGGTCATACTCGTTCACGACGAAGAACAGGACACTATAGAGAGGTAAAAATCAAATTCTCTGCTAATAGCACACACTCACAAAAAAAGGGAGCTTGGGCCTTTTAAACGATCCGTTTTTCTGTTTCGTTATCGTGCTCTGCTCATGGTGACGAAAGGAGCCTGTTGTAGTAGGAGAATTGCGTTTGGCGCATTTCAGTCAGGTCGATTTGGAAGAAATAAAACACGAAATCAATGTCTTGAAGTAAGGAAGGGCCTCAAAAGGTCAAACCTAACAAAATGAGACTCAATGTTGTCTTTCTTTTTCAACATAGACAATTGAGACACGAGAATGTCGTACGCTTTATAGGCGTATGCACCGACCCTCAGCATCTAAGTATCATCACAGAATTATGTGCAAAAGGCGACCTTTTCGATGTCATTCGCAATTATAAAAAACCAAGTTTCTCGCAACTAGTGATGTATATGTATGATATAGCGTTAGGCGTATCCTATCTCCATACAAGAAGGTAAGTACCGTCATGTATCTATTTATGCTTACAATGGGTACATAAGCCAACACTATCTATCCCGAGAAAAGGCCCTCCATTATACATAGAGTGAGTTGATGAGACACATAACCATCGATACATTGCTGATTTGTTGTTGATTAACTTTGACATTTGATAACCCCATCAGGATCTAAAATCGATGAATATTCTGGTAACGTTTTGAACCATGACATTTTAACTGTAGTCAAATAGAACACATTCGACCTGAGTCATCTAGCTTGACTTTTTTTTTTAAAAAAAAACACGTTTATCAGATAACAGAGGAGGATAGGGCAAAAGTAAATGATTTTGGACTAGCCCGAATACGGCCCATGGCGAATATGCTAATGCATACCCATTGTGGTACACCCAACTGGTACGTTGCTTTCTGTTTTTCCATTCAACATATTCAACCATGCCGTTCTAAAACAATAAACTCACACTCTTCTTTTCGTATCTATTACCTAAGGCAAGGTAAGCATAGAATACAAACTTTCTTGTGAAAAGATCCTCAATAACAGCGCTTGATTGTTGTACTTGTTGTTAGCTCCAGAATATTGGTCAACAACGCCAAGCTATACAGAAAAGGTGGATGTAAAGTGCTAACAATGACATAGGCTCAATACTTTTTTGGTAGAAAAATAGGGACTAATGATTCCATTTGCATCTCTTCTTTTGCTATCAAAGGTATACGCTTGTGGGTTAATCTTTTGGGAAATTTTGACCTGGGGCGAATATGGATACCCATTCCAAGATTTGACAGAACATGCACTCTACAAAGCAGTAAAGGAGCATCATGTTCGCCCGCCCTTAGGAAAACTTAGCCAGATCTATCCTCATCAATTGCTACTGCTGATAATGGAAATGTGGGAAGGTGAACCCACGCTGGTAAAGGAGGGGAAAAGAAAAGGATCTTTTTGCTATGAAATGACGTTCATCTTAACACCATTCAATCACTCTGTTCACCATAGAGACCTTCCATGAATCAAGTAGTCGATACCTTATCAACCTATTTGAATTGAACACAGATGATTCTTCACACCCACCCCTCGGCCCAACCCAACAAAAGAAAAAAAGTATACTGTATCCCCCTTTCAACTGTAAAAGTGTTTTTTCCATTTCTCTATTTTTCTTTTCATCTATTTAATCTTCATGACAAAAATGAGCAGCTATATATGCATCCAAACTCGTCTCTGCATGAAAATCTGTCCACTTCTTAGCCTCTGCAATAAAAGCTGATCTGTTTGATTTGTATACTTTGGCAACTTCTGCATCCTGAGGTGAGTCCGGGTCAGGACTATCTAATAATGCTTGTATAGACATGAGTGCGATTCTTAATGTCATAGCAGGTGTCCAGTTATTCTTCAACACATCCTACACAGAATAGAATATTTGCCCCCAAGTCAAAACAAAAAAGTACTGGATGACACGCTTAAGCCTCCTTTGACAAACTCAGTGTCCTTACCAAGCAGATAACACCCTATACAAAATAATGAGAAAAAGATAAACGTTAACTGTCCCATTGGGTAGTCTATCAAAGCCATGAGGCCGCATCCAACATTCTAAATACTTACTGTTTGCGAGCTGACATTGGGATGATAGACTTTGGTTATGAATTTGATTTCTGGAGGTTCAAAAGGATGTCTTTCCTACACGACACCATTGCAAAGTTGGCCAATACAATCCATAGAAAAATTCTCTAGACAAAAAAAGGGTCATTTTTTCTTATTTACGTTCAACTGTATATCTAGTAAAAATGTTCCTCCTAAGAGTATTCAAAACGAAAGAGAACGCAATGTCAGCATGCAAAACGGCCAAGCAACTTTTACGTACATGCAAGGAAACTTTTCACTCATGTGGCTACCTTCATAAGGTGTCCCTGGTGGGCCAGTGATAGATGCTATGGAGTGATCTGGTAGAGAAGAGCGAATGAGATCAGTCATCTTTTGTTTTCCACAGATTGGCGCGTGATCTGCTCATTTACACAAGTTGCTTTCATTGGGTACGTAGATACGTATATTGGCTGTTTTGTCTTCTGTCACATCCTTAATCTCGTTGGCAACGCGCTTCATCATGTTGGGGATCATCTTCTCCAGATAGGCGGTGGTGGGGGAAAAAATAAAAAATCCAAAAGGGGAGAGGAGTAGCTCAGTGAAAAAAAAAAAAAAAAAGGCAATTGATTTTTTTTGAAGCATGATATGAGGGGCAGTGACTACCAGAAGGCTCATGATGATGTATCAGTTTATTGACAGATCAAAGTCCTGTCAATACATTGAAAGAGCATATTAAGAAAAAGGTAATCATCCAATAAATAAATGTGAATGTGCGTGGTCTCGAAAGGAATCAACAATACAAAATCCAAAAAAACTGAAAACGAGTGAATCAGAAACGAACAGTCTTTACAAAAGATAGAGCGTAGAAGCAATGGAAATCAAGAAGAGACCCATGATTGAGGACAGCTTATCGCTGTCAGCAGCAGAAGAGCTGCTGGGTAAGGTAAACTTGCCGTTGCCATTGTATTGGGTGGCTACATTAGGTCTAGGTTCATCCTCGTTCCAGGTACAATTGTCTTGTGTTGTTGTCTTGATAGGTTCATCCAGAACAATGTTACGGAGCCATCTACGTTGATAATCTCCTGTAGGCGCACTGGGATTAACGGCATTGATCATGTCTTCTAAAAGAGCATCTGCCATAGCCACAGGTGCTTCAAACCAACTATAACCACCCGAGGCTGTTAAAATACCGTCTTCACGGTAGACTTTTTTGTTAGCAATGAACTTGTAATTATTTTGATCGCTGTCACTGATGTTGTAATTCTTCAAAAAGGCTGTCATATTGGAGCCGATGAATGTTTCATCAATCAGAATATCGACGTCCTGAATCGCCTTGAGTAAGTCCGCCGAAGAGGAGAAAGTAAGTGTGCTGCTGTTCAGCATAGTGGCGCCTGCATCGTGCGTCAACCCAACCTTGTAAGACGCTTCACTTAAAATGTAACTAGCCGTGTTGTTGTTGTATTGACTGGGTGCATCATACGTTGTCCATGCAACGACAGGTCTGCGGTCGTAACCAGAGGCGGCATCCTTCAAACGATTGTAGTTGGAAATGATGGACTGAGTGATATTATTAGCGACTGCTTCCAAGTTGTAAAATGCTGCATAGTAAGAGATCCATGAAGAACGGCCCAAGACGTCAGGCTCATACGTCTGAGCAGTACTCACAGTGTTATTTTCAGTACTGTCCGTGCTGGTAGAGCTGAGCGAACCGAATTGTACTTGCACACTCTTCAATTGCTCATCCTGCAAAGTGAGGTTACGCGTAGATAGCTCGCTGATGTTGCCACTGTTCAAATATTTCTGGAAACATGGTGAGGCTACTAAACTTCCATCAGCAATCACCTTGATAGTTTCTGCTACGCCTATCATCTATAGCATGATTTCGAGTTTCATGCCAATGCTTGTTAATTTGCTTATTCTGTCTTAAGGTGGGAAATGAAGGTTTTAGTGTACTCTACCTCAAGATACGGTACAACTGTTGTCTCAACAGCTGCTGCCTTCGTAATAGGAATCTGGTAAATTTCAGTGTCATTTCCAAAATTGGTAGGTGAGGGTGTACCACATTGTACAAGAACATACGTTCCTCCAGTACGGCTGTTTTTCACAACCTTGTAATTATTGTGATATTCGATACTGAAATATTGTCCCTTATCTTCAGCTAAATTACAACAGTGAACCGTTAGGAGGGCCTTTAGAACTCTTGTTGCTTCACACGTATATTTTCGTTTTCTGTCAAAACTGACTTTCTACCTGTGTTCAATTTTTCCGGAAAGTAATCAACATTAGGGTCGTAAGTTTGGACACATTGCCCGTTCATCAAGTTAGAAGTAGGTGCTTGAGCAGTAATGCTTGAAATAGCAACAGTGGCAATAAGTAAGAGACTTGAGATTGTTGCAACCATTTGAAAAAGCTGCCCCAGAAGTTATAAAAACAAAGGAACAGATGAAAAGGAAAACCAACAGGTTTCACTCAAATTTCGTTTTTTATAACGCAGCAATTCATAGGAGAATCGAAATGAAAAATCGGTATTTCTTCCCTGTTCTTGCACTCTAATACCTATGAGGGCTATTATACTGTTCCAATAACTGAGTGGGCTTTTCATCACATCCACTGGTATTGCATCACAGCTTTTTGCGCACAAACTTGTCACACAGTTTGCGAAACCAAATCTGCTTGTGTTCAAAAAAGATGAAGTAGAAAAAACTCGCGTTCTAATAGTCAAACTCTATTGGCTTGTTGTTCATCTTGAACGACAGCTGATAGATTGCTCTCTGAATATAGATGGCATAGTGTAAAACGCAGTGGTATTGCATTCATTTTTATGTCTTCGGGCTTCTCGAACACGAGATTCAAGCACAAGAGTAACTTGTGAAAGCCTCTAGCTTTCAAATAAATATGCTACCATTAACGACACGAATGCCATGGAAGAAAATCTTTAACAATGTCCCAATTTAATCAACAAATGGATTTAACGATTCACTGCCAGCAGAAGCTTACTGTACAATGCAACAATTGCTTTTTGCCATTTTTAGTTGTTCTTAAAGAATGCAGTTTACCCCCCCCCCACACACTTTAAAAGTTCGGGCTGATGGGCATTGGCCGTGGTCTCTGTGACTTTCTTCGTCAGCCCTAGAATCCATGAAACATTTGGAGCTCACGGAAATTCTTAAATCTGTCTCTCCACTTATTACAAATACTCTATTTCTTAAAATTTCAAGCTATGACTTCTAGAATAGTATTTTCTCAATTAAGACGTATCACAACAACACGTACTTCCCTTCTTACTCAAAGAGGATGCCAAAACTTACGACGCAACATAACGATTCAATCGAGACCATGGCTCCACAGAGCTAAACCGCAGCATATACCCTCATTACTTGGACGTCAGCAAGGTAAGTCATTAACGTACAGTATATACTATAGTGTATCGAGTTCTGTTGAAACCAGCATCTCAAATCATGTATCTTTATTCCACTTTTAAACAAAGTTCGCACCATGTTCATTCAAACTGAATCAACACCCAATGCAGATTCAATCAAATTTATCCCCGGGGAAACAGTATTAGGCAGTGGTACAGCAGAATTTCTGGATACTCGTGCTTCTATGAAATCACCGCTAGCAAAACAGCTCTTTCAAATTGATGGTGTAAAAGGAGTGTTTTTCGGCCCAGATTTTATCACTATCTCAAAAGAAGAGACCGCAGAATGGCAGCTCATGAAACCAGATGTTTACGCAGCCATTATGGATCATTATGCTTCGGGACAACCTATGATGTATAATGAAGATGATCTGGCTGCGCAAGATACTACCATTTTACCTGATGATCCTGAAGAAGTACAGATGATCAAGGAGCTATTAGATACTCGTATTCGTCCCTCTATTCAAGAAGATGGAGGAGATATTGAATATTGCGGATTCGAGAACGGCATTGTAAAGTTAAAACTGAAGGGTAGTTGTAGAGGGTGCGATAGCGCGACGATCACACTGAAGAATGGCATTGAAAATATGTTGATGCACTATATTCCTGAAGTTCAAGGCGTTGAACAAATCATTGATGAGCATGAGAAAGTTGCCCTTCAAGAATTCGACAAACTCGAAATAAAGCTGCGTGAAGAATAAATTACATTGTAGCCTATCTACTTTTGTATACTATCCAAACCACTTTTTTTCATGTACAGTTGCCTTTTTTTTTATTGTAAATCTATCAGTCCTTCTCCAAATTGATATTGTTTCCGAATTTACTATACAATTCCTTCTTTAATGACTCCATTTTTTCATGGATAGCATCAATTTGATATTTGGTATCTTCAATTTCCGTTTCCAGTTTCGCTGAGTCTTTCTCCACTCTTTCGATAGCTTCTGACGCACTGACATGTACAAAAGCATCACCGACTTTATATCTGACAGCTTCATCCTCATCAGCTAGTTCCAATTCCATTGCCACATCATCCAAATATTCTTTTTCTTGCTGTATTCGATAAGACAACCTGTCAGTGCGATGCTTGCGTTTAGTGTCTTCATTTTCGTCCTACCTTTAGTTTTTCGTATTGAATTTCAAGGTCGTCGATCTTTGCATTGTATCTACTGAATTCGTTAATATGTTGTTGATCCACCCATGTTACTTCAACATCTCCCGCTGACTCCTCTTTCTCATTTAACTATGGATGGCAAAATCAGTTATATAAGCATCCGCTTGTTCCATTTGCAGTCAGTCTTTATTGTGCGTTAATATTGTACCATTCTGATATTTGACATGTTTGCTATAACTCTTTTGAAAAAGAAAAAAGAAAAAATCGCGTTACTTTCTGATCATTTAAGATGAAGCCCATTTTTAATCTACGCTTCTGACCTATCTTTGATTCGAGTCAGTTTCAAGGCACAGATTCTGTTCATAACACCCGCTGATAAAAAAAGATCACCGCTACATAATCACATTATAGTAGCACACAGTATCCTATTTGAATGGGACTTTACAATAGACTATGTTTAAAAGGATTTTAATTATTGAAAGATCAGTATAAAAAGTTGATTTCCAATCTGTATGCGTAAAGTTCACAGGCATTAAGCTTGCAGATGAAGTCTTCCGTGTCAAACAGAATATTGCGATAATGTATGATAAATAAAATATAAAGAAAGGGTATAATGGCAAATTAACATAACAATAACATATGAAGGAGAATGAAGAGTTTGCCAATAGAGAAAAAAATAATGGATATTATGCTTATAGACGAAGTTTAGCGTGCTTGTTATCCATCTGCTGGATCAGGAACGTCTCCACCACGGAAAAGATAGATCATTTCACGTAAACCGAGACGAGCAACAGGCCTACGGGCACCTTCACCCAAGACACCGTCAGAAATCGCCTGCCGAATGAATGAGATATGAGTGATTTCAAATCATTTAATTTTTTTTTTTTTTTTTTTTTTTTTTGGTTATATGAGACAGTCATTTACCTGCTTCTTCTTTTGAAGTTCTAAAATACGATCTTCTACAGTATCCTTGATAAAGATACGATGCACATCGACAGCCTTTTGCTGACCAATACGATGCACACGATCAATGGCTTGATTTTCAAGGGCAGGATTCCACCAAATATCCATCAAAATCACACGATTGGCACAGGTCAAGTTCAAACCAAGAGAACCACATTTTGTGGAAACAAGCATAACTCGGTATTCAGGATCATCGTAGAATTTAGTGACTGTACTGGCACGCTCTTGTATATTCATAGAACCGTCATATCTGAGGAACTTGAAGCCTCTATCCTTTAATGGCTGTTCAATTAAGTCAAGCTACGAACAAATATTGTCCATCAGAAACGCTATTACAGTACTTTGTCAAAGTGTAAAGTTGTGATTGTAGGAGTACTTACGAAACCAGTAAATTGAGAAAAGACAATCGTCTTATCTTGTCCATCGCTATCATCATTGGTATCTTCCAGAATTTCAAGCATTTTGTCAATTTTAGCACTTGAAATGTACTCTTGAACTTTCTGCAAGGACTCCTTTTCCTTCTTTGCCTCTTCCGCCTTGTTTGCTTCTTCATCGTCTTCGGATTCCTTGAGCAATTCAGGAGCATGGACTTTACAAAAGATTTCCACCGAGATAGAGTTCTGTTTACTCATTTCCCCACGACATTGGGGACAACGTTTGGGACCACCATCATTTGTGTTGATATAACTATCTAAACATTCTTTACAAAGAATATGGCCACAACTTTTGTTGATTTGTGCGTCAACAGCAATATCCATACAAATAGGACATTCAATTTCGCTTAGTGTGGCGCTCTCGCTTAATAAACGACTAACAACTTCGGGTTTCATAGTCGAAGCTGCTTTCTTTTGGTCTTCTATATTGACTTCCGTCTCCGCCGTTGGATCTTCGCCTTCTTCAACGGTCAAATGCGGATGCAAACACGCCTGACGCAAACGAAGCAAAAGAACCAACACTGAAGAGTAATTTTTCATGACTGTACCGGCTTGCATGTACTTGTTAAATCTTCGCTGAGCTCGATTGTTAACGTATTCATAATGAGTTCTTTCATCGGGTGTGAAATCGATATGGGTCATATGGACGTTTCTTTCCGGTAGATCTAGGATTGGACGACCATCAATCATAGCTTTCTTGGAACGACGAAGTGAAATGGCTTTCATTAAAACATGAGCAACCTTAATGGCCTTCCTATGGTTGCCAGCTTTCATAGGCTTACAAATTGTATCTCTGAATTCTTCCCATTCACAAAAAGGTCTGATACGCAAGAATTTAATCAAGGAATACAATTCTTCAATTTTGTTTTGTATGGGTGTGGCTGTCATACACCATCTGTAAGAAGCGTCAAGTTGGTAACTAGTAGACCATAATATAAAAAAAGTTAGAAATAGCACAGAAAACGATATCTTTAAGCATAATGCTCGCTTTACCAACCACGCGCGGAAAGAGTTGCCTTATTTTTGATCGTGTGCGCCTCGTCAAGAACTACTCTATGGAATTTGACTTTTGAAAAGGGTCCCAAACATCTCTCATGGAAATCACCAGCAGTAACCGCATAAGAGGAAATGATAACTTCAAGTGAAAGAAAGAAAAAGAAAAAAGAAGTTCATATATCAGCTGTATGAAATAGAAAAAGATACGGATATTTTGATTTGCTTACCATCGTAAAGAGAGAGGACATAAGGATTTTTGGTTCTGTTGACACCATGGTATACCAAAACTTTCAAGCGAGGTTCGGTCTTGGATTCAATCTCTCTGCGCCACTGATCCATCAGAGAAACAGGACAGACAATCAATGTTGCTTTTATATAGAGCTCGTCTTCCCTCACTTCCGTGCATTTCCTGGAAATGATACCATGATCCACTCGCGTGGCTTTTGTACAAGGACGTGAAACGATAAGGGCTAACGCTTGAATTGTCTACGTTTAAAATGCCATTACAAAAATTAATACACATGTCGAGTCATGGCTTAAGTTTGTTACAAACGGCTCTCCAATCTGTACCTTTCCTAAGCCCATGTCGTCAGCCAAAATGCCACCTTTATTACTGGACTCTTCCATTTTGGTCATCCATTGTAAACCAATCTTTTGGTGCTCTAACAAGTTGATAGATAAACCATCTGGGGTTCCTGATCTTTCTTCAGGAGGCGGAGGATGATCATCATTAACATTCATCAGCAGTTCTCTGAGTTCTCTTTCAGCATCCTCTCCATTCAGTGGTTGTTCCCCCTTGGGCATAGAACGAATCATTGTTCGAAGGTGAGCCATCTCTGCCATACGAGAAGACTGAGGGACATTACCGTTGAAATAGGGATGGAAAACTCTAGAACCACTCATATTGGGGATGGTAGGTGTTGTACCTCTGTTCCATGTATGAAACGAGCCGCTACTGGCTTCTACTTCGACTGCAGCAGCGGCGCCTCTCCTGGCCAACTCTAAACTGTTGAATGCATAAGGTCGTGAATTCCAAGCATCACCACTAAGATAATCAACTATATCGTAATCGATTTCATCACTTTCGTCAGAATCACTAACGATGGCGTAAATATCGTTTTCATCAGTTAAATCAATCACATTATCGTCGTCGTCATTAATTTCGATTATATTTGATGTGGATTGACTATCTAGTCTTAGTTTCTTCATATCGGATAGCTCGTCCTCGTCCATTTTACGTTTCAAAGAAGCGTTTGATAAATCATTTTCTGCTGCCGATAAAATAGATGGGAGAGGCGTAGAAGAAGATGAGGCGATAGCTGAGGACGATTGGTTGAGTGAAGACGATGCGCCTTGATGTTCGATATCAAATTGACGCTGTAGTTGGGTAGCAACCTCATAATCGCGTTTTTGTTCGGCTTCTAAGCGCTTAGCAATCTCTTGCTGTTGCCTTATTTCTTCAAAGTCAATTCCTAATTGCTTTAGTTCATCAGGATTATCTAAGCCTGCCTCTACAAAAAAAGCATAAGCGTCATCGTCTAGATTGATACTGTTTTCAGCAGTGGCGCCAGGCTCCTGTTTATTTTTATCTTTCTTTGTAAACGTTCGAGATGTTCCATCATAACTGTTGTTCTCAAAATCATTCACATCGTCGTCAAAATCATTGATAAAATCATATTCTTCTTTTGTTAAATCAAGAATCAAGCTGGAGTTGCCTGGGCTGTCTGGGGCTGTATTATACTCTTGGGAGTCTCTTGTTGTGTTTAGAGCATTTTCGCTATCTGACATTTCAGAAACTGGTCTTGTAGGACTAGTCATGATTTGAGCTTTGAATCGTAGTAAAGAATCAAGAATTCTTTACTTATCGGTAAAAAGTTGCCCACTGCTACGCAAACGAAGAAAGGATTTCCAATTTCTCAACAGCGTTGAAAAAAAAAAAAAAACCAAAAAAACTGAGTTTCAAAAGGCACCTTTTTTTTTGTTGTAGAGCTTCCTTTCTGTCATCAACATAAATAGTGGGGAAAACGACATAGAAAGCAAAGACAAATTGCAGCTCGTGGCATTACGATCTTCCAACGCAGTAGGTTCAATTGAAAAACGAAAAAGATTTTCATACAGTCTCGTCAACTACTACATACCAGGAAAGTTTCCAATTTTTTCAATGTACCTAATCCACGAAGAACTTTTGTACAGTTTTTCAAACGAAAATCCTATTGAATCTTAGCCTTCTACAAGCAGGAGCAGTATTGAAAATAACACTTTGTTCAATTCAATAGTGATGAATGAAGCTACAGGATGAATCACCAAAAAAATCAGCATGGATAGGATTGTTGGAGACTTGCATTTAAGCGACTCGGCAGGTCGAAAATGTAGGTCTTGGTTTTTGGTATGTGATGGATCAGGGCAGCTCAAACAATGAAAAGGTATAACTGTTGGAAAACCATTTCAACAGAAAAGAAAGAGTTATACAGCAAAGAATTTACTAGCGATACGATCAATGTAGGGCTGAATCACCAATCAATGGCATAGTACTTCCATTGCAAGCACAGGTATATTACATTATAGCCAACAGTCTTTCAGAAATAAAATATACCAGTCTCAAAAGAAATGATGAGGATCCTCTTGTTCGTTTATGCCTTAGCAATGTTGCATACTCTTTATATAAAAATAGAGTTACTTAATATGAAATACGTGTATATATGATAGCAATAAAATGTTTATGTGTTCATATTGCACATAAATCTGTGAAATATGACAAAATGATGTTACAGATTAATATTCTACAAAGCTCATGTACGAGTGGTTTTCCCTTTTCTTCAAGATCCGTCTTGTGAAAGGCCTTCTAATATAGTTTAGCAAATTTAAGCAGACTTATAGCCAAGTTCAGTCAAAGAGTTGACCAAAGAATCTTCAACCTTCTTGATGTGACCACGTTCGTCTTCCATGACAGAGATACCCATGTGACTATAAAAGGAAATAAGTAAGCCTATCTGTACCCAAAAGCTGTCATTTCTGAAATTTCAATTCTATTGTAAAAACCCTTACCCAATTCTGAAGTACTTGGTAGCGTAATCCTTGAGGATACCACCAGCAATTTGGACACCCTTGTTAGCTAAGGTACCAACCAAGTCACCGACAGCAACACCTTCGGGGAGCCAGACGGCAGTCATACCGTTAGCAGAGCATTCGTCACACTTGGCAACAGGAGTCAAACCCAAATCTTTGACAACTTGTCTGAAGTGGGCAGAGACTTGACGGTGCTTGTCGAAACGTTCTTGAAGAGGTTGGCTGAGAATCTTCTTCAAAGAGGTGTGGAGGGCATAGACTAATTGGACAGCAGGAGTAGCAAAGTAGGCAGGGCGACGGGCTTCATAGGCTTGCATAACTATTGGATGACAGAAGAAAAAGTGAATGGTTTAGTCCATCAAGTCTTTTCTAGTAATGCACCTTAGAGAATGCAAAACTTACTAGGAAGCCATCTGTTCCAGTTGGAATAGTAAGAAGCGACAGGAGTCTTTCTGGTTTGTAAAACTTCAAGAGCCTTTTGACTGGCAACAACGATGGACAAACCAGGAGGAACACCAAGACCCTTTTGGGAACCAGTGATGACAACGTCCAACTTCCATTCGTCGAAACGGATTTCTTCAGAGCCAACGGAGCAGACACCGTCAACAACGACAAGGGTATTAGGGGAAACGGACTTGACAGTTTCGGCAACAGCCTTGATGTCAGAAAGAACACCAGTGCTATGATTGACAAAAAGGTAAGGGTTAATTTTAATTATTCTCGCTCCAACTTGTTTACTTTTCTACTGCGGTTTTGAATACTTTACGAGGTATCAACATGGGTGACAGTGACCAACTTGTATTGAGTCTTGGAAAGAGCTTCCTTGATTTGTTCTTGGCTGGGACGAGAACCAACTTCAGCATAGAGTTGAGTGACCTTAGCACCATAAGTTTCGAGGCTATTTCCAAGCAAGAATACCAAGCACGTTAGATTAAAAAGAACATCTTTTTATACCACGTATTCATTCACGCTGAATCATAGAGGAAAAACTTACCATTGAGCAAAGTGGGTACCGAAGTAACCAGTGTTGAGAAGAAGGACTTCATCACCTTGTTCGATCAAGTTGACCATCATATCCCAACCCAAAGTACCTGAACCAGAAACGACGAAAGGTTGAGCAGTTTCAGAGATGACAACCTTACGAACCATTTCAAGAGTTTCACCGAAAACAGGTACGAAGTTGGGGTCGACGTGAGAGGTGGCAGGAGTAGCCATGGCGTTCAAGACATCTTCGTGGAATTCGATGGGGCCAGGGATCATGCAAAGCTTATGGTCGACAGTCATTTTTGATAGTTGTTGCTGTTGTTGAGAGTTTGTTGAAAGAATAAAACAAGAAAAAAGAAAGAAAAAGAAAGCTAAAGTTGATTGACGAATGTTGAATAAATAGGAAGAAAAGAATAACAAATGAAATTGATCAAAATACGTCTTCATGTTATATAGTGTTTTCTAACTTTGATAACTGTAACACAAAGAACTGTTAATAGTTGCTATTTTGTCAGCAAGGGGAAAAAATATAGTGCAAAAAAACTTTGAAAGGTATCTTTTTGTCCGTGCCTTTTTATTGCTGTTTCTTTTTTCTTCAAGTTTGGAATGCTTTAAGACTTTATGTCAGTATAAGACCCAACTGAGGTCATTCACATACAGCTATACTTAATTTTTTGATTTTTACTATCTTATAAGCTTTCTTCTATTAAACTCATGGCCTTCCTTTTTCCTCTGATCTCAGTATTGCAATACATTGAAAACCGCAGCTTTTTGTTTCTCAGTTTTAAAGAAAGTGCCCTGTCAAAAGGTGGGGTAGAACAAACATATTCCCAATGAAAAAGCTTGACTTTTTCTTTTCCTACTTTTGATTCGTGGGAAATCCCATTGGTTGACATTTCGTTGACGTTTCATTCAAAAAACAACGTTAAACATAATAAGGAAATCTGAAAAAAGCATAAATGCTAACATGTATGTGATATTTAAAAGCGCAGTTATTTTGTACTATCAATTTATAAAAAGCCTAAACTCTATGCCATTCTCTATAAATGAATGATGCTTGTATGCTCTAATGAAGGTACTTTGTTGGGATATGTTTCTTCAAACAGTTTGCATGCATCTTTCAAACTGTTGATGAACATAGGAACTGCTGTCTTGGCAGCCCAATTAATAACAGATTTTGGTATATTTCCCTATTTAACACAGGAGATTTTTTTTTTTCACAATTGAGTTAGCGAAAAGAAAAGGTATACTATGACCTGTATTATGCTTACCTTGGGATCATCAAAATAGTCCATAAATACATAGCAACCGTTACCATCTTCTGTAGGGTGCAAGCATATGTTTTGCTTATAAGTATCAATTCGAACGACACCTTTCGTTTGAGGAAAAGATGAGGCAAGCAATGACTCGCCCAATATGACTTGATAATCTATGCTTGTCTCGTCATCCCTCACAACTCTCTTTTCCATAGCATAAACATAGTCTCTGTTCGCCAAAGGCCAAGGGTATTTGATTTCAAAATGAAGGCCATCGTAATGATCCTCCGCGTTGGCCGAATCTGCAACTGTAAATCGCTGATGTGATTTCATGTTTTTATCCCACTTCTCGCGAAAGTCAAGATCTAGGTAGACATGGGCTAATGTGGCTGCTCTCACATCCTTCCAACCGCCAATAGCCCGGTATTCATATAAGTTAGGATTTCTATCATGAGCGGGTCGACGATACACTTGATAATCTTCATTTTTCATGTAAAACTCCCAGCCATCAAAAAGCGTATTGCCATTCTTGTATTGTTTGACAAAATCTTTGAATACATCGTCTGTAAAAAATGGCATTAGATAAACTTAAGACTCCTTCTTATTGTTTTGTTGAATGTGCCTCAAAATGAGTTAAAAAGGGAAGTGCAACAATGATTTTTCAGGATTTGCCGGTTTTATTCCAGAAGGGACAACGCAATTATTTTTACTCCTCCTATTTGTCATAAATATTGAATTGAAAGTTATTGAGGAAGCACGGCAGCACCGAAAATCGCGTGTTGTGGATTTGAAGGTTGATCACTGTGCTAGTAATGTCGTCAGTACAGTGCTTATTCTTCTACTGCTACTGATGAATTGTAAATGCTTGGCTGTCAAATGTAAGGAACCTTCAAAGCTCGGTAAATCGGAAGGTCACGTCAAAATGCAATTTAGTGTTATATTTCCAAATGACACACCCTAATACTGAAGTTCTTGATTCAACCTAGTACTACCAGCCGCACGCCTCTTTAGGGTTATTCGTTTTACAAAAACCCTTTGTTTATTATGTCACCTTGAGTTGTGGACATGTCTTTTCTTGCTAACGGAGAAAACGTGGCTCATTAAAATGTGTTCACTTGACTGTTAAACATGCTCTCAGCTATGTTCTCATCATCGATAAACGCTTTAAAGCGGCGGGAGAGCAATGGGAAAAATAATAGTCGGCTTTCAGCATGTCTCTGGGAAGAACAACAAAGGATTGTTCGTATCGCATTCACTGCCAATCTTATAAAAGGATCGCTGATTGCTTAAAAGGAGAGAAAATGTATTGCGATGTTACTGATAGCCACAGAATTTGGCTGAGAAGAGTTTCTTAAAAGCCTTGCCTATACCAGTGATTTCTCCATTAGCAACGGCAGAATAGTAGACAGAGCGTTCACTTGCCAAAGCACATATTACTGACGAAGGTTTCTTTTAAGATAATTCGTTGGTTGAATTCATTTTTAGGGAAAGGCAATGACGAAAGATTTTTATGCACTGTGTATTCAAACTGTCTCTGATTCGAATCATGCAGTTGCAAACAAAAAGTAAGAGTATGTACTCAAGTGTTGACTAACGTGATGTTGGATCCAAAATATGAATAAATTTGTCACCTAATAGATCCAGTATTATCTTTTATTAAGCAGTATATTTACTTTTTATAAAGATTTACGAGGGATGAAAAGGAAAAGGGGAGCTTATAAGGATAAGCTTTGGTTATTCAAACGATTAAACGATTATATCTCGTTTTTGAAAGTCATTGCAGTAATATAATCGTTTTTTTTTTTTTTTCCCACTTGCTAACTTGTTGGAATAACACAAAAATTAGAGAACAAAAAGTCTACAAAAACATTCATTGCGTACAATCAACATCATTTATGTATACTACCCTAATACTTGTCATTCTTGCTTTGTTATCTACACAGTTAAAATCATAAGGAAAGCGGTTCAATGCTTCATCATTCTCTATCGTAGCCTTTTGCTAACCTGGTGAGATATACTTTTTGACTCTTATGGAGAAGCAGTTGTTAACACGCAGTACAGCGCAGATGGACTAAGTAAGCTGTATGGTGTAAAGAAACTGGTGCTTCTACTATTGAAAGCGTCTTCAACTTTTTAAAAAACGATACACTAAGATGTATTCGGATTATAGTTACGTTAGAAACAATAGCGGATGATTATACTTCCGGAACAATTGGCCTCTATACAAATGCCTTTGTTTTTCTTGCATGCTACTGGTTGTTCAATATCAAAAAACTATACGTCATAGAAGCCCTTTTTTTAACCTTTTTCTATTTTTTTTTTACAGGACTATCTCTGGGGATCTTCGGTTTGAGACTGCTAGCGCATATGAACTAAACCTCGATTGCTTAAAGAGAAATCAAGCATCGGGGATAAGAACAATAGTTTTTCCGGCCTGCTGTTTAAGTTGTGAGAGGTGGATGCTATTGTGAATTTGATATGCTACAGCAGTCCTTCTAGAATACACAGAATAATCTTTGTAGGGTTTCATCAAAGGAAAGCGTGAATCATGTTTACTGCTCAAAACCGGAAGCATCATGCAAGGTCAGCACAAAGCCTTTATAAGCCTTCTTCATCGAACAATATTAATATTGACTGATAAGAAACACAATGCATAAATCGAATTCTTTTTCCTTGACTCCTAAGTCTTCCGTACAATGATCATAATTTTGATTACGTTTAGATAAGCCGCTCAAAAGTTCCTTACTGTAGATAGACCGTTGATTTATTGTGTGCCATCTATACACACGACATACGTTTGAATTTTGACAGTTATGTTCAAACATTTAATGCAGAGAATGAAGCAGCCATTGTTTGAGCATATTGACGAACTATCTTATTTGAAAAGAGAAGCATTTCCATACTTTTCATTATGGTTGCACATTTATTACAGCATTATCACGAAAAGCTCGGCAAATTTATTGTCTGAAAACCGTTCTAACATACCTATCAGAAGTTCAAGCAATGCATCCAAGAACGAGCGAGGAGAAAGAGTTATCAACATATTAAAAGGTAAAATCACGGGTATGTGCTTAAGTGTATCTCTAAACCGAAGAGAGTTGTTGTATAGATAAGCTGTTCATATTAAAGATGGGTATAGTCTTGCTCATTTAGTAATGATAATAAGAGCAGATGACAAAATACATTCAAAGTCGTCATTAATGCTACAAATTGTGTGTATGGCTTTTACTTCCGCTAGGATGACCTACGGGTAAATACTGTTTCTGGTAAAAGTAGTAATGATAGTGACAATGATAACGAAAGCTTAAAAGATGTATACTATTTCTATTGAACCTATCTGCACAAATCGTCTTATATACCCTGCATTTGAATACAACATTGGTCAGGCTGAAAGAAGGAAAGAATGTTACGAATTTGATAACGTGAAGGGTCCATTGAATCTGATGCATACTTTTGTTAGCCAGTTAGCTCTATCGCATTGATCTATAAATGAAAGTCTATAGGTTAGTGATCGCTTCTTCTGTAAATAAGTATTCCATATCACAAAAAGCAAACGTTTCTAGCATAAACCAGAGATTCGTTAGTCTATCTGTACTCATTATCGGTTGCCAACACTCTTTGATGGGGTTCCTTCTTTGACTAATCTGATCGAACATAATCTCTTACATACTACCACCGACAGATGTGAAGAGGGATTCAACTTTTTTTAAAGATTACTAAGGCTTACACTGTTTCCTTTTTAATAAAACCTTATTCTGTCATTTTGTTTTTGATCTTGTGATTTATAAAGGTTCGTTACGTGTAACCGATTTGGCCGTAAGCAATTAAACAAAATGAACAATCTTATACACTCAACAGCTGTATTAGAACCAAGATCAAATTCTATAAATGTCTTATGGGCATAACCGAGTTGTATAACGACTATCTCTGACATTTGGTGCTGTACAGTTGCCTATATTCAAGGTTAAACAATACAAGATCTTCGCAGAAGGAAACGTCAATGGCTGCATAAGAGACGGTTTACGGTTATTTAATTTGCCATGTCCGTACTGCAGGACCGCCAAAATGGGATGTCGGAGAAAAGTTCTTGTTCTTGCGAGACAAATGACAACGGTTCCTAAACAATACCAGGAATGGGTAACCAATGAGAGCGTTCCTTTTTTTTTTGTCTAGAAGACCTGAATTACTCCATACTCAGAACCATTATTGCAAAAGTATGCGTTCATAGAACGATTGACTGATTTTTTACTGTTATCGCAACCAATGTAGAAAAAGCTATATGGAAAAAGGGGTTGACTAGACGTCAAGGTTAAATAAGGCTAAATCGAGATGACTGGGCTGCATTCTGTTTAACGTAATATATCACTCATTTTTATTTAGTTGCTCCAATCTATCTCTCCATATTTAGTTATTTATAACGTTCAGTAACGCTTCCTTTTTATTGGAAATGATCACTGCAAATAGAAATGAGCGTTTCATCAAAAACCATCTCATTCTTACGTCTTCTTTCAACAGCGTGGTGCGAGCATTTTCGAGAAATCTGAAATCAATATGAATTTTTATGCGTCCCTCCACCCCCCCCCCACAGAAACTCAAATCGAGAGTGCTACGCGGGTCACGATCTCTTCCTTTTTTTGTGCCTCATACAATTTTACCATATAAAATCATTTTGTTTGTACTTTTCTATGCAAGCATCAGTGTATTTAACGTTTTGTGACGCCCGCTTATTGTCATCGTAAGGCAAAAAAAAAAAAAAAAAAAAAAATAAATTCTTCTTCGAAAATGCCATTCCATCATTGATTAATAAGTCAAGCCTAAAAACCATATCTATGGCTTTACATTTCAAAAATGGCATACTACTCAAACAATATAAATATGGCTTCTCTTCTTTGACATTTTTTGGTTTTTTTTTTTCTACTTCATTCTTCAGTTACTTTTAGTTACTTTTAACAACACAAACTCTTATAACAATCGCTTTTTTTTAAAACAAACTTATCACTGATACTCAAACACTAATTAAAATGGATCGTACAAACGGAAACAATGTACCTGCCTTTACCACTGATCCTTGGGTCAGATCCGCATGGATTGCTTTCTTCACTCTCTTCGCCATTTGGGGTTTATCTTACTTCATTCGTCATGCCTTTGGTAAACCTGATGCCTATAACCGAGGTAATCCTAACACCACTGGTGCCGCTGCTGTAGATGATCCGGAAGCTGCTGCTGCTGGTACTGATAAGAAGGGCAGATGGGGTCTTCATCATGATACCTTGTCTGATCGTTTTGCTCGATCCCACCATGTTCTGCGCGATAACACTCTTATGCTTTTGTCTGTCCTTACTTTGAACACTTTTGGTGCTGGCTCTACTCGTGCCGTAATGATTTTGGCTTGGATGTAAGTTACTATTATTTTTTTACACGACGGCGTTTAAGGAAGTGACAATTGTCTTATTAATGTGTTCAACTTTACAATAGCTTCTTTGCTTTCACTGTCATTCACGCTCTTACTGAACTTGCCATCAACCACCATTTCATTCGTCTTTTCTTCAACCTCCTTTTCTACGCATTGACCCTTGCTATTGGTGGTCTAGCTTTCAAATACGGCTGGTACACGCATGGTTCCATCTTTTAAGTAACAACCAAAGGATCTACTACAATAACGATGTATTCTACTTTTTACTTTCACTATAATGCTATTTATATTACTATTTAACTCTTTTAATAATTTTAACCGATATTTATTCTAATTTTTGTTTATATCTAATGAAATTGAATACATAACCTAATAAAGCCTGAACAAGTATTTTTAATATATATCTATATGATCTTAACAAGTCGGACGATACCTGAAGCTGCCTTAACGTGGAGAAATAATTTTAGAAACAACGCCAATGGAATCAGAATGATCTTCATTCACATTGTTAAAATGTTGAACGTCTAGGTTGTATAATAGTCATAATTGATATTATACATGACCTTCTCGTTTGTAGTATATAATGTCACTGATTGTGTTTACTATTATACCTATAGAGATATGATGCGTACATGTCGTGAACCGACCCGATTTGTAAGTCGCAATTAGGCGAATATTAGCGGCAGTAGGGTTGACGGATGATGCATTTGACCGCGCCGTTGTACACAACACATTGCATAACAAAGCAGCAGAAAACAAAAGAGCTTTTTCCCTCTCCAAGGGAAAAACCGTTCTAAAATAACGAATACGGTACATCGAGACATGATTCTCCAGGCAACTGTACATTCATAACCGTTTGACGATTTTAGCTCTCGATGTGCCTTAGTAAGAGACGGACACCGCAATGGTTTGGAGCAAGCATTCCACATACTACTTATACGACATTTGACATTGGGTTTGACTTTCTAAATTGCAAAAGAGCATATAGTCGGATAAATTGCAACACCATGTGCCCACATTCTTTTAACCTAAACATATCTGTGTACGATACGGATATAGAATCACGTTATTCGTGCAGACGATCCAGAAAAATAAAATAACTGGGAACACAAATTCAGAAGACTTACACAGATAAATCTAGTAGGGAGGTTTGTCTAGCGAATTCTTACTTGATTTTTAGATGCCATTAAGACTGGCCTGTCGTTTGCTTTGTCTCTGAACTGGAGCCTTGTCAGCAAAGATAAATATTTACTACTCACATATGCGTATCTCTAGCACTGATATCGTTTATTATCAGGATATACTGTTAAAACCTGTCGTACGGACAATTTGAACATTACCTCAGAATTAGACAAGCTGAGGAGCTTCAAGCTTGACGATTTCGACTCAAAAGGAGATATAAATGACGCAGTCATTTGTACAGAATTTTGGATGATTGACAAAAGCGGCGAAATTGTAACTCTGGGTAAGAATAAAGCACTCTCAACCGGATGCAACCTGACTGTCAACAATTCATCACGCAATTACTTCGTAGAATTCTCAAACCATGAACTGATTTGTGTCGTACAAACGGATCTCCTTCAAGTAACTATCTTTACATCAACGATCAGTAATATTTTTATAATGATTTAAGCAATCAATTCTTGGTATGGCGAGAGTATAAGTTGCTAATACCTCGAATCGTTTAAACGAAGGGTTATGCCCACTATGTACTATAACAGTATGTGAAGCATTTGCTTCCATATTATTTTGAACACCTCAGTTCTTCATTTCCCTTAGCTCGGCGACTTACTGTTACACGATTTCATTTCATCATTTCGGTTTCACAACGACTATTTTCTTTCGAAAAATACTGTCACACAAGCTGAATGTGAATATGTGAAATATAACGTGATGCCACGTTCTCCATACCATTTCATGTATTAAATATCTACCAAACGCTGTATCAATAATTCATCCAATAATTAAATTCTGTTGTAAGGTCACAATAAATTTAATTGCACTGTTGCTGCTATAGATGTTTGGGAATGGTTTGCATTGGTAAGGCTATTGATGACCTTACCAGAATCTACTCAAACTAACTGTAACTTTCTGCACAATAATGCCATCAGTATGCTCATATAAAGGATTGGGACATGGTGCTGTTTATACAATAGCAGTTAACATAAACTCCATAGGAAATTGGTTTTAACTGTTTGAGAGATATGTGATTGCATTGGTCGTAAAGCCATGTTCATTCAGCTATACGGTAAAGCTCAACAGTATGAACGACATATATACAATTAGAATTTACAGTTTATTACATACATAATCAGTTCTTCAAAAATATGGATTTTGCTTTACGCACTTAACACAAGCAGGTCAGTGAAGCGCTCTTTTTTGTTGACTGCTTAAAGTTTTTTTGGTTTTTGCGGGGCAGAAAATTTTCCCAAACTGAGTAAGGAAAAAAGCTTGTCATTTTTCCTTTCTTTTTTTATTTTTTCTCTTTCATGATCCACAATTCGTTGATTTTTTCTTGCTTATACCAACACGTATGATGAATAGCCATCTAACATGGTTAAGCCAAGTTAAAGAGGAAATTGGTGGATATGATACTCTAATACAGTACATAGTTAGTCGATTCAATGTCAAATACAAAGATCCTCTATCTTCATTACCACGATCCAAAGGCACGGTTTTATACGGTAAGCCTGGAACCGGAAAGACAGCTTTGGCGATAAGTATTGCTAGTAGGTTTACAGATGATAATCCCTTTATAAGTTAGCTAATTACTTTATTGATATTAAATGGAATCTTCTTCAATTGAATTGTAGAAACATCAAGCTTGCCATATTATGTCTTGAACAGCCCAGATATATTCCAAAAAGGTATAAAACTCCTTAGACATGATGACTTTCTTTTCCATGAAAGACAATATTTCTTATTGGCCAAATTGATTCTCTGATCTTGCCTTATTATAGAGGAGGGCATGACGGAACAAGCGCTGTCAGACTTTTTTGCGCAAGCAAACAACCATGAAGCTTCAATATTAATTTTAGACGAAATTGATTTAATTGCAGGAAAATGGACACCTAAAAAAAGTGAACTAGAGAGAAGAATTTCTTCAATTCTTCTATCTTCTATAGATATGTTAAGCGACAAAACATACTTTATTGCGTTGACTAGTCGTTTACATGACATCGAGCCTGCGTTCATGCGATCTGGCAGACTGGACGACATACAAGAATTAGTAATGAGACTGCCTACACAGAGATACGAAGCATTGAAAATATTAACAAAAAGTAAGCTTTTCTATTTACAGACTGTAATTGACCAAACCTTTCTAAGCCTTTTAATTGTCAAATCATAATCCTCTCTGTTCAATACAAATGATATAAAGATTTACCTTTCGAATCGGAAAAAGAACGAATGCGTATAATTAAGAGCATTTCAGAAGTGACTTATGGTTTTGTGCCAACCGACCTCCAAAGCTTAACTTCAAAGGCAGCTTTTTCGTTCATTAAAGAATCCACCACAAACATTACCGACAGACACTTCAAGCAAGCTTTAATAAACACCAAACCTTCCAATATTAACGAATATTCCAGCAAAATACCAGACATAACTTTTAAAGACATTTACGGCATAGACAATGTCCTCCAAGAGGTCAAAACTTCTGTCATAGAGCCTTTCCGTTCACCAGAAAAGTATATCAAGCTCGGGATATCACCTCCGAAGGGTATTCTCGTGCACGGGCCTACAGGTGTGGGGAAGACCATGTTATGCTCAGCCTTGGCGGCAGAAGCTGGCGTCAATTTCATGTTGGTCGAGAGTACTCAAGTGAGATCAAAGATAGTGGGCGAGTCGGAAAAAGCGATCAGTCGACTATTTAGTCAAGCGCGAGCCAATGCACCCTGTATACTGTTTATTGATCAAGTAAGACTCTATTCCTCGGAGTGAACAACAAACTGCATATAGAACTAGTTACTAATGTTATCCTAAAGATCGATATCTTACTACCTAAAAGAGGAACAAGCCATTCTTCAGAAAATACCAGCGATAGAATTGTTACCGGTTTTTTGACGGGTAAAGAAAAAGCTTAAATGTGTGATGTAAAAAGCTTTTGGATGATTGAAATTTGGTGTACTGAGAATTTCATTTGAATAGAAATGGATGGCTTGTTAACCAAAAAGCAACGGAATGCACAGATAGATGTCTTGGTTGTTGCTGCCACCAATAGAATAGAAGTGATGGATCCTGCTGTGCTGAGACCCGGTCGATTTGATGAGCACATCTATATATCAGTGCCCAATGAGGCGGTAAGTAGCTGCACATAACCTAACAGATCAGCATTACGTTTCGAGGGCTAAACTACAGATACGAACATTTAGCAACGAAGAGATATCATTAATGGTATAAGTTCTAAAATGCCAATCGTGTTAGATCACCAGCAATTAAATGAAATTGTGCAAAAGACAGAAAATTGGTCAGGTAAGAAATATTAAACTGTTTTTTAGCAATAAAAAAAATAACTGCGATCGCCAACAGTATAATCGAACTATAGGAGCTCAGTTGGATAATCTCTTTAGAGAAGCTGCGATGACTAGTCTGAGAGAAGACGTAGGCAACACAAAGGTTAGTTTTTCTTTAGTTCAATAATTTGTACATCTGAATGTCATTGCCGTCAAGTGGAACTTACATTCATATTGATAGATAACTTACTCTCATATTCTGTCTTCCTTTTGAGTTAAACACAATTCATATTCACCCTATGAAAATTTGAAGAGTTGGTATTATTAATAATTGCGAATACTGAAATAGTCTCTACAGACGCTTTAACATCAATAGGCGGAGAGAAGGATAATTTATTAAAGTTCGTGAAATAATGCGATCTCACTACTATTCTCTGGACAGAGAAAGCATTGCGTGCTTTTTATATAATGACAGCTTAGGCGAACAATTTTCAACCATAACCAACACACTCAGTCATATTACACCTTACAAAAAAAAAAAAAAAAAAAAAAAAAACCAAATGCTCCGTTTGTATTGTCAGTTTATTCCAACATCGTTTTCGAGCTGAGGAACCGGTATCACATCATATTGTACATATTAAGAAGGAGTAATTATCGTAAACATTTTCGGATTCTTGCTCTTTATAACGCAATAAAGTATTTACAAATATAGTTAAAAATTGGCGTTACAGACATGCCTGGTATTCATTGATGATACGTTGCAATCCACGGTTTTGAGCTAGGATTGGTAATATTTGCTTCAATAGATCATGCTTGGAAATACCCTATTTATTCATGAGATATGAAAAAGAAAGGATTAAACCATTAGCCTGAGTGAAGCCTTTCCAGCATAAGGTGTATTACGTACCAAAATAGAAGGGTTCCAGTCTGCACTCTCGAATTTTGGTCTATAATAAGAAATAGGTCATTGAGGTTAATCTTTTATATTCTTTCCAAGATATGGAAACTTGGCTTATACTTTACAAGAAGGGCGGACCAATCAACCATCGACATAGCTCCTCTACTTTGCCTTTCGCGCTTTCCTTTGCCAACTTTCTGGCGTAATACGTCATCCAACGAGAGTACTCTTCTGGTGAATTAAGTAATGCTGCTACTGCGAGTTGTGTCTATATTACAAATGGATTCAGTAAGAGTTCTTTCTTAGTGCAAGTTGCTAGAAAACCATACCTCAATTTGACCAATTGTCACCACAGATGCTACATGGTAATCCGTATTCGCTATATCCATCATTAACCGAGTTAGAGAATCAACTCCTCTCGCCGTGTCGATTTGTGAAGCAAGCCAACCCAAAGGGTGGTCTTCATCTGCTGAGGGAAACTGTCCAGAACCCCAAAATTCCGAGATGATATACCATGCATCACTGATTCTCATCCATACTTTCATGTCTGTATGATACACAAAGGCTTGCTGTAGACTCGTAATAAGGATAGGCAACCCATCTTTCTGCATCCGTATTTCCTTAATTCGTGGTGCGTCATGTAGTTCAGTCTCGGACAGAATTGCTGCTTGCAATATAGGAGCTATTGAAACACCATCAAGTTTGCATTTTAGAGAAGCTATATCCCATGTATATAGTAATCCAGTAACAGTCAGACACAGTAACCAGGAAGAAGTACATCTCAACATGACAGCTGTGCTTTCTAAAATAATAGGTGGAAACAATCGCCGACCGTTAGGAGAATAAACATTGAGTGAACCATCTTCACCTGCCAAGACTGTAAAGACTTCATTTGTAGCAGCCAAAAGTACTGCGTAAGGAAGGTAGTCTGTCCATATAGGGGCACCTCTATTGGTAGCAATAATCTTTGTTCGTTGGGTGTTGCCTATTGTGTCCATCGGAACGGTCAACTGAGAATTGCAATCTAACAATGACAAATAGCAATACCGAACATACCTTCTACTATATTGTTGTGACATTCAATTACCGTTGTTCCCTTTTTGGAGTTTGATGCAGATAGAAAGGATAGAATCTTTGGCGTGCCTAATCTTATTTGACTTTCCTTAACACTAGGCGGTACGAGGGATGGTTCTGCCCAGTCAATCTTTCTTCTTGATTTGTTTCCAGTTAATACATTTTTATCTGTAAAATTGTAACCTTTTTCTTCAGCGACAGCAGTCGATTCTGCAGGCTTATTTCCAGCAATAGTAGCGCCTATGCCGTTGGGGGGTATAACAGGATCATCAAACTGTAAGTAGTTTGCAGAGGGTATGTTGGCTCTCTAAGGACGGTTTAACGAATTTCAGGATAAATGGAACAAATTAAGCATACGATCAATTGCCCACTTACATGAATTTTCGGTTGTGAATTCACAGTTCCATTTGATAAGTTGTTTGTTGCTACTGCTGGCCTTGTTGATGCGGAAGAAACCATAACCGGCTGAATACGTTTTTTACCGTTCTTATACGTCACTTTTTGCTGCGCTGTAATAATCGAGGCTGGTATATCAATGTTTGAGGCTTCTGTTTTATTTCCTTGCGGTATAACTGCATCCGTCATGTCCGTGTCTTCTTGGAAGCCCGGAAACGATGCTTCTCCTCCTGTCATCAATTTTTCTATTCTTTTTGATGGAGTTTTGTTCGGTTTATCTTTTCCTTCTTCTTCAAGTTCAAGCTGCATTGGCGTCTCAGGAAAGTGATTACCTACTCTGCCGAAGCCATACTTCTCCAACTCAGAATTCTAAAGGATGTCAAACGATACAACATTAGCATTCAGGCATAATTTATTTCCTACAGCGTATGTTTCACGGTTTTACAATTTCATCATCCGGCACCACGTCCTCTAACTCTGTGTCGAGCATGATACATGCAACAGTACCGTCTTGAGAGCAGGCAAATAAGGTTCTTCCGTCTGGAGTCCAATTCGCGTCATAAATATTGTTATCAAAGAGATCCGCTGCTACACATAGAGGTCGGCTGAATTTAGTAACCCAAATAGATACACTTCTATCTTGACTACCCAATGCACAAATGGAAGCCGGTGAAGCTTCTTCAGCGATGTTCTCGTCTTCATCATCTCTCATGTAAAACATTTTAGGGTTAAAAGCCTATCGTAACCAACGATTTTTTTCCCGCGTTTGATATAAAAGAAGAACCCAGTAGAGTTAAAAGTAAAATAAGCATCTGCACTTAGTGAATTGGTAGTAATTATTAAAGAAAACTTACAGTTACTTCAACTGGCATTGTATGTCCCACGAGTGATATATCTGCGTTCCAATCATCTCGATTGATTATAGCAGCGATACATTGAATGCCATTTACTGCATTCGCTGCAGCAATATGTGCACCATCTGGAGACCAACTATCACAAATGATTAAGTCGGTTGTTATGATTCATTGTAGAGATGTAAGCTTTATTCTTCTCTTTTTCTTATTTTCATTCCTTTCCCTCTCTGTTTACCTCAAACGTCTAAATAATGTTGTGCCCGGTGCGTTTATAAAGGGACCTACTATTTCGGTCTCAAGTTGCCAGTCGGACGTCCTCCATATCTTCACTCTTTTGTCATCTGACTATTATAGATAGATGGGGGAAAAGTCAATTTAGTTTCAGGACTGGTATGTAAGTTTGCTTTTCAATTGCTCTTTACTTGAGAGGCCAGGAATTTCCCCGCAGGGTCCCAAGTTATTCCTTTTACAAAACCTGTATGTTGATCCACCTTTTTAACAAGTTCTATTGCCATAATAAAGAAATAAATCATCAAAAATCATAGTTCAATAGCACGTAATCGAAGTAAAGGAACCCGATCAAAAAATGCACATACCAAAAGTATTTCCATCCCAGATCATTATCAATCCATCGACACCACAAGAAGCAAGATAACGGTTGTCACTTGACCAAGATAAATCTTGCACATCCGATTCGTGTCCTCTTAAATACTTGACAGCTTTATAAGTCTCGTAATTGATATCACTACTGCCAAAAACAGCGCCTGCAGTAGCATTACTATTTAGGAAACAACAAAAATGATAAGTAACAGTGCAAACGTGCGTATATTCAGCATCAATTTTTTGGTGGGGAGGGGCTAATATTACGTGTCGCGTTCCCATATCATAATAACGTTGTCATTATCCGAACTCGAAGCAAGATATCTTCCATCCTTGTTTGACCATCGAACACATAGTACCGCGCCTATGAGTGTTTGAAAGGGGTATAAGTAAGCTTCTTATGGTTTTTTTTGTTGTTGCCTCAAGACCCTTCACTTACCATTGTGATTGGTCATAGTAGATAGTAGTTTATGGCAGTTAGGATCGAGTTCAGCCGCTTCGTCATATATAGGCCTTGTATTCCATATTTTGACAGTGCCGTCTATTTTCGTAAGTAAAGTTCATTTTCAGCGCATAAAAATTTCTTTTGTCAAAGCAAGGAAAAAATATAATAAAAATTCTATTATAATTGATGCTCTTTTTACCTATACTTCCTGTAGCTATTCTCTGACCATCAGGATGAACGTGAATAGAGTATATACATGGCTTCTTATTTCTCGAATCAGCGCGATCTGCCCACAATTTAAAAGTTCAGTTTAGTGATTGATGAGGTAGATGAGACGTTACTGAGTTTTCATCACGACTTTTTCTTTTTACTACCTCCATGACAAACCCAGTCTGGTTTAATGATGATCATAGTCTATAAATTATCCTGTCTGAAATACTTGAATATACACTTATGTTATACGTCGTGAAAGTTGTATGGTATATTTCAATTAAATGATATGAAAAAAACTTGAAAATGCTCGTTACAAAGACAAAGGTCAAAGAAGTTCTTTATAACAAAAGAGAAAATGGAGGGGGTGAAAAAGTGAACAGCGATATACACACTATCTCATGGTAAAAAATTGCACTGTTTATCGTGACTGTGCGGAAGTACATATCATTATGAGAGTTAGAGTAGGATTGTAGGCCTTAATTTGAACTTGATGTAGTGACATAAGCATGAAACTCATGTTTAGCATCTTTTGATATACTTTAGTTGTTCATCAGCATGTGTGTTTCTAGAGATATAATGTCCTGGCTCGACCATCAGCTTTAGTTGTGATAGTTTGGGATTTAATTCCAGTTTGATGTAGAACCACAGAAGGATCAGTAAGTTTTTTGATTTTATGGTTTTATTTGGATTCCAGAGACCAAGATGCTTCGAATTTTTTCCAAATCTGGACGACTTCTTTTTCTTTGTTCCTGACAAAAAGCATTGGAGGTTAGAAAACAACAATGGCACGATCAAGTGTCCTAAAGTGCTCCAGACCGAAGTAGTTCATTAAAATAGAAGTGCAAGTGGATAATGTAAAGTATCAACGAGCATAAGCCTTAAGCACTAGTCTATGTTACTGATCAAAAAAAAAAAAAAGTCCGACAAGCGCGTTCTGCAATAGAAGTTAGTGTATGTGCTGCTGATAGCACCTCTAGCTCAAACACAACTGCAATGTGAGACAACTCTTTTAATGTTGAGGTAGTTCAGAATTGTACAGCAGTCTATAGGTACTTTACTTTTTGATATCGAGTATGCTTTACCGAAAGCGTCTGATCCTCCTGTGAAATGGCTACACTCAACGGCAAGAAAACTTCCGCATTAAAATAATTTGAAAGTCCGGGTAGTTCGATTTCATTTCAGAAAAGGCATATAAAAATAGAACCAAGCTTCTTTATCAAAAATGCGAACGGGGAAAAGGCATACATCTCTGGAACAATGGCACCAATCAAATTATTAACTCTGACTGCGGTGCTCAGTTTAGTCACATCTACCATTCAAACTCGATTTATACAGGATGATGTATTAGCATTTCCACGATATAAAGTAGTGGTTACGAAGGACAAAATAGCCCAGACAGATATTGACGCATTCAAGGGAAGAGAGGACAAAGAGGTAGAGCATCAACAGCTTATCACTATATAGAGCATATGCTAAATTGTGGAAAAACAATTACTTTTAGCTTAACCACGTTATAATGACCTCATCATACGGTCAGCCTTTTTCCTGTGTCATCCCTGATGTACAGATTGAACAAGAACGAATCGAGCGCGAACAACAGGTAGCAGCAAAAGATGAAACTGAAGAAGACAGACAAAGAATTATTCAGAAAGGATTAGAACTGCTAGAGCCGATTGGACAAACAAGCTGTATCAAATTTTTTGCTAGTGTAAGAGTTTCTCTGTTAAGTGATTTTCGCAATGTTATATGTTTAGTCGCACTTACATAACCTTTGCATAAATTAGACAAACCAATATTGGACTTATGAATACTGTCATAATCGATATATTCGCCAAATGCATATTGAACGCAGTTACGATGGAAAAGTTGAAAAAGAGCATGAAACAGCATCTTTTTATTTAGGATTTCATCCCGGCCTTCGTCAAGGTACCACTGATATCCAAACGAAGCAACACAATGATAAAGCAGCATTAATAGCGAAGGGAAATGGTGCGCACCAACATCAAAAACAATATGGACATTTATATACTGAATTAAGAACACTTGGTGATCAAAGGTATTTGGTACAGAAATGGAAAGATGGCTCAATATGTGATTTAACTGAAAGGCCACGTACTGTTGAAGTTCAGGTAAAATTATAAGCATTCTGCTATACGAAGATGTAAAATAACTGACTATAATTTACTTGAGTAGTATCATTGTGATTTGCATGGCCCAGACAGAGTGACTAGCTTTGTTGAGGTTTCCACATGTAACTATCAAATAATGATATCGACCCCAAGGTTATGTGAAGAGTTGCGTTTGTCCGAAAGGCGCCATGATGAAGCGCATGAGATTCAATGTCGACCAATTGTGTCAGAAGAGTTATTAGAAGAAGAGCGACGAAAGGAAACTGACCGTTTGCTTTTGCAGGAAGCAACGACGACGTTAGAAATGGGAACAAGTGACACTGAAAATAGCCAAGATCAGGTTCAGCAAGGAGAAGAAAAGACCGATAAGGTCGCTAAAGATGAACGAGATACCTTACTCAATCTGATTTCTGATTTAACAGTTCAAATAAACCAACTCAAACAACAAGTAGATGGCTCTAAGGTGACTGCTAATAACGCTGATAGAAGCAACAAACAAGTCAAAACAGAAATAACGTTCTATACAATGGATGAAGATGGTAATATTATTCAGCAAAACCCGAGTTTATTTCATGACAAACTTACATTGCAAGATTTGATAAAGGAATCCTTTGAAAAGGATTCACTCAAAGAAGAGAGTGAGGAACAAAAGACGAAAGCAAAGAATCAGCATAATAATAGACAGGCATATGAGCAAAGATATTTCGAATAAAGTAAAAAAAGTTCAATGCATTCATTTGCCTCTACAAGATAAAGGTAGCCTCCTTTACAGCGCCAATCCTCGTCACCGCTTTATGATTGGCTGATGTCATTTTAGATCAAGTGGGATACTTGATATTGGCTGTAAAAGAGAAAATCTCACGAACTAATGGTTAATGATGAGCCTAATATTTCAATTACCATTGTTGGAAGTGTGTGCCTTTGGCATTGACTTTACAATAATACGAGAGACACAACTTAGATTTATGGAAGAGGATCATCATTGTAATCTAGTTGGTAGTCTTCCTGTTCACTGAAGGATCAACGTCGAGGACGATGAAGAGCTTTTAAAAGTAGTAGTCGTAGGTCTGCATAGTTGTGAGCGTTTTATTTACCATACCGTTATTGACAGATATACTTGTTAAACTCACGCTCTAAATTACAAAGCCTATGTCTGTATCTGTATCTTTCAATTGCAGTATGTTGCTTGGTATTTGTAAATTTGCTGTATAACATACCTAGCTCGCTTCGACAGTCAAAAGAAGCTTCCTGGTGTCATACCATTCTTTTGTGAATGTTTAACGAATGATCTCCTGTAAGTCGCTCCTTTCATTGGTTATTAGGTTATTGCTGCATTCCAGATTGTCTAAAAACTAGTGAGAAAAGCAAACAGAAAATAAAAAAAAGAGTATTATTTAGAAAGGTGAACTTTGTTAATGAAATGTTGACTTCTGAAGATCCGCAAACACTTATCCAGTTGGTAATAAATGATAGTTAATATATACAGATAAGCTAGAAATCTTCTACTATTATGCAGAAAATAGATGTTGTAATAATGAATAGGCGGTATAAATAACCATTCAGTTCTAAACATTATCCATTTGAGTTGTATAAAAAAGGCTAAAGACCATGTTATATTGATCACTTTATTTTGAAGCGTTCACAAACTGAACTCTGAATTGTCGGGGGTTCTTTTTTGAGGAATTAGGGACCATCCTCGCTTAAGTTTTTGTTTGTTTCGTCAATTTGGACTTGCATTTTAGTTCACAATGGGAGCAACAGAATCAAAACCTCAACAAGAACCCGTCATTATATACAATCCCAATGTACCTTTGCAGGTTAAGATTCATTTCATTCCTTGTTAACCGATTGCTTTGTGTTCTTGTAATTGCTAAAGGAAACGCCTCCATATTACTTTTATATGCGCATATGAATAAATAGTTTACACCAAACCTAATTAATTCTATGGAAAAAAAGGCAGAACAATTACCAGCGAGGGTAGAAAGTCGTCAAATGGAAGATATAATCAATAAACGTGTAAAGGAAGAATTGGAAAAGATAAAGAAAGCAGAGCATAGTCTTCAGCAAAAGTTCTATCTTGAGTTAAGCGAAAAAAATCAGTCTAACGAAGCAGGCAGTAAAGAAACACTTGATGATGTGGAAACTATGATTCAAAGGATTATGAGGTTTGAAGTATTCAATAGTAAATTTAAAGGCAGGAAGAATAGTTGATTAATGCTCTGGGTCAAAATAGATCTGGAACCAAGGAATTGCCGCCAAAAGTTAAAGAATGTCAGGAACAAGTGATACAATGCTACAGGTATAGTTTTTTTCCAAAAGGACATGTATTACTTCGAAGATACCTGACTGTTACTGTATAAATAGAAATAACCAGTCAAGATCACTCGATTGTTGGAAGGAGGTTGAACAATTCAAAGAGGCTGTGAGTGAAGAACAGAAGAAGTTTGTAGCAACACAGCAGAAATAGAATCACCTCAACAATTAATTGCAATAAAAAATCAAGTCAAATATTTATTTTTTTTTTGAAAGAGAAACGACCTATCTTATGAACTTGATCTCAAAGTTTTCTTTTAACTCTATATCACTGTATGAATCTGTTAAGATTGATAATGTTGCAAGTTTACGATTTTCACTCTTCTTTCTTTTTCAAATTACATGAGAAGTAGCAGTGAATGCATGTTGTTTGTCATTAAAAATAGTACACATTTTCAGCTTAATACGCTTAGAAATGTTATGAGTATCTAATTTTTGATTTTATCAGATTAAAGCTGGCAGTGCTAACACTGGGAAGTTATAAATTCCTAGAGAGGAAACTACAAAGAAGACGGATACGCTTGTGATAAGTTTTGCTTCCTTGCACTAGCTCGCTGCCGCATACAGTTTTTGGGTGTTGATACTGTTTGTCGTTGGCACTGTCATTATTACTGTTATTATTAGCACTATTGTTGCCTTTTTTGTATTATTCGTAAGAAGAGTTTGATACAGTTAGTGAGTATATAGCTGTGATAGACGAGTTAAGCTTGAAATAATTCTTCGGTCAAGATGTTGTTGCTTTTCCAAGTTTATGATTGATATCCAGTGTTGATCTGACTGAGTAATAGTTACTAATGCAGTATTGACGACAGCTTTAAGCATTTGGGAACCGAATAGAAAAGAGTTAGAGAAAAATTTACAACATTTTTCCATCGACGGTTTACGAGTAATTTATCGATTCATTGAACAACAAGCGTTATCTATTCAAACGGGTCAACTATCAATGGCCACTCTGCTTAACAACAGTTTAATCCTCTAGCAAATTTAATGTAGCAAGGCTTTAGTAAAGCCACTCTTGTGAATTGCTTTTAGGCGTTAAATCAGAGTCTATATGGTTTAGCTTTAACTTAAAAGTTCATATATGTTTCTTCTACAAACAGGCAATGCTTATATTTACTTTTTCTTTTATCGTTGCCAAATTTTTCTTCAGATTTGAAAAAAAAAAAAAGTCGTCTTCACAGAATTTTTTGACTCCTCCAATCCATCAAATTGAACGCAGCACGTACCGTAGTGCTATTCATAGTGCATTTTGTTAAAGTTGTAGCATCCAGTTTTTGGTGGTTTTTTCTTTTTTTAGTATACCACGTCGATTATACAGAAGACAACTTTAACTTATATTCATAATTACCACGCGATGTCAGCTAACAAAGATGGATCTGACAGTAGCAAATTGAGTTCACAACAAACACCTGCTCCACAAATCGAAACCCAATCAACTCCAATAATGGCTCATGATCTTAATTTTAATATAAACGACATTTTGAGCAGCAACCATGAGGTTAATGTGAACGACTCTTCTTTTCAGTCAATTGTTCAAACTCTAAGTAATAGCAGTGCAGGCAATATACAACCGTCTTATGCTCATTTGCCTGCTGAGCTCCGAGACTTATTTAGTACAACAGAGACGGATGACTTATTGTCTGCTCAAGTAAATGCTGAGGATGCTTCTCTACTACAAGGGGACATGGCTGCTCTTTGGGGTAGATCAGATTCATCCTCGCAGCCACAGCAACTACAGCAACAGTCTTCGCAAACACACGATTCACCGTTCGCTGTGTCTTCTCAACAACAGCAGGTCGCCACAAACTTTACCGTATCAATGCCGTCTACAGCTACATCAAGCAATGCTATTTCTCCCTTATTACAGGCTGAACAATCGCAGCCATTGTCACGTCAAATCACACCTACATTACAACCTCAACAATCCTTCCAAAGTGGACCAATATCAACAGCACAGCATTCAATACAACATTCATCTGCCTTGATGAACCATCAACAACAAGCTAATCATATACAACTACAATTACCCCAGCAGGCACAAAGACCGCAATCACCTCTACAGCAGCAACAGCTTTTACAAACACCACCACTTCCTTCTCAACCTTCAATTCCTGTAACAAAACAGCAAGTATCTCAGTCAATCATGGTAACTCAACTGCCTTCCACTGGCACTACACTTAGTACGCCACAACAACAACTACCACAGCAGCAACCTATACAGCCCCCAAAACTACCCGTGTTACCCCCACAGTCTTCCTCTACGGCAGGAAGTAGCACATCATCACAGCCTAATACACAGCAACAGCAAACAATTCAGGTTGTACAGCCAACAACTCCATCTACCACTGCACCTGTATTCAAAACACCTGCTCTACCCGTCCCAGGGAATGGATTGCAAATACCAACAAAATCAGCCGCAGCACAAACGTAAGTTTTTCTATACCTACGTGTTTTCATTCTGCTACTTCGTCATCAATTTAACCACATTCTCCACTGCTCATTAATCGATAGTAAAATTGTTGCTCCAAATGGAATAGCATCCTCATCATCGCAAGCAGGTGCTGCATCAGGCGGTGCAGGAGCATTGACAGAAACAACAGGGTCAGCAGGAGGAGTGTCAGGGACAGCAGCAAGTGGAGGAGGTGGCAGCGGAGGCGGTGGCAGCGATAGAATTGATTACGATACCCTAACAGATGTCATGGGTTATGCTGGTGTCGACTTACGAGAGGAAGCCGAACATTTTGTTAGAGAAGGACAAGATACTAGCCTACCTGATGGTATCGACAGGTCGAGATATCAAGATTTTATGAACATAGATATGCTAAGGGAGCGATTACTCGGCTATGGTAATTTTCATATTCTTTTCATTTGTATAACTATTTTTGCTTCAAAGTCATTCTAATTATTTTTTTTCAACAAATATAGCGAAATACGTCAATATTAAGCGCGTTGACAATGATTTTGTGGCATATATTGCGTTAGCCACGCAAGATCGATTACGGCAGGTAATGCAAAATATGGTGAAAGCATCAAAACACAGAACTTTTGATCCGTTTGATGAACCACCAATGATATCGACCACTACACTAGCTACAGTGTCTAAGGGACAGAAAAGGTTCCTGGAAGAAGAGGACGAAGAAGAGGAAGGAAAGGGAGAAGAGAACAATAAATTATATCCGTTGTATAAAATACACGTTAAACAGAACGTAATGCAACAATTGGCCACTTTAGAAAAAGTAGACAGACAAACAACTTTAGATTTAGATACTAATGCTATGGATGGAGATGACGACGACGATGAAATGCCTGATATGGACGAGAAAGTAAGACCTGTGAAAGGCTGGTATTCAGCAAAACTTAGACAGTCTCTTCCAACTCGCTTCAAGACCGAGCAAAAGCAGCCAAGGAAATTAACGGTTAAAGATGCAATCTTTGCAATGGAACGCGATGTGCAAGCAGGAAGAGGAACAAATCAACGTACACTTTTGAAAGCGTATAATGGCTGGCTCAAGTAAAATTTTATTTATAAACCCTTCTCAAAATGTGTTGGATAATTGAAAAATAAAACATCGTGTTTTCAATGAATTATAAATCGCATGATCTAGAAACAATATCTTTAACATATGGAGATTCTCTTTTTTAAAAGTAAATGTGGTTCAGAATCGTTTATCAAAAAATATGAATTGCTTAAATCTGTAATCGTGCCTACAATAAATTTTAACTCTGTACTTACACACGATGCATACCAATGTCATCCAAGGACGGCAGTATATAATATTTGTTTCAAAATGAAAACTGTTGTATCAGTAAGGATGTTCCCCTACAATCAGTCGGTAATTGGTCAGCATCAAATAACAGGATCTAGTTTCACAAGTTATTGAAAAAGAAAGAAAGGGATGTTTCGATTATTGCAAACTCGGTTTAGGTTCCAGCCTCTATCCTACTTGATTCTACTCCAACATGGAAACATTCCAGCCGACCACCGAACTGCAGCCATATAGAAGAAGAAAAAGCAAAGTTCAATGTCATATTCCATAAACCTCACCAACTATGTACGACACGTCTACAGTAAGTAAGGGTTATTCGTCAACTTTCAAACAGATGTACCAACAATAATTGTCTGAAGACTAATACACTTAGGCTTTATAGCCGTGGTTTTGTCGCTGTCGCACATTTTGAACACAACTCAACAAATTCTGAGAAACCGATATGAGGTTGGCATCCTTACGCCTACAAACTCCTGCTTCGGCGAAACAAAAACCGACTTTAATAGTTATTGAACGCGTCAAACATAATGCACTTGCAGGAGCTGATTCTTGTTGAACTAGGCATATAGCAGATGCCGAGCCTTCTATTCATTAAATGGGTGACCCAAATGTTTTACTTAACCCCCTTTCACCGAATGTATATCCAGTTCGTTAGTTACGAGTAACATGTATTGGATGTATGACTTCTTTTTTAAATCTGCCGACATACACGCTATTCAAAGTGCGATAGGATTCTCCGAAGTGTGCACTCTCACTAAAAAGTGCCGAAAGGAATTTGCTTGCAAGTGATACTTAGACGAAAGAATATTTTGACTTAAACAGTATTCTTATGCATCAGCTCGGAATGATCGCTTCTATAAGCGTTTTTCGTTTTCTTTTGAGTCAACAATATTTATGAGTGTTGTTACAGGTGACGGTCTATTGGTTAGTACTTCAATTTGATATACTTATAGCAGAAGCATAACAAAGACAGTGAAATACATAAACCTTATGTCTTACCTACTTTTCCCGAAGGGCACAATCTATAGTTTTAGAAGGACCACAGGATAGAAGTAGGTGTGTAGACTAAAGAAAAGAGAAACCCCTGTTCTTAAGGTTTGCAAGCTTTTATACGAGAGTAAGAGTGAAAAAGTCAGCAACTTACGCTAAGCCACTATCGAGATTGGAATGGCCGTCAACCTCCCAAACTTCTAGCTGTCACATAACCAAATTGAGCCTTTTGTGAGCAATTTTGACCCACTGTTAGCTTCAATAGAGCGTGTTTATTTCTATATGAGTTGGTGTTTTCGTAATGTAAAATTGTAATATCGTTGAAATAGGAATAATTTTGTATAATATAAATTTGAAGACTACGAAAGCTATCATGACAAAGCAATTCTTCCTTCTGATAACATATCTATACCTACCCAATACTGTCGTGTTCTTTAGCACTTTTTAGGTCGGCAATGGAGGTGATACGCTTGATTGAATCAAATCACTCTTCTTTTCCAAATCATTATTGCATGAAGACTGTAAACTTTTCAAGATTGATTGAAGATGGTTGATAGCCTATTTATATTTCGTTCAGATTATTGATTTTTATTATCTTCCAATCTTCTTCCTGTTCTATTGTTTGCATCTCTCTTCATGCATCAGAAACATAAATTATCACTTAACATAAAAATGTAAACTACTTCTTCAACTTTATTGGAAAATGCATTATTGGCGAAACCAGAAAAATGTGTTTGTATGCTGGCTATACTCAGGGCACTGCATTCACGAAAAAACCTGTATAATACTTTGTAAGCCATTTTTTGCTTTCAAGGAATCACACTTAAAAGACCTATAAGAAGCATTCAATTGGAACATAATTGCTGCGATAATAACAAACTATTTACTTCCAAGTAATTGCTGGAAGGGTTATTGTTCCTTACTTGAACCATGAGGATGGCATTTCTTTAGGTCCGTGGTTTTTGTTTCTTTTCAGTCTATCTCCAGGCTGAAAATTAACTTCTCTTCTTAAAACCATAGTATATCTGCTTTATTTCCTGATGATGGTTGATTTCCATTACCTGAGTCAAAAGTTATAAAATATCCGGTTGATTCCCTTATCCTTCGGTTTCTTCGATAAGCAAAATGTTTTTAATCTGTTGTGGTATAATTCAAAATTGTTGTATGGGGCGAGGCATTTTTGAAGAGAAGAATCTTTTTCACTTGACAGACTCGCATCGTATAATATTCACGCTCTTCTCTTACCGTTCTATAAGCTTTGATCCTCGGTTTTTTCTTCGCCCATCAGAAAAGAGTTAAGACGCTTCCTTTACATTTCTATAAAAATCTTTGTCGGTTTGCTTTGAGCAGCATATGCTAGAACGAAACCACCGTTCTCAAAAAAGAGCTGTTGTCCCCTTTTTTGATGCGATCATCCCAGCTCTTTTTAAATGACAATAGCAGAAAGGAACCTGATAAACGGACTAAGGGTTTCTCAATAGCCTTCTGTTAATTGGAGTTACAGTTAATCATTATCATTTTAACCTTTTAATCGAGCGTTAATTTTAGCAGCCATTAAAACCATTTACTAATAGTAGGTCCAACTTCGATATTCGTGTTACAAAGGCTACCTGAGCTCCCTTGCTTATCGCATTCTTCCATAAGACACTCGACATAAGCTATGCGTCTTTATTCTGATGCATAAAAGGCTTGGATGTTTGATATGTGAATCCATGTACCTTTCCTCTGCTTCTTCCAAGAGCTAAGTGAACATACAAGATTATAAGGCGACAAGCAACTGATCATCAATGATATCCTCAAAAGACATGAAGATCTGATAACCACGCTCATTCTTAAGAAATTCAAGCTACAGAAAAGCGCTATCTTTATCCAAAGCATACAGAACGGCAAACGTAATATGGTGGGCATACAGATATTCTACTAAGGGCATAGGCAATCCATGAGGACAATTCCTCCAATTGTGAACCGTTTAAGTAAGACTCTAATCCCTTACTATTTGATTTTGGTTCAGCTCAAGCCTTAGTAATTTCTCAATAGCCTTCCAATCGAGAATGGCTTCCGACCTTGTCCCCCAGCCACTCCCTTACTAGAATTAACAACGTTGATTCTATAAAAGTCTTCCAAGACCGAAGAACAAGATTTTGATGTAATCATTCAGACTCAACTTTAACTCGTGCATCGAGCAGAAAGAATACGGTAATGGCGGCCTTACAATCAACCTTTCTAATGCTTCTGGCCCTTTAATCGGGCTGATCTGCTTTCATTGACAGCGTACCAACGTGGTTGCACTTTATGCAAGAGACTCGATTATGGTGCGTACTGTTGTAACTTTTTGTATCATCAACAGCAATCTTTTTGTCTGTGATCTTTTATTTCATAACCAAATGGGATGGCAGCTAGCTGTTTTGTTATATCAATTCAAGCAGTCATCTACTTTATCGGAGAAAAGAATGACGTCTTCAGTGATATTAGAGGACAGTATGTGATACACGTGTGTCTCGTCTAAACTTTTAAGGTTGTTGTCAGCAATGTTTGTCATGGCTTTTTTGGGATTTCACCGATCATTACGAACACAAGGGACGAGAGACTCCTGTAGGCTCACCTGTGAAGTGACCAAATGATTTTTGGAAAGTTAAGGTTTTCCGCAGTTTCTGAATTCTGATTTCTGAGACTGCTGCTTCCAAATCCTTGGTGAAAAATTTGATTAAATGGAGATTAGTCTTGATTTATAAGACATTACATTTCAGAGTCAGTTGATTTGTAAACATCTATGAACCCTTCTGCCACCTACAAACTTTTCGGCAGCAATTGTGGAGATTAAGTTCCCTTACAAAGCCTTAATAAGAACCTACAGCCTTCATACTTTTTCATGGGATTATGGCTATATGTATAACACGCAGCCCTTATTTTTTTTGGCAACCTTGAAATTCATTCATCAGTCAAAATCACCTGCTTAGGCATTTAGAATACAAAATATTGCATGGTTGTAACGGATAATTTCTTGATAATATATTTGAAAGACATTTCCGGCTCCTTCATTTTCTCCACGGTGGGATAATAACAACGATCTGAAATGTTTAGGGTTTAAATCTGATAAAACAGAGATTCAAATAATCCTGAAAGTCAGTTTATCTGCATGTTTAAAAGTATTCTATCGCTAATAACACTGAAACTCCAGCAAATATGTGTAAGTCCTAGGTAGAAATCAGAATCTACCACTCAACAATAAATGACAAGGAGATATTCTTAGTTACATTTGTGGCTGCAGCCCTTGTACCATTTGTGGAACAGAGCGATCGTACGGTCACTTATTGGCCGATTTGTAATGGATTTGAGACTTTGGGAAAATGCATAAGAAATGACAAAGATTACCAACGTTGTCAGTTGTTGAGCATCTAAGCAATGATAGATGCGTAAAACATGTCTGATTCACCTTTTATAGCAAAGCCTTGGAGTATACATGGAGGTTAAATGGAAATATTCACTTCTTGGTACAAACATTTCATTTCTGATTTAATATAAATACGACGTGTCCGTCGTCTAATCTGGCTAATTTTTTCTTCATTATCTCTTAATCACTTTTCTTATCTTACCTATTTAACAATGCGTTTCTCTCTCACTTCTGTCATCCTTGGCGTTGCTGCCTTAGCCTCTACTGTCACTGCTGACATCTATGACCGTCTTAACTTGAATGAAACCGCTTTCTTGTTCGTCGATCATCAAACTGGTCTCTTCAGCTTGGTAAAGGATTTTGAAGACGATCACTACCTCAACAGTGTCATGGGTCTCGCCGAAACAGCCAAGTATTTTGATGTCCCTGTCATCTTGACCACCTCTCGTGAAGATGGTCCCAACGGTCCTTTACTTCCCGAATTGAAGAATATGTTCCCTGATGCCCCTATCATTGAGCGTCCTGGTCAAATTAACGCTTGGGACAACGAAGACTTTGTCAAGGCTGTTGAAGCCACTGGTAAGAAGCAATTGATTGTTTCTGGTATTGTCACCGATGTCTGTGTCGCTTTCGTCGGTCTTTCTGCTAAGGAAGCTGGTTATGATGTCTTTGCTGTCACCGATGCTTCCGGTACTTTCAACGCAGCTGTTCGCGAAGCTGCTTGGTTGAGAATGCAACAAAAGGGTGTCCAATTGGTGAACTGGTTCAGTGTTGCTTGCGAATTGGCTCGTGATTGGCGTATCGATCTTGAAGGTTTGGGTAACTTGTTCGCTAAGCGTTTGCCAAGCTATGCTCGTGTTATGGATTCTTACAATGGTGCCCAAGCTGTTATCAAGGGCAAGGATGACAAGGACTCCAAGGACAAGGATAACAAGAAGGATTAAATACATTAAGCCGCTTTTCTAATCCATATCTTTTTACATTTTTAATTGGATAATATCCATGTACAATTAGTAACAATTTCTCATTAACGTATTCACTCTTCATTAAAATATACATTCTGCAATAAAAGTAATTCATTTTCATAACAAAGCACAAACCAAGAGTTTTATGTTCACATTAATATAAGTATGTGTGCATTAATTGAGAAGTGCGAGGGTATTGTTGGATTTATTATGATGTTTTCTACTTTTTTTTAAGCTTTTTGTTGTTTTACAATTAAGTAACGTATTTGAAGTCTATGAAATAGGATGATGGGGTTTCGTCTTTCGTTTGCAATACAATTTGTGGTAGGGAGGAGCGGGAGAGGGAGAGGGAGAGGGGAACAGACTATTCTTCAATTATAATGAATATACTAGATGAGCGAAAAATCCTTACGGAAAGAAGCGAGTTTGTAATTGTAGAAATACGTTGTATGTATAAAATGCGTATAGTCAGTTGAGGAGATGGAAAACATGTATATATACATATGACACATCCTGATCTAAACGCTTGGTGAAGGTTCCAAAATTGCAAGATATCAGCTATCTACCGGATTATGTTGGTTTGAACAAGCGTAAGCATTTGTTGATATGGAGCTTTGAGAGGAATCATAGGTTAGGGAGGGGGATACTGAAAGACTACGAGGCGGTGGTGAAAAATGTTGCAATAAAGGAGATACTTGGCTTTGATGTCTATGCAACTGAATCTTCCTCGGGCGTCTTTTCCCTGCAAGTTCCTCGGGTAACGAGGACCTAAATAAAGAAAGCAATCGTTAAAAATTGATATTTTACCTACACCTCCAAGTTTATAATTTCAAAGTGAGATCGTACCCTTTCACGTTATTGATAGTAATTCCCATCACCTTGTGATCAAACTTATCCCACATTTTGACTGATTTTAGAAACTCATTCGTTGGCCAGACAAGATTCAGCTTTCTTGGTCCAGAGGAATCATCTCTGCTGGGCTCGACCTTTAAGCCAATATAAAATATGGTGGTATAGATAGGCTTTAAGATGGCTCTTTCTTCTGGTTTCAAAAACGTGAACGACTTGATTCGCTCTTCTTCGTTATGGTCTCCATCCAAATCAAACGATCTCTCTGATATCCGAAAATCACCGTGAGCTGCATCCCAGCTTTCTTTACCGGGAAAGCAGTAGTGAACTTTATCAAATCCTTTTATATAGGGATGTGCTATTTGTAATAGTTCCACTAATTCCAGCTTTAATACGAGCTGTCTTACTTTTGACTCCACTAAGCCAGACCAATGTAGCTGCGCTTGTGCTGAGTACGAGCTGGCGACAATCTGTAGATAATGATTGTAAATTTGGAAAAAGTCCGTTTCTTCAAAAAGATCTACCCATCTCCCTGTACCGATCATGATCTTTTCTGCTATTTTCCCTGACTTACGGAATTCATTGAGCATGATATCGCGCGTTGAATCGGTTACGTTGTGCGTTGCGCACATGGAAGGATAGGCTGGAGTGATAACTGGCATTCGATGGCTTTTATCTGCTGGAAATAACTATGGTCATTGCAAAAAGTTTCAGTCATATTGTAGATGTAGTAAGTATAGGACAAATGATGAGATGTAACTTAAATTATCAAAGTTACCTTGGGGTTCCATTGTCTCACTGGTAAAGGACCTTCATCCATCGATTTCAATATAACAGGTTGCGGCCATCCCCACTGGTACATGATTCTGAAAAATCGGGTCACAATGGAGGCAGCACAAGCATTCGGATACATCTGGCATACTCTGGCAACTAACATGGCCCATGCAACACCACCCAAAAACCCCATGATATTTGAATAAATGGCTCTTTTTTTCGCCCATAACTTAATTGTTCGTAATGCTAACCTGAAAACAGGCACACTAGGTACAAGTCGTAAAATCTCGTCTGTCACGCGAGAACCATTTAGGCTACGGATACATCTTTCGTCCAAGCCCGATAATATGTTGTTGTCCGATAAATCGAGATCATCGGGTACCACTGCCATTGATAGACTTGCACATACAAAATCAATCTTTTTTTGGATGGGTTGGATGGGTGATAAGTTGAAATTAAAAAGAATTGTTACAACTAAATATAGGTCATCACAGTCATTGAAAGGAGAGAAGATAGATTGAGATAACTTACGGGTATTCCAGAAAAGTGCATTCGTATCACAGGCACGTAAGCATCTTCAACAGCCTAATAGAGCGGTAAAATTTGATGTGAGTATGTGTATTCTCGTCTGCAAAGATGTGTAATGCCCTTACAGTCAATTCTGTCACTTCTGGTCTTTCTTTTAGCATATCATACATTATAGTGAAAAAATGATCTCTCTCGACATGCTTAGGCAATACACATAAAGTATCGATATCAGCTCCTAATCATTACAAAAGAATTCATTCCAAGTTTGAGAACTGTAATGCGCTAAGATTAATAATCGACTTTTGATTTTACCTGTGTTATAGACGCCTAACTTGTAACTTCCAAAGGTAAAAATCTTTCCGCCGGCATTCTTTGCTTCTTTTTCAGTTAAGCCTTGTAGTTTACCAACACGGTAAACAAAATCTTTTACAATTATATTCAATTTATTCAAAACATTGACTCTATGACATCGTAATGGTGTTGTTGAATCAACATTCAATGCATGACAAAATTGTTAGTTTGTCATCGCTCGTCTGTCGAATTTTCCCTGCTGTGCATAAAGAATATTTCTGTGCGTGTTTGTACCTTTTCTGAGCTTCTGCTTCACTTTCGAATAGTCCAAATCTATGGAGCGTCCGCACCAAGTCTTCTGTTAGTTTCAATTCATGGTCAGTTGGAAGTTCTGTGGATACGGGAGCCGTGACGCCCCACTGTTGTTGTTTGTTGTACTGAGACATAAAATTGAACTGTCGTATCGTTTATGAAATAAGCTTAAAATATCGAACAAAGTACAAAGGTAGGTCTTTGATTACGGCAGACAATTAGAGCAAAAAAGGCGTGCTGGTATTCACAAAGTAAACTATTCGATTGTAACTAGCTGTTCGTCTATTGATAAATGAGACAGAGGGGAAAAAGTAGAAGTATCACATTAACAAATTGTTCGCTTTTTATAGCAACTTTCTTGATTTGAATTTTTATGTGACGCTTTGTTTATTAACACCACAACTCAACAGATCAGAGTTTTTGACACGAAAAGCAAAAATATTTGACTTGAAGTTCGTTATTAACAGAACATCTTCCCCCTTTCCGTAAAAACGTTTCTGATTGTTATATACAGTGCCTCTTTTTTCTTCATAACATGACTAAAATTATTTCACTCACTACCAACTCTAGTTATCTACTAAAAAAGTGACTCTTTATTCATAAAATACACAGAAAATAATCATCTCATCAAATGGTATGGCCCTTGTGAGTTCGACGAAGCATGCTACATACAGTTTAGAAACAAACAACGAATTAGTGATTTGCATAAATAGAAGCCCTTCTCCTTCGTAAAATAGAAAAGAAGGAGATTATGATGGAAACATTCAGAGGCAAAATTGGTATTTTTCATTGGATGGAAGCAGGTAACTCTAAGAGTACCTTACTAAAATACTCGTTCATTTATACTCACCATTCATGTAATTTCGCAAAATTCAGCATATGATGCTTTTCTCGTAAAGCCTTGACTCTTTCTAACTCACACATTACCGTATCAAACAATGTTCGACTACTAATCCTGCCTACAATTTATGCCCTTATTCAACGGTATCATTGTTATTATGCGTTCATCAATTCTGTGGTTTCTTTCTTCTAGTGTATACAGTAGATCACACTATGTTTAATTTTGAAGTAGGCCTGCTATTCATACTTCCAGAATAGATCACCACTATCAACTGTCGTAGGCTTAACACGAGGAGCGTTCAGTTAACGAACACTAGAGTAGTTATACCCATCACGACCACTCAATTAAAATGAACCCTAACTTCAAGATTCAATCTTTATCTTTAACTTTGCTATCCAAAGCTTTTCACGAACAATGCCCATTGCTCATTTTCTTAAGGCGTAGTAAGATTAAATAGCGTACGTGACTCCTGCATTTTGCTTTGTTTTGGTTAAAGGCATTCCGTTGGTAGCTTATGTAATGAAAACCTTGAAATTCTTTAGGATTGGCATTTGACAGTATTTGTAGTCTTGGACGTTTGGTTCCGAAACTGGTCTAATAAAATGATCTCGTCTGTATTCAGGTGCAATCGAAGTTTCACTGTTGTAAAAGATTGGTTAGATTGTTCTGAGACGGAAACAGAAAAAAATAAAGTCAAGGACCAAAATTCGTAGAAAAAATGCTTTTCTTCTCTCTTTAGGAGAACCATGCTGACTTCACTTTTAAAAAGAAGAAAAGTCTTTTTGTATAGTGTAATAACTTTTGTATTTTTACTTTTCACCATCTTTTGTTATATATACAATGGAAACGAAGAATTGAGAACCAATGTAACAGATACTAGCATTGATAAGTCCAGCCATACTGCAGTAAATGACAGTATTCAGAAAATTGACAGCAATAAGCCAGACTTCAAAGATAAGGTCAGAGGCTGCTTTGTTATCCTAATTCGAAACAGTGAATTGGAAGGCATTGTGTCCACTATGCACCAAGTTGAGAAAACATTCAACAATAAATTCCAATATCCTTATGTCTTTTTGAACGACGACGATTTCACAAAAACGTTCAAAAATACCGTCACTGCTATCACCAATGCCAAAGTTTCATTTGGAATCATAAACTCGACTATGTGGGGATATCCAAAATTCATCAACCAAACTTATGCAGCAGAAACGAGGGAAACTATGGCTAAAATGGAAATCCCTTATGCTACCAGTGAATCTTATAGACATATGTGTCGATTTCAAAGCGGATTCTTCTTCAGACATCCTCTTCTGGATGAATTTGATTTTTATTGGCGATTGGAACCTTATACAGATTATTATTGCGACATCGATTATGATGTATTCAGATATATGAAAGAAAACAAGAAAAAATATGGTAAAAGCTTGGACATCCAGTTATCCATATAACCGAGCAGTTGTATTAGATGCTAACCATATAAACATTCTCAATAGGCTTTACTATTGCTTATAAAGAACATATCGAGACAGTTCCTACTCTTTGGAATACAACCATCAAGTTCTTAAAAGATAACCCTGACATAGCCAAGAAAATGCCAAATCCGAATGAGAGTTTTTTTGACTTTGTCACAAACGATGGCGGCCTAAGCTACAACACTTGTCACTTTTGGTCCAACTTTGAGATTGGCGATCTTTCACTGTGGAGATCAGACGCTTATTTACGATATTTCAAATATTTAGATGAGGCGGGAGGCTTTTATTATGAGAGGTAACGCCCATGATCAGCGTTTGTAAATCGATTATTGTAAGAGTCAAAGTTAACTTTATTATGTTGCTGATGACAGATGGGGAGATGCACCTGTTCACAGTATAGCTGCCGCCTTTTTGCTGAAAAAAGATGAAGTACATTTTTTCAAAGATATTGGTTATAGGCATACCTCATATACCCATTGCCCTGTTGAGCAAGAATTCAGGTCAAAGTGCACTTGCAATCCAATCATCAATTTCGGTAAGTAATTCTGTATGCAGCGCAAAACCTTCAACAATTACACTAATACTGTTTGCCATCTTTTTCCAAATTTAGATTATGATGAAGAATTGAGCTGCTATCCAAGGTTCGAGCATGTTATGAACCCACTGTATACACAAGTTTTCAACTTACCCTCTCTGACTAAGCTTAGCTCGTGACGTTCCAGCGATTTGAACACAAAATCAAAAAATTTTGTAACAGCATAAATTTGGTACAAGCATTGCATAATAGTGATCCCCATAAATTACCTTTTCTGAACAATTGGTATGACGCAAAAATGGGTCTGCACAGATTTTCTGTCACTCCCGCAAAATACACCTGCCCAAATTTGTCTTTAGCAACTCTTTTCCTTGCTTTTTTCCATTACTATTCATCCTTTCTATTTATTTATTGTATATCAATAAATTCCTAATCATGACACCGAAGACTGATGTACCTAAATACACACCTAGCGCAGAATTGTCAAAGGCAATGCATGAAATTTTTGACGAAGAGATTCTGAAGCGCGAACAGCTGTTCGAATTGATGGACGCAATCAAAGTTGACTTAAAAGAAGGGCTTGTGAAGCCCCATAACGGTACGCTAGCATTGTAACAAAACTGGTTGAGACAAAGTACGAGAGGATCAATGAAAGTTTCTATGGAGAGTACTAACACACAAACATCAGTTCCAATGTTGCCCAGTTTCGTAACCAACTTACCTACCAGAACTGAGCAAGGAATTATTCTAGCCGTTGATTTAGGTGGCAACCACTTAAGAGTCTGTCTTTTCGAATTTCATGGTGAAAAATACATACATTATCAGGACCAGTACCCAATTACAGCCAAGCTAAAGTCAGGAACTTTTGAGGAACTATCAGACTACATTGCAGATGCTGTTATAAAGTTATTGGAGAAACATAAACCAGACTACAAGGATAACAAATTATGCTTGGGTTATACTTTATCATTCCCTATATTACACGCGGATTTAAAGAATGGTTCACTTCATGCCTGGTCGCGAGGATTTACTTGTGCTGAAGGCATCGGGAAAAATCCAACAGAGGTCCTGCAGCACAGTTTCAATAAGAGGCATACAAATATACTAGTGGTCACGGTAAATCGCAACCATAACAAAATCCACAGTAGTGATGTATTTCTTTGCGCTTAAAGTACGCTATCTTGCTTAACAACACTAGTTAACCAACGATGTCGTGGCAACATTTATGGCAAGTTCTTTCAATAATCCTAAAACAATCATCAGTATGGTGATCGGATGTGGATTCAACATGGGTATAAGCATATTATTTATTCTTGAAAAATTCTTAGATAAATATACCAACTATTTTTCTTTATGCTATAAACGCTCATCTACGAAACATACAGGCTTTCGGGAAAAGGTTGCTCATATTAAACATTGGCCATCAGAAGATGCGCGAAAAACAGCATCTAAATATGAAGATATGCTTATCAATACAGAAATCTGCCAATTTTCTCAAAAACAACATGGTATACGTTTGAACCGCTACGAACGTGCTATCAACTTGATTTCCACTCATCCACATGAATTTGTATGCGAAAAGATGATCGGTGGAATGTATATTGGTGAGATTGCCCGCCATATGTTTTTAGATCTTGCTTCCCAAGGCTTGTTATTTAGTGGTGGTCGATCGATGAAACATTTAGAGGAAGTATGGTCATTTACATCAAAACATATGTCACGAATTGAAGCGGATACATCAGAAGAATTAGAGGTAGTGGAAGATATTTTGAAGAAAGAGCTAGAAATAGAGACAACTTTGCTTTGTGAGAGACAAGCTGTAAAAAAAATAGTGCAGGCCGTAGGAACAAAGTCGGCGCAATACGCAGCTTGTTGCCTTGCAGCTGCCCTTTCATTCATCATAGAGCGAGATAATCTCAGTAGCAGTGAGAACTACGTAGTTGGTATTGCTGGAAATTTGTTTGCTCATTATCCTTATTATGAAGATAGAATGAGAAAGACTGTAGCTGAATTGTTAGGAGATGATATAGAAAAAAAGATTAAAATAGAGAAAATTCAAGACGGATCTGGTTTAGGCACAGCTCTAATTGCCTTCAATAACAAATAAAGTAGCATGTCATTGAAATTGATCCTACAGAGACCGTCGCTTCGGTACGGGGAGCGAAACAATAGCGTTAAATTACGTTTAAACAGAGATTTTATTACATAATATTAATTTTTTAAAGCCCAATGGACACGAGATATTAAGCTTATCTAAATTGCCCGGGGCAGCTCCAAAGGCTTAAAAGAAACTAAAAACCCCTTAGGGCTCAAGGGTAAAAAGGATTATGTACTAAAGGATTGTGGGAGGGGAAGAGGGTAACCAGTCGAGCAATAGGTGCCCTAACCGAGGAGTTGTAGGCGGCTCTTGAGAGTGGTGTAAGTAGTCGATAGCGTTAAATTACGTTTAAAGAGGTTTTTATTGACAAAATATTTTCTTTAAAACCCAGTGGGCACAATGTTATATAAAATTGCCCGGGGCAGATCCGACTGTTTATAGCGTTAAATTACGTTTAAAGAGAGGTTTTTATTGACAAAATATTTTCTTTAAAACCCAGTGGGCACAATGTTATATAAAATTGCCCGGGGCAGATCCGACTGTTTATAAAGTATCTAAAAAGCCCTTCAAGGTCAAGGGTAAAAACGAGTTTGTCACTAGGTTGAGTGATTAGGAGGAGCCATCCATTGGAGCAGTAAAGATCCTAGAGCAACATCCAAGGGTGGGGGTTCTTTGACATGGAATAGGTAGTCTAGCTCATATAGGATGTAGCAGAGGATCGGCCATTGGTGTTCCCATTGACGTTTTATCGTAGATTGGCTAGGCGGGTGGTTAGGTAGCTGATTTAGCAGATAGGAAAGGGGATCATCTATTTGCTGTGGTTGCTGCAAACGCGAGTGCATATTCAGGCATTGGATTGAGTGTGTCTTTGTTAACAATGCTGAGGGGTGCCGGATGCAGTAGGTGGTGTTACCACTAGGTAACCAACCAAGTCGCCAACGAAGACATCGACTTCTTTCTTCTCTTGTCATTGGGAGCCATAATATGGGATCTAAACTTAATGTTGGGCGGCAGACGGATATGAGCTTAGAGTTTGTTGGGGCGCTTTGCATTGCTTGTAGGGATTCTGTACGAAAGTCTCTCAGGGACTGTTTGAGATTTTTCTGATCCATTGTCTGGGCGTTTTCCTTGGTTCTTTGCCAGAGAGGTGTACGAGATAGCTGAATCCAGATAGAAGAGCTATTTGGTTGTTGTACATATGGCAGCAGTAGAGACAGTAGGGCATCATCTGGGAGTGTTTGTGATCGTAACAGGAATTTAGCTTGGAGAGTGTAGGCTCTTTCTCGCATTGAGGGTAAGTTGGCTAAGTGACGCATTATTTTGACAGAGGATCGAATTGACCCACCAAATATCCTGCGAATGCATTTGTTCTGTACTTTTTCCAGTTTCATATGATTTGTCCTGTTCAGTTTGCTTATCGCCAATCCGTATTCCAGTTGAGGGCGGACCAGATGAGCGTAGAACCTGAGAGATAGTCGCTTATTAAAGCCGTTATGGTTGACTCCAATCGACGATAAGGTGTTCATAGTAGCCAAGGCTTTGGTCGTGTTGATATGTATGAGCTCTGGAGTGTCCAGATAACCACCGGGCTTGAAAGGAACTCCCAGATATGGGAAGGAATTGTTGTTCTGTAGTGTGGATCCATAAAGGAGATATTCCATCGTTGGTTGATCAGAAGACGCCAGTATTACACACTTGTCAGGGTTCCATCGGTAACCACGGGAGTAACTATGCTGTTCACATTTTTGAAGTAGGGATTGCATTTGGGATTCTTCGGCAATCAAGACCACATCGTCCGCATATAGTAAACAGTTCATGTTCCGAGCTAATTCCAATGGCGGTAGATCATCCACTCTTTCTTGGGTTCGTAGTTGAGTAGGTAGGTCATTGATGTAGTATGAATACAGTAATGGCGACAGAATAGAGCCTTGTAGCACACCGGTAACTGGGCAAAAACGTGAGGACTTAGCATTTTGTAGCAGTATCTCTATTTCCACTTCATCAAAGAGGCTCTTAAGTAACATAAGGAGAGCTGTCGGTACGTGATGGCGAATTGTGTTCCAAATATGTTGTCGATCCACCGTGTCATAAGCAGATTTAATATCCAAAAAAGCTAGTACTGGGTTGATGCGATGGTGTCGTCGTAATATATGGCATATTTCAGCCAGGCAAAGTGCTTGGTCTAAGGAGCTACGTGCAATACGAAAGCCTCCTTGGGCTATATCTATGGTGGGGCCGTTTCCGATAAGGTATTCCTTAAGACAAAATTCGAAGATCTTCCGAAATACGGAAGTCAGGCTGACTGGACGGTAGTTGCCTGGGTCGTCCGGAGGACCTTTCTTGTAGATTGGTATTGTTTGTGCCACTCGCCATGTCTTCGGTGTATAGGACCATTGCCAGCAGAGGCGGAATGAATACCATAGATGGGGTGTAATAATATCTACAACAGGACGGAGCATCTCAATGCGAACGTCATCAATACCTGGAGCTTTCTTTGTGGGCAACGAGGTGAGGGCCGTATGTATCAAATCTTTGTCGATAGGGAAATTTTCCAGACTGTAGGGAGCTGTCTCTTGGAGTGGAGAGTTGTTGGATGGACTGCGGTCTTCTGGGAGATATCGTCCTGAAAATATCATTTCCATGTGAGTAGCCATCTTATTTGCTGCTTCTTGAGGCCCTGCTATGTTAGAAAAGGAAGGCTTTAAGTTTCGTCGTTTTTTTATTTTGCTAAACCGTGCAATGGCTTTAGTAAATTCCTTGTTCTCCATGGTTGAGCAGAATTGTTGCCAGGTTTCACGTTTGCGTTGATGTATTAATCTTCGAAGTTTGGCTTGGGTCTTTTGGTGGAGGATCCAGTAGTGAAGTGCATTAACTCCAACAGCTTTACGCCATTTACGATAGTAGTGTTCTTTTTTGTCAAACGTGTTTTGCATCTCCTCTGTCCAAAAATGTTCCATCGTGATTGTTCTTGGTTGTGTCATACGGCCACAGACTGTATCCAGTGAGGTATATATCGCTTCACACATCGCTTGGTTCAAATGTTCTATCTCTTCTACGGCCCGTGTTCTATGTTGCGGGTCAGTGTGGCTATTCGGGGAGCAGGCAGTTAGTGTTTCATTGAAAGTTTGGCGATAGCAATCAATTTTCTGAAGGTTTTTCAATTTACTCAAATTCCATATCCTACGCTGAGGGGGCAAGGTAGTCGGGATTGTGGAAGCGGTGCTGAAGGCAAGCGTCATGAATTTATGGTTTGAGTCTAGTGACATGTCGTCCAGGATGGTTAGTGTTGGTGTGAGTAGCTCATTATCACTAAAGAAATAGTCAATAATACTCCTTCCATTGTAAGTGATTGAGGTGGGTTGTCCATATTGCAGTCGGGCGTTCCAATTAACTAGATGATTAATTTGAATCCAATCATGCAGCAGCTTGCCACGGTATGTAAATGTCGAATCACCTGTGAGTGAGCCCATTCTCGCATTAAAATCACCGCATATGATAGTAGTGGTTGTGCCTGGCATTGAGGTTGGTATTTGCTCAAGAATGCTTTCTACTATGTCGTTGGGTAGTGATGGGGGGAGGTATAGGCAGTGGATAAGAAGTTTGTGCATTGTGAATGATAAAGTGTACTTAGCTAATAATGGTTGGTTTGTTGTGATGTGGTGGACTGGTAAGGAGTGGTTTGGGTTCACTAAAAGGGCTATTCCGTTTTGTCCACGGTAAGTATTTCCTACGGGTTCGCCATAAGTATGATATTGTTGCCAATGGGTGGGGTATCTATTGGGGATTAAGAGCCACGTTTCTGTTACAAGTAAGATATGAGATTTTTCCGCTAAATTAAGAATAGGTGTGATTGTTTGTTTGGGTAGGCCTGTTGCATTAAACAATGACATAGAGATACTAGTCATTATTGATTGTCCACCTCGAATTCCAAATCCGAGGGGTATTCATTCATTTGTTCGTCGTTGTCTGTGATGAAAATATCATTTTGAGTAGAGCTTTTGGCAGGCATGGTGGTCGTATAGGTTTCTTGGGATATCATATTTTGTTGGAAGAAGTATCTCGCTACTGCATATCTAACGGGAGTGCGAATGTAGGTGAGAGCACGATGGAGTCGTTGTTGATGAAGTTCTGTTGCTTTGGTCTGGCGTTCGCTATCTGTTAGGGAGTCATACTGGGGATCTTTCAGTAAGTTACCGTCTGTGGGATCAAAATTATCTGTAAGGTGTATTTTACATTTGCGAAGTTGGTCTTTGAACTCTTCGGCATAGTCATTGTGGACAAGGATTGCGACAATATTGCGGTCAGGGTAATGAATATCGAGGAGTCGGCTGTTGTTGATGCCTAAGATGCGAAGTTTACTGCGAAGTTGTCCGATGGGTATACGTGCTTTTGTCGGAATGTACACGTATTGGAATCCTTGAGTTGAAGAAGGAGGCTGGAAATGACGAGCGGCGACTTCTTGACGGTGTACGCGCTTTTGGTGTTGGTGAATCTCTAAATTGCGTCTTAGGAGCGCAACTTGAGCTGGATCTCTCCAGGGAGGTAGTTGTTGGGTTGAAGTAAGGGGCATGGGTGGCAAGTATGAATTGATGGGTGGTGGAGGCATCGCTTTAGGTGGTTGCGAAGAGTGCTGGGTGGTTGGTTGGTTACGGAGCGATGCTATTTCCTGCTCAGCTTTTTGTAGCTTTTGGCTCAATTCTTGTACCAATTTTGTAAGGTACGCTACTTGTTGTTGGGGGTCCTGGGGTGGGGCAGGGGAGTCCTCAGTGTTTGTAGGGATATCCTCGTCAATCGTTTCGACTGTTGTGTGGGTGGTTTCGGGCTGTTGGCTCTTCTTAATATGCTGAAGGATGGGTAGCATATTGGCAGCTTTAACTTGTCGGTTACACTGACTGCATTTAAAGATTGGTTGCGAAGGGTACGTAGGGTCTGAGCCCTTGCGGTGGTAGATCGTAAAGGCGTTACAAGCTGAGCAAAACAAATGTTTACGATATTGTTCAAAAAGAGTGTGGAGTTCTATGAGTTGGCTTTCATAGAGTACGATACTCCTGGTTGCACGACTTGTACGTTCAGTCGTCATGGGTGAGAGTGGTAGTATAAACTTTGGTGGACTTTCTTTGTCTACGATAGTTACTATTTTTATAGTTTTCAGTTACTTTCCAAAAAAGGCAATTTTCAAAAAAAAGTGTTTAGCGTTAAATTACAGTATTTTAGGTTTCATAAGAGACGATTTCGAAAATTTTGTGGACGAAATCGGAACCTTAGTTGGGACGTTTCTTTTTTTTTAGTGGACTATAGATTTTTGATTTTAGACGAAGTAGGCTTTTATGGTAGACGAGATATTTTGAGTAGATTTCTTTTGCTTTAAAATAAACACATCCCTGCAACATGGATTACATAAATCATAATCCTGCAAGTGAGCCTATGCTTTCCGAAAATACTTTTGCTATGGACTTGGATGAAATTGCTGTTACTTTCGGGCAAATTGAGAAGAACGTCGACTATGATGAGATGCAGCGCGCGGCGCCCTGTAGTCGATGATGCGAAAATGGAAGAAACTGTTGAAGAATTAACAACAGAATTCAGCACTATCGCATTAACGGATAAGTCCAAGAAGCGCAAGCAATATAGTGAGCACAGCATTAGACGGTTGATTCACTTAATCCAAGAGGCTGGGCTTACAGTTCCCAAAGCTGCGGTTGAGTGTGACATTCCGAGGTTCACCGCTTATAAGTTTTCAGATCAGTGGAATGTTAGTGATGGTACAGTCCTTCCTGGTAGCAAGCCAAGAACCGGCATCTCTCGACCAAAGAAGCTTTTTGCAGAACATACTGAGTTTCTTATAGCATTATTTGATGCGAGACCTTTGACAACAATTGAAGCTGCAAGACAGGAGCTCTGTGCCAAATTTGAAGGTTTGAGTAGACGTCTCAAAAATCTGGTTTGTACTGTCCATTCATATGGCAGCTTTGTTTAAATCCAACGCTAAATTACTGTATCGGATCAAATTTTTCAATATCTGCGTATTTTTTAAATGTGACATTAAACGCGTAAATCATACTGTTATTATAAATGTTGTTAAACGAAATGTTATGTTGCCAAAATTTAGTGATCATTCTTATCTTTCACCTTTTTCAATTATTTTCTTCTCTTCTTCTTTTCTTTCACTTCATTACCTTCAAACCAACGTTATTTTCTACACAGATGTACAAGACAATCATCATAGATAAAATCAATTCAGTGAAAGAAAATCATACCAAGAAGGAAAATCCGTCCGGTAATGGCATATCACTATACGGTGTGTAGTTTGACACATTAGTAACCTTATTGTACACTTTTCAGAGCATACCAAATGTAAGGACTGTAATGATTTGGGTCACTTTAATAAAAATTACCCGGGATGCAAGTACCATAAAGCTATATCCGCCGATGATGGTAAGTTGAGCCTCGACCTGTCTTTAGCCACACAAGCCAAGTAATAGACCATCTCTTCCACATATAGTTGGGACTCGCAATAAGAAGAGAAAACAGAGCGCCAGTGTTAAAGCAGAGAAGAAAGCAGTGAAAAAGAAGAGAACAGCATCACAGGCTGTAGAGTGTTCCAGTTGTGGGAATGACGACCATGCTTCTCCTCGTTCGCCTCTTTGTCCTAATCACATACAATCAAAAGGACGAGGCCATTGCATCTGTCCTTGGCCATGATTCTACTGTTTTTGCGAGGAAGCTTCCTATCGACAGTGCCGTTTTACCATAGTTTCGTAAAAAGTTCAAGGAAAAGGTCATCTCCTGCTGCAAGGACATCAGAGCTATAGTGTTTCGCTGCCAGCTATTTGTTAATGCCTACCTCGTGCATAATAAGAATGCCATTCCTTCAGAAGTCTTCACACAGCAATTTTGGTATTCTGTTGGACAACTCGTTACGGGCAAAAAGGTTACTCACAAGAAGGTGCTGAACGACGACATCAAAAATTATTTTGATGACTTTAAGGAAAAGCATCCGACAATAGTAATCAGTCAGAGCTTCACTAAAGGTTACAGCCACTGTCTCACAGAAGCCGCCAAGGAGATAAGCGTTTCGTATACTAACTCTATTGTTGAGCTTTTTGAACAACGAGTGCTTAAATATCTAACCTATAAGCTGCAAAACATGTTTGTTGTGCGTGTTGTTATCACTACTATAATTTCGATTTCTTAGTTTCTAACCATTTGTATTTGCTTTATTATAATCAGAGCATGAAGAAGGCCGACGCAGTGGAAATATCAAAAGCATACTGCTACCAAGTAATTTGCAAAGGCGAACCTAACTGGCCTGATAGAATCATGCTTAGTAAAGAAGACAAAAGCAAGATAGAGATGCTATGCAAAAGCTTTGAGAAACTTATAACGGAAAAGGTTACGCTGCTTTCCTTATCATCCGATCCCGCCAAGTTTACCAAAGCATTATGGCACATCCTATCCTCGTATGAAAAGGAACATGACGAACATGCAGCTTACGATGTCCGTAGATTACCGTTACCCAAGCGCTTCTTCCCTTTCCCTCTGCCTTCGCTCCATTGGCGTTTCATCTCCATAAGCATCAACTCGCTCCTCCCATTCATGTTTCCCGGTACAGCTCCAAAAGGCTATACAAATCAACTCGAAAAGTTTTATCAAGTATTCAGCTTCAAAAAGATGGGATTTGATAGGTAAAAAAAAAAAAAAAAAAAAAAAAAAAAAAAGGTTTGGCAGAAATGTTGTCATTGGTATTTACTGAATTTCATTTTTTGTGACAACAGTTGGAATGACCTCAAGACAAGCCAAGAGACCCTATTCCGTAATATCGTTCGCTCGGATGGCTTCACTGTCGACTTTATTTTTAGTAAGAAGAGGAAATCAAAAGAAGAGAAAACCATTGAAGACCATCGGTTGACTTTGGAAGATTTTGATTATGCCGAAATCGAATCTGGTTACAGGCCCTGCTTCATTGATCCCGGGAGAAAAGACGTCTTCACAGCAGCGATCGGGCTGGATGATGAAAAGCACCAAGTGCGAAGATGCTCTACCAAAGAGTACTATCACATAACTGGTAGCACCAGGTACTCTGCAAGGCTAGAGAAGAAGAAAGCGGACAAAATCAAGGGCATCGAAAGTGATATGCCAACTGCCAAGACAGGCTCCAAAGCCCAATATCACTGTTATGCAGCATACATCCTACAGCACTTGGAAGTCTTGTTTTCTTTCTACGGTGATGACACTGCCAAAGATCGATTTCATTTATACCAAGGACGGAAACGTGCAGCAGACAAAATGGTAAATATGCTAGTTAATGGCAGTACAAAGTATAACGAGGATCTCAGATTGAAGAAGAGAGAAGAAAAAGAAAAGAAGGGCTCAAAGAAGAAGAACACTGGCAAGGCGGTTTCTCAGAAAAGACGAAAAAAGAAGAAGAAAGGAGCACCAGAGAAAAAGAGTATAGAAGAAGGGACATCAAAAGTTAAAGTGGAATTGGAGAAGAAAGATAGGTAAAGTTCATAAGCAATCATCATCAACAACTTATAGAAAGTAACATGTTTTTTGTAATAGTAGTTCAAATGCCAAATGGAGGCCCCAACCCTTCAATGTCGGTGATGTCAAAAAAGTACCTCTCATTGTATTTGGCAATGGTATGTTCGCTAAAGACAATGTCGCATTCAAGGGTCACCGATGTGGAACGGTGGGTGTTTTGTGGCGTGCACTCAAGCGACGTGAAGCAAGCGGAGACTTGGTAGTACTTGAAATTGATGAATACAAGACATCCAGAATATGCACCTGCTGCTCTAACGATACTTTGGAGAGGTTGAAAGGCGTTGAGACCTGCAGTATACTTGTTTGTAAGACATGCCATATACTGTGGAATCGAGACGTCAATACTGCCAAGAATATGATGAAAATTAGTTGTGCTATTTGGAAGGCTCTAGGAAGGCCAAAAGAATTCACGCGGACAAAAATATAAAAGCATCCTCTCCCTCAACATCGCTGGAACGAACCCAGTTTGATAATTACAGGTAAAAAGAATGAAAACCTTATACTTTCTAGTGTTGTGCAAACTGTCTAACATTTTATTCTTAACGGTCTACTATTATCTTACATCCGCTTAAACTTAATTTCCTTATCGTCTAAAAATTTGTGTGTGTTGTCCAAATCTAAAGTTAATAAACTGTAAACTATGCGAGGGGCCTAGCCCCCGGTGGAGGTAGTTAACACGTTAGCTTTCCAAACCAACGATCGTTGGTTCGATTCTTGTACGCCGCTGAATTTTTTCAGCTTTGATCCCTTTCTCTCTGCTTCCTAGGGTTTTTTAATGCCGCTATCAAGGTGGTTCTCGGTCGGTGTTGGTGTTTAAACAAGTTATGAATAATTGCGGTGCCCGCCCAGGCCTAATTAAGCAAAATCCCGAACCGCGCCCAAAGTCTTAGCCTACCAATTATAATGATTAGTTTAGCCCCTTCCCCCTCCCCCCATTTAGATAGTATGCTTTTTCGCCCACCACGGCACCCTGACCGACACTATACATCGCTCTATTCTCAACTCGAGCTGCCCCGGGCAATTTAGAAAAGTTTAATATCTCGTGTCCATTGGGCTTAAAAAATGTCAGTAATAAAAATCCTTGTTTAAACGTAAACTATGCGAATTTCAAAAAGCGCCATATAAGTTTGTTTCGAGGCGATAATTTTCTTTGAAAAAGTTTACTTTCATTTTCAACAGTCAGCCACTCTCAATATGAATCCATTAAGAGTAAACGACTTGCTACAGCTGAAATTTAGCACTAATTCAGCTATAGGAGGGCACACTCTTATTGGAAAGATAATAATTGTGGAAGATGAAAACGATGAATATGCTAGAGGATCAGTTTTGCTGCAAGATCCAAGCACTAGCGGAATCATTGCTTGCAATGTTGATCGTTGTCTTCCTCACTTAAACAATGCTGTTGTTCAGATCACTGAGTGGACTTATATTTATCATGAATCAAGTGGAATTCAATATCTGGAATTTATGTTGGATCGAATCTATAGAAATTTAACAACTGTACTTGACAAAAACCGCAACAATAGTGCCCTATCTGTGTTCAGGGAACATTTGGAATTTGATAATTATAACTTTGAGAGTGCACTCACTTTCGGCCTTCCATATTATACACCTTCTACAATAATAAATGTTACTGAATTAATAGAGGAGCGGGCGCACATAAATATATCAGGGGTGATTGAGGCGAAGTCGGCCTTATATACGAGATCAGCATCAGATGCTTTTTTTTTCGTACAGATTACAGACATCGCAGACAGGTTTGTGTCCGATGAAAAAAAGGGAGAAACGGCAGCAACCACAACAGCAAAGAAACCTATAGTGACAATCCTTTTTCAAGGGAACCATTTGATCAAATACTATCATTCCTTCACAGTCGGATGGGCGTATAGTTATCAAAAGTTACTAAAGGACAAAGAAACTTTATCATTCGTTGAATACCAGTCATCCAGTCATCATATTACTCTTAAACAATTTGCGAATTTATCTCTATTATCATCACACTTACCTCCTGCAGTATCCGCTTCTCAGCAGTTATTATCAAGTGAAGTACCGACAATAAAACAGCCATTGGACATTTTCTATGTATCGGCAGACAGTAACATTAGCGCGAAAAGTATTTACACAATTACTCGTGTTATTGATAGTACGTTTGGCATATACGAACTAAATAACAAATACACATTGTGCTTGTTCCACCATTCAAATTATCAGCGCGCAAGACCTTATCGATGTCAAACACGCATTCGGCTACATTATATACATTTAGTATCAGTTGAACCAAAGAACAACGAAACTAGTTCCCTTCTCGATATATTTTGGAAGGTACCCTCTCAACGTATGGGTAGAACAGACAATGGTACAACTGGTAAAGAAAAGACAGCAAAGAATTACATTTTTATAGTAGCTTGTATGAACAGCAATGTAGAAATCGTTTCTTTTCCCAACCACTGTGAATATGCTGAGTTCAATTATAAGTTAGTTGATGAGGGACTAGATGATGAAAGAGAAGACTCTGATTCACAAATGGATAGCTCACCACGCAGCAGTAGCGCTGAATGCCAGTTGGAAAAGCGCATTAAAGAGCAGATATTTATGCACTGTTCAGGAACTGCAACTATAAATGAACTCATATTTCATTTGGAACTATATGCAACACTTTGTACTAGATTTCTTCATCCTGAGCATTTTACTGTTGATGATGTCGAAAAAATATGCGATGAATTTATGTATAATTACACAGCCATATGTAAAGCATTGTACAGAAAAATCGATACAAACTTTGTCCAAAACCTGCTGCGTCATGAGCCTTGTCCTGTCATAGCCGCTGAAAGAGTGGATGATAGTGCTAGACTCGACATTTTTGGTGCTAGCAATTCGATATTTCATCTTGTCCTTGATACTTATCCTTCTTTGGAGACTATTTATGACAGACTCTACGCCAGTTTGGAAAAGCATAATGTACAACTAATGGGCAGTAACACTCTGTTCGAAGCAGCAGATGTTGAAACAAAACGAGCGACATTTAATGAAAAGACAGCAGGATACCACATCTTGGGCAAATTGCATATGCAGGAGGATGGCAGACTGTATCTGTTGGATAACACAATGAGTGTTTTGTTAGTTGTGTCCTTTTTAAGCACAGTTGACGCTGCTGCTCATAGCGTGACTTATTTGGATGGTTTCTGTATCATTCATCAGTTGCAATTTTTTGAAGAAGACCTTTCATACGTCCGGTACGATAAAGAAAATGAGGGAGTGGATGGTTTATTTCTACGACCACCATTATGGCATAGATACATTGCTTGCATCAAATCACACATTCAACTATTGGGTGACAGTGAAGAAAGGAAAATAGCTCCTTTCCAGTTCAAAATAAGCCCCCGAATATTACAAAATGATATAATTGGGGGATTTAGGGTTATACAAGCAACCAACGAAGTGAAGCAGTTTCTGATAAAGAATGAAGACAGTCAAGTTGTTGTGGTGCGCGTTATCATTCAGCAACCAATTAAGGCTCATGTTCATTCAGAAGATATACCGTGCTTGGAAAGTCGCATCATCGTCAGAATATATGCTGTCGAATTCAGTTGGTTAAAGGAAAGTTATATCAGTCGCACCAGGAAATTTGCAAGGAAGCTGAGAAATGTTGATCAACACGCTCTAGTATTATCTGCAAAGTGCGGGTCATTGAAATACAGCAAGATGATGATACCCAACAGTTTTTGGGCTATTTATAATTTGAATAGCGATAGTGAGATTGAAGGGTCTTTCACCTTAGATGCACAGAAACACATAATATGTCCTGTAACTTTCTTGCCAAACGCAAGTCAAGCTGAGCGCAAGCCTTTGATGCAACTGTTCCCACAGTTCACGCCCACGTTGCCTAATACAAATCAGTTACTGACTCATATCTACAATATTAGCGACATTCTTCAAGAAGAGAAGCTGCCAGATAAGTTGGCTGCAAGGTTGGGAAAAAATTACAAGCATTCTGTAAATATCCAAGGCATCATTATAACAAAACGATTGTTAGATAACAGCATTGAGAAGAATATTATCAACGATACCCATGCTTTAAAGCTTTATAATGAATATGGCATTACTAGCGGAAAAGGGTCTCGCCAATTATACCTACAAATCAGACAACCGGATACCCTCGATATTTTAGATATTTTCATGGAATTAACATCGGTTCGATACCCTTCAGGACTTGTGGTGGGCTCGTACGTTAGGATTTTCAATCTAGCTCGTAAAATTAAGACATCCAATACAAAACTTATATATGGAAAGGCAGATTCGTCAACTTATATCAGCATTATTTCATTTGATCCATTGCAAACAGAACAACAGCATCTACTGATTCATAACACGATCAATACCGAAAAGGTGGTTGAATTACCAGTTAAACAACTCTCATCAATATATTATGACATGTTCAGAGAAAAAGAGCTGGACGAAACAAATATTTTTCGAATTTACGGCAGTGTCAAAAAAGTCTGGAAACTGGAGTCAACTTGGCAATGTCGCCATTGTGGTACGAAAGTACTCGATGATGAATGCATGGGTTCTTGCAAAACTGCTGCAAAAGTGTATTCTATCAAGCTCAAAGTAGAAATATCAGACGGCACAGGCTCTGCTCGGGCATATGTTGATGGAGAACGCCTTGCCACTTGTCTTTTACAACTTTCTCCTAAGCATTTAAATGCATTGAAGCAAGCGACAGCAAAACAAGGGGATATCGTTTATGATCAAGACAGCCATGAGACGTACACAGAGCGTATAGGTGCTGCTGTTGGCTACAATGGTTTTACACTGCAAAGCCTTTGCTACCGTGCACAGCTAGTAGGGAAAGTGCATATGTTCGTCAAGATCGTAGCTGGAAAGAAGGAGAACAATGATGATATGAATCGTAGTCAGCAAACAATATTAGAAAAATTGGGGCTAAAAAAGCGAGTAATTGTAAAGGACAAAGGGGCAATGAGCACGTTGTTCATGGTGAAAAAACTTATACTCAAGACAGTTGATATTCAAACTCATGATGAATATGTCAAAAAATATCAATATAGCCATTGTTAGTTATAATATTTATTTTAAGTTATGAGCAGTAGCCCTTTTGCTTAACATCAGATGCTTGTAATTGCATAAACTATTCTTTTGTTCACTACTCCTTTTTACGCTTATGATGAAAGGCTTAAGAAACTTTAAAATAAGCTTGTTGCTGTCCCTTAATAAACAACTTTAAAATTAAAAAACTGTCATTCAATCCAATGAAGACTTCTCTTACAGATCAGTATAGTCCGAACGATTGTCTTGTGTTGCTATTTCAGGTGTTAATGTAATTGGCATGGTGTAAAAAGAAAGATACAAGGACTTTTCACGGAAAATATATCATTATATATATGTGGTATGTACAAGGTCAAATAACGAGAGGCTAACGAATTGGTATACAATATTGAGTAACGAGAGATAAAGAAACCGACTTCATGCTATTTGTTTGATTAATGGCTTGGTCTTCGCTGATTTGGGTCCATTTTTCATTCTAATGGATAGAGATTTCAGCCATTTACCACTGTTTTTACGGGATAGCAACGACGAAGTTGTTGACTTATCAATAGGGTTTGTATCAGCGGTAGGAATAATGTTCACAGAGGGTATCACAGTAATATTTGATAGCAACAACAAGTCTTGGCTATCTTTGGGCGTTATTGGGGAGTCAGTATAAGAAATTGAGGGAGAAGGAGAATTGTCGGTCAAGAGACCTGGATCATCATCTGTTGTAGTAGTCGTTGCAGCAGAAACAACACAGTTGGTATTGAGAATAGGCTGAAGGTTCAAGCTTTGCACTAGGGGACTCTTTCGGTGACGGTAATAACCACGGCTATCTTGAGACAGTTCTCTATCGACCATGGTAGTACTACAGATAACTTTATCATCGTTGTCATCCTTATCCTCAGCTAGTTTCAATATAGTTTCATTGTTTTTATCCAGAGCTAATAAGAGAGCAGGGTCATTGACTGCTCCTAATTTAGCTTCTATTTTAGACTTGAAATCAATGAATCCAGCAGAATTCATTGCTTTTTTCGTTCGACCGGGCCATCCTTCATCAAACAAGGAATTGTTCTTGTAACTGACAGGAGTATGATTGTAAGTCATATTGTTGCTGCTAGTATACAACATCGTGGCTGTTTTGTCATATTCTGGTTCATACTCAAAAATCGTAGGTGGTTCTTTTGAAAATGTTACTTTCTTAACCGATTTGGGCTTTTGTATAATGGATATCTGTTCTTCCTCATCACTACTGCTGCTGCATAAATCATCGCACTGTTGCTGCTGTTGGTGATTGACTTTATCTATTTCATCACTGCTTGCTTTCAATATGTCAAAATAGAACTTAGCGAGATCAATACGCCTTGTTCTTCCGTAATAGCTCGAAGGCCAAGCATTTGAATCCATTTCTGAGAGATAGATCTCATTGCCATGAGCATCATAAGGCGGTGGGGGTGGAAATAATGGTTGTTGTTGTTGTTGTTGCATAAAGATAATATGTGAATAAGGAGCTTCCTTGAATAAAATAAGAAATAGTCTGATTGATATTGAGGCGAATGTTTTATTTTATTTTGAAAGGGAAGAAACGAAAAAAAAAAAAAACTAAAATAAATAAATTTAAGGCAAAATACAATTATTTATCGATGCCCTTTTTATAGATAACTGAATGATAAAAAGACTGGGCTTTAAGGGGGTTTTATTTCGTCTTTCTTCTATACCAAAAAGTAGTAGCTGTATAACCAAAGAATTCGTTTGAAGCAATCAACGGACAGCATGAACTACTTGAGCTTATCTGATTGGATTTATCAAATCAACAGCATACATTATTGTGTTACAACAACTGACTACAATCCGTTCATTTATCACTGGCCAAGTTTTACAGAAATCTGGGGGTTTCCTCCACGTGGAGAATGTCCTTGGATTTATGTTAAAAAGGGCTTTCAATGCAAACCGGCAGTCAAGTTGTATAAAGAATAAACGTTGCATTGTGTATTAAGCAGTTTTTGGATAATTTATAAATCAAGAATATGACGTGCCACAATTAAGCCCTATCTGTATATAAGCACGTCTTTATTTATGACAGATAATATACATATAACGGAAAAGTAACCAGTCAAATCAATCATTAGAAGCACGTTATGAACATCAACAAACAACTGACAAACAAGGATAGATTTAGAAAAAATTAGACAGATTTCGAACGGTGCAAAATGAAATATATGTTTTTCACTATTTATAATATTTGGCTCTTTTAACTGATTTTTGTTGAGCTATTTCATCTTCATCTCTTTCTATCTGTTTTAACCATTGTCTTTCCGTCATGCCATCATCATATCGAACTGTCTCCCTTACTCGTTGCCCTCGCCCCATGAGGAGATCATCCATCTCGTTATTGTAATGAGCCATTTGATCATATCGATAAATATCTGGTAGCTCCCAGTCCTGGATCAATCTCTCAGGCTTTTTGTCTATGTTCTCTCCATATTTGCGTTTCCATTCTTCCAAATCCATTCTTTGTCTTTCCAAATCCATCTTTGTGAAAATCGCGAATTCTTGGTCAGACCGTTTTAGAATTGTATTCAGTTCTTCATCATCTAACTCATCACTTTCCATATTTTCACTATCTTCCTCGTCTTTGCCTGTTTTGTCTTCGAGGAGCGAACGTAAAAACGCTTCACGGTCTTCTTCTGTACTTCGATGATCGAATTTACCCGCCTGAATGACTTTGCCGTCAATATCCAACTTGTATTGAGCTCTTGCAAGGATATTTTCTTCAACAGAATCTTCGGTAATCAACCGAAGTATTCGTACCTCTTTTGTCTGTCCAATTCGATGCGCACGATCTTGTGCTTGCAAATCTTGATGAGGATTCCAATCAGAATCAAAGATAACAACTGTATCAGCAGTTTGTAAGTTAAGACCTAGCCCACCAGCTCTTGTACTAAGCAAAAATATGAAATAAGGTGATTCAGGATCATTAAATAATTTGAGTAAATTGGACCGATCGTCGGCCTTTGTTGAACCGTCAAGCCGCAAATGTCGAAAGCCACGATAGATGCAGAAATCTTCCATAATATCCATGATTTGTGTCATTTGGAAAAAGACGAGAACCTAAAGTACAGAACATAAATCACAAAGGAAAATGGAATTAGAACGATAGAAGAATGATCATAGCAGAAAAGAAAACTTACTCTGTGGCCCGTGGCTCGGAGCTTTGGTAAGATTCGATCCAAAAGATCAAATTTACCAGATACACGATACAGCAATTCATTACTGACTTTGTAAGGATTGATCACTTGTTCCACTTCTTCGAATACAAAGGGATGATTACAAATCTTACGTAACTGCATGATAGTATTATTTAGACCCTTAATACTTGTCCGTCTACTCAAAAAGGATAGTTAGTATTGTTGACAATGAACGAATATTGATAAACTTACCCTGTAGAGGAATTGCCGCCAAATAAGACACCATATTTCCTCATTTGATTATATAAAACTTGCTGAAGCGCAGACAATTTACATTTAACGACAATTTCGACTTTATCAGGCAATTCTGATTCAACATCTTTTTTTAATCTTCTGAGGAGGAAAGGACGTAAAACCTAGTACGCAATAACAGTGAGTTGAGCCATAACGTTAATAACCGTTTAAATTTAAAAAATTTCCTCACTTTATGTAGACGCTTTATAATTAATAACTGTTCTTCTTCATTCAATTCAACTTTATCCTGTACACCTTGATTTGAAAAGGGGGTATTGAACCATTCCTCAAAACTTTTGACAGAGTTGAAAATTTTCGGCAAGATGAAATTCAATAATGCCCAAAGTTCAGGTAAGTTATTCTGTTTATAAAAGCCAATGGGGTCAATTAATATTGAAAAGATGCAAAGAAAAAAATACCAAATATACCTGAAGTGGGGTACCCGTCAATATGAGTCTGTATCTGGACGTATAATACTGTCTCAATACCATTGTCAACTTTGACTGAGTATTCTTCATACGGTGACCTTCGTCCATGATCATATATTGCCATTTAATTTTGCATAGTGCAGGTCGATCTTTGATGATGTAGTCAAAGGTAGTCAATAGAACTTGAAAGTTGCGATGTTTGATTTGGCGTTTTTGAATGTCTTTACGTACATCTGGAGTACCTTTATAAACAATTGTAGTGATAGAGGGTGCCCATTTCTCAAATTCTAAGGTCCAATTCGTCAAAGTAGATAAAGGAACAATAATAAGGAAGGGACCATTTTGCCTTTTCTTTTCAATCAAATAGGTAATTAAACTGATAGTTTGGATTGTTTTGCCGAGACCCATTTCATCAGCCAAAATACCATTAAGATGGTTGTTGTACAATGACACCATCCATTGTAAGCCTTTGATCTGATATTCTTTCAATTTACCACCAACCAAAATCGAAGGTTGGCATACTTCTTCCTGAATGCGGTGAGCCATTTTATAATAATCCACTTTGTTGCCTTTACTATCTGTCAGCATCATTTCCTCATCCACTTCTTCTGTTTGCTCTTCATCCTCATCCAAATTTTCTTCAAAACTCATATTTTCAGCCTTTTGATCTACTACGGCTTGTGTTAAGGACTCCAAATAAGCTCCTGTCTGTTTCAACAATAATGTCAATCTTGTATCCTTTGCCTCATCAATCAATTTCATATATGCTTCTTCATCGTCATTTCTAAGTGCTTTGATACGTTCTTTAGCACGTCGATCAGATCGTCGTTGTTCTTCTTTTTCAATATGAGCATGAAACTGTAAGACTGCTCTTCCTAATTTGCCCATCTTTGCTTGATGGGCTTTATGCCAGCTCAACAAATCTCTTCCTTGATTACAAACACTCTGCAAATAATCCAAATGACGTTGTTTTTCTTTTTTCTCACGATCGATACGCTGTTGTTTCTCAAGTTTTTCTGTGAGTCTCGCCTCACGTAAGGTACGTTTCATAATCTTACGGTAGGAAGTTTTGTCGATGGAATTAGCAAGACGTTGTGCTTCTTCCATGTTTTTTACAATTTCTTCACGTAGCTTCGTTTGTTTGTCGCGCAATTGAAGTGATTTTATCTGAACGATGGTGTGTAGTCGCTGAGGCGAAGCAGTGCGGACAGTATCCTCATAATATTCATTCAATAAATACCCTAACGGTTGCCGTTGGTCCTCTTCATCCATACTCGCTTCCAATTCTGCTAAGCGCTCATTGAGACGTTTTTGAATACGTTTTTCACGTTCTCGAAGCACTGTGTAAGGATCAAGGCCCTGAAGTGAAATCTCAGGCAAGAGCAATCGCTGCTGTCGAGAAGCATGGGCATGAGAACGCGGCTGACCGGACAATAGGTCGAATGCTGTTACTGTTTCTTTCTGACTCTCTTCTACTGAGAGTGACATTCCAAGAGCAAAGGCAGGTTGAGCGATAACTTTCTTTTTGAAGGCATTATATTCATTTGCTTGATGAAAAATTGCCTCGACGAGCCGTTCTGCCATTGTCTTCGGTGGTTCAGTATTCACTAACATAATGTCATCACCTTGGGCTGATTCAGTTGAAGTTGTAGCTAGTTGCGCTTGAATAGGCTGCGTTGCTGGAGCAGAAGAATTTGATGAAGCTGTATTAGGTCTAATGATTGGAGATTCAGAGCTACTCACTGGTGAACCGTTTGCTAATACAACAATTAAACGATTTCATGAGTTTTGAATCTTTACAATAAAACAATAAGCGGCATTTCTTACAATATGCTTGACTATTGGCTATTTGTTGCTGAACGGCTAAATGCTTCTGCAAAAGTTGTAAATGTAATTGTTGTTGTTGTTGTTGTTGCTGTTGTTGCTGTTGTTGCTTTTGTTGCTGCTGTAGATCAATGTGCAGTTGGTTTGTAGCAGGTGCAATTGGTTGATGCTGCATTGGTGTCTGTTGTAATGGACGTTGCCGCTGTTGTTGCTGTTGCTGTTGCTGTTGCTGTTGCTGTTGCTGTTGCTGCTTGAGGAAGTTAAGTGCCTGCGGCTGCTGAAGCAGTCTAAAAACGTTCATTAACTGTGAAAGCTCATTTTTGCCATCTTCCTTTTCGCCAGCGGCTTGGAGTTGCTTTATCTTCTGTAAAATCGAGAACAAAATCTGATAAGTACAGGTATACAAACGGTAGCACACATTATAACATCATACTTGTAACAGTTCGGGTATTATGTTTGCATTAAACTGTTGACTTGTATGGACGGAATTAGAAGATGCAGATGATGGCTGATCAGTACTACTTGTGCTGCCGCTATTATTCATATTATGAACTGAGGAAATTATGTCAAAGAATAAGAAAAGACCTAATCTAATAATTAGTCTACATTATTAACAGCGATCAAGAAGAAAGAAGTTTACTATTTCCTATAATTAAAAATTGTTGCTTTACCCGCTGGTTCCGTAGAAAGTTATGAAAAAAGTTCAAATGCGCGATAAAATGCACACACACAACAGTTGGCCATCCAAACTGGAAAGAAACCTAGAAAAAAATTTTGAGAAGGGGATGAAATGGCAAATCAAACGGCTCGACTAAATTGATATCCCGCCTAAACCCTTTTTAAGGAAATTTGTTCGAAGCTTTTTTGGAAGTTATATGAATCTTCACTTTTCATTCGAATAATGCTCAGACCACAATATACTCGTAGACCATTTGAAGTGCTGGTATATAACTAGCTAATTATTGCCTGCAACTTAACAGAATCTCATAGTATCTTATAGGTTATTGGTCCCAAGAATTCAGGGAAGAATACGATTACTACTCAATTACTTAAAACGGCAGATGTCTTCTATTCAGTGTAAGTCTTCATGGTAAAAAATTGATATGAATTCTCTCTCATTCTCAGAGAATATCACAGGAATACGGCAGATAACATACCAAAACTTGCCTTGAATCGTATTGACTTTATATTGATATTGGTGGATATGACACAGTCCTACAGCCTGTCGCTCTTGAATACCGTTTTACAGCATTTGACACCAGAATATATATTAAACAAAACTGCTATCGTTGCTACAAAAGGTAATTCGTTTCCGTTGCAAATAACTCAATTGCCTTTTCCTAATCGTTTGGGCTTTTTAATAATAGCTGATTTACCTAGATCTTGGCAGCTTGAAAGAGAGGACATTGATATAATGGTGAAATCGTACTTCGATCTACCCATTTTGTTTGTCAATCTTACAGTGAGGATTCCAAAAAAAAAAAGGAAATAACGAATCTTTAAACAAAGATCAACTAATCGATGCGTACGCCTCTACTTAGAATGAGATTGAAAAGAAAAGAACTTCTGAAAAAATTTCTAATATGATAAAGCTGTCCACCTTGCAGTATAAGAATGTCAGCTCTACGCTGATCAAATCATTATATACCCATCGTTTTCAAGATACCGTCCTGCCACCAGAAGATGATGAAGGTTACCAGCCAGTGAGTGAACCAATGGTTGAAAGGGAATCACCTGAATCGACGAATATCCAATGATTTTCAGGTTTGACTTTTACTGTCCCTTTTTGTCGCAATCATATCTTTACCCCATGATGTCTGTCACATAAATCGAATTTTGGCTATCTCCTGTTTCGTCCCCTTTGTTTCTTTCCTTTTTCTTATTAAGCTGGACATAATTATACATTTTTAATATTGACTTCGTTTACATGTTACGTCAATGCAGCAGCCCGAATATTACAGTTATATACCAGAAAACCTTCAAGAAAATCCTTTCCAACAAGGTGTGTCAGTTTATCCTAATAACTGTAGCAATTTTCATGGCAACCTACCTGTTGAAAACGATAAAGATTACGACAATAAATCAACACCCTTTTTGGAGCCATTCACTACTGACAAAACTGTTGCTCAGCCCGAGCAGCAACAGGAACAGTCATACCACTACCCTCAGCAACAGCAACGTATACAACATGTTGTTACTACTGCGAGCAATGCCAACAATAGTAACATAATGAAGGGAACCACTGATTTCAGGCGACGGAAAAATTGGACAGAACGTATCCTGGTTGAGATGGCCGGCTTACTTCATGTTCTGTCTACTACCGGGAAATTTCTTTACTGTTCAGAGTCGACATTTGAACTCACTGGTTATCGGCCCCACGAATTGGTCGGTCAGGCAATATTGGACTTTTTGCATGTAGATGATATGGATGTTTTTATCCGAGATTTTCAAATGTCTTTCTATACACGATCAAAAATTAGAACTTATTATCGGTTCCGTAAGAAGGATGATACCTACGTTATCTTTGAGGTAGTAGGGCAGCCGCAGAGAACTGATCCTTCTCAGCAGCAACAACAACAGCACCAGCAGCAGGAGCAGCAGCAGCAACAACAACAACAACATCAAGCACCTACTTCATTTTTCGCTATTGCTCAACCGGTACCTACAAAAAGTGGCGGCTTGATGGATACCTTTTTAGAGTTGAAAGCTGAAAATATCTGGTTGAGGGAAAGAATCGAAGAATTGAAACAACAGCAATCAACCAAATACCACAAGAGCAATGGTGATAGTGGTGTAAACAACCAAGTTGTTACTGAAAGCATTGATGATAACGAGGAATTGCAACAGCAACAGCAACAGCAACTGGAAGTAGGCGCTACACCTCTGAATATGATAGCACCAATTGATCCCTGCAAGACTACGGACAGTATCAAGCTTAATCGCCTTTTTAGAGGAGTCATTGCTGATGATGATACAGATAACAGAACGACTAACAATGGCTATAAAGAGCGTGCTGAGAGTTGGTTGCTAAACACAAATTACTTGCCAGGCACGTTTCAAAGAAGTACTGAAACAAGTACAATTAACAGCAGCTCAAGCAGTAGGACTAATACAGTAGTCATACAGCGATTGGCGCTCAGCGCAGGAATAATGACAGAGAAAAAGGTTCAATGGAAACGTCGTGTATGTGTTTGACTGATTGATGGTATTTGTGTGACAAACCCAGGGCTAATTATGTAAATGCCTGCACGTTGTATATTTAGAAAAAGCAAAAGGGGCCAGATGAATATGTTTGCGCTGATTGTGGAACCACGTCTTCTCCAGAATGGCGTAAAGGTCCTCACGGTCCGAAATCGTAAGTTGTGTGCTTCTGTTAACTATTACAAAAATTAGGAAAAGGGAGCTCATCACTGTAAATTATAGTTTATGTAACGCATGTGGTTTACGTTGGGCAAAAAGAAATAAGCAAGACAGATTTGAATGATGACCGGACAATTGCACCATGGAGAGACATACACTTATATATGTAAAAATCAAAAATATGGAAAGGTATATATAAACTGTATAGTAGCAGTTACTGCTGCTGATACGTCTGATGCAAACCTGATAGAGTAAGATGATTAGCAAACAATCAGTTCAAATGCTATACCTGAGCTAATGAAATTATCTGTACAAAAAAAGCGGGCGATTTACATTTGTCATTCAATACCTTATACCCCTTTCCGTATATAAAATCGGCCGCTTGAATTACTCCTTCCTCTACTGAAAGTAATTCATATAATGTTCATATTTTAATCAAAATCACCATCTATGCTATTTCTTCCCCTTTTTTATTGCTTTTCTTTTTGTAAATTGTTAGAACTTTCTTTTTATTTACTCTGTAATATACTAATACAATACACCGGTGTACTTATTTGATAAAATAGAAACCTTTAAACATTTACTACGTATAAATTTAGAATGGACTATACCAAGCCTCTTTACCACGATATTGATAGCAGAATTCAAAAATTGATTAATACGGCTCCAAGCGACTGTCTCTTGTCACATATAGCGCAACAAGCAGCCGCTGTAATACCGTGCTATCACGCTGCTACTAAGACAGAAATTGGCACTACTGCAAATTTTGCTTCAACGGTTTCTCAAAATCCTAATAATACCGTTCCACCACTTCCGACTTTTGTCAATCTTTTGGCCCGACGATCATCAGCCCGTACTGGCACCTTGTTGGCTTCTCTCGTGCTTTTAGATAGATTAAGGCAACGATTATCTCAATTTGCAAGGGGTATGCCATGCACTTGCCAACGTATCTTCTTGGCTACTCTAATTGTTACGACTAAATTGCTACATGACACGTCTCCTAAAAATAAGCACTGGGTGAAATATGCAGTGTACTTCACCCACCCAGAGATAAATCTAATGGAAAGTCAGCTGTTAGCTTTGCTGGTAAGTTATCATTTTGATTGATACAATATCAAGTGAATTGATGTAAAGCGATGATTAAAATTTGATCCGTTTGAATGGTAATAGGATTATAGACTGACAATCAGCGAGACAGATTTGTATTACTCATTTCTCACCTATGATAACATGCTCAATTTTCAATTACACCAACAATATCACTATCTTCGACAACTAACTATTCCCAAATCAGCTTCGTGCAGGAGTAATAGTACTCTATTACAAGGTGATCACCAGCGCTTTATAAACGACAGTGATTTAAATTGCCAAAATTGTATGTCAATCACTAATTTACAGTCTTACCAGCACAGGCAGCAAGACCAGAATCACTATTATCAGCCACTTTCAGAGTCACATTACCGTAATTTTCAGCGACAACATATATATGAAGAACTCCAGTCTCATCAAAATAATAACTCGGTTACAAAAACAGTCTCTTCCTCAGCATCTAACCACTATCAACATGGCTACGGGAGCAGTCATAGCATTATGGGAAATCGTCAAAATAACTATATTAATGATATCAATAATGATGCTATCAACAATTTTAATAATGGCAATGGTTCGAGGCAGTTCAGTTATTGTTATATTACAACCTCTACGTCATCATCATCATTATCGTCCAGCCTATCTTCAAACTCGACCATAGATGAATCAATATTTACGCCGACCACGTCGATAACTGCCCCAACGGTAGCAACAACAAATTCAATTAGAAATGCTGATCCAACCAAAGCACTTTCTAGAAAGTATAAAAATATGGAGTCAACCACGTATAAAAACAACAGGAATTTGATCGACAAAAACAAAAGTAGTAGTACTTATCGCCAGCATGTGAACACTGTTCCTGTTAATAATAACGCCAGTAGTAATTACAATAATGCCACATATAACCACTTTCCTCTTCATTCTACCATTACAGTTGACAATTTAACTGCTGCTGCTGTTGGTCCTGATCAAGGTCATCCAATGTTAAAATCAACCTCGCTTATGTGGTTTGATACAGTATTAGGTCATCAGCCAAAACTTTTTGCTAAAAGTACTAGTCAATACAATTCAACCATATATCGATGAGCAAGAACGATGGACTTTTCGTCGTTTATACTTGAATTGTACTGGCAGTACCATCATACTCTTACTATACTATGACAGTAAGCCTCTTCTTTTCTGCTCTCTCATTTTCCTTTCGTTCTATTAAGCTCCTTTGTCGGTGCTGCATATGTAGGTACAAGTGATCATCATCAAGCTAGATCCAGAAACTCTTCCCCTTCCCCGCCTCATCTTACCTTTTTTTACGCTGTATATCTTTTTCAATTTTTTTGTCGCATGTAAATATCCCTATACAATATGGTCCCTCTTTATAAATAAATCGATATAACCTGATTATGATCCATTTTAAAGTAAGACGGAAGGTTTTTTCACGTCTTAAACTCTTAATTGTGTATGATTAAAGACTAGAAGCAACATAAATACTTGAATTCGCTAACGCACTTTTTATGAAGTTCTATCTTTGTCTTTGACTGTTTGGCTGATTCTGTGCAAATATGCCCCCTCCCAGAAATGCAACATGATGCTATGTACCGTTCAACTAGTTTATTTACAAAGTGTATTGATGCATTTTTTTCATCATTGCTATATATGGTAGATACAGTGCCATCACACTCAATTTATCGAATACATGAAACTTTGGCCACTTCCTTGAATTATTTTTTTTACCACTTGCGTGAGGATGAAACTATCCAGAAAAATGGAACCAATTTGCCTTGCTTTTGAGTTAAATTGCCAACTTTTTACGTCAAATGTCAAAATGAATATGTCTTTTATTGAGGCATAAGAAAAAACGTATATATGAAGCAGATTTTGTTGATGTCCAATTGTAACTAAGTATGATGTTACCCATTCTCTTCTCTCTGTATTTTACTTTTGCTTGTAAACTCATTCATCTTCTTTATCTGTTATATAAGCCATGGTACTTAGCACACATGAACAAGCCATTTGCATGTTATATTATCAGTAATAGGACCAAAAAAAAGCCTACAACGTAATCATAGCTATTAAAGCATAAACACCGAAGTTTGCTACAGGGATGATCAAACCATTTTTGTGTCCATCGAAGTATAAATGCTTCTAAGTAGCAGTATCTTTCTTCATAGAATACGTTAATTTGAAATAATCGACTGTAAATTGACCTCTTTATTTTTGATACGAAATTATTAATCAAAATATAGTATTAGAATCTCCAAGACAGGGTTTTTTTCTACAATCAATTTTGAAACTCATTTAATCACATTCATGATTAATATTGCCGTGGTAGTTTATCCATGACTACCGTATACACATTTGGGCTGTTCCCATCTAATTTTTTGCGGTTTTTACTACAGGAACAGTTTTAGATCCTCACAATTGTCAATTCTGCAAAGTATATAGTAACAATGCGCAAATTTTTTATTTATTTTTTTGTATTCATATATTTTAAGCACATCTATAGAAATGAATTCAAAATTCAATGTAGTTGTGCTAATAAATAGAAGGCCTCCATTCCTTGGCATGACTACGTTATCATCTACTTTATTAAAACTTCTTTATTTTTAGGTAAATTTTTGCCTAACAAAATGTTGACTTGTCCTGCATGCAACGCTTGCAAATACTTCAGTTATCAAAAAACTCCATTAGAGCACATTTTCTGCACTACGTATATCACTTTCTTCATGATTGATTGATTCTCTGACGTATCCTATAATTAAGTAATCAATTTCCTTCAGACATTTAGTCCTTTGTTGATGTTATGATAGAGCTTCCATATGATCTTTTTATGATACAGTTGGAATAAGATTAACTATGAAAGCCAAACAATTTGATGAATTTTATAGCTTACCGATTTACTGGTTTTTCAATATACAAGAATACTAGTTAGCGATTTTTGACCTGCGTTGTCTGGTTTCCTATTTATATGGGCTTCTTAATTGGAACTTTCTAGCACCAAAACATTTGATGAATCATGTGCATATTTGTCGTTTAGAAAATCTGTGATTTGAAACTATACTGAGTGTGTCCATCATTATCAAGCTTTTGGGAAGAAGAACTTCCGATCATTTGCATCCGTTGGTAAAATATGGTATTCAAGGAATCCACAAGCTTTACTGATGTGTCTGAAGAAGTAGTAACTGCACTACTTGAGCACGTACAACCAGGTAAAGAGTAAAATTTTACTACGATTTATCTAAGTTCCATCTAATATCGGTATGTAGAATACATAACAGATAGACGTCTAAGTATAAATAATTGCATATAGAGACACCTAAACTTAAAATTAATGGCTAAGAGTACATGATTACTCACAATAATATGCTTCCCTCCAGACCCTTACATAGTAAATAATCTTCCCATTTCATTTGAAGAGTAATGGAGATAGTAAGCCCTTAGTCATCGACTTATTATAGTTATAGATTTAACACAGCTCTTAAACATCTAAATAACACCTGATAGAATCACAACATAAGTGATATAGTTAATTTTATTTTAGTCAATAGATCCATATATACACTGTTCATATATCTCTCAAACGGCTTAATAGGATCATTTTTGTAGCAAATTTTGGTTTTGATACTTTCATTAGCTATGAATAAATCGTGGGCTTTTTTCTCGTCGCATAATTGATAATATGACATGCAGATGGCTTGTTCACGTGTGATAAGTACTATGACTTATACAACAGATAAAGATGATGGCTGAGTTTACAAGAGAAAAGTAAAGTATAGAGAGAAGAGCATGGGCAGATAAGGAGCAGCACACTTAGTTACAATTGAACATTAACAAAATTTGCTTCAACATTCCATAAGCGTTTTTTGTACATGTCTCAATAAAAGATTTATAGTCATTTAGTCATTTGACTACAGATCGGCTGGCAATTTTATTTCAAAGAAGCAGACAAATTAGCTTCAAAATACGTGACCGATTCAAAACAGTGGACAGAGTTTTCAACCATTTGATAAATTAAGCTTCAAGACACTGTATAAAATAAAGTAATACTACGATGACTATGACATAAGAAAAGGCCAAGTTGGTGCAACAGCAGTATGACTATGACCAACGATATAGTTGCTTACTTCAATTACTTCTATTACCATCCACCTTTTTCAGATTGTGGTGGCGTTCCCCAACCTACATCTACCGCAGCGGATGAGTCTCCCCAACCGGATCCGTCTTCTGGAGTCAAACCAAATCTCTCAAATGCTTCTTGTAGAGATTCTTCTTGAGTTTTCACATATTGAATGCTTTTTGGTTGCTTCATTGTATTCCAAGCATGGAACTTTTCCCATTTTGGATTGCCGGGATGCTCAGGTGAAGGAATAGTATTCATTAAAAAGTAGCCGAGTTTGCTTTGCTGCAGATCGAAGAGTTAATTCAGCGACAGTATCTACCCGTTTCTTACTATTTTATGTGATTTATGCAATCAATTAAAAGTCACCTATTTCAAAACGATATAGCTTGAATAAGGTATGCATAAGAGGTACAATAAGTGAGACTTCACTTGTAAAGGTTTTAATAAAGCAAAAATGTAACAAGCTAAGAAGGATTCTAACTAATATGTAAGGTTTATCAACGACACAATCTGAAACCACAGAAAACATAAGGATATCCACTTTGATACCAATTTCTGAAAGACGTTCGTTCAGCTATACGAGGATGAGTGGCCCAGCTTCCACCCAAAATTACACGATGTTTGCCATCAAAGAAATCAGCAGAATAACCGGGATATAATTGAGAAGCTTCGAAGCCTTCATGTTCTTCCCATATAGTTTCAGTCCATTCCCAAACATCGCCTATAGTATGTACAGCGTCATTATCTACATCGGTAGGACTCCAGTGCTTGAAACCAATATTCGGCCATCCTCTATCCTTATTCACTTGGGCCGTCTTAAAGTTAGTGCGGAAATAGACAAGCTCAGCCTCTGTAGGGAGTCGGCAACCTTTGTATTTTGCATAATCAGCTGCTTCATTGTAAGTAATTTGCACAGGCCAATGTTGAGCATAGACAAGCGGACAGAGACCGAATACTGTTTTCACTGCATATTGATGTTCGTGTACTTCTGACCAGGAAGCAGGAATATTATCAGAACCAATCTCTTGTAAATAAACGTAGTATTCACCATTAGTAACCGGTCTCGATTGAATCTCAAAAGAGGAGACATCCATTTGACGTTTGGGGTTTTCGTTATCCCATCCAAACTCCAAATTATCATCGTTCATCTTGGTAGTAATAGTATAAGCTACAGAAGCAGTAGAAGGTAAATCGGCCAATTCTTTATCATTGTGGCCCACCGTAACCGTGCCCGCAGGAATTGTGATGAATGGTGCATCAGTTAAAGGTGTTATAGCGCCCGGTTGTAAGTCACTGGTGTTCCTTATCATATCAAGCACAAGTTTCCAATTAGGAATGGCAACGCCTTTTGGTGGCAGCATGTTAGGACTTTGTACCAGCATGTACAAAAGAGTTTCCAAATGCATAGCTTCGTGTTCGAAACACATCCATACAATTCGAGCTTGCCGTTTCCTTTCTTGAACCCACGATGAAGATTGAAGTCTGAACGCTTCAGCTTGCCAAAAGTTCAAAAGATTCTGTAAGCGCTGACGGACATGGGCTTGATACGTCAAAATACGCTCCACACTTGGCCAGTCTTTTTCATTTGTGGGTACCTCAGAATGAGGATGACATTGCGTAGGGTCCTCCATATCAGGATCAATACCGCGTTCAAATATTTCAGCAAAACATAGAGGTTCAGTATAGTGGATAGTAGTAGACATATCAGCTGTTATTTCTGCATCCACCTGATGACGTGAGAGCTGAATATCTAAAAAGGCAGGAATATGCCCCAAATAGAAAATAAAAGGATGTCGTAGAGCTATGGGGCGTTCAAATAACATAGTTTTATGGTTCATCATATGTTGAGTCACCAAATCCCAAGCATTCCATAGTTCCTGCCACTCATGTAGTGTGGGTAGAGCATTCGAAGGCCAGGTCTTGTCCAGTGTATACAAATCTAGCGGCTCTTCTTTTACATTATCTTCGCTCGAAAATTCGTATTGGCCTTCATTACAAGTATAACAGTCGATAGGTTCCTCTTCAAATACCTCTTTCGGTGGATAGAGGAATCTGCGTACTTGATCGACATTGCGTTCAAAGTTGAAAGGACGACTCTCGGCTAGCACCAAACGATATTGATCCTTAGAGTCAACCCAGTAATCGACAATATTGAGATCAGCTGCTGATAAGATGCTTTCAATTTCCTCCATAGAATATTTATAGGAATGTTCCACATGAATTAGCTCATCTTTATGAATAGTAATGTTATATTTTTTTTGAGCTGTCTTGTGCTTTAAAACCACGTCTTCCAAAGCTTGATAATGTGATAAGTGACGGCCTTGCTTTTCTTGGTAGATTGAATGGTAGGCAAATTGATTTCGCTTGAACAATAAATCATTTTTGTCTCTTTTTAAAATAGTGTTAATGTGATCTAAACCATTCATAATGAAGTCTCTTGTCACACCATAAGAATCATCATATGCCAACTCAATCTTTGAAGGTTCGTTCCTTTTATCGAACCCGATAGCCATGAAATCGCCAGGTTCCAGACAGATACGCTGAATCTTACGCAGAAAGAGTGCAGATTCGAGATGTGTTTGGTTACCGATCGAACTTCCCATCCAGAGAAAACTTTTGTGTATATTCCGATTGGTGAAGTGTTTACTAATCCATGGAATACCTTGATCGTAAGTACCAAGAAGACCATATAATTCAACGTATTGGAATTCTCCGAGAGAGGATAGAGATCGATTTAGTTCTTGTTGATCCAGATCTAACGCGTAATATTTAATGTGCACTTTTTTTCGTTCAATGGCTCGTAAAAAGACCTGCGTTTTACGGAGAGCACTACAATATAAAGAATTATTAGCATAAGAGCCCTTCTCCTTTTGTCATCAGCATATGCTTCAAGAACCGTTGAAATATAAGACTTACCCAGCTCCTAATTCAAAAATAACACTTCCGTCTTTCAAACGAGTTATGATTTCTTCAGACTTACGAACCAAAATATCCAACTCAGCGCCAGTTAAGTAATAGCAATCATCTAATTGAGTGATTTCATCAAAGAGCTGTAATCCTCGTTTATCATATAGAATGTACGTAGGAATGGATCTCTTTTGTTCTATAGATTCAAGAATAGAATCTGCCAAATCAGAGCTATTGAAGGCATCTTCAGAAGAATTGGAAAAAGATTCAGGCGGTGAGGGTGGACGCGCAGCAGGGAGTAGATCCTCGTTTGGTTCAAGAACATTCTTCTTTGAAGGAATAACAGTATCCGTACTGCCAGTATCGCCACTATTACGAATGTCTATAATGCAATATCCCGTTGAGGGAGGTGATGGTGCACGGTTTGTCATTGTTATATCCTGTTTCTGTTGAAGAGAGACAAAGAGCGAAAGAATTTAACTTTAGTTCAAGAAGAACAGAAAGAAGAGATGCAAGAGAAATCCTGAATTAAACGGATTTCTAGAGTTTAGCCGTTTTAGAAACAAACAAAAAAAAAAAAAAGTTTACAAAAAGCAGTTTTCCAATATGAAAAACATATCGTATTAGAGATTGTATAAGATTCAGTTTCTTGACGATATGTTTTTCCTTTGTTTACTGAATCAGGTCGGGTTCCGAGTCAAAAGCAGGTTTATCGATTTCATATATATAGCCCAATTTATCATTGCCCCTAATATTTGCAATCTTTGATATGCGCTGATTTGTGTTGTTACCAAACGATGCAGTTTTGTGTGTGAAAAAACCAATTTCACAAATGCGTCATAGGTTGCAATATTGCCTAATTGTTCAGCTTCTGCTTGCGAAGAAACATTAACAGATACAAGCAGCTTTAATGCAAAATATTGTATCTCAGTCAATAATTGCCACGTTAAAGAAAGCGGGGTTTTTTTTAAATAGAAGTAACCGACGTTCAGGTAATGATAGATAAGCACTATTTTTAGTTTAAAAGTAAAGAGTAAGAATAAAAAGTAAATGATATGTGGATAAGTTGAAGTTGAAACCATTTCTTTATAACTGAGTTGACTATTGAGTCGACTTATCACATCCTACCGAGAATACGTGATTGTAGCAAAGGATGATGCTTCTTGCATAGGAAGCTTTTTTATTGGTACTGAGTTTGAAGCAAATGATAGATCACGCAATTCCGCGGGCTATTCGATAATTTGACTTTTCTCCATTGTTAAAGTAAACTATCCTCCAGATCATTCTTAGGTGCCATTGCTAGTTTCCTTTTTTCCTAGTATTGATTGTAAATTGGCCGAAGTAAAACTACTTTTCGTACGATTAATTTTCGAATGTGTATGGATATTTAACCTCCTAGAATCATGATACTATAATACATGGATATGTTTACGGACGATCTCATGCCGTTACAGAAGGTCTAATGATGAATCTAACAACACATCTTTATTTCGCGTCAGAAGAGTTATTTGCAACAATCCTTCATATTCTTACTGTAGGTTTCAACGTCCTCAAGTGTTACTATTGAAAGTCCACCTTTTCTGATTTGCTTTAACGGGTAGCAACTCTACTATATTTCAGTGAGTGTAGTTTTGTCTACTTAATCTTCAACTTGTAAACTGTTATTGCCAAAAAGTCTAACGTTCTCTCAGAGCCCGTTTTCTCACATTATAGTGATCTACTACTATACTATACTTTATACCAACTTACCTTCATTTGCCAAGCAAAGGTTATTTGACATATATTGGAGACAGTCAATTTTGATACGCAGCTGATATTGAATCAAAGAAATCATTTAGTTACAATATGCCAGGAGATCAATTACATCACTGCTAAATATAGTGCTCCATTCACAAGTACCTGCAGACTGATTGTACAACTGTTTCTTGAGCTAGTGCCGTGAGAACTTTCATAAATGCCTCTAAGCATTAAAGTAGGCTAGACTTTAGATATGTAAACAAACGTGGCGTTCGGGAATAGCGGTTAAACATCTGCCATTGATTGTAATATCAGTAATTTCACAAAATACGCGACGTTTTCGGAAAAGCACCAAATTTATAAAGTGTTATCTTCAGTCTAAATCGAACGAAAACTGAACGGATGATAGTACCCGTCTGTTTTAACTGCTTCATCTCCGTATTGGAATGTTGTATACAATAATATATTTAATCGCATGATATTATGAGTTAACAAATCCTTTTTCTGCTGAGCGATGTGGTTAGTCACCCGAAGAGCAAGATTTTGTCTTACCTCAAAATAAGGCGGAAACTACTGTAGCTTGTAATCTATTGAGTTATGGTAGACTCAATTTACAACAAGGGTTCAATTTTACTTTAATTGGGCATGTAGTCACTGAAATAGAAAGAGTTTCACAGCAAACGAGAATGATCTAAAAGCAATGGAAATCATTCAAGAAAGAAAACTGCAATAGCTGGTTTTTTTTTTGAAGTTTTTCAAATGAATATGTTTCTATTTTGTTAGTAATAATACTTTTGTACCATACCTGAGTTTTACAACGCGAAGAAAGTCCCTCTCGATTGCAAGGAGCGAAAACAGGAATTTTGCAAATTTTACTTCTATCAGATGGCTTAAGTTTATTTGCAATATGCAGATGGAAGCTTAAGAAGTACAGCAATTGGACAGAATATTTTCACTTATGGGAAGTATCGCATTTAATGGAGATTGCGGGGTCATGTGTCCACATAGTGGGTAAAGTGATACGAATATAGCGTTGTCACTGTTGTGTTAAGCAGCCTGTATAGTCCCAATATCCGGTAGTTCATATTTTAATGCATAGTTTTATTAAACCTATTTGTGATCATGGAAGTCAAGACACAGTTCGTCAATGGTCCCTCTTTTGCCCTGGTAAATTACTTTCCAAATCTATCACAGAGTGTTTGAAGAAAGGCTTCAATGACAGTCCAAGTTTTACGCAATTGCATTTTCTTAAAGATGTTATTCCTGACATTAATTGATCTAAGGTTACTGTTCATAAAGTTTTCCAATGGATATTTGTTACTTCAAAATCTAGCATCTGATGTAATAAAGTTTTGAAACAGGCACAGGAAATGGCAACCTTAAGTATTAAGAACACCAGTAAATATCAATTAAATAACATTTGTAGTAAAAGCAATTGATTAGCAATGCTTGGTATGTAAAAAGAGGTGTAGGCAATTGTTGACGGTTATATAAGAAACCCCAGAATTTTGACTGGAGATGGGGTGGATAAATAATGAAAGCAAAAAATTATAAAGTTGGCAAAATATAGGAATATAAAATGAAATGAAAACTGATAACTACATCAACACAATAATACTTTCGTACTTAAAAGTTTATGTACGTTGAGCAGCACTAGAATTATTCAGTAATAGCGTGTTGGCCGTAGCACGTTTCGCTGTAATGAATTCTCTAGCTTCTCTTTCAAATAGGATTGATTCGTTATCGTCAAACTGCTGCTGTCGCTGTTGCTGATCGTGATAGTATTTCTGACCATCATTTCCACCGTCTGAACTCGTATTTGCTTCATCTTCATCTTCATCGTCATCGTTGTAGTACTCTTCTGAGTAAAACTGTTCGTCAGTGAACTCCTCATCATCATCCAAAAAAATGTCATCATAGTAAGGTTCGTCTTCATATTGCCACTGTCTGTCTCTAATAGTGTTGTTATCATCAGTGTTTTGAATTTGATAGTCATGAAGCGTATCGTCAACTGCAACATCATCTGCGTATATGGATACTTCATAATTGTCTTCGTCACTCAAATGATGATAGCCAGTATTTCCGAGAAATGGTGGTGCATCGGCCTTTGCTGCTGTTGCAAGACTAGTATTTATATCACGCCCTTTTAAAGCTGAGCGAGAAGGCAGAGGTGGTGGTTTTTGTTGCTCTTGTGATGCTTCTGATTGTGCTACAGAGGGTGTTAATGAACTGTTACTATTAGCTGAAGTTGGAGTTGCACTTCTGTCAGGTATTGGTAGCTCCGCACATGGATTCATCAAAGGACTAAGATAGTTGATATAAGAAGCACGAACTGTTGGATGGGGACATTGTGCAAGGATCTAATCCATCAACAAGAGGTTAATCACTATTCTTTTAGAGTGAGATATCTTTATTTACCTTTGCAATCTTATCGAAGCCCGAAAGCATAAGTTCTAATCTCATCTTTTCTTGTTCACGCTCATCGTATTGCCCCACATAGCTTGTAGGCTGGGTAGTTACTACTGTTCGAATTAACCGTAGATGCGTGACCTAGTAACGTATCGTAATAAAATAGCGTGATTAGTTTCGTATTCGAAGCTTCTTATTTTTGTAATGCAGAAAACGATGAACCTACAATGTAATCTACTACACCCTCTTCAGTCATGACAGCCCCGGATGTCTCACCATTTGAGGAAGATGATAGCCTATACAACTCTTCATAGTCGACCTGCTGGCCTTGTTGTTGTCTCATTTTATGAATTTGTCGATACGCGCTATTAAAGTCATAATTTAACACCTGCGCCAAGAAAGTAATTGTTTCAATGTGCCGCTCTACTGTATATTGCAATTCTCTCATCCAAGCGGTATAACGTGGCTTTAGCTCGTCTTTATCCCATTTATATTCGCCTCCAATGGCCTGACCGTTTGGATCATTCTCCATGATCATTTGTAAAATCTCTTTGGGGTCTGTTTTGAGCGTGGTGGGGAAAGGAGATTTGTGCTTCGTTTGGCTCTTCTTTTTATCATCTGTATCACTAGAAGATGTGTTTGTGTCGGAAGAACGGTCGAGTAGGAGACGACGAAGAACATCATAGCCGTGTACGTAATCGGCGGCACGGTTGCAGTGACTGGTCTGAATTGTAGCGAGGGCACATAAAAGATTTAACAAAGTACTCCGTGTGCTAATTTCTAATGCGTAGACTTGCTTTTGCTTTTTGTTAGCCGGTCCGAATAAGATATCGCGAATGTGGTAAAAGGCAACAGGATTGCGTAAAACCAGCTCTGTACCAATTGGCTAAATCAAAAAATTGAAAAGTAATTTCAGTATTTAGGCTTTTCGTGAGAGTTAATGACAATAAAACATAACATCTTTACTTCATGAGTCATAATAGTCTTTAAGCACTTGCAAAGATGTTGCAAAATCTTATTATCGTTCGGGAACCTAGAATAACAAGAGATATAAGCTGTCCATAAGAAACCTTGTTAAACAATATCTGTAGAGATATGTGCATTTTACTACCTTTTTGGGGCTTCTTTCATTTGCTTCAAAAGTTTAGAAATTGCTTCATATCCACCCTGGCTCAGAAATTCATTGGTCCAGCTATAAAACATAGCAATCAATGGATAGAACGAAATAAACACGATATGAAATAGACTCCCTGTAATCGTACCTAACAACTACACTACGTAGAAAGACACGCAAATCCAATACTTCAGACTCTTCCAAGTCTCTGACATAAGTCTCTTCAAGGTAATGCACAAAATATTCTGGAGTTGATTTTAACTTGCTTCTCGATTTATTGCGACCATAGGATTCATGCCCAGAACCCATGGGCAAGGAAGATCGAGTACTACGACTATATCTACCGGGAGCCGTATTTGCTTTGATAGAATTCATCATTTTTCCGTCGGACTGAGTGTATATACTGCTGCTATTGTTAGTTTGTAGAGCGCTCTGATCGAAGAGGGGAGAACTATTATAAGAATTGTGTGGAAGTGGAGGTTTGCTCGTTCCATTTTTTGTTGCTCCTGTAGCTTTATTCTTGTTCCTGCTGAACGTTGCCTTTAATGAAAATGAAGGCATGACGTGTGAAAATGTGGAGTTCTTCTTTAATAAGGCTGGCGATCTCGAGGAACGAAGCAGCATTGCTTTTTGTTCAAAAGTTAAGTTATTGACATTATTCATGTGGTCTGCAGAAGGAGCATACTCTTTCTGTTAATTCCAATAAAAGCAAAGATTAGTTGGTATGAGCAACCTCTGATATGTTAATGTTTTAAAGAGTATATTTATACACTTAACCAGTAATAGTTTGAATTGCTCTTCAATATCCTCAACCTTATCAGAAGGAATACCAACTTGCTTTTTGCTATGATCTCCAACATCAAAGCTGCTTGAGGTAGAGATATGTTGCTGTGAAGAGGGTGGCGATGCTTTTCGGGTGGTAGCTCCTGCGACTAGTGCCAAGTCTGGAGAAGCCGATCTACTAGTAATTTGATTGTTATCTTTTAAAGGAGGGACGGAAGGGCGGTTTTGCTGTGCATTAGGAGGGGGTGGTGTGGGTAAATGGACGATAGGACTGTCTAGCTGAACTGTACGCAATGGTTCAGGCGTTTTGGGATTGGGTACAGGACGATAATTGGAACGACGAGATTGAAGAGAGGAATACATTGAATCTACACAAGACGCTGTTCCCTCATAGTTGAACATTGAGTCAGCAAACTGCGAGTCATTGTTATTGACATTACTGGTCGCATAATATACTGCAGGATTAGCAGTAGACGTATCATTTTTCTTTTTCCCGCCTCCGAACAGTGTGGACATTCTGTTCAAAAGTTTATGCTGTGCCTGAGTTGATGCTCCTGCTGCTGATGATGGTCCTGGTGAGTTTGCAGGAGATATGGATGTGTTCGACGAAGGAGAGCTGTTATTAAAGGTTTGATATTCCATTATAAGTCCTTGCTGTGATTGTTATAAGGAAAGTAATGAAAAGAAGAAGAGCTATACTGACCTTTATTTTCATTTTTTTTTGTAATCATTAACAAAAAAATTCACAGTAAAAAAAAAACACTCGTTGCCAGTTTTGGATAAAAGCAACAACAAAAAACCTTTTTAGAACAATAAATTTTAATTGGCCTTTTCGCCACGTTCAACAACAACGAGCAATTCTAAGCCCGGTCAATTGCAGCGAAGTTCCTAATCATTGAGGCATTTGAACAGCTCACATAAGTTTGGGGAGACATTACAAGGATTAAACTTGAATTTCATCAATGTTTTTGCTGTCTATTGATCATAGCTTTCCTCAATTTTAGTAAAGTACTCTCCCGTTTTCAATCCATCGTACAGCTTACAAAACGGTATGGCCTACCTTTTGTTCGCGCTAATAAAGAATTAATATGTAAAAGAGAGAGCAAAGCGTAGAGTACAGTTAGAGATGTCGATGCATGCTACCCCAAAATAAGTTCGTTTTTTAGGCTGTTTGTCAAGCAGGTCAGAAAGAGAAAGATACTCTGTAGGTCAGAAACTAAATAGAGGTGACATTAGGGCTTGCTCGTTAGTAGGAGTTATCCTTTCCTTGCAGTCAGCTGAATCACTCGCAGGTATAGTGGATCCTTTAATATACTCTTAATGATCTAATGAAAGAAACTGGGCGATCTATACCAAACATTTATAAGATCAGTTTTACTTTATAACTTCATTAGAACCATTAATTACGTTGAACCCAGCAGTATAAGCTAGGATCATTGCCCTTCTTCTGTCGTAACATTCTCCGTAAAGCACAATTTATAGTGTGCCCATTCTATATGTATACCTGTTCCATTGCGGCGCAAGATATTTTAAGTAAAATTGTCGGTACACTATTTGTCCATTAGTTGAAGGTACTTTTAGTATATTACTTTCGGAGGATCCCTCCGGACTTGAGGAATTTGTAAATTCCTACAAAAATTTATGCTAGGTAATTAGTTGCTGATTCCTCCTACACCTCTAAAAACCGAACTTAATATATATTTCAATAGCATCAAGCACATGTAGAAATTCTCTTTAGCTTCAATACAGTGACTACGTCAAGGATTTAAAAGATGCCATTATAAACCTTGCACAACATCTTTAGTATACAAACTTAACCTGGCTTTCTCATAAATCAATGGGTTATAACACGATCACTTGAATAGTTAATGTACCAATAGTTGATTTTACCATGCTATCCATTTATTCGAGCAATAAGCGGCGGATTTGTCTTATTCACGCATCCGGACGGTACACTGAATATTTATTTGTAACAACTGCAGTAATCTCTGTTGAAGTTGGGAGTGCTTGGGAAAACCCACTAATTTTACTCTTCTATCTTAGTATAACCATCACGACAAACCGTGATTGTCTATTGAGAGGGACTTGAAGCTTTCATAAAATATTATTGTTGATTTCCATGGGCAAAGTTGTCTGTTTGTACGTTCCATGCGAACCCTTTCTTATCTAAAATAAAATCTTGGCAATAAGGTTCCATATTAGATAACGGTGGAGTGAGAATAATACAAAGGTATATCGGGTAAGTTTATTTCGTACAGTGATAGTATCAAATTTGGGTATAATAAAAGAAGCTGGTAAATTAGAATATAAACAAATGCTTATCATAATAGCTACGACAATAAAAACGGATGCATTAATGCTTCAGAAGCCGTAATTCTTTCTGTGTGTATCAGTCGAAGACACTGTTCCGCTAAATTAACTGCAGAAAGAAAGTCTTCTTCAGTTTGCCACATTTTCTTCCAATCTTCATTCAACTGTTTGCATAATTCTGCTAAATCTTTGGGTTCATCAGGTATTGTGGGTATGTTGGTTTGCAGACAGAGTTCGTAATAATCGCAAAATTCCGATAGTTTTCTTTTTCCAAATAGCTCGCCTATTTCTACAAGACCATCAGCATCATCTTCAGGGTCAAAGAAAGGATAACGCCCTGTGAGAAAAATCAAGAGGATCACACCGACTGCCCACATATCAACAGCAGTTGTCTGATATTTGTACCGTATGAGCAATTCAGGTGCACGGAACCCTCTTGTACCAGAGCGATCTGCTTCAAAATGAGGTCTATTATACATGTATACATACAAAAAGGTCAATCTAAGAGAGCAACGATAAAATTCAACGTATAAAACCCACCGATCATCAATTTCGTAATATCCCGGTTCGTCAAACACTTCCTCATCCGATTTTGGGACTGTGGCCTTGGTTCGTTTCTTTGCATCAAGTTTGTACGACTCTCGAGCGAGACCAAAATCGATCAAATGGCCAGTATTTGTCTTTGTATTGTAAAGAAAATTTCCCGGCTTCAAATCGCGATGCATGATTCCTTGCTTATGAGCGCTTTCCAAGCCTATCAATAACTGTTTAATATACTTCTTGATATCAGCGGATTGCATTTTGTAATAGATTGTCTGTATGTGTAAACCAGTGTTAGTAAATCTAGCAATTAAAAAAGAAATAGGACAAATGATAGCTACACTAAAATCATCAGATTCAATATATTGAAGCACCACAAATACCAAGCTGTTTATGCGGAAGACATCTAAAATATGCGCAATGCACCGTGCATCACTATTTACAAAATTAGCCGACGGTAAAAGCGCATAGTTCATGAACGAAGGTATTACCTCAGTATCTGTAAGAAGTTGATCTCATTGGCAATACGAGCAGGGGAACTAACATCTAGTATTACTTTGACAGCTACATATTCCTCAACTCTGCTGTCGTCGTCATCAATGTTTTGTTTCCCTACTAAATTGATTGCCTTGAAAACACTGCCGAAAGTGCCATAACCGACTTTTGTAATCAATTTATAATTGTTTTTCAGACCAGGACATGTGCAATATAAATTTTCGATTTCTTGGTTTTCCTTTTCCCTCCAAAGTTGTTCACCTTCTTTACTTGTTTCAACATGTGCATTGTCATAAACTTCATCCACTGTGGATTGCCTTTGCACTCTATTTAGCAATATTTGTTGGTCGTTCGTCATTTGTTTTATTGATGTCGACTTTGGTAGTAGCTGTCGAACAGATCTATTGCTATCAGATTCCACACTGTCCGCAAACGAAAGAGGTGGTGGTGTGGCTGTTGTTTGTTCAATAAAGTTAAGTGGTTGACGATATTTTTCCTCATTAAAATTGATGACTGCTTCACAGATAGCAGTACGACTGTCTTCTGTTTTTTGATGTTGATCTTCATTCCTGGCATCAAACAGTTGTTGCTCAGTTATTATATTATTATCTGACATGCCACGTATCCAAGATTCTTCTGTTGATTTCGCTATTTCATCAAGTTGCAGGTCTTGGAAGGCATTTTTTTTATCGTACGAATTTTCCTTTTGCCCTATAACATTAATAGCATCTGTTATTGCTCTGAATTTCATTGTTTTTACATTGCCAGCCGGAAAGGTAACGTCTAAACGCAGCTTGCTATCTTTACCCTCCTTCTTGCCTCTACCTTCATCCTTGCTTTCTACGGTGAGTGAAGCCGGAATATCCGGTTGCTCTAATTGAGTCAATGTAGGTTTAGCCAGTTTGGCTTGTTGTCTCGTTATACGCTTGTTTGTGTTTGCTGTTGGTTTTCCATTTTTAATATTCTTTTGAACTACTTTTTCTTGTTCCTCTTTCACAGTATAATCCGTTGTGCTATTGTTTGCTGACATCGGATTGTTTTTGTTTTTCTTATTTGCAGGGAAGTCTAATTCTTCTTGATGCTTGTCGTCCGCCTGAGTTGACATCATACTTGTCTTCCTTTTTACGCCAGTTATAACGGTGGTTTGAATATCTGCTTTCGTTACTGTAGCTGTAAATTTTTGCTCCCCTGAGAATTTTGTCTCAGCATGTTCAGTCTTGATCGATTGGTCCAACTGCTTAAGATCATCGGTGATCGTTCGCTGTATTTGCTTTGGCGCTGATATAAAGGTATTACGGACGCGATGCTTGTATATTGGAAAACAATAATGCTTAACATCGTCCGAACGCGTTAGCCCTGGGTATAATTGAGCGTTGAAAGTTTGTTCATCGTACGCTTCAAGCAGTGATTTATCTTTTCTTAGGCGGGACATTTAACTGAGAAAACTGCTGGTACAAGGATTCTTTTGATCAGTTGCTTTTTTTTTGAGCAATAGGTATAGTTAATGATCAATCAGGAAATGCCAGGACTTGAAGGTGAGAATGAGTGGTAAGAAGAAAATTAGGTAAGCTTCAAGGCTTTAAAATTGACCTTTTTATTCGGGTAAAAGTTTCGGCCGCCGCATTTTAGAAATGGTCTACAGTATTTTAACTAATATTTTAGATGAAATACATTTTTTTTTGGACGATTAATATTTTCATTTTAGATGAGTTGCAATTGTGTTGTAGACGAAAATATAAACCGTTCAAACAATGAATCAAATCCCAAAAACTTGTCAGGATTGCGAAACAAAAAAAAAAACAAGAAAAAAATACCGTACTATTCCTTACCTGTAATGATCTAAATCCTCAAAATGAAGGAAAACCGTGTTTATTACGGCGATACTTTTTTCTTCTTCGTTGGCTTAAAAACATCGGGTCTTCCAGCTCCGGACCAAACTGCTTGAGATATAGTCATCATGTTAATAGCAGCGTTAATGTCTCTCTGCCATAGCTTTAGACATTGCTTGCAGTGAAGAACGCCGGTACCCTTGAATCCAGGAGTATCAACAATTTGCATATCATCATAGAAACAGAGGCTGCATGTTTTAGAGGTTTTAAATTCATCGATTGTAACAACAATCAATTGACCTTCAGCTTCACGTTTCTTCAGAGTTGCAAAAAGTTTACCGACAACACCACATCTTTGTCCTTTCAACTTCACTGCATCTTTGCCAAACATTCCAGCACCAAACACAATCAGTGGCACCCTTCTAGGGGATTCCAAGTACTTATCAGCCTTCCACTTCTTGGCACTTCTAAAAAGTATTAATGAATGGATAAGCTAAACGATGAACATGTAATTCCATTGAAACTCACTTTGTTGGCTGCTGTTGGTTGGCATTCTTTCCTTTCTTCTTCTTCTTCCGCTGTCTTTTCCTCTTCCTTGCCTTGCTTCTCTTCTTGTGATTGTACTTGGCCGTTCCATGAGTCAACATGTTGGCCATTGTTTCCGGTGCTCTTTGTGTACCTTGGTACAACATAAACCGGTCCTTTGCAGTTTCGGATCCATAAAAAGCCAAGAGAGCGTCCAGGTTATTGAGTGTATAAGCAGTGTATAGCTCATATATTTCCAAACGAGAGGTTTTTGGCGAGGGTATCTGACTTTCTATGAGATCTATGCCTGTAACGGCCTTCTTTCTGTTTAACTTGGTACTGTATTGGGTCGACCCTGTCATATGATAGTATTCAGATGTAGTGCATCTTCGCACTTGTCTGTTATATTCAAGGCCAATAGCAGCAGTAAAAACAGACTTTCTTCCGGGATCCAGGGTAATAGGTAAATAAGTATTGTCAACTTCATCCAGAGAGAAATCATCAAGAGTGAGGTCAAATTTTTGGAACAAGGCACCATGGCCAGATTGTTGTCTTTTATAAAAAAGAAAATCAACTGAAAACCCATCCGTTCTGACAATATTACCAAAGAGCTCTTTGTTATCACCATTCGGTGTTAGTTCAGAGATACTACAAGTGCCCAAGAAGTTAAAGCTCATACATTATACTCGACTGTATACCGTATTAACTGTATGCTTACCTTTTGTACCGGAGTTTCTTGAAATCAAAGACATGGAAAAACAGCTCTAATTGGCTTTGGTAATTGCGGGGTAAAGAACGTTTCACAAAAGAAGACAGAGCGTTCACGCTCAAGGTAATGAACCTCCATTGAACGGAAACCTTTGGCAGTAAGGATAGCAATTTTGGAAGAGGACGTCGTCGTACGTCAAATGGTTTATGATCATCGTGTTCGCTCTCAAATTCTGCGTTCAAAGATAACAAAAAGGGTACGAAAGACCCAGGATCAGCAGATAATGTCTTCATGTTCACTTTCTTCCCCAGCTTCTTCTTCCAAGGTTCACAAAAGGTTTGGATCTTTGCTTTTATATCTTTGGTAAGGTAGTCATCAGTTGGCCATTTAGGTTTTCCTTGGCATATCTCTTGATAGCAGAAATCACTTGTGACCTTTTTGACAAGCTTCCAAGGCATACACTACGCAAGATGAGAGCTTTTTTTTAAAATTCATGTAAGACCCCAAGTAATATTGAGTTGCAACTTACCACAAATGCCGTTTGTATTTTATATATCAAAAAATAGAGAAGTTTCTCCTCAAAATTTTCCACTATACTGTTCGTATAGGAAGTAGCAATTTCGGTGCATGCTTCTGTAATGGCTTGACTAAGTCCAGGAAAGAGCTTGACAGGGAAGACAATCTTAGGGTAAGTCGTTTTAAAAGAATCAAACGAGCTCAGTAATTGTTGTGATATCAGCCTACTATTTGTTGGTCTTTGTCCATTCACTAGCTGTATGATAGAGTACCAAAAATTTTGTGTAAAGATATATTTAATACACTTTGGCTCAGCAAGAGTGGCATTTTCCAAGACGTAATAATTCACAAAGAGCTTGGCTCTAAGAACCAAGTTTCGGATAACAGAACAAGCTTCAACAACTTTTGACTTGAATGTGTTGCGATAGTCACCAAAAACGCAGTTATCAAGAGGCAACCTTCTTGTAAACGCCTTGTAATTACTTCCCAAATGATGTTGAAAGACCTCTGCCTTTGATAATACATGTTGAGGACACAGAGGAGAACGCACCGATTTATGTCCTGGTTGCTTGCATTTGGTACAACACGCATTGTCTTCATCTGGGTCTTCATTATTCTCTTTCCTTGCTTTCTTCTTTTCCTTCTTGATTTCAAAATTCTGTTTGCGTTTTCTGCCTTTCGAACCAACTATAGGTACAATGAAGTCGCTTACTAATGATGAATTTACCAACTTTTAAAGCCACATGAGGTGCTTACCTTGATCTGCAGTTTCCGGCTCATATAATTCACATTTAAAGTATTGTTTGGTGTAGTGACCCCCTTTACCGCAATCAATACACGTTACATCTAACAGTACACGATGATTAATCTATACATATATATATGATTAGGTAGATAGGCTTTCAAAAGGCAAGTTACCATTAACAGCACTTGATTTTTTCTTTTCAAAAATTTGCTTTTTCTTTTCATAAATTATTGTTTTGAACATGGGTCATAGTATGTATCTTAAAAACGTGAAATAAAAGTGAAAGAGACAACATTTGACTCTAAGAAAGCAATATATTTTATAGTGCTTATCTTTGAAAGTCACCCATGAACGCATACAAAAACATTGACAACAGTTAATATAATCATCCCATTCCGCTATGGTATCTGTTATACTATGGCCCTCAGCCCTCTATCTATGGTTTGATGTCAATCAATTCAAAGTTAACCTTTTTTGGAATTCTTGTCCAAAAAAGGTACCAACGAATATCTGGTTGGGGTCTCGGAACACATCGTCATTTACTAAAAAAGTTGTCAAGCTTTTTGTAGTTTGTCCTATTGCAAGGTAACATCAATAAAACCATTATTGGCGACTTTCTTACTGATAGAGACTAATTTCTAGGGTTCGATTCTATGTCATCCTTAATGCTGCTTGAATATCACTGAATAATGAGTATCAAAATCCAAAATATTATGGACTTTTCTAAAAATATTTTTTAATAAATCTAAAAATAAAATGTATATTGTCCATTAAAAATTGTAAATCGTCTAAAATATAAGGTAAAATGGTCTATTATCAGCTGGCATAAATCCAGTCTCAAGAAGATTTTACCAACTAAACCATGATCCTTTGGGGGGTTCGAATGGAGACGCCGAACAAACAACAGAGAGTACAGTATAGAAAATAGTTGACCAGCACTAAGATTACGACTCTAAACTCAAGTTTTCTTTTTTGTATGAACAAGATTATCATCTAATTCACCTTCAGAACTCTAACCCATACAAATCAGAATGTGATTAGTAACAAATGTTTTAGGTATCCTTGTTTAACAGATTTCATGATACAATACGTCTTCATCTGGGCTATATATTAACATATACAACGATTGAAATTAATGAAGCAATTTGAAACAAAGCATGGCCTACATTATGTACAACTTACACTTCACCAAGTGATATCTGCAGTTCCCTAACTCTTTCCTTTAGTTTATTCTTATCTTCCAGTAGATCTCTAATATAGTTGACAGCTGTTATTCGTGTAAAAGAACAAAAGCATTAGACAAAATGTTTTGCCCGTCTCAAAGCGATATTATCTTCAGCACCTTACATTTCTGTAAAATAACGGATTCACTTCTATGACCATTATCCAACGTAGGCACAACTTCGACTAATTGATCAAAGCCAACACGAATATTCGCTCTTCTTTTCTGCTCTGAGGCTATGTGATTTGCCTTTTTCTGTTCTTCAGTCAATAATTCGTGAGGTGCTTTCCTCGCTCTGCCTGTCCTAATTACTACTGGCTTTCCTGCAGTTGTGGTTGCACTATCGCTGATATTTGCACCCGACTTTTGCTTGTGAAGAGGTGTCGATCGTTTCCGTTTATTAGTAGAGTTGCTATTATCAGAAGTCTGTCCTGATATTGTTGCGCTCGATTCAGGCCGTTCCTGATTCGAAATGAAGTCTAAGTACCCAAAGATGACCGTGAATTGCAGCAATGTTAGGCTGTATATCGAGTTTCATGAGCTTACTTTTTGGGCTTGCTATATCTGTGTCTACTGCTGTCTCAAAGTCGTTTAGGAATCTTTGTAACTGATACTGCTCTTGCGCGGAAAATATATCTTGTTCTTTTACTAAAGCAAAGAGGAAATCAATTGGAGGTAAGTTACAGTTCGTTCTTCTATTATCCGAACAGCTAAATTCGCAGTTTAAGGTACATTCAGCATTGTCATTAGCGGTCATCTTAAAAGGTACATGTAAAATTTAAGTGTATCCTCAGTCTGAAAAGGGAAATTCTAGAAGTGTTTAAATATCAAGGCAGACGAGGCGTGTGAAATAATAAAATAAGCGAGGAGGGATCGCTTCTGGACTACATTTATACTATGCTGGGAGAGGTGTAACCTGTTGTTGACCTGCCAAGATAGAATACACTGCTCAGTCTTCTCTCAAATGTTAGGAGCCATCTAAGAATGAAAGATCTCCTAACTGCATATTGAACATGTCAACATAGCCATACGAAAAGATGATGAACCCTCTGTTGCAGCACTCGAGATAATCTCTTTTCAGGGGCTCTACTAGCATTGTTTATTGAATATTTTAACTGACAATTTTCATTGTTTGTCAGGAGTATGAACCATAAGGCCTGTGAAAACTTATAAAATTACTGTATAAAGGAACAAAAAGAAGAGTGATTTGTAACAGGTTGCTTGTTATCGCAATGATTAATTATTTTTTGATTGGTAATCCCATACTCGTGACTATTGACTTTTGTCTGCTGGAAAATAATACCCGTATGGCATATTTGCTTTTCCCTTTCTTTGAACTCCACTCGACTAGAACTTCCATGCAAATTTTGTAGTATTTTTTTTTTTTTTTTTCTTTTTCCTACTCGCAAAACTCGACACAATAGCTACGCCCAATTCTTGAACGATGACAGAAGCGATTTTAGATTTCAGTAAAGAGCTTGACGTTTCTTTGCTAGATCAGGTCGTTACAACTTTCTACACAGGCTCAGGTGGTGATGTAAGTCTAAAACTTTTCTCGCTCAACATTAACAACAAAGCTAATAAAAATTTCCTGCTTCAACCTTTTTAAATTTTCAAAAAGCAACAAATGGCACAAAATCTACTAACACAATTCCAAGAACATGAAAATGCTTGGATGCGTGTCGATGCTATCATACAGAAATCAACTGTTCCTCAAACAAAGGTAATGCCCTTATCTTTTACCTTCTTTGCTAAAGTACCAAATCCTTGCTTTCATCGATAAAGAAATTAACGCGGTTTTCTGCTAACTTTTGAAAATATTAGTTCCTCGCGCTTCAAATTTTGGAAGCGTTCGTTCAAACAAGATGGAAGACACTAGCAGCTGATAGTAGAAACTGTAAGTCATGTACTTGCATTGAAAAAAAAAAAAAGTCGACTGTAGACACTAAGGATCTTTAATTTTTGCTATCTTTTCATGACAGCTATCCGGTATTTTGTCACTGATGTTATTATCAAAGTTTCATCCGATGAGGGTGCGTTGATTAAAGAACGTGCGTATATCAGCAAGCTTGATATGGTCCTTGTTCAAGTGAGTAAAAACTTTTATTGATTATCTTTATTAATAAGAATTAGAGCCGAAAGCTTACTGTTTACTTCTAGATTTTGAAACAAGAATGGCCCCACAATTGGCCCTCCTTCATTCCTGAAATTGTTCAGAGTAGCAAAACGAACCTTTCTATTTGTGAAAACAACATGCTTATTCTCAAGTTATTGAGGTATGTTATAATCATTGGCCATTCCCTATATAAGTTGAAGATTTCCTATATCATTTTTCAAATACTTACACGTAAATCTACATCATGAAACAGTGAAGAAATTTTTGACTTCTCTGCTGAACAAATGACACAAATCAAAGCAGCCACGTTGAAGACGCAAATGACCAAAGAATTTTCAGAGATCTACAATTTATGTAGAGAGGTTCTTGATAAAGCAGTAAAGCCTAGTCTTATTACTGCTACATTGGAGACTTTATTGAGATTTATTCATTGGATTCCCGTTGGGTTCATTTTTGAAACTGACCTGATTGAGACACTTCACTCCAAGGTAAGCATTTTTGTTCGTAAAAAGAGGCCATAGTTATATTACGTCTAACCATTATTACGCTTAGCAGTTTTTCCAACAAACTCAATTCAGAAATGTCACTCTTAAATGCTTCACCGAAATCAGCGGTTTAACTATCACTCAAAACTACTATGATAAAATGGTGCTTATGTTCACTAGCGTCATGTCCTCTACCAACCAGATGGTTCCTCCTAGTACAGATATCGCCGAAGTTTATGAGAATAGTAACGATAATGATCAAGAATTTGTTCAAAATTTGGCTTTGTTCCTTACGAGCTATCTTGGTACCCACTTGCACGTAAGAATGATGTTCTAACATTTGAGACTAGATAAAAGTAGTACTCTTCTTACTAATGAGATCCAAATTTATATATCGATATCGTTAAATTTAGGTCGTTGAAAGTTACCCCAATACACATGAGCTTCTGATCAATGCTCATTTCTATCTCATTAAAATATCTCGTGTCGAAGATCGTGAAATTTTCAAGATTTGTTTAGAATATTGGTCCAAGCTGGTCCAAGGACTGTTCGACGAAGCCGCTACTGCTGCTGCGCAAAATAATGGTCCATTGTTGAATATGGGTGGATATAATAATGCAGGTGGTCTTAGAAAGAATCTCTATGTTACCGTCTTGTCCAATTTACGTGTGGTAATGATTGAACGTATGGTGAAACCGGAAGAAGTAAGTTGAATCAATTTTATGACTAAAGATGTTAGGGGATTTCTAAGCATCTACTCAATTTTGACTTTAGGTGCTTATCGTCGAAAATGATGAAGGAGAGATTGTTAGAGAATTTGTCAAAGAAAGCGACACCATTGTTCTTTACAAGAGCATGAAAGAAGTTTTGGTTTATTTGACCAATCTCGACGTAAACAACACAGAAGAAATTATGACATCCAAATTAGCAAAGCAAATGGACGGGTCTGAATGGTCTTGGAATAATTTGAATAAATTGTGTTGGGCTATCGGTTCCATTTCAGGTGCCATGAACGAAGATACTGAGAAGAGATTCTTAGTTACCGTTATTAAGGAATTATTGTCTCTTTGCGAAATGAAACGTGGTAAAGATAACAAAGCCGTTGTTGCTTCCAATATTATGTACTGTGTGGGTCAATATCCTCGCTTTTTGAAGGCACATTGGAAGTTTCTCAAGACTGTTGTGAACAAATTGTTTGAATTCATGCATGAATCTCATGAAGGTGTCCAAGATATGGCCTGTGACACATTTATCAAGATTGCTCAACATTGTAGAGTTCATTTCGTTCGTCAACAAAGTGGTGAAGTACATCCTTTTGTCGAAGAGATTCTTGATAATGTCAATCGTATTACCTCTGATCTCGCGCCCCAACAGATTCATACTTTTTATGAAGCAATCGGCTATATGGTCGCTGCTCAAAGCAATACCCAGGCTCGAGAAAGATTGATGGTTAAGTTTATGGAGCTTCCTAATCAAGCTGTAGGTTTTCGAATAATTATTATGGATATTTTTCAGTCACATTTATTCTAACTCTTGGATTTGTTTATAGTGGGATGATCTGATCCAAAGAGCCAAAGTGAATACAGACTGTCTCAACAACGCTAACGAAATTAAAGTCTTATGTAACGTTCTCAAGACTAATGTATCAGCTTGTTCATCAGTTGGTTCTGCCTTCGTTTCTCAACTGCGTAGAAACTTTGACGATTTATTGGGTCTTTATCGAATTGTTGGTGGACTCGTCTCTGAAAGTGTTGCTGCTCAAGGCCTAATTGCCACGAAAACTCCTAAAGTTCGTGGTTGGAGAACCATCAAGAAGGAAATACTGAAGCTTATTGACACTTACGTTGAGCATACCAATGATATCAATGAATTGAACACTACCATGGTTGAGCCTTTCTTAGAAGCCGTATTAAGTGATTACAGTTCCAACGTGGACGCTGCAAGAGACGCTGAAGTTTTGAATGTTATTGCCACCATTGTCAACAAATTGCAGGTAAGTCATTTGCTATATAAACTTTCGGGCTTTCACACATTATGTTACTGACGTTCTCTTATTGCTTCATTAGTCCTACATGACTCCTCGTATTTCAGTTGTTTTCACCGCCACGTTCGAACCTACCTTAGGCATGATTACGAAGGATTTCGCTGAATATCCCGAGCATAGAACAGGCTTCTACTCCTTGTTGCTTGCGATCAATAGGCATTGCTTCCCTGCATTATTAGAATTAGCACCTGCTCAATTTAAGCTGTTCATTGATAGTATTGTTTGGGGTATCAAGCACACCATGCGTGATATCGCCGACATAAGTCTTGAAACATGCGGTGAGCTGATCGATAATTTCACTCAAACAGATCCTGCTGTTGCCAATGCCTTCCACCAATCTTTCTACACTTCTCTTGTTCAGGAACTCTTATGTGTGCTTACTGATCGTGATCATAAGAGCGGATTCAAGGGTCAAACAGAAGTGTTGGCACGTCTTTTCCGTTTGGTATCAAGCAATATGATCACTGCACCTCTCTTCAACCCCTCTCAAGTCTCTAACCCCAATATGACCAATATAGAATATGTTCGAGAATACGTTGGCACTCTATTACATAACGCTTACCAACACCTTACAGCGTAAGTATAGACGATCTTTTCGTATGTACGTACTATCTGTTTTTTAACCACTTACCTTGTATTTAAATAATATATAGGAATCAAATTAAGGTCTTTGTTGAGGCAATGTTTGAATACAACAACGATTTACCCAAGTTCAAGTTAGAAGTTCGTGATTTCCTTATCCAATTGAAAGAATTTGCTGGTGATAATACTGATCTCTATTTGGAAGAGAAAGAGAGAGAATTAGACGCTCAAAGAAAGGCTGAAATGGCTAGAGCATTGCAAATTCCTGGTATGGTAAAGCCTTCTGATTTACCTGTCTTGGATGAGGATGAGGCTCTCTAAACGAGAAGAATATGTCTTCTCGACATTTTTACTCTACGTACGCAAACATTGTCTCATCATTCTTTATCATCACAATTTATTTCACAATAAGCTTGGAAAAAAACTCTCGAGAACCAAAGATACACCTTGTCATGCTTTGACTCATATATTTCTATTGATGAGGTAACTCTTCACTTCCTCCATCAAGAGTCTGTGTGTATACAGTCACATATATACATTTTATATCTTAAATATATAACAAACCAAATAAAAGAGGAGATTTGTAAAGCCAGTAAGTCGTTTAATTATTCAACATCGGGCAACAAAATGGCAGAGGAATTATTCAACGCTTCTAAATTCTCTTCATGAGACTCGTTATTCCCGTCATTTTTGAAGTTATCGTCAACGATATCGTTTGCATTATCATCTTTCTCGTTAGGAAAATCGTTTTCGTCTGGAATAGTTACTAATGTTGATGGAACAAGACTGTAAGTTCTTGATAACAACAAGAATCTTGCGTAGAGATGGGTATCACGCTAAAGAGGGGATGATAAATTGAGATGGGGATTGTATTGAAAGTCCAACATAAAATTCGCTTTTTACTATACTTCGAATACTTCATAAACTTCTCTGTGATGAAAATAAGCATGAGCAAAAATTCGATATAGACGTCTTGCGATTGACTGGAAATGTTTCAGCGACGGTTCAGGCACAGAAATTCTATTTTTAAGGTGCAAACATCAATCACTGAGCTTTGCATCATTGTGAATTTCCCCGGCTTTTTTACACTTATGCAGTTCTTTCATACCTGCTTGGAAAGTATTTTGAGTTATTCAACAGAATGGTCGCTCCGTCCAGTGTATGAATAATATAGTCAATGGCTGAGCACTGTCCCAGAAAAATTGCAAAAGGTAGTTTCAGTATAATCTATCGTTATACATCTATTACAACATAAGTTCTTTTTTGTTCACCGATTGCACACAAGGATGAGCTGCACATAAATAGAGCCAGCCATCAGCTTTCATTTCTGGACAATTCGCTTTTGTACATTCTGATTCTAATGCTACCACCAATAAATTCAGCTGTAAGCATATTTGACTGTTCGTTGCAGAAAGAAATTGAAGAGTATGAGTGTTTATCGATGGTAAAATACAGCAGACTTGACTTTACCGTAAATGTTCATATTGCCAAACATTGTCATCTAAATTCTCTGGTAATTCAACAATGCGTTTAACATCGCTGCAATCCATGCGTATTAATTGTTGTAGATATTCTTGAACATTGAACGACGATTCCAGGTTTTCCAAACTCTCAACTGACCACTGGAAGCATTCCTTGAGAAGCACTATTTGTGAGCGATTTGCAATGTAGATGAGGGTTAATCGTTCTATTTATTTATCATACTTGCACACGACAGCCAGGGTATAATCTACGTAACGAAGGCTGGGACGGTTTCGAAGAAGTCATTGTTTCGGTCAACATTATCGATTTTTAGGCAGAAAGTACGAACGACATACTCTCATCCCCTTTTTAAGCCGTTGAAAGCTGCATTATTTTTGGTGCAGTTTGATCCCAGCTGTTATTATGACTTATGAAAGGTCTCCTTTTACCACGCTTTTAGTTTTATGCTTATTGTTGGTGAGCTCAGACGAACGATAAATATTGCTTGACCTTCTGCCTTTTTTTAAATTATCCACTTACACCTTGGGCAATGTGTGTTTACTTTTATTTAGCAATTAGTAGGCTTTTAATATCAACGAAATAGGTAAAGGTCAATTGAGAATGCACTCATTTGATTGCTTTACTATGTCTAGCAGAGTTTTCAGTAACATAGTAAGTATTCCTTTGCGTAGCTTTCCAAAATAAAGCTTAACTCATTGCAACCAGCGACAATAAAGTAAGACTTAATCTTGTATGGTAGAGCCTTCGATCATCTGTAAAGAAGCGATGTTTTTTTAAAGACGTTGAAATCTTTATTTACCTATTTAAATAAATTTCTACCCTATAGAGAATAGTCTTCTTGACAACCTGCTTTCAAGCATTGAACAATGTATAACGTTACATCAACCTCTCCTTTTATCATTGTTGTTATTGCAAGCCTACTCTTTGGGCTTAGTACTGTACTGAAGAAAAAAAAAATACAAAAAAAAAATACAACTTCTTCTAATTGTAGTAGTCTGGTGTAACAAAATCAAGTGAGGAAAACCTTTTTGATCAATGGCTTTGTTTACATGGACATTATATTTATAGAAGACACAGCTCCCAAATTGAAAACAATTTATGTTCAAGTTTTTCGGAAAAGGCATCAGTCTCCAGCCACACGACTATTTAAAAAGGAATTAAAGACGAACAGCTTTACTCTTGTAATTATTTCTTTTCTAGTTCATTTATAATAATCTGCTCCCTTCCATATTCACTAACTGTAATATTTAAACGCTCAACAAAATCATGGCAACAGACATCCAGACCTTCAAAGCTCGTAAAGGAGCAAAATTGCTTTTGCTATTTTTCGCTCTATTTTGTTTACTGATGGTCACAAAGCTGTATTATCAAGAGCCAAGCTACAGCCATTTTAGAAGGGCATGGTTCTTAAGCAAGAATATATCTATCAATCAAAAAGTGCTGCAGCAATCAACAGATACTCAATTCACTTGGACTAACGTAGACGGTAATCCATTGATGGCAAATATATTGATTACTCTTGTTTATCAGATATACAGAAGCCCTTACATATCAATATCTTGCATTTAGGTGCGTCCCATCAAGTGCCCATGAAAACGTTGTTATCAAAAGCGTTTTCTTTGTCTTCTTACTCCGAAAATTCACAAATCATCCCATATTACTATAAATCAGACCTCAATATGACAACAGAAGACATCACCATAGTCACATTGGTAACCAGAAATAGAATTCCAAACCTTTCGAGACTTGCTACACAGTATCAAGGTAACTTAACAATTATATTTGGCCAATCCAATCAACTGTTCCCATTTAAAAAACTATGGTAGCCGCCGATAAGCATTTACATTAACTATCTCATTACGTTGTATTTTTAGGACCTATATCTGCGACACTGCATATCTCAGATGACGAAGAAGGTGATCTCACATTAGAAATTCTCGAAAATGCCCTGGAAAAGAACTACGCTATGCGCCATTTTGTAGATATTCATGTTATACGCGATGAGTTCGACCGCGAACTAAACTTGTGGAGAAATATTGCTAAGCTGTTCGCCAGAACTGCCTACATCATGCAACTTGATATCGATTTCTTTCCCAACACTGATATCAGAAAATCAGTATTAAGTGATCCCGTTGCCATGTCCCTGTTAAAAAGTGGTGAAGCTGCCTTGGTTATTCCTGCTTTTGAGTACACAACGCAAGATAAGGGTTTAGACTATCGCCAATTTCCCAAAACTAAAGCTGAACTCGTAAAAGAATACAATGCTAACAAGTTAGAGATGTTCCACTCATTCTGGACACCAGGTCATGCCCCCACTGATTACGAACGCTGGGTTGGTGGCGAAAAGGAAATTTATCAGGTGACCGATTATCAGTTCTCTTACGAACCTTATGTTATATTTAAGAATCAAGGGTCTATGTGGTGCGATGAGAGATTTGCTGGTTATGGTAGCAACAAGGCGGCATGTTTATTTGAGCTCTATGTTTTGGGTGTTAATTTTTACGTACTACCAAATGACTTTATTATTCATCAAACTCATGCATACCCCAATGAAGCGAGAAAGATTGAGGTGAGTATTTCCAGAAATGTAATCTCCTCTATGATACAACTCTTCCGTGTCGCTATACTAACTTATTCTTCCTTCAGCGAACTTACAATCGCCGTTTATACAGTCATTTTAGGGAAGAAGTTTGCATTCGTTTGGCGCGTAGATTTATCACCCAAAAAAAGTGGGACGACCCTAAAATTGAAAACCTACGACGCGAGTGTGCAACCATCAAACCTTTCCAAAGAGCCATTACAAGGTTCTCATAATAATCTTTCCTTGCACTTAATTGTGATAGGGACCTCTTAAAAGCTATGCTTTTCGTCATGTAAATGTTCTATATAGCCTAATATTATTCCTTTGTACAAATTGTTTATTTATCAACCTGCCATGTAATATATATTCTTTCCTGTTCCACAGTAAGGATAGATAGTTAGCATTATTTTTTCTTCGCGCTTTCTTCATTTTTTTAATAAATACTCTTCAGGCTTTTCAATCTATGATTCTTTGCTACGGCTCGTGCTGACTTCTACGCATATCGAGCAATGAGAATAAGTGATCATTTAGCCGCGGTTGGGCTCTAAAGCTTTGTACTGTTGTTTTTTCATTTGAAAAGTCGGTTCCAAGTTATACTGGAAATTTTTTTTTGTAATGAAATATTGCTCATATCTCTATCCTTTATTACCTTTTTTTTTAAGGCCCATTTTATGGCTTTTCATGTATGCTGTAAAGAAATAATGGGAGAAGCCTACTAAACCATTCCAAATAATGCTCGCTCAGTATGTCAAATTATGTATCAGAAGAATTTTACAGTACTATTAAATTGAATGGAGTCTAGCGATCATGTTGCTTTTCAGTACTCTTTTTCCAACGAAGCATTAAGGATACTAGTATAATATGATTAATAAAAGCCTTAGCTTGTATATTCAGACTGAGTACATCACTTGAAATTGTAAAAGAAATCATGGGCATATCAATAATCGACAGTTTGAATAAATTAAAGATGCCGGGATGACACTCCTTAAAATCAAATGAGCAATAACAATCATAGTCTCCGAAATTAATGTTTTGGCATGAGTAAGCCATAGAAGAAGAGGCTTGCTATATGCATTACAACCAACGTAAAGCGAATTATCAAAAAACTTGAGGGTAACTAGCTTATATTAGACAATTCCGTTAGAACTCTTTCACTGTATTTTGATAATAATGTACAAATTAACAGTGATTTGGACGCTCGATAGATGGCAATGGTGGGCTGGAAATCGACAGGACGAAGTCTTTGATCATAGTGATGTTAATGTAACCACACTATTGTTCGTTTTTTTGGATAAAGAAGTCCAAGTAAGACTGTTTTGAGTTATGATTCATTCAAGTGTGATAAACAAAAAGCCCGATGAATTGATCATCAGTTTGATTGACTCACTTAAATTGAAGAAATTGAATATAATACAAATATAACTCTTCTGCAAATGTTTATTATTTGCCTAAATGAGCGGATATATGGTATTGGTGCCTCAAAGCAGATAAATAAAGATATAGCAATGAATATCGAGCAGTAACAGAAGCGTCTAGTCTTAAAGAATGACATTGTGTTATCTTAGCGGCGGAATCTTTTGAGGGGATCTGCCGTCCTTAAACTATTGAAGCCTGCAGCAGTAACGCCGGCAGAAGTTCTTTTCTTTGCTCTATTCATCTCATTGATTGCCGCTACTATTTCACCCATATTGGTTTCGAGAACTAATCCTCCTTGAACAATTTCTGATAGAATCGCATGCACTTCTTCAAAATGAAAGATCTTTAAAGCACAAGCTTAGTTGCAACGTTCAGACTAGGAACAAGCTTTATTTGGTTGCTTACCAAATCCAACTCGCACACATTTTCAAAGCATCTATCCAAACTTTCGACAAAAACCTATCATAGCAAGTGTAAGAGCAAAGTGTATAATGTGGCTTAAAGGTAAACTGCCTTTACCTGAATCAGATCCAAGATTCCAAGCTCACTTTCGCTTTCATCAACGACAAACACGAAATATAATGTAGCATAGTGTCTATAGATTACACGTGTATCTTTTCCACCGAGTAATTTACTGCCTTCTAAGAAGTTACAGGCTGTGTCAGGTCTTTTTGACACCAGCGTAAATATTTCTTGCACTAATGCTTGCTGTGTTGCAATATCCTTATGGAATGAAATAGATGTTACAATCGTGATTAAAGTGAGTTTCAAGTTATGCTTCCTTCACGCTTCTTTTGGCATTTTACAATCTGATGATAGAATTTGATGAGTCTTGGCTTGCCGTGATTGTTGAAAATCAGTACAGATTTGATCATGGAAACGACGGATGCAAGAATAAGAGTAATAAAAGAACGAACGATTTTTGTATCTTTCTTTAAAAGGGAACTCTATAGCATTGTCTGAGTTTACAGCAACAGCAGCAGCAGCAGCAAAAAAAGAAGAAAGTTTTCTGGTGCCTGGGCATTTGGTCTTATTTTACCCCACTTTTGCTTGATCAACCCCTTTCTCCCTTTTTCTGCTTTTACAATATTATTGACACTATACGGTTGCGGTAGCAATTAAATATTAAACACAACAGATTACAATGCTGCAATCAAAAGCTACTTCAACATTAAGAAGAGGTGGAGGCAATTCAAGACGCAATGTACGGACACTAAACCCAGCTTTTGTTTATGACTATACACTGCGATGTGCTATACACGCATGTATCGAAAATCACAATAAACAAAAATTGGCACCACAATTTGCGCAAAGGAGCAGTAGTAACCGTCATTCAGTCCATCTAAGCGGAATGACTGATGTGTTTGGCAACATTGCCGACAAAATTTCTGGAGACGAACCTAATAAAGATAAATTGACAAAACCAGTAGTGGTCGGTCTTATTCGTCGATTAGATGACATAAAAGACGGCAAAGACGTCTCTAAACCGGATTATCTTGATCGAACGTTCATATCGGTTGTCACTCAGTTTAGATATGTTGTTAAACAGCATCGTTATCGCCCTCAAGGCTCCATCAATGATTTGGTAGTTACTTTTCTAAGAACGAGTGAAACAGAACTCAAAAAATCTGATCCGAATCCAGCTGTTTGGTTTAAAGACTTGGATCGTTATGTGGTATTATTCACTGAAATTCTATTACTCGTCCTAAAAGAGGATGCACCCAATACAGCTTCTCCTGAACTTATCCAGACATTAAGCAAATCGATTTTGCCTCCGAAATCGAAACAGCAAAAGCAGCAAAGAAGCAGCACAGGTTCCACAGGCTCATCAACTAATATATTGGATATCATTGAGAACTACCCACTAGTTAAAACTGTTCAAAACCTATTTCAAATTGAGGACTCTATCCATAAACAAAAAATTCGCGACCTTCAACCTATTTGCACTGAATCGGTAAAAGAGAATTGATTTGTAGTTTTTTTAATATGATTCTTTTAATTTGTGGAACTGTCAAAATGGTAGTAACCTCTCCTGTTCTTTTTTCATACTTTCACTTCAAAGAACTATTTTTTGGATTTGAAACAATGTATCAATGCACTTAACACTAATCAATCTTTTCCTGGGAGACGGGAGGATTTCACAAGCCAGCAAGCGTACAATGCCTGGTTAGCGCGAGAGAAGAAGTATTTACAAGGCGTGATGACAGTTATGGTATCAAGCCCTACATTCTCTTTGAACATTAGCAATGAGCAAGATGTTGGATCAACTAATCTGTTATCTGGAGGTGGAAGCAATAATGTTAGCCGAAGACCTAGCGAAAATAAACGAAATTCGATATACGGCAACTCAGCTACCTTGGATGATGTTTGTATTATATGTGCTATTTGACCTTCTGGGAACGGTAAACTTAATCTCCTTTTTTTTTCTCGTGGCGAATAGAGCCCGTACACGTATATTCCCAACGATCCTCGATCTTATTTTCGCTTATTGATAAATATGTGTATGGACCACGATATAAGTATATCCCCTGAAAGCGAGCGAGCCAAGTCAAGTGTATTATCTCAAGCGTCAGAGGATCTACTTCGCGAGTGTTCTAATACATGGCGCTTATCAGCACCTTTTCGAGCAGTACTGTACTTGGAATCGATAAAAAATCGGTTAGACACAGGTGAATCAGAAGAAAATGTCGATATAATAGATGCAATGGACGCTATGCGTGCTCTAGAGAAATGTTTGAAGGAAAATGATATTAGAAATTGGACAATCAATGATGTAAGTTGCAGTTATAAAACTAATAGCTTAGGGGAAAACGTTTACTCTAACATTATCTATTATTGTCTGCAAAAAGCGTGAGAATTTGATCCGCGTCTTTGAGGGGTTGAACGAAGCCTGCCTGCACTTGTTAGCAGATTCATTGAGTCAGTATTGGAGGGTGAAGTAAGTCTATCCCTTTTTCACGCGAATAACACCCAATTTGATCATTAAATTGTGTTTGTGCCTGTAGCCCTCAATTTGTTAAAGATCAAATTGCTTTGTTGGATATTCTCTACGAAAACCCAGCCTATCGTGAAGATCATTCAGATCCGTATCAGCAATTCGCTCTTCTGGAAGAAACAGTAGCTGTAAGTATGAGATTGCAAATGTACTATATCAATGGTTTGTTCAATGAGCGTTCTACTATATATAGGGTGCAGCTGTATCTAGATGGAGGGTGTTGGAGAAATCAATGTTAGACCCTAAAAATGACGATATGACGAACTTGATGAACCTAGCGGATAAGTTAATAAAAGAATTAGTTGGTGTCGCCAAAAAGTTTAAAAAGCCGTTGAAAAAGTAAGAAGGAGAAGAGTGTTAAGAATCAATTCATGCCACTGATTATAAAAAAAATTCCAGTACACTGCATGTTCCAGGCATAGTGATGGCACGCCAAATGCCATTTTTCGTGTTAGAAATGGAAAATTGGGCATTTCTTCCCGAAGCAAGGAACGCTCCTATCGACTTAATATTCCAGCTCTATGATAAAGTGCTAACATTAAAGCGATTATACGATCAATACGGTCCAAGGTACCCAAGCTTAGACATCATCACTGGTATTATTGGAAGTTCATTGATCTCTTTTTTCTTCGTCCTATTTTTCTTTTCTTTTCTTTTATTGGTAGACAAAAGTCATCATTGTTCAAGGTGGAATCTTGGTTTTTGGTACATGTCCGCCGATGGCTGAAAACAACGACAGGAGAAACACCCGAATGGGTCAGTAACGCTATCAAACAGGATGAGGTAAAACTGTTTTATTGTGTAACCTTCAATTTTGGCAGAAGGGATATGACTAATGCTCTATCGATATGATTGTTCATACACTGAACATGTACAGTTCAAACCTATCAATGAAAATACGTTACACTCATCATCAGTTGTCGATCTTTTTACTATGTTCCATCAAGCAGTAGATTTTGTGCAAAAATTGGAATGGCCAAACAGTATTCAAGACTGCCATTTCAATACAGCACTGTCTAAAGTCATCGGTGTAGCCTTAGAGCAGTACACAATGGAAATGGAAAAGATGATTACTATGGATATATACCCTAAAGACTATCAAGAAATAGATGCAAGTAACACAACCTTTTTAAATAGAGCACGTTATCAATTGATTGGCAACCGTGCAAATGGAAAAGGCTCTGAAGAACCTTATGACTTTATGCCTCAAACTTGTGTAAAGATCAATAATATCGAAGCGGCTCGTGCAAAACTTGATAGACTGTATCAAAATATGGATGTGGATGAAATTGCTCAGGAATTAAGAGAATACGAAGCACAACTGCCTACCTCAGCTCTTGAAAAGCAATCAGCACAGCCATCAAACTACTTGTATTCAATTAAGTTTGTCAGGGCTGAAAACTTACCACCTGCCGATAAAAATGGATTGAGTGATCCCTATATTGTTTTGGAGATTGATGGAAAGCCCATTGTGAGGACTAAAACAGTCTACGAAACACTGAACCCTCGCTGGGATCAAGTTTTTGATATATGGTTGACCAATGAAACAGTCGATGTATTAGCACTCGTATATGATGAAGATATGATAGGTGCAGATGAGGAGTGTGGCGGTGTATGGTTTAAATTGGGACCATCCTATTTTGGCGATTTCCAGACACATGAGCTAATCTTGAATTTCAATCCTCAAGGACGGCTCATTCTAAGGATTATTATGGAAGGAGAAAAAGACGACATTCAATTCTGGTTCGGTAAAGTATTCCGTGTATTGAAAAGAGCCGAGAACGATGCAGCAGGATTGATTGTGGATAAGGTAACAGATTTAGCTTATTTCAAGGTCATAGTATGTTTTCCAAAATAACATTGTATACTATAGATGGGAAGCTATTTCCGTCAAGTGTTGAATCGCAAAACAATTGATAAACTGCTGGGACGAGACCGTAGTTTCTTTTCTTCATTTTCTCGCTCAAATAAGCATGTCGAAATAACGTTGCAAGGCTGCGAAAATTCGCTGACACAATTGTTGGATTATCTGGAGAAGAATTTGAAAATATTAAATGACAATCTGTCAGAAAGCAATATGCAATTTATTGTACTTCGGATATGGAGAGAAATATTGATATGTATAGAAAACGTGCTATTACCGCCATTATCAGAACAATTATCGGAATGGAAGCCCTTAGATGATTATGAGTTCCATGTCGTTTATAAATGGCTAGAGGTAACTTAGATCGTTTTGGCGTTAGATTTTCAAGATGTTGCTGAAGAATATTTCTTTTAAATATTAGCTTTTAAAAATATTGTTTAATGGTGGTGAAGATGGTGATGCAGTTCCTTTGGAAAAATTAGAGAATTCACAATATTACGCACTTTTGGCTATTAACGCAGCATACAATTTGGAAACGGATCAACTAATGGAAGCTTACAATGTAGCTGTGAAGAACCAGTTAGAGTTGAAACTTCGTGGAGGGAGAAAGGCAGACAGAAGCAAATCAGTATATCACTCGAAGAATACCGTTAGAAAACGAAAATCTAATGCCCGCAAATCTGCTTCTATTGAATTGCCTAATGCTGACACCATTCTCCGTATTCTGCGTATGCGCACAGGTCGCAAAGTACGTGATTTTTTGCATGCAGAATTTGAAAGACGTAATAATCCTTCATCAGTCAACAATGTACAGCAAAACTCAGAAGACAAAGCTACTGTAACAGAAATCCCACCTATACCTAGTATTCCTACAAATGATTTGACACCACAAAATGAAAATGCTATGCCCTTACGATGAGCGTAAGAATAACCCACTAGAAATCGTAATATTACCGCTCTTCACATGTATTAAAGAATTAATGGAAGAGTTCGTCATTTAATAAATGTATTCGCATGAAATATACTTGCAAATACTATTTACATTGCATTAGATTTGTACTCCTTCCTTTCAATAGCAAAAGCATGAAAAGTTATGGGAGGTTAGGACTATCGGTTTTGAAAAGCTAACTAAAGACTATGTTCATATTATTAGCGAATACCAAATTTTGGTTTCTCATATTGCGTTGATACTCAACCAGCTTTGCAATGTATGAAAATGGATTAAATTGTTTTTATCCAAATGCTCACCTACGTTTGGACTCTTCACTGCGGATTTTTACATCAGAAGAGTTTAGAATTGCATTGGAATCAAAGGTTATAAGTAAATCTGCCCGAAAAAGGTGGCCCGTGCAATTCTTGCTCTTCTCTTCCATAGATTGTGGTTAGACCAACTAATAAATGTTCCTTTCAAATTTTTTTTTTCTTTCTGAAACCTATGCCTTCTTGGAGCAATTATTGTCAGCCATTTAAGCCAGGAATCCCCAAATTTGAAAACACTTACATTTCCCGCTTTCTTTTTCTTTTAACACTAACTTGAGTCCGTTCGCATTAATCAAAACATACAATGGTAGCGGCGGCAAGATCAGGCAATACAATTTTTAGACGATTTGCATTACCATTTTTGCTAGTTTTTTTGTTTGTTTGGTTCTTGTACAACTTCAATACACCTCCCGTTGTACAAAATGTTGAGAAAGCGGCGATATCTATTCCTGAACAATCTATTGAAACGCTCACTACAACGGTAACAGACTACGTTATGGCCACACGAACAATCACAGAAATGATTGTGGAAACAACAACTTCCGTTGATGTGGAGCAGCAGGAGGAAGTTGTACTCACTAATAACAAGAAATTGGAACAAAAAGGAATATCAACGGCTACATCTAATGATGAAGAACCCTATCAGAGAGAAAAAGCTTGCTTTGTTATACTTGCTAGAAATACAGACAGAGCGGGCATTCGCTCTGCTATTCAGATGATTGAAGACCGTTTCAATCACAAATATCATTACCCTTATGTCTTTTTAAACGACGTACCTTTTCATCAAGATTTTATTGATTATACCACTGCTTTAGCTTCAGGTGAAACATTTTATGGGTTGGTCGAAGAGGACATGTGGGGTTATCCTGACTGGGTTGATCAAGATAAGGCTTGGGAATTGCGAGATAAAATGGGTGAATTGGATATACCTTATGGTGATTCAGAGTCTTATAGACATATGTGCCGGTAAGATAGCTATATTTTCATCAGCTAGAGAAGCTCATCTATAAATAGACTTGTTGGGCTATTTCTTTGCTTTTATTTATTATGCTGCAAGTCAAGTGATTTAAAAATTATGGGTTTGTTTTCAGATTTCAGAGTGGTTTCTTTTTCCGCCATCCTCTGTTGGATAATTATGATTATTACTGGTAAGGATCTGTGCATGCACTTTTTTGTAGACGAGGTTAATACTCAATATTCTTTGTTCACGAAAAAAGGCGCGTTGAACCCGATATCCACTTCACTTGTGATATTGACTACGATCCTTTCAGATTTATGCGCGAAAATGATTTGAAATACAGTAGGATCGTCAAATTATTTTCTAGCCATAAGAGTCAAACTGATGAACTTCTAATTTTACATTAGGCTTCACAATTACTTTACTTGAGTTCGAAGAGACTATTGAAACGCTTTGGGACACTACTAAGGAGTTTATTAAGAAGTATCCTGAGTACATTATTCCCTTCAATAGTTCAGACAGTTTCATTTCCTGGATTTCCCCAGATAATGGTGAGAGCTATAACCTGTGTCATTTCTGGAGCAACTTCGAAATTGGTTCACTCAATTGGCTTCGATCAGACGCTTATTTGACTTTTTTCAACCACCTTGATAAAACCGGCGGTTTCTTCTATGAGCGTTGGGGTGATGCGCCAGTCCATAGTATTGCAGCTGCCCTTATGCTTAGAAAGTCAGAGATGCACTTCTTTTATGATATGGGCTACTTCCATGATCATGTGACACACTGTCCGGATGAGCCAGCTTGGTTGCCTATCGAGAAGTGTAGCTGTGATCCTGCGGATAGTATTGACGACGATAGACTTTACTCTTGTACGGCTGAATGGTTAGATGTCTTGGAAAGAAAAAGAACGACTTTATTATTACACAACGAGTTCCCAAGTTTAAGAACATTTCTTACAAGTAAGGGTTTGAATCTATTTACAGCAAACCTTCATCCAATTATCATATTATCATTCGTTTTACAAACGCGAGCATAAATAAAAGGAGACCCAATACCACCCCGCACCGTCAAAATGAAGTGACTTTTTTTTTCCACTTCAATTTTTCCTGTCAATGATGTAAAAAATGTGTTGCGGGATTGTTACTTCCTTTTTCTTTCGCTTATGTTATTCCCCTAAATGATGCAGTCAACTTCACCATTTATACAAACAACTTCAGGGAATACAAATGGTAGTCTAAGCAGTAAACGAAACTCGTTTACTTCATATCGTGAAGCCTTTCGTAGAATAGCAGATCTCAACGAATTGGAGCGTTACCATGGCACAGTAATCTTCTTCTCGCTATTCTTCGCGTTCACATTTCAGCTTTTCCTCAAATTCAGTTTCTGTAATGATCATAACAGTCTAGTAAATTGTAGAATATACATTAATATGTTCTTTCAACTTCGCTGTAGGGTCAATGATGGGTTTAATACTCTCCGCAAAAACCTATATGTGGTCTGGTTTCTTATACTTGATAGGTGCGGCTGTATGGTTGATTCGTTCGTTGACATTCACAGGTAAAGTCATGAAAGTTGCCAACATAGATATTACCGTAACATTTTTTCATATATTCTCTCCTCTGTTATTTACATAGTTCTCCAACCAAACTATTCCAGCTACCTTGCAGCACTCTTATCTGAGTTTACCTCGTTAGATAACCTTGTACTTTACATAGTACATGTAACGCTTACTTTTCTGAACATTAAATGCTATTTCTGGATTGTTGGTGAACAATACACCTCAAGCTTTACGTTTCAGCCACCAGGGTAAAAAGAAACTTTCCAATTATCATATATTACGCTCGCGCTTTGTTCTTCTATTTATAAAATCTGCTTTTTTCAGCCATTATCTAGGTGCTTATCAATTGAACGTCCAACATATTTTTATCATATTCTACAGTATGGTATTGTCACTTAGCTATACTTACGATTATGTCAGAAAAAGACGATATGTAGTTAGAATCAATGACGTCCAGGTATAGTGTTATACACTCTTTCATCAAGCTTCCTTTAAAGCTCCTCTAACATTAAGCTTATTTGTCTTCTTCATCATTAGCAACCATTTGTCTTTGATATAAAAACAAGTCTCGCGACTATATTTCAGATTTCTACCTGTAAAGCCTTCTCATCGTTCGCGTACAGCTACATCATTTTTGCTTTATTCAATGGATCCTTCTACCATTGGATTGGTCGCATCTTTTACTATCATAGCAAGTAAGTATCCATGCAGTTCCAGTAATACATTTTTTCAACAAAATCTAACAAAATTATGGGATATAGTGTTTTAGATGCACCAGTCGTTGGGTTTAGATGGATCGATTTGCATTTATTTTTACGTCTTATCACTGGCGGTATGCTCACGATGTTCTTGTTCAACATATGCAACCGTCTGTACGATGTCATTTACAACAATGTAAGGCTACAAAAACCACAATTTTCACCAATGCTCTGCTCGTTCATTAACAATAAATATAGGTACCAGCTGTCACGGAGAGTGTATCAAATCCATTTGATTGTTTGATGACCGGCCTTTCTTACAAAGAAATTGATGCTTCAGAAAGAAAGTATGTCAAGATGTATGCATTCGCGGAGCTTGCAACAATAGCACGCAAAAAACCAGAACAGCGTATGCAACTATTCAATACAATTGGAAAAGAGCTTAAGGATAACGCTTGGTATGGTATTATGAACGAATGTCTCAAGGTGATTAACGAACTCAGAAACCGCATTGAGAAAGAATATAACGTTGTTCAAGAAAGTAAGGGTTTGTTTTGTAAACTTGTACACAATTTGGAAATGTTAATATTGATTTTCAATTTATTTTCAGCTACTGCTCCAGTGGCACCTACCAATAACATAAGTACCAATTCGCAAACGATTATCGGAAACAGATTAGAATTTGCTGAAGGAAATGTCATGAAATCACGAAAGAAGAAAGATTTAGATTATTTGGACGATAGAACTCCTATTGTGCTTTCCAACTTGGCATCAGAAGTTGATGAAAGACTAATTCCAGCTACTGTATCCTCAACAAAACATTATACCAACAAATCATTCGGTTTGATTACCCAGAATCAAATCATTCAAATGTTCAAGGAAGTAGAAGTAAGAGTAGGCATTAAATCTCTTAAACCTTATTACACCGAGACTATGACAGGCGCTATTCAGAGAGTGTTCAACGAATTTCAGATTGTGGTGTATGCTGTGCAATCATTAGGCAGTTTAACGGCTGCCTCGCTGAAGGAAGATACATATGGTTATGTACAAAATGATATCTCCAAGATTGTGGACAATCTGTTAGGATGCTTAGTCGATATAGAAACCTATCTACAATCACCACCACCGAAATACAAAGATTTAATTCAGAATGAAGAGTTGGTTGAAGAGTCTGAAGCGGTTTTATTAGGTAAGGTTACATACAAATTGTTGTTTATTGAGGTTTAACATAGTTTATCTTTATGAATTCTAACTTCATTTTTGTAGCTTTACGGGATGCCATTTACCAGATTAGAACTACATTTGATGATTATCTTGAGAGCATTCAAGTCAGTAGAAAATACTTGGCTAAATGGGAAGCATTCTTGCATTTCAAGGAATAAAAGATTAAAAGAAACTAAATCGCTATTGTAAATAAACTTTAATTGTCATTGGATGATACTATCCCCAGATTTCATTTTTATGCAGCCTTATCTCTTTTTTTTCTTTAATCTTTTGTGAACTGTTTATTTTGGTTTTTTTTTTTTTTTTTTTTTTTTTTTTTTGGTAAATTATTGTTTACTAACAGTTATGTCGAATATACAACAAGGAATTGCCAAAAAGCATCCTGTAAATTAATGAAGCCTGTATTATGGTGAGCATAACGTTTGTTTTAACCTTTCCTATGTAAAATCAACGATTAGGAATGGATTCTACCGCGACTCTGTCAAAGAAAAGCTTACAAAACAGGAATCTATACAGCTGGTTGATAGTATCATCTCATCATCGGGTTTATATAAATGTAACTGTTGCTTATACTATTTTTCTTTTTCTGTGAAATTGTAGTTTTCGCAGGTTTCCTAGTTAGTAAGTCAGTTTAGTGAAACACCTGTAAAGAGTTCATTGACATTTTACACAATTTGCCATAAATTAGTACCGCTGGTTCGAAGACTTCAACTGGACAAAAATAAAGTCCTCTTTGCAGCATTGGGTACAAAGTTTAATGCCATTGCTACTATATTCCATTTCTAATACTTGTTCCATTTTTTGCTACATTTTATTACGCTCAGGCACGTCAAGTATAGCTGGCTACATTAGCTCAAAATATACTTATCATTATTGTCAACAAACACAAGGCTTTTTGGAAGCGGTTCATCATTTTCCGAACAAAGCAACATGATTCATTTTCGTATTTTATAATTCGAGTCTATAAAATCAATAATACTAATCAAGGGGAAAATACTGTCATTCATATAATAAATAAGTCTAAATATGTTTTTGTTTTAAAATTGTAAGCCTTTCACTGGGACGCGGACCGTCGTTCCAGGTTTCTTCGCTTGCTACGTTGCTTAACTTTGGTAAGCCTATCTGCTCAACTGTATAGCTTGCCGAAACGGCACCATAAAAAGTAGACTCCACGGGGTCCCCTTTTGTTGCAATCCAGCCATAACAATACCCCCCACAGAATGAATTACCGGCTCCTGTGACATCAGTGACTTTACTTTGATCATTTGTATAGTAAGCTGAAACCCACTGAACCTTTTGCTCTGTACTCGCTTCGTGTTGCGCTTGCTGCATAATCATAGCCCCGTATTTACTACATCTTACCAAGAGTACCAATTGGTCATTTCCCCTCATTCTCTTCATAAATCGCTTGCCACAATATTCAACTGTAGCCTTGAAATCATTGTTATGGGATAAAAGCAATTCAGGGAATGAATAGCCAAATATAGCAGCCAGCTCTTCGTGATTGGGGGACAGAATCTTTACAAGCTTGGCTGCTTCGTATATTATGTCTTCGTTCTGAGTGGAACGTTCGTGATAGGTTTCGTAAATGTTAGGCTAGCTTTCAAACTTTATTAAACTGGAAGCACACTTGACTTACTTCCGGTAAACAAGCCCAAGGCAGAGGCTCCCATAGAAATTGTGTAGCAGTTTTGGCTTCCAAGTTTTTTTCTCTATCCCTCCATTCAATTATGGTTTCGGCTGCTCTCGTTGGAGCAGAAATGATGTGCAGTATCTCTATAGAGTCGATCCATTCGTCTGGGAAATCGCTAGTTGTCACACGTATAATAGGATGAATATATTCAAAATCGCGGTGGTCGTTTTGACCAAACGTGTTTAAACCTCGAGGTGTATACTTGTTCGGATGCACCTTTGAGATGAGCGAAATGTTTAACCGATCAATTACGTCGTCAATATCTTTTGGATGGTCAAAGCCTTTGTGTAGGATATAGCCTATCCTTTTTGAATTTTCGTACGGCTGCCATATTCGCATTCCTAAATTATGGCAGTACTTTGGTTGTTAGTTAGTTTTAAATTCGGGCGCTTGCAAACTGTTACAAAATAATGCTCGATAAAGAAAAGAAAGTACCGTATATAGCAAATAAACCTGCACCACCAGGGATATCATTTACTTTACTGTTATCTTTGAAAACAATATCATCTATGATGAAACTACCCAACGAGGCTAATATAGGTACTTTTTGAAAAGGCATTAGAAGGAAAGGGGGCCTCCTTGGATAGCCACTGTAGTTTTTTTTCATCAATTCAATAATTCCCCGACAGCAGGTAGCATAAAAAATTACAAATACCCGCCTCCTACTGATTCTCTGTGTTTTTCCTTTCGTTCTATTTCCTTTTTTTGTTGCTAGCTACCGCCATGAGCGTGAAGCATTTAGCAAGGAACACTCCAACTGATTTCTTTTCACCAACTTGCAGTAAAAAGTTCAAGAACAGAAACAACAATAACAGTAAAAGTAATCCAACTTCAACATAACGTTCTATTTTCTCACTCTTCGTTTGGTTTATGCATTGATCAAACATTTTTCTTTTGTGACAGATCCCTCTCCTTTCCACACGACATCGATCGTTTCTTATGCAATGATGCCGAAAGAATCTGTCAATAATCAGTTAGATCTTTATAGAAGCGACAAAAAGACCATCGCTGCTGAAAGCCTTGATACCCTTATTGCAGACTTGGAGAGTCTTTTACTAGATAGCAGTAAAGCTAAACCGAAGAATATATCACCAGAATCAGATTTCAAAGTAAGCATTTCTGGTACTATTGATACTTTCATTCGATAAGTAACCCTGTCTCTAGCGTAAGTTTTTAGAGGATCGTATCAAACACAGAAAAAAGATCGACGAGGTAGGGAGAACAAAGATTCCATAGATGAGATTTTTCACGTCGTATGCGAACATATCACTTAGGATCCACTTTTCTTATTGCAGATTATACATGAATCAACTACAACGTATAAAGATGGCTTTCAGCAAAAGTTAAAGAAATTGTTGGAGAAGCCCAAAGTACCAGCAGTTATACCTCTTACAGAAGAAGAAAACCTAATTGTAGATAAGCTATTTAAAGGAGGTCAGTCTGGTATAATAGCAGAAATGAGGACGGCCAGAGTGACATTCAAAGACATCTACAAACTATATCCTGAAACTTGGCTCAATGACGAGATCATCAATTTCTACTTTGAACTATTGGCAGATAGATCAGGCAAAACCGATAATATACCCGCGATTCATTGCTTCAATACATTCTTCTATTCGACATTAAGGGATTCTGGATACCAAAAAGTGAGAAGATGGACTAAAAGAGTAAAATAGTCGATTTCAATGTTTATGAAGCTACTAAAAAAGAAAATGAGTAGATCCTTCATACTTACGATGCCATTTGTTATCTTAATAGGTTGATGTGTTTGCTAAAGACTTGCTATTTGTTCCAATTAATCAATCTTATCATTGGATTTTGGGTGTTATGGATATGAAACGTAAAGTTGTATCTGTCTATGATAGTTTAGGCGGCACGCATAATCATATATTGGATACTTTCCTCAGCTATTTACAAGAAGAACACATAGATAAAAAGAAGACAGAATTGGATATCACAGAGTGGAGAAAAGAAATGCCTACAAATATACCACAACAAGGAAATATGTCAGATTGTGGTGCATTTACTTGTACGTTTGCCGAAAGACTATCAAGACAAATGCCTTTTGATTTTTCACAGAAGGATATGACGACCATACGACGACGAATAGCCTTGAACATTGCCAAGAAAGCCATATTTTGAGATTATGGTTTTCTTCCTATCAATCAGGTCTTGTACATAAACACATTAAATGTATATACGTATATAACGATTATCGATATATTCAATTTTGACCTCAATTTTTCACGCCAACAAATGGAGTGTATCTAAATGAAAAAGTTTTTATTCATTATTTTACTTTACTTTATACAAGGTCGGGAAAACAGAAAGATGAATATGTATAGGAAATTGATAGCTTCGGTGTTGTATTGTTTAAAAACATAAAAAGAGAGATTATTAATATACATATACATACATGTATATAAATATATATATATATATGAGTGTGAGTGTGAGTGTGTTGTTGATGATGTTTACCATCTTAATAAGCGCTTTTGTCCCTTTTTTCTACAATTTAATCAGCATCTACAAACATACGAGGAGCAATATTCATTGCCATTAGTTCTTGGAATAGAAGTTTACAAGCATAGGGGATATGTATTTGTGAGATCCTGGTCTTGTTTTTGCATGCTCTGCATTCGAAGTTGTTCTTTTTCAAGTTGGCAATAGCCATTAAACCACAAATATCACAAACATGAACACGATAAGCATCGGACGCGTCGAACAAACGTTCTTTTAAAAATTGAGCTACACCATGACTGATCATACTATTTTAAAAAACAAAGCTTAATAGAATGTACCAATACCAATACCTTTCTATCCAATTGTGACGCTTACCAATCTCTTTCCATTTCACCGAAACGCAAACCACCATCTCTTGAACGGCCTTCTACAGGTTGTCTTGTTAAAATCTGCACTGGACCTCTAGCTCTACTGTGAATTTTATCGTCCACCATGTGCTTCAAACGTTGATAATATGTGGGGCCCAAGAACACTTGAGCATTTAATTTACGCCCGGTAAAACCGTTATACATTACTTCAAAACCACGAGATTGATATCCTTGTGCCGCGAGTGCTTGTGAGATAGCTTCGACAGTAACTTCAGTGAAAGGCGTAGCATCACCTTCGTTACCAGTCAATGTTGAGACCTTACCAAGCAAACATTCAATCATGTGCCCAATAGTCATACGAGAAGGAATAGCGTGAGGATTGATGATAAGATCTGGTGTGATGCCTTCCGCTGAAAAGGGGAAATCTTCTTGACGGTACGTCATACCAATGGTACCCTTCTGACCATGACGAGAAGCAAACTTATCGCCCATCTGAGGTACACGAGTTGAACGAACACGGACTTTGACAAATTTCAAGCCATCTTGATTGGTCGTTAACATGACTTGATCAACGATACCAGTTTCGGTTGATCTTAAGGGTGTAGAAGCATCGCGTTTGTTATGGGTACCGGTTCTTTGACCTAACTCTTCAGAATCTGCAGGAATAGGTGCAGTTTTACCAATAATAATATCATCGCCAGATACACGAGTACCAGGAGCAATCAAACCATCATCTTCTAACTTTTCATAAGTGCCATGCTTCAAACGTAAAGTGGTGTCCCTGGTGGGTTTTTCGAACTCTTCCATGAACATCATACCAGCCTTTTTCTCAGCATCCATATAGGTACGGAAGAAAAGAGATCTGAAGAGACCTCGGTCGATACTACTTTGATTCATGATAACGGAATCTTCTTGATTATAACCAGAGTAACATAAAATGGCAACGATGGCATTCTGACCAGCGGGTAATTCTCTAAAACGTAAGAATTCCATAGATCTTGTTGTTGTCAACGGTTTTTGAGGGTAATACAAGATATTGGCCAAAGTATCCATACGCGTCTGGAAGTTGGTAAGATAAACACCCATGGCCTGCTTACCCATAGCAGACTGATAGGTATTACGAGGAGACTGATTGTGATCTGGGAAGGGAATAATACTGGCACAAATACCAAGAATCATACTAGGATGAATTTCACAATGAGTCCAAGTGTGAGAATAACTACCAGTCTGTGACTTAACACGACTTGCTAAATCACGAGTTTCCTGTAGTGGAGCACCATATTGAGCTGTCATACGCGATTCAGCCAAATCCTCCGGTGTCATACAGATCATAGCGGTTTCTTCTTCGTCTGCATCCACATATTCAACAATACCATCAGCAATTAGGTTCTGCCATCCATAATCTGACTCTGTATCTTGAAGTTGGATAATGTGCTCGCGAGTCAATTTCAATTGTTGATCTTCGACTAAGAAAAGTGGTCTACAGCAACGACCAGCATCTGTGTACATTCTTAATTCCTTTTCACGGATATCACGAACAATACTAACTTCAGGAGAGATGTCAACGGAACGTCTCATTTGCTTCAAAGCTAGGATTAGATCGGAAGGATCACGATGAATACCAATCCAAACACCATTAACAAACACTTTGGTTGCATTGGCAATACTAGCAGAGCTGAGTTCTTCCAAATTTTCCATAGCCCATTCTTCCAAAAACATAATTAGAGGAGTGGCAGAGGAACCGACTGAGATGTAGGACATCAAAGCCAAATTTTTCACCAAACCACAAGCTTGACCTTCTGGCGTTTCGGCAGGACAAACAAGGCCCCAATGAGTGTTGTGAAGTTGACGAGGTTTGGCAATTTTACCATCACGACCAATAGGGGTATTACAACGACGCAAATGAGATAATGTGGAAGCAAAGGTATAACGGTTCAATACTTGCGAAACTCCTGCACGAGACTGCATAGCCTTCTTTTGATCACCCCAATTACCAGTGGCGAGTGAGTATTTGAGACCATTTGTGATAGTATTTGATTTGACAGCAAGCGTGAGATTAAATTCTCTACTTGATTCGATACACTTTTGCAAATATTTTGCAACATCCTTTGTTAATTTTTTAAAGAGAATTCTAAAGAGGCCAGCCATCAATGGACCTGCAAGATCCATACGTTTTTTACCGTAATGATCACGATCATCTAATTCACGACGTTCTAAAGCGGCCAATAACAGACGATGGATCATGTAACCGAAAAAGTATGATTTACGCGTTTCCGTTTTGTATGCTGTACCAACGTGCGGTAGTAATTCTTTCTGTAGGATCTCGGATGCATACTTGATACGTTTGTCTTTGGTTGCACCAACGGTTGTACCTCTTTTACCAATATAATCCAAAGCAACATCTTGGTCTTGAATAACAAATGATTCTTCGATAGAAGGCTTCAATAATTCTAGCATTTCATAATCTGACCTGTCGTAGCAAATATGTTCCAGAACGTCTCTATCAGATACTTGACCCAACGCTCTGAAAACAATAACGATAGGAATCTCGCTACGAATATAAGGTAAAGCAGCACGGATGCATTGTCCAGCCGTTCCACGCTCAGAAGAAGGCCTTAGCATCTTAATGAACAAGGGGGAAGCATTTTTCGAACCTTTTTCAGGCTGTGATCTGATTTCTGCTGTGTATTGTACATTGGAAGGTGGTGCTTTAGCAAAGACGTATACTGTATTTGTAGCCATACGTTCCTGGGCAATCAATACTTTTTCGGAACCATTGATGACAAAATAACCACCCATATCGAAAGAACATTCATTCAACTCGTGCATTCCACTTTCAGGCATATCATGAAGGATACAATAGGTGGATCGTAACATAATAGGAACCTTGCCAATAAAGACCTTGGTCATTGGTGGCGGTTCTGTACTTTCATCTTGAAACAGATCATTTGAGTTGGATTTAGGGTTGTTGGGATCATACGGAACTGCAATTTGTGTACGTTTACTCATATCGACGTATAATGGCGACGCGTATCTATAAATCCCACAAATGAATTAGTATGGCTGAAAATTTACATATTCAGATTTGTCCAAGCTTACGTTAAATTACGGATACGCGCTTCCTGGGGAAACATGGGTTGAGTACTACCATCGGCTTCGGTCATGGTCGGCTTTGACAAATAAATTTGTCCAAAATCAATAATATATCGTTTCTATATCCATGAAAAGAAAAAACAACAAAATAGAACAGAGATATTTAGTTTGAAATTGATGAATCCAAGTTGAGAGAATGAATATTTACTGTGACATCGCCGTCGCCTCCAACGTGTTGAAGTACAAGATTAGAATTCTCGTCGACTAATTCTTGCATGGTATTTTGTACAAATTCGTCAAAAGAGTCTAATTGCTGTCTAACAAGACCTTTTTCCTCAAAGAACGAAGAGATAACTGTCCAACAATCTTCTTGCCTAATCAACGAATCAGTCAGTTAATACACATACTTCAGAGCAAATGCTTCTAAGTCTGTCACGTACGTAATGGGCTCATCCTCATACATTTCCTCGCCTTCGGGCAAGAAGTAGTCTACAAACAAATTTTAGTTACTGACTGGTAAAGGGAAAGAGAGTAAACTCTATTTACCATTCTCAGCCATTGCATAGCTGTCATCCATAATATCGGTCATGATGAATTAATCTTTCTTTTTGCAAAAATAAAATAAACTACGCTATTGGTTTGAAAGCTGTTATGTTGATTTAATGCAATTGAACTAAACGTTGAAATTTGCAATCGTATATATCTTCCGCGATCAGCAAATACAGTGAAAGGCAGTTGCACAAAAGTTGGGAAGCTGATTTATCAAATAGTAACTAAATATACACTGCATTAGTTTATGATCTTCAAATAGTATATACGGTCAAAGAGAAACACGCACAGTTATACACCCAAAAATGCTGGTTTTTTTCCTTTCTCCTTTTGCAGACTTCCGTTTTCGAAAATCGATTACAAAGTGATTAGGCAAAGAAAAAGAAGGCGACTCAAGAGTAAAGAGGAGAAGGGTTAAGGAAATAAGCAAGCTGGAAAAAATTCTAGTGCAGCGCAGCACAGAGAATGAAAACTATGAAAACCCGCCTGCACGTCACAATCATAGTAGGTTGAAAGGGCAAATAATTTGGACCTGTGCTTTGGCAATCCTGCTCCAATAATATTACCTAATCTCTTTGCTTCATGGAGACTCTGCTCGATACCATTTGTCAGTGTGAAGCAATTGATAAACAGAAACATATAATCAATGAACATTTAGAAGATATTTTAATACACACTCTACAGCCAGCATTCAAGAGACACACTCAGCTTCATCCTACTCTGTCTAGAAAACCGAAGACCAAATACTCTACAGAAGATGAATTTCACGACAATCAGCTTTGGAAAGAGAACAATACTGTAGATCTACTCTTCTGGACAGTAGAAAATATAACTGTACGTTTGTAACCAACTTTATAAGTTGAATTAACAGACTAATTTGTATTCATTTATAGACAGATAGCCTTACAAAATATTTGCATTTAGTAACTGCACCTGTGCTTATTGTATTGGATGACTATGATATCGACTACAAAACTAAAGGAGTAAAAATGGTTCATTGTATGATGAAGAAACTAGACCCAGAACATATCTCACAATGCGGGCTCGATAATGTTTTCATCGAAGTAAGCTTAACCAACTGAATTTCGTGTTTGAAGTTAAATGCTTATAAGATAAATCACAGTCTCTGTTCAAATGTCTGTTATACCTATCGGATAAAGACCGTGATCTACCATTATTGCAAGTTGCTTATCCTTGTTTACTCGATCTAATTGCTACGAAAAGAGATGATCAAACGCGCACATTATTGTATGAACGTGTGTTAAAAGAAGGAGTCATGCGTGGCTTCTTTTTTGCCGGCGATAAAATTGATTTCCTACCCATATTATTACGCTGTGTACCTGTGCTTTATGACGAACTAGGTATTTTAGGAGTACAATATTTGAACGCGCTGGTACCTCCATTATGCAATGCCATATCCGTAACTTCAGAAAGACTGAAAGAGATAAATATATTGTCGATAACATCACTAAAAACGGTGATAAAAAAATGTTGGCCACGGTAAGTCAAGTGCTCAATCATGATATGTTGTGTATAGTACTCATGATTATCTGTAGTATCCCTTATTACAACGGTATTATTATGAAAGCTATCGCTCGATGCTGGCTATACTATTATTCCAAAAATGGTAAGTCTGGTTACTACCAACATTTATCCATAGTTTACTAATACTATAATGTAGATGATGAAATGAGTAGTCTAATTAAAGAACTGTATGTGTTGTTTGAAGCTGCTTGTGATGGAAAGGAAAGGGTAAGAGCAAGCATTTGTACCACCCTTTTAGTATACCAGTTAGCTTAAAAAACCTTTCAACTATAGGCCGATAAAGAAGCATTGATAGCTTTTCGAGGAGATATATTCAACCCTCTTTTCGTTTAATCTAATACAGATGGTTGATTCACTATAACGAACGTTGTGGCAATTGAAAGGGTCTATTAAAGACTCTTTGCATGCTGATTTGGAATAAACAAACAACGAATATGGAGATAGCTGCAAATACTGTCAATAACTCGAGTTGCCCAGCGAATATACAATACAAGCGACATGACAAAGTAACAAACCAAGTATGCGTACTCTGATTGAGGGCTGAATATAGGATCTCTATGAAAATGAATAATTTTGTATGTTGAGAAACTGCTTGTTCTTAGTTAATCCCTTCTCCTAAAAAAATAAATTCTTACATATCGATATACCGAGGTAAATTTGCAATAACAGCACCTGCAACCAAAGGGATTAATAAACCTGTTGGATGAGGTGATTCAGATTTTGTAAGGTGCGCTAAAATGATCTTTGAACAAATACGACCAAAGCAAACGCCTACAGCAAGCAAATAAATAGCATAGTGTTGATGCGAAAGAATGAAGGAATAAGGTGATGTAACCCAGAAATAGAAAGAAACAGTGTAGAGGGTAATTTGCCAGTTATCATAAATCATGCAACGGATGAAAGGCTTTCCTTTTGCGCGGCACGCTGTATACATGTTGTAAAAGCTGGTTTATGGTCAGTTTCAATCTTTATCATTTCAGAATTCCGTGTATACATTACCAGACTGGCACATGCGTTAGAAAGAATAAAATACCAATAGTCCAAACGTATGTTTCTTGCAAATTCATATGCTGTAAATAGTCTGGCAAGCTGCCAATGATACAGCCTAGTTCTGTCTTCCAAACCGTAGGTCCAAAGATACCGGAGATAATGAACATGATACAAAGTAAGCAAACGCCTTCTGTGGGCACGTTGACATAACCTAAATATAAAGTGCCTGTATGATATTCTTCAATCGTAGAGAGATAAAAACCAGTAACGGCAATAACAAAAATCCAAACAGCAGGCATCGAGTGCCCTAAGCCGAGGGCGGACATTTGAATGATAGCCGCTAAAGTAGTATTCAAAGCATCACAGCCATGGTCAAATAGTTCACCCAATGGACTAGATGTACCTGTTCTTCTGGCTTGACGTCCATCAACATTATCAAACGTAGAATATAACCACAAGCCGAGAGCAAAGGAAAAATAAAGCCAAGAAGGACCAGCATGTTCAGCTTCCAATGTAGGTGTGTAAATAAACGTCAATATAACATTGAAAATGATGAATAATAAACCTGTCAACGTTATGAGATTAGGACTACCGTTTGTTTTGAAAAGAAGCCTTTCTGTTAGATAGATCAATTTGAAATGCGGTAGATCTCACTTACGCCATGTTCAAAGGAAATACTTTAATGGCAAGATCCCAATAGTGTCTAAGCACATATCTGGTCAAAAAGGATCTGTCAATACTTGAATATCTATAAAGCTTTAGGTTAGCAAGTTGCTCTTCCGTCAGAACGGGAGCTCCCATATTCGAGATAATTTAATGGTTCAGACAAAGGAAAAAGAGGCAGAAGAGCTACTACTCAATTTTGTGAATTGGAATCAATGCTTAATTTAAACGGAGAACACACTTCAACTTGGTGGTCATGTAAACAGCCTAGCCTTCTAACTCTTTGATAGCTTTTCCATTTGCCCCTATGGCCATGGGATACAGTGGAAAAGCACAAGCAGCAATTTTTGTCATCAGCCTTACATATGATTTGACCCCTTAATTCTGTTGACCTATCAAAAGTGACTCTGGCCAATTGTTTAATTACAAACGTTAAAATACAAGTACACTAAGATGGAATAAAAATACAAAATTTCTGATATGGTGTCAAACCATACGCAGTGTTCAAACCATTATAAAAATGGTAGAACAAATTTCGACTATTATACATGTGATGATGCTGTTTACTTTAACACATTCAGCATGTCTTCAATTCTGGAAAATTTTTCTCGAGGTTTGCCTACTTTCTCGCCTAAAGCAAATTCGGCTGCTTCGATTTTTTTCCAATCTGAATAGGTTACAGGTCGGATTGAACGCTCGTTCATCAAGTCAATCAAACCGTCTGCTCCTAACTTTTCACTCTCGGAGTTATACATCGGCTTGCCATTTTTCAAATCACGTAAAATCGTATCCGCTGTTTCATAGCCATCTGCCATGGTTGAGACGATGACTCCTGAAGGACCACGCTTTAACCATCCAGCTGTATACAATCCAGGTACTTCTGCTTCATTCTCCAACACCTTGCCCAACAGATTAGGTACACGGCCCTGACGTTCATCAAATGGCACACCTTCCATTGCAACGCTTCTGTACCCAATGCTCGTTAATACCATACCACAATTAGTAATGTCGTACTTGCCAGTGCCAACCGCTTTTCTTTTCTCCAATGGACCCTCAAGTCGATTGATTTCGCATTTAATGCCTACTACTCTTTGGTCCTTTTGTAATATTTCTACAGGACTCCGCAGAAATTGAGTCGTCCAGGATTTGTCACCTTGTTGACCTGATCCTTTCTCTAACAGACCCATCAAACGTTTCAGTGGCCTGTTTTGACTAAGCAGAGGTTGCGAATCTGCAATCTCTTTTCTGATCAAGTCCATATCTGCTTTGAATTGTACACCAGGGATTGACATTTGTTCTCTCACTTCTTTCGAAGTGAAGGAAACCTAACATAAAAAAAATATATCAATGGCTGGCTGCTTCATGAAGTATTTTCCTGATGTTGCCGGTCTCTTTTACCTGTACTGGCCCTCTACGGCCGATCAAATGGACATGCTTGATTCTACTTTTGGATAATGTCTCTAAGGCATACTCAGTTATATCTGTTTTCCGAAGTTCATCAATAGGGCTCAACAAAATACGTGCAATATCTAATGCTACATTGCCTTGCCCCACCACAACAACTGTATCAGTGTCGTCTAATGGCAATTGAAGGTCACGATAAAAGGGATGTCCATTATACCATCCCACAAATGTTCTCGCCGATTCGACACCATACGCATTTTCTCCGGGAATATTCAATTTTCTATCTTCACTAGCGCCATACGATAAGAGAATGGCGTCAAAGTGTGGACGTAAGTTGGCAAAGCTCAAAGCACCTGGCTTATTACTAATAGGCACATTGCCAAAGAAACGAAAACGTGGGTCCACTGCTACTTTATCAAAAGTTGACACGACATTCTATAGCAATTCAAGTTGCATGTGTGTTAATTATTATATTCGTGCGAAACTTGTAAAGAATCTCATTACTTTGACTTCTGGGTGATCAGGCGCTACTCCAAAACGGACTAATCCGTGGGGTACAGGCAGCATGTCAAACATGTCAACTTGAGTGTTGGGCCATTCTTTCAGTACTCGTTGCGCCGTATAAAATCCTGCTGGTCCGCTTCCAACAATAGCCAGCCTGAAGGGTGTATGAGCAGCTGTACTGAATGCTCTACTGAGTATGCCCATATTGCAATCAATGTAATATAATGAACCTTGTCAGGAGAAGTACAGAATAATTGTCGATTACAAAAAAAGTCAATAGCGGTCATTAAAAATGATTTTCTGGTTTTAAACCTCAGTTTAGCCGATGTCAAGGGGTTTTGCAAAAAAAAAAAAAAAAATTCCCGTTTTGTAAGGCGTTTCTTTAAAGATGGTTGCTCTTCTGTCTTTCTTCATTATTAGTTTCTACAATATTATAGTCATAAATTGTCAATTGATTGGTACCAAACGATCTTTTTTTTTTTTTGCAGAAGCGGACAAAAACATTTTGCCTTTCGATACTTTGATTTTTAAGCCCAAAAAAATCTTTTTTTAATGATCGCCATTGTCTACAGTAACGTAACTAATATTTTAGATGAAATACATTTTTTTTGAACAATTAATATTTTTATTTAGATGAGTTGCAATTGTGTTGTAGACGAAAATATAAAGCGTTTAAACAATGATTCAAATTCCAAAAACTTGTCAGTAGTGCAAAAAAAATAACGGTACTATTCCTCACCTGTAATGATCTAAATCCTTAAATATAAGGAAAACCGTGTTTATTACGGCGATACTTTCTTATTCTTCGCTGGCTTGAAAACGTCGGGTCTTCCAGCTCCGGACCAAACTGCTTGAGATATAGTCATCATGTTAATAGCGGCGTTAATGTCTCTCTGCCATAGCTTTAGACATTGCTTGCAATGAAGAACTCCGGTGCCCTTGAATCCAGGAGTATCAACGATTTGCATATCATTATAGAAACAGAGGCTGCATGTTTTAGAGGGTTTAAATTCATCGATTGTGATAACAATCAATTGACCTTCAGCTTCACGTTTCTTCAGAGTTGCAAAAGTTTACCGACAACCCCACATCTTTGCCCTTTCAACTTGAGTGCATCTTTGCCAAACATTCCAGCACCAAATACAATCAGTGGTAACTTTCTAGAGGATTCCAAGTATTTATCAAGCCTGCACTTCCTAGCACTTTTGACACAGATAATATTCTTCAATGGGTGAGGTTGAATCAAACCTTTGTTGGAACACATCGTCATATCATAAAAAAGTTGTCAAGCTTTTTGTGGTTCAGTCTATTACAAGATAACGTCAATAAGACCATTATTGGCGACTTTCTTACTGAAAGAGACTCATTTATAGGGTTATTGTATGTCATCCTTAATGCTGCTTGGATATCACTGAATAATTGAGTATCCAAATTATCCAAAATATTATGAACTTTACTAAAATATTTTTTTAATAAATCTAAATTTAAAATGTATATTGTTTATTAAAAATTGTAAATTGTCTAAAATATAAGGTAAAATACTTTATTGTGATCTATTCCACCAACCGGAGTGCGTTAAATGTTTCAAATCTTAATGCTTGTGGGGTGTTCCTGAATGGCTCAATTAGGAAATATGGAAAGGGCAACGGTTAAAAAATAGGTTACTAAAATAGACACAATATGCATTGACTTTAGTGTTTGAATATGTTGAGGGTAGCCAAGCTGTACGTTAAGCTGGAAAAAGACAATCCATATTTTAAACCATGACCTACTTTGTCCAGGGAGACCATCTCATTGACAGAAAACGAAAAACTGTTCGAACCTCCTTACCGAAATGAAATACGACCTCCCCCCCCTTTTTTTTCGACAAGATTTTCAACTGAATAGTACAGATGTTATTTATTATGCTTTCTTTTTCTACCTTTCTGCACTTCTTTACTGTGTAAATACAAGATGACAACGACTATTACAACAGCGTCTACAATAAAATATGCTTCCCCGGCAGCCATCTTACAAATTAATGATCAAACTGATCGAGAGTTGTTTGATGACAGCACAACCGTAAGCAGCCTTGATAGCTTCCATGACATCATCACTCCAATGGAACTGGGGTCTGTTATGAGCGAGCTTCAAGCCTCCGTTAGCAGAAAGCACCAAGAGCAAGAAGACAGACATCACAGCACTTTAACGAACCAACAACAACAACCAGTGTCTCTCCGACCCCTCGATAGAATAAAGCAGCAGCAACAGCGCCTACCCGCTGAGTTTGATGGAACCCACAATAAGCAGCAATTCATTGGCAGTGCCTCTGCAAACCAAATTGTATTAAAACGTGTGGATCCCAAAGCCGTCCAGCCGAATACTATGAACCCAAGAGAGCAAGAGATTGCAGGTAAAAAAGGCGTCCCTCTGAATGTTTTGCAAGACGAGCAAAATATATTGATATAGTACAACATTTTATAGACGAATTACTACTCACAGGTATTCGTCACTTGTTCAGTAACCGTTTTATGAAAGCAAAAAGCGTGTTTGAAGAGCAGGCAAATACGTAAATACAGGATGGCTTAAACAAAGACGTCATGTACAGTGCTAAATGGTATTTTTTTCGTGAATAGTGATCCTGCGTATGCATTGGGGTTGGGCTTTATGTCTTTTATGAAAGGTAGTATACATACTTTTATTTCTTTGATTGCTGGAAAAGCCTTTAAATTGAATCATGCTGTTATTTTATAGCGATGATGGTATGATAGGCAATATATATATATATATGTGTGTATAGGTATCGGCAACCGGTTGATTAATTAAAGTTAGCATTCTATTCTTAAAGTCAACAGATTTTCAAGCAACAAAAGATGCTCTACAGGTATTAACGACAACATGCAATCTCGCAACCGCTCAAATAAATAACACCACAAAAAAGCACATGGGGGGTTCGATTTTCCAGCACATCACATCTTACTGCAAATCCTTTAGATCAGTTGGGCTAACTTCAGGTTTTCCTGTTCATATCAAACCATCGAAGCCTTCGACTATCCAAATGCATAGATCACATATTGTACCCAATGGGATCCTAAGAGCGCACATTGCAAACGGGGAAGCAAGCCTTCAGATGGCCATTTTGTATTTGGTCCAACAAACGTCAGTGGGGTATATCAAAAGCGGTGTTTATTTAAAGAAAGGTATGACTGAAAGGATAAGAACAGTGAAAAAAAAAAAAAAAAAAAAAAAGAAATACTGCACCCAGAGACAAAAGAAGGATGACTTAGCAAAATAGCCTATAGCGTATACAAGTTATAGTTATGTATGGCAGGAATATAAACGCTTGGGTCAACTACATAACCAATACATGGATAGAGACACCATGTGCGGAATGCAAGTTGGAATTGCTTCGATCCACTTGATACTTTCAGCATTACCACGTAAGATACTGGATAAGGTGTCGCCATCACAATTTAAGTGGAAGCCGGACAGGCATTTAGGTTTTGCGCTGCTGAAACTATCTGCAGAGATTGGTCAAAGTAAAACGCCCACAGCTCTGTTGACATTATTAGCCTATTTCACAACAACAGTAAGCATTTGCCCTGAGATACTTGCCAGTGAATATCTTCAACCTGCTATTGAAACACTGTTAGAAGCCCAAAAAATATATCCTCACTCGGCCATGTTTTTATATTTTGCGGGCCTTGCATCTCGAATAGCACGCAATTTGGTTTTATCAACCCAATCCTTAGTCTATGCTATTGAAACAAGCAAAGCAGAATGGATGGAAGTTGAGGTATTTCAGAACTGTAGTTACGAAATAGCCTTCAACCATATGATGAAAAATGAGTGGAAAGAAGCCGCTGTTTTGTTTGAACAACTTTATAGGGAAAATTACTGGTCGCCTATTGTATGTAAATACTTAGCGGCTGCTTGTACAGATATGTTGGGGCACAGAACTGAAGCCATGGTGACATTTGCCGACGTTTTGCAATTAATATCAAAAAAAGAGATGCTGACGAAGGATTTAGAATTCTACATCCAACGAAAATTAGACATGTTCCAGTCGGCAGGCTACCAAGATATGGACATGACATTATGTGCCTTGGAGTACATGTACCTATTCAACGCTTATGAGTTTATGGATGAGATACAACTAGAACAGAATTTGGCTGTTGTTGACGATGCACTGGATCGGATTTTGGAAGCAGAGATCATGGAATACAAGCTTCGAGCAAAAGAGTTGTTGCCAGAGACACCGCCGCCAGCCTACTATGACCAGCGGGGCGTCTTACTATTATTGAAAGCTGCTATTCTAAATGCCATGAGGCGATACCAATATTCTATAATTCATCTGAACTGGATTTTAGATCATATAGACAAAATTATGGTGGATAAATGGATCATTCCATATGCTTATTGGTAAGCTCGACTAAGTATTTTAGGAACACTTTTCTTTTTTTTTTTTTTTTTTGTGCTAACACTATCTTTTTTTGTAACTACCGTCGATAGGGAAGCTGGAGTCACTTCTTGGAATACAGAACAAAAACCGAGAGCACGCTATTTTTGGGAAACTGCTTTGACACAAACCGGTCATGGATTCGAGAATAGAGTGACTATGGTGAGGAATTTGTACATACAGAACGAGTGTCATCCTCTCACTGACTCGCAATTTCGTTGTCCTGAAAATACTTTCACTTTTAGAAAGTACATTTAGCTTTGACAAAAGCACAGGAAATGAACATACAAAGAGAAAAGATCACGAAACGAACAACTACGATGAATTTAGGCTATATGCACTCCTATCATCCACCATCTTTGCTGAATAATACAGACAATAGTGCTTATTCAGAACATGATGGTGACAGTCCTTTGGATTATGATAAATCGACAATTGGCACTACTACTGTATCAGAATCTTCCACTACGGAAAACTCCACAGTACATCCGACTATGAACGTCCAGGCAAAATTTGAAGAGGAATTTGATCAAGCTGACCATGCTTTGGACGAGTTGAAAATAAGAGCTTGCAATCAAACATGATCTCTAACACTATAGACTACTTAATGACTCCATTTTTACTGTATTTATTATGATGAAACTGAATCTAATATAAAGTTGCAATAGAGGAAATATTTGCTGCTATTGAGTATCTTTGTCACGTAGCGTAGAGGTGGTTACCTTATCTATTTCTTTCCTGGCTGTGATAAAGGGAAAACTCCCCCTTGAAAAAAAAAAAAGTACAACTATCTTAATGGCCATCCTGACACTTTTTTTATTCGTCAAAAAAGAAAAACAATTGGGGGGGGGAAACAATATTATGAATGAAGGATAAAGTAAGTGGTATATAAGCTTGCGGGCTTTCCTTAAAGCCTTTATCATTATTCACTATGGATAATTTACAATACTGCCGATCAACGGACAATACATTGGTTTATGAGTTGCTACAATGGGTAATGTCAATCACTGTGGTACTTGATGCTGCAGGGTGAACCCAGGAATTCACATTGATGTAACAAGTGTAAACCATGATACCAACACCCCATAGGGCAAGAAGGACGTCAATGATTTTCAAGTAGTTATTCTTCGTTGTTCTAAAGTGAAACAAGCCTGGGAATATAAAGCACAAAGGCATGCAAGCAATTGATCCGACAAGAGAGACAAATTTGTCTAAATTACTGGAACCGACACCAAAACTGATAGCAGCACAAATGATAGGTATGAGAGATCGAATCAGATTTTTTGCCCATTTCACCGCTAGACTTTTCCTTCCAGACCGGTGCTTGAAGATGTATTTTTCAACAATAGTAAGCGGAGGATATAACATAAAAGGTGAAGTCAAAATCATTGCGATCGCATACAGTAACTGAACAGCAATAGACAGAGGAATTCTAGGAATATTCGCAACAACGCTTGCTTGTGTAATGTCACCGTACGCAATATAGCCGATGGTGCCAATCAATGTAAAGACCAGAGTACAAATGGCCATACCCAAGTTCAAAACCATTGGAAACTTTTTGGGGCTCCTCATGCCTCCGACAATTGGCAGCACTACAAAAGAGTAAAACCAGACAAAAAGGCGTGAGAAAAAAAGGCTGGATTTGGAAAACAAAATATCTATAACACGTTACCCATCCCTATGCCTTCAAAGGAAAAGACAGCTGTACCAATCATAGTACCAAATGTAGACTGATTTACAAGTATAATGTTCTTTCCAACACCATGATGCGCAATTTGGTCAGAACAGAAATAAAGAATACAAATTAAACCAAATGCGATAAAAGTATCTGCTAATACTGCCAAATAAGACAGTCTCGCAATCTTGCGTACCCAAGTGATAGGTATGACCGCTATAATCACTATCCAAATATAATATTTCGCTTCAAAGGGTCCATTACAGTTGTTCAGAGTATCTACCACAATACCAATATTTTCAGATATGAAAATAAGGTATGACGAGACAAAGCCAATTTGAGAAATACATAAGAAAAAGTCGATCAAATATCTAAGATAGCTGCCATAAAGTTGCTGGGCCACATCACCATAGGAGCCTCCTATTTTTTGTTGAGCATATACTAACAATTGAAAAGAAATTGTACACAAAGAAGCAATGACAATCATAAGCACTATAGACAAAACGAGTCCTCCGCTCACAAATCTATAGAAGGGAACAACGTGCATATTAGTTATAAATCGTACATCTAAATAGAGTAACGCTAACAAAAAACCGTCTTAAAAAATGGCATAGGATAACTTTACGAGCCAGGCAAAAAGATAACGCCAGTACCAATAAAGGCTTTCAGTAGCATGAACAAGGCTTTACCAGCAGAAGCCGTACCGTCTGGTGCATGCTCTATTTGATCTTCAGAAAATGAATCGTATGAAGAATAGCGATCTTCTTGATATTTTTCTTGGACAATAGAAGCTGGTTGAGTGGAGGGGACAACTGTTTTCTCCTCAGACGTATTCGGTTTATTCATTAGGCAGTAAAGTAAAAAATCGATGAACAGTAGAAAGACATAGGTTTATGGTTTTAAAGGTGGCATCTTTGACCTTTTATAGTCTATTGACTAACGAAACGGATATTCAAATGAAGCGAACAGCCAATGAGATTAAAATAAAGGGTCTTTCAAAGAGAAGCTCAAACAGGTGCCACCCAGAATTCTTCTTACCTAAGAGTGCCGCTTAGCTCCAACAGGTGAATGCACCGTATAATTTATTTAAGGTTTATTACCGTTGTTGGATAGAGTTAGTACGCTTGTGTGGTGTATTTAAAAAAAAAACTATAATTTGTGTATACATTTAGAAAAGCTAAATCTTCCACTTTTAGGAGCCTTATTGAAAAAATGACAACAGACAGAAACCTTTTTAAACGTGTCTCACTATCTGCCATAAACAGCAGACATATCGAACCCTTCAGTTTTATTATTTATTATAGAACTACCTTCACTTTTCCGATGAAAAAATGCTAAATATCTGCTGAGTGACGATTTGGTCGTTTTCGCTAACCCAATCTACGCCGAGAACTGTAGAGAACAACTTTTGATTTTTTTTTTTTTTTTTTTTTTTTTTTTAAATAATTATGTCTGTTCATCAGATTAAACCACTTGATGATGATGTTATCAAAAGAATACGATCGTAAGCTCAACCAAAAACTTTGTTAGAAAAGAGATTTTGTAATCTCAATCACTGTTGCACATAATAGATCGCTCATCATCACCTCGATACCTCAATGTATAAGAGAATTGATCTGCAATGGTGAGCTACTATGCCTAACAACGAAGCTTACTACACAATGCGTTAAACACACAACATGCTCATCATTCACTCTTTTGTTGTCTCTATGCGTGTCTGAAAGCAATCGATGCAAATGCAACAAACATTGACATTTCACTTGATGTAGAAAAGTTCACTGTACAAGTAAATGATAACGGTCACGGTATTCTTGATTTGAGCAAAATTGGACAGAGACATAGTACGTATTAGAAGCATATCATTTCGATAGCATACGTGTATCCAAAGACGTCAGTATACTCAGTGTAACATAAAATGGCTTTGTTGAGATAGCATCATCCAAATGTCATACACTTTCTGATATTCAACATTTGAAAACATTTGGCTTCCGCGGAGAAGGTAACCCATATACTGCTCTTCAATTTTACCCCACAAAATAGAATAGCAATTTTAAAGGATGACGTTTCGCTTCCCTTTTAGCCATGGCAGCAATCACAAATGAGTCCTTAACACAAATTATCTCACGGCATTGTTCGTCAAACGAAACATTCGAAGGATTCTGGAAGGTATATTGATTATTTTTGGAAATTTTGCCCTCCCCCCCCGTTTACGAATCACACTACGTCGAAGGATGTGCGCGCATTCATACGGAAACTTTGGTTCCTCCACAGGATGGCCATGTGATAGGTGAAATCTTACCATCGAAGCACATGAAGAAAAGCTGTTCAGGTACTCGTGTCATACTTCGAGATTTATTCTACAAGGTAAACTATACTTTACATTTTCATCTCATTCGACAATAGGGATTGACGTTCTCTTCTTCCCCCTTTTACTTGACGTTATTTTGGATTCATAGTACCCCGTGAGAAGGAAGCAGATAACCGCTTATCAACATGCCGCTGTCATTGAATCTGTGAAACGTCAGATAATTGGGTTTGCACTCTGTTTCAATTACATAAATTTTAACCTTATTGACAGCCATCGGAATTTGAGCTTATTATCGATAAAAAAGGTTAGTAGTACTACAGTCTAAGGCTGCGGTTCTAGCCATGATATTACCTTGGACATAAGAAACTGACGAACGATTTACGCATGCAACGAACCCTGCTTTCCACCTATTAGACCAGCTCTAGCCTAAACACTTTTAGGCAACAATTTGGACAGGATATAACCAAGGTACGATCTCCATTCTTGCCAATGATCAATTTATCGAGCTAAAGTAAGAGGCTTAGCATGTAGAAATGTTAGCGATGCGCAAAGGAGACATTGTCATTGATGGTTTTTACTCAAGCCAAGGTTATCCAAGCAAGGTAAGTTAAGAAATCATGATAGATGAGCTGGGTAGTAATAAGCTAATCTACGACGATATCCTTTTAGGCTCATCAATACATATGTAAGCTCTGAAAACACCCCCCCCAGAAATTTTGCAATTATTATGACTATTGGTCTTTAACAGTCCTTCAAACCTATAGATATTAACAACTATCTCGTTCCCGTACAAAATGTGCTATACAGAATTGTGCCTAGTTTATTTGCAGCGAGCAATTTCGGGAAGGTAATTGTAAATTACATTCAAAGCTCCAACTTTGTAGCTCATAACTTTGATTTCATTACGTAATATACAAAAAAACAACAACCGAAAAAAAAAAAAAGATAGCTGATAAGCGCCAATATCTGGAAGGCAAAGGTGAGAATAATCCTTAGTAGCGCTCATATTACACCCTTGAGGCTTACTGTCTAGCATAGCTAAATATACTCAAAGGCATCCCATCTACATGACACGGCTGATATGTCCATTTTGGAGCAACTATGATATTCATATGTACCTGGAAATGTTCGAGGAATTCCCCGATTATACAAAGATTGCTGACTTGATAAAAGCCCTAACGATAAAATTTCTGATACGGTCTGGTAACCTCTCAAAAGATGAACCGATACAAATGGCTGGGCAGAAACGCAGGCGTGGCAAAGATAGTCTTTTCCCTCCCGCTAATACTAATCAAAGTAGCATCAGCCATATTACGAACAATCCCTATTTATTACATTCGCCGTCTCTCCTTTCTACCCCCGCAACGAGTGTTCAAACAGCATCTAACGCTCCAGACGAATTATGCCAATTATTAAAGGCGAGTAGTATTGATTGCTCACATTTGAAGCGGGCCAAAACACCTCATCATATCGAAGCAGCTACTCTAAACGACAACTGTACTACTTCACAACTTTATCAAAACCTACTATCTTATAGACCACTATCGTATGAAATGCCACAAAAGCTTTTGAAAGAAGATCTGCTACATAGTTGTGTGCTAGGACAAATTGACCGGAAATATATAGCGACAAGATCTCTAAAAGAAGAGAACCGAATCATTATCATTGACCAGCACGCGGCAGACGAAAGAGTAAAACTAGAGCAAATGATGAACGTCGACATACGCTCAACCATTGCTCTTGAACCTGTCATCACTTTAAATATGGAATCAATATTTGAGGTGGAAGCCCTCATGGATCAACGTATGTCTTACTATTTCAAAAATTGGGGTATACAATATCTTGCAGCCAGCGATCTGGATCGAGAAATGGATACCCAAATGCAATCGCGCTTTTTTGAAATCACTGAATCAAGTTCACCTCACTTCATTACGTCAACAGCAACTACGACAGTGGTAGAAAAACGCTACAAAATTTATGTCACACACATCCCAGCACTTGTAAGTGATCGGTGTATTTCGAATCACGCGTTGTTAAAGGAACTCATACGTGATTATATGTATTGGGTTATGTCTCAACAAAACAACGAAGCCGTTATCACCAGCACGTGCCCGAAAGGCATAGTAGACATTCTTAAATCAAGAGCTTGCAGAAGTAAGTATACAAAGTATATACACTTGTGTAGAATCATCTCAGTTTTCTTATTTTATCTTTTTTAAAAAAAAAAAAAACCTATTCTTTGTAGCTGCTATCATGTTCAATGATGAACTAACCTTAGAGCAATGCGGCATATTGATTAGGAATTTAGCAAAATGCAATTTTCCTTTTCAATGTGCTCACGGAAGGTATCTTTAATCTTTGACCTCTTGTAGTTTCTTTGGCATTCCGTGCTTACATTCTATCCTGTTAAATAGACCATCAGCGGTTCCTGTTCAAATAACTTCAAGTATTCCAACTGCCTACTCAAAAAGGCAGAAAAATTGGTCGAAATTTACGGTCCATGCATAACACATATGATGTTTTTTGACTTGTCATCATTTATACCCAAACGTTGAATTCTATCGCATTCACATGATTTTGAAACTGACAACTACGACTGTATAAGATGGTATAACAATATCTTACTGCATAATGTTTATTATTTGAGTAGTGTTTATAACGAAATAAATATGTAAAGAGCTATATATGAGTAAACGAGAAAAAAGTCTATTTTACAAAAAGTATAATATGATGGATTGATGGAATTCAACAGAAATAAAGATCTAAATATAGTAAGCTTTACATATATTCTTCAGGAGAAGGACAAGTACACATCAAGTTACGATCACCATAGGCATCATCGACGCGAGAAACGGATGGCCAGAATTTCTTCTCGCGGAGATAAGGCATGGGGAAGGCAGCCACTTCACGGGTGTAAGGACGGTCCCACTTATCAGCCATCAATGTCTTAAGGGAATGAGGAGCGCGGTTAAGCATGTTGTCACCCTTAGGAAGTTTACCATCGACGACTTGTTGAATTTCCTTTCTAATAGCAATCATAGCATCACAGAAACGATCTAATTCAGCCTTGCTTTCAGATTCAGTAGGTTCGATCATGAGAGTGTTCGTCACGGGCCAAGACATAGTAGGACTGTGGAAACCGTAATCTTGCAGACGCTTAGCAATATCAATGGCTTCAATACCATGATCACCGAAAGGTCTGATATCTACAATGAATTCATGACCACACATGCCATTTTCGTTGGTATATAAAATTTCGTAATGATCCCTAAGACGGTTGGCCATGTAGTTAGCGTTCAAAATGGCAAGCTTGGTAGATTGTGTAAGACCTTCACCGCCCATCATCTTGATGTAAGCCCATGAAATAGGAAGGATGGAAGCAGAACCGTAAGGGGCAGCAGAGACGGGACCAATGGCATTTTGACCGCCGCAAGTAACGGTAGGATGGCCAGGGAGGTAAGGCTTGAGTGCTTCAGTACAAGCAATGGGACCCATACCTGGACCACCACCACCGTGAGGAATACAGAAGGTCTTGTGCAAGTTCATGTGGCAGACATCAGCACCAATTTCAGCGGGCTTGGTCAAACCAATTTGAGCATTCAAGTTGGCGCCATCCATGTAGACGAGACCACCATTCTCGTGAATAACCTTACAGGCTTCAGCAACACCAGTTTCAAACATACCAAAGGTGGAAGGATAAGTAATCATAATAGCAGCCAAGCGATCCTTATGCTTTTCAGCCTTGGCCTTCAAATCAGCCATATCCAAATTGCCTTCGTTATCACAGTTGATGATGACAACATCCATGCCGGACATAGCAGCGGAAGCAGGGTTGGTACCGTGAGCAGAAATAGGAATCAAGCAGACGTTACGTTGGGTATCGCCGCGAGCATGATGGTAGGCACGAATGACACGAAGACCAGCATATTCACCTTGAGCACCAGAGTTAGGTTGGAGAGACACACCGGAGAAACCAGTGATTTCCTTCAAATCATCAGCAAGTTCGTCGAGCATAGCAAGGTAGCCTTCAGTTTGTTCAACAGGAGCGAAAGGATGAATGTTGGAGAACTCAGGCCATGTGACTGGAATCATTTCAGTAGTAGCATTCAACTTCATGGTACAGCTACCAAGAGCAATCATGGAGTGAACTAAAGAAAGATCCTTGCTTTCGAGGTGATGAATGTATCGAAGCATTTCAGTTTCGGAGTGGTAAGCATTGAAAACGGGGTGCTCCAAATAGGGAGAAGTACGTTGAAGAGCAGTAGGATAAGTGGAAGCATTCTTGTCAAGGGCAGCTGAGATCTCTTCGACATTGACGGAAGGAGCACCATCCTTTTGGAAGACTTCGAGCAACTTGACTAATTCACTTTCAGTGACAGCTTCGTCCAAAGTGACACCAACGGTACCATTGTCAATGGCACGAAGGTTGATACCAGCAGAAGCAGCCTTTTGAAGGATAGAAGATGAGTTACCGACCTTGATAGAAAGGGTGTCGAAGAAATTGCCGTCGTTCTCAATAGTATAACCGGCCTTGCGAACACCTTCAGCCAAGACAGCAGTCAAGTTATTGATACGTTGGGCGATAGCCTTGATACCTTCAGGACCGTGATAGACAGCGTACATGGCAGCCATGTTAGCTAATAAAGCTTGAGCGGTACAAATGTTACTAGTAGCCTTTTCACGACGAATGTGTTGTTCTCTTGTTTGGAGAGCAAGACGGTAAGCATTGTTACCATCAGCATCCTTAGAAACACCGATCAAACGGCCGGGCATTCTACGCTTGTGCTCATCCTTACAAGCAAAGAAGGCGGCATGGGGACCACCGAAACCCATAGGGACACCGAAGCGTTGAGAGTTACCTAAAGCAATATCAGCGCCAAATTCTCCAGGAGCCTTCAATAAGGTCAAAGCCATCAAATCAGTAGCAACGGCGACTTGACCACCAGCAGCATGAACACTAGCTGTCAATGCTTCATAATCTTTAACAGAACCGCGGGTATCGGGATACTGTTTTAAAGTTTGTTCCAAAGAGAAAGTAGAGGAGTGTAGGTTAGTTCTGGATTTAAATTAACTGGCGAATGGCATGACAAATTTTTCTTCTGTCATCGCTACTACTTGTGTCACATCTTCCCCACATTTTATACTCCCATCTCTTGTGACCACAAGATGATTATCAATGAGTCTGTACCTGTAACAAAACACCGCAAAGATTCTTCTTATTTTCTTGGAAATTGTAGTTGAATGTGTCGGCAACAACGACTTCAATGTTGAAAGATTCAGCACGAGTCTTCAAACAGGAGATAGTTTGAGGGTGACAATTTTCATCGACAACGAATAAATTTTTCTTACGACGAGCAGCTTGCCATGCCATCAACATGGCTTCAGCAGCAGCAGTACCCTCATCCAAAAGTGAAGCATTAGCAATGGGTAAACCAGTTAAATCACTGACCATTGTTTGATAGTTCAACAAAGATTCGAGACGGCCTTGAGCAATTTCAGGTTGATAGGGTGTATACTAAATTATAGATAATCAAATTATCAACGGTTTGTTCCATGTCGTATCACCCATATTACTTGTTTTTGTGCGGATGGAACTTTTCTTACCTGAGTGTACCAAGCAGGGTTTTCCAAAATGTTACGCAAAATGACATTTGGAACAACTGTGTCAGTATAACCTTGACCGATGTAGGAACGGTTGACCTTGTTTTTGGATGCCATTTCTTTCAAACGGGCCAATAAAGCACGTTCTGTTTCACCTTTGCCGATAGCTAAAGGCTTAGGAGAACGAATAGAGGCAGGAATGGTTTTGGAGAGTAATTCATCAATGTTCTTCATGCCTAACTGGTTCAACATCTCATCAATTTCTTTCTTTTGAGAACCAAGGTGACGACGAGGGAAGGTGTCTAGTGGTGCAATTTTAGCTAAGGCAGGTGGAGTTGAGTGTTGGAATCGAACAAACGGTCTAGTAACAATAGAAGGTTGTTGTCTGACAGCAAGGCGCTGTACGGGCAATCGTGTAATGACGCCTCTAGATCTGGTAGCTATACGAGACAACATATTGGTATATTGTTGGTTGTTGCAAAGCTAGTGGAAAGCAAAAGAGAGAAAGAGATAAAGAAGGAAAAATCAGAAAAGAAGGTCCAAAATATCGAAAATATAAGGCAATTAAAGAAAAATATAAAGGTTTTTTCTATCGATACGTATGTGGAAATGCCTTAAAATATATGAAATGACTAGTATCTATTGGAACAGTAACCTTTTGATCTACCTACCTTTAGAGGCAAGGCAACGGACCCGAGTACATCCACTCTGTCAGGAAAGTCACGGTTTTTTTTTTCCTCAAAAATTATCTTACCTTATAAAGCCAGTAACACTCTCTTCTTCTTGGAAGAGCCAATTATTTTTACCATCTAAAAAGGTTATTTAATAAGAGATTGACTATTATGGGTATCAGAAATGCCTCTTTATTTTATTGCAGTTGCATGCACTAGCACTGTGTTGAAATTGATAACTATTCAGCTGCGCTATTGAAAACGAATCTTTGAAATTTCCTCTCCTTCGAACATTACTATACCTCTTGAAACAAGCAATAAGTTTTCGGCGATGAACAAATGTACCATTCATTTCATATCCTCTCGCGTTTCTTAATTGTGCTACTTAACCAAACCAAAACATTTAAGTAAAAAAGTGAAATAACCCTTCGATTCTCACGTAGAACAAAGCCTACACATTGTCAATCACAGTTGGCCAGCAGTGGTGTCTCACAAATCTCAAAATGCAGGTTTTGAATCAAAGATGGCTTTCTGGTCACAAAATTACTGATTTTAGATGAGAAAAGTTCCATAACGAACATCCGATCAATCTACATACGTTCAAGCAAGCTTTTATTACATATTCAAATTATCAAAATCGAATGGATACGAGATGCTAAAACTTACCTAAATTGCCCTGAGCAAGAGTTATCTAAATATACCCTTTGGACCCAAGGGTAAAAAAGGAATGGGAGCTATAGCGGGTTTGAGGGAAAAGGAGGGTATTTAAATCGAGAAATGGCTACCCTAGTAGTGGGTTTGAGGGAGATTCTTGCTAGTGTTGCAGTTAGTCATGTTTAAAAAGAGTGCGATAAACAGCCGCTCATCGGTAAGTATCAAATTTAGGCTCGGCCATAGGAACGGAAGGAGCGGATGGTAAGACAGTTCACGATGAAAGAAAGAAAATTGGATATGGTAGACATTAAATGTAAGCGACGATACATGTTGAAACAAGAGATAATTTGTGATTTGTCAGGAGCGCGTAGGGGTATCGGAGGTAGTATAGTTGATGGCTTTCAAGAAGCCAAACCAAACGCCATCGGACACAACAGTTGCGTCCATAGGAGATATCGGTAACCGTACGATGGATACAGAGAGTGTGGAACGGCAGCAAGAGATCAGTTTGCTGTTGATGCGATCAGATTGTTGATGGTGAAGAGCGCTAGTACGGAAATCAGTGTACAGCGTCTGAGAAAAGCTAAAACCAGGTCAGTCGTATAATATCGCTTCAAAATATTACAGATTTCTGCCAAGCAGAGTGCTTAATCTGGGGAACTACGCGCAGCGCGAAAACTGCCGTGGACAATTTAAAGCAACGGGTTGTCGGCCATGAGATAAAATTGTATGCACCATTGTAGGATCTTACGAAAGATTGGCATAAAAATATGGGACGATAGTTACCTGGTTCTTTCGGTGAATCATTTTTGTAGATTGGTATAGTTTGGGCAAGGCGTTAAGACTGAGAGGTATAAGGTCACCTTATGCTAATTGAAAGATACGGAGTAATGCAGGTGCAATAAGAATACTGGTAGACTGTAGTATTTCTATCTGGTCATTATCCTTGGCGAATGCTTTCTTCCATATTCGCCCATCCTAAACATCCTTGAGAATGCTGGACAAAAATCATGGCAAAGTCCGTATTTTGAAAATTTTGAATTTGCAAAACTCCTAAGTGGTAAGCATAACGCAGTATGCCTATGATCACGGATTGCCTGGAGCACTTCTGATTTTACTTTTAATAAATGAAGCTTGTGTATATAAGCTTAACTGTATCTCCGCCTCCGTTGCTATGATGTAAAGATTTATATGGAATTCCGAGCATCCCAGTGCTATGTGTCCCAATATTCATTCTTGTATGTTTCTGCTTGTTTTTATAATCATAGCTTATTTTATCGAGGCCTTGACTGTGCCCTTACATGAGACACCCTTCGTACAATTTTTGTGTACGTCTTGCTAATGATTCTTCTTTATGAACACATTAATAGGTATGTAAAATGCTGACGTTTCTTTTATAACTTCACTCAATTTAAACATAATTTTCACGGAATAATAAAGTGACAGCAGGAAAATTGGAACCTTGTAACAATTCTATCTACGCGCTTATGAGTAGGATAGTGAATGCTTTTTAAGTGACGAGATTGACGCTATATAAATAACAACAACAACAACAACAACAACAACAAAAAAAAACCAAAAAAAAAACGATCACTTAAGAAATGTCAGCAATAGAGATTCCATTCATTAAATAATAAGCCAGGAATATCTGACAGTCTTTTTTTTTTTCAATGTTGAGAGGGATACAAGTCTCGCGCACCCTGGAAGCACTATTATTGCTATCATTGCTGTTACTATTGTTGTTGCTGTTACTGTTGTTATTACTGCTCATTCTATTGCGGTATTTCCATACCCCCTCTAATATAAGTATAAGAATTAGACACACCTTGAGGTACTAGACGCATTATTATAATAATAGAATCATAATAACACCTGTACACATCATCTTGTATTTTAGAGACAAGCCGCATATATAGTGCCGCATTCCTATTGTTTGAATTATGAAGGAACGAGAACTTTTTTTTATTGGAAAAAAATAAACATTCAGTTTGCCGTGAATGCCCCCCTCTCTGATTTTCAATATATAATAAAGGACTAAAGGAGATTCGTTTCACCTTACAGTTTAAATAATTTATAAGTGGCGTTCACTAAACAATATAACAACCGCAAGTATCACACCTATTGTCATTACTGTTGTCACCATCAAGACCAAAAGCCATAATACTGGTAATTACATTCTTTTGTATTCGTTAGAACACTTGATGTAAATAACATAGATTTTAATATACTTACTTTGAATTTAAACAGAAGTTTTGATTACTTCTCGGAAATCCTTAATATGCGACACATGGTTACGGATGACTGCAGTACTTTCCTTAACTGCCAAATAAAGGTCATTGGCTGCAAGAGTAATAGAATAAAGGGTCGCACGATTTCCTGAAATTTTTTGCAAGTTAGAGACAATTTATAGAAAAGAAAGCTTCAAATAAATAGTAGATTACCAACTAACTGGAGAGCGGGAACCACTATATCCTTTACTTTCGCAGGTTCTTCTTCGACTAAGTGATCTAAAATCACTTTGATTCAACAAAGAGTTTTTGTTTTATCGGTTGTGACTTTGACACAACCTGCACCCATTCTTGAAGCTTCACAGTTGGCTTTATCAGCTTCTTTGCGCCGTTTGGAAAGCGTGTCTTTTAGAAAATCTTAAATCAACGTCTCAGAAGCGGCTGGGTGCCTTACCACATTTTCAGCCTTCGCTTTCGCAACATTTTGATTGTTTGTCGTTCTTGAAACAACTTCAGTTGCCTCCGCTCAAGCTTCCAATGTGACCAAGCTCTCAAGAGTCGCGCTTTGTTGTTCTGTTTTCTAAATCGGCAGACTCTACCATGGTATCTCCCCCACTTCGTCCCTAAGGCTACTCTGCGGAACAGCATTTCGATCAATGGTGACCACATCTTGACCACAATATCACTTTTTGTAACATCAATGGTCTTGTCGAAGATGTAATTGGATATAAAGAACAAGCGATCATGTTTGCATCTATATTGGTCGAGTACAGTGGATATAGCTAGATGGGTTTAAAGGAATGAGATTCAATAATGTTATAGTATTAAGTTTAACAAAACTTACTATTGTGAGTAAATACTGAATACATCAGCATGCACCTCCCCTTTAGAAATATATTTCTTTACGACAACAAGTAATTTGGGCAGAGGAGGATGTTAAGTCTAAGACTGAATTGAATCCTAGACTTTTATTGCTATTAGTACTCATATATAATGTCCTATTTACTTCATGCAACTTCATCCAATTTACCCAACAACAGCTTTTTGTTCACGACCCAAGTCATAATACTGTTCATACAGCCTAACAGCATCTAGTTCCAACTGAAACACATTCGGAGTCTACGCATATGTTGTCCACCTCAAAAATACTATCAGCAGAAAAACAAACCACCAAAAAATCGCATCAATAGAAAGCTATTTTCAATTCTGAAGTAGAAACGTACATTTTCGCTCGATGTTGTGACTTTTCTCTTTAATAAATTGCTTATTGTTTCTTGGGCTCTTTCATTTACCAATATAACAGCAGCTTTAATGATGCCACAACCTGTTTGCTGAATTTCATTAGCCAGCCTAATTGCAGCGTGGATAATATTGAAACTTGTTTGGTCCACGGCTTCATCAAGCTCGTTGAGGTTATTTTTTTTTTCTTATTTTTCCATGGTAAAAGGGTTGAAGAATTGGAAAAATAAAGAAAAAGAACCTTCTTATTTTCCCACAAAATAGGCTCTGTTGTCGTCAATTCAAGGGAGAGTGGTACAAGATTTTGGACTTTATAGTGACGTGTTCGGTGAGATAACAGCTATAGTATTCGAATATGTGCATCCAGTCATAGAATACATTCTACCCATGGTCCATCTATATTGCATCTAATATAGGTTATGTACAACATAGAACAAGATACAGGCCTAAGCATAATAATCACACATCAGTATCCGAACCTGAAACTAGTGGTTAGCATACGCACCATCAACATATACAATTCCTGTCAAACTTTACATGGTGCTTCATCTGAGGAGTAATAAAGACACTGAGGTAATAGCCATCGACTAGTAACTGTTAACAATTATCTACAACTTGGCCAATATCTCAATTACTCTTTGGAGAGGACAAGAATGTTTGGATTTCTACAAGTCTGCTTTCTTCTGTGATATCCAAAAAGTCTCTATCAAGACTGAAAGTGATACGTTTTAATGAGCATAAGTGGTCTCCTGATTATCATCGAAAAGAGTAAAGAAAAATTGGGGGACTAGCAGAAAAAAAATCAGTGATTGTTCGAAGTTAATTTCGCGGATTGAGAGAGGTTTAATTCATACATAGATTGAAAAAATGCTTAGATTGGTATATTATTCAAGCAATTCTCGAATTGGTTCTTAGAGTGCAAAATAATGTTCTTAAGATGCTCAATAGGAATTTCACGAGCAGCTTCAGCAATTCTATGTTCAAGTGTTTCGGCATCTCGCAGGCTATGACGTCTAACCTTACGCTTAACTAGAGCCCAAAACTGTTCAATGGGGTTGAGCTCTGGAGAATAAGGAGGGAGAAACACACACTTATAATTTCTGTTGCGTCCCTCGATTAAACTCTCGACCTTCCTACGCGAATGAATAGGAGCGTTGTCCATGATGAGGTGAAAGCCCTTCATTCCATCGTACCTATCCATTATATCCAACGTTTCTGTCAAGAATCTTAAATAGTGCTCGGTGGTAGTTCCTTCTTTAGGCTCATTAACAGGAACGACCGCTTCAGAATTCTTCCCCTTCTTACCACCTTGAATTTTTCTCACTTTTGGTGGCTGTCTTGGAATACGTATACTCAAATTTATAACACCACCTGCCGAAATAGCACCAAGAATGGTATGAGTGGGGGCTTTTGTCGTAGATGTAGTGGTTACTGCCATTTGGCCCCTTGGTGCCCATGCTCTGCTTGACCTCATATTAATGTCAAAGCCGGCTTCATCAATAAACATGCAATTTTGGGAATATTCCATGTCCGTTTGACTCCATTCAACAACCCAATTGTAACGTTTCTTAATTGTGCTCAAACTCATTCTTGCCTCAGACCAGAAAGCCGTTTGCTTAAAAGTCAAGTTACATTCGTTCTTCATGAATTCATGCACTCTTGACTTTTTAATTTCTAGGCCTTCGAACAAGCAATCAACAGCGTCCTGGATATAGGCATTAGGATTCTCGTCGTAAAATTGTTTCAAGCATTCCTTATGCATATCCTGAAGCTGTGGTTTCGGTCTGTTCTAGCGATTGGTGCTCTTGCCGAGAACAAATGAGTCAGGATTTTCTTGGTATTTTTTCCACTAAGTGCGCGCAGTGCTTTCTTTGACACCTGCCTGAAGTGCAGCAGCCCTGACTGACATCAGTTTTTCTATCTTGTTTTTAAAAAAAAGCTCTCTTGTAGAGAGGCTATAATCACGATATTTGGGAGCTCTTTCAGTGCTTTTACGCACGGATGTTTCCCTCTCATTGTTATTCCGCTGATGCTGAACTTCTTTGGGCGTAACAGGACAATTTTCCAGGTACGAATCAAGGCTGACTAGTTGCTTGATGGCAAATGGGTCGGCTGGTTCATCTATAATATCCATTGCTTCATTCCCCTTCTCATCGTAGATGTTTCCCCGGCCATTTTCCGTTAAAAAGACTAATTTTGACATGTCAATGTAAATTTTGACCAACAGTGATCAACAATGAATTAAACCTCTCTCAATCCGCGAAATTAACTTCGAACAATCACTGATTTTTTTTCTGCTAGTCCCCCAATTTTTCTTAAAAAACTCCGCGAATTTATTTCAAAAAATCTTCGAATTGAGAGTGGACCGACTGTAATCACACAAGGCCACTCAATAAGACGTTTACACATTAAGCATAACCACATATCGAAAAACAAAACCTTGATTGGCCAATAATCACCAACGATATTAATCGGAGACATGGCTTCTTCCGCTAAACCTCACAACCTTCCAAATAAGGCAACCCCCACTACTCTCCTGTCAAAAGGATCATGGGCCTCCCTCTTCAAACAAGAGACCACAAAGACATCCCTCATGTCTCAGGCGGCTGACAACAGTTCGCAGCGCCCCGCTCTCTTAACCCGGGACCCTTATCTTAAAGGTAACGTCCTTGACTCCATACTCATCGACGCATCTCAAGTTCGAGATGTCAAAACCTTTTTCAAAGACCTTGCCGATTATTGTGACGGCTCTTCGCACTTATGGTACGTTAAGGAGCAACCACGTACTGAAGGCAAGCGTATTTTTGTAGAAGCAGTAGTATCATCCCTTATGCGGGAACAAATGTGTTGTAAGGACGGCTTCCATCTACCTTCCTTCAACGATCCCTTTTATGCTTTTGACTCTCTCTCTTCTGATGATGACATTGTTAAGATCCAACTCTCCAATCTCCCACTACAATATGGTCGACTGGATGGTGGTTATGACGAATTGAAATAAGATATGATACAAAACCTTCTCCAATTTGGAGAAGTTGTTGATTGCGGACTTATCAGTGGAATCGCCAGGACATTCATAGGCCGTGGATTCGCTGTTGTTAAGAAACTGCCCTCTAGTCAACCCCTCCTCTGTTGGATCGGTAAGATCAAAATATAAATAAAATAGGAAATAAACAGTGACAAGTCTGTGAAAACTCTCGAAGGTTCAAGTTTATTTCTTTCTTAAAATTAAGATGAAGTTCGTCTAGATGAACAGAATCAACTGGTATTTATATCTTTTACGGAGTGGGTATACAGGCCTATTCACCATGGACTATGTTAACTGATCTTGTAACCAGGAGAAAGGACCAATAAACACCAGCGACAGGAACACCTAAAGAGAGCAACAGAAATGTGTAACTCGACCCTGACTGGTCGGACTTAGTAGTAGCGGGCAATATAAAGATTGCCCTATCGGACAACAAGTGATTGGGTATATAGACTGGTTCTGAATGATACTAATAGCGTCCATTATAGGAACCAGTAGAGAAGAGGATATAATCGACATGGGCATTCAATGGTTACCATAATCGTGATGAAGATTATAAATTTACAATAAAGTGATCACCGAATCTAGTGTACCTCCTCTACGACCTTTAATAGGTGGATTCTGGAATAGAATAATGTCTGCGGAATAGCAAATAAAGACCTCTCACTCTATAAGGTAATAGTTATAGAGGCTAATAGAAACTGGATAAGTCACCTCAATCAACAATGTAAATTCTAGACTGAAGTACCAATAGATCATGTACGTGAAGTAACCTGCCATTTAATTATAACTATCAATAACGAAGCGTACTTCGGTTTTATTATGTAATATTCAGCAGTGATCTCTTCATCGATACAACATCCTCCATAATATTGATTGGCAGTATGAACGGTTCTCAACCCGCCATGATTGTGCCTTTCCTGACTCCACCACCGTACATGCGCAATGGGCTGATATGCCGTCCTTCTGACGCTACTGTCATAAATCTGATCACGTCATTTCCGACTGTACCGAGCGTAAAAAGAATTTCGTGTCCTCGTAAGAATACTCCTGCTCTTGGCGCACCTAACAAGCGTGCTCTAAAACACCTGTTTCTGTATTTCCTCGTCAAATCCTTACTGATTCCCTTGCATCCAGCTCCCTTCATTTAACACCCGAGAACAGTGAAACTGCTACGTCTCTTTCTTCAATACCTAATATTAACAAGAGTACCTGTGCTGATACCCCTGATGACGATTTAGCTGCCCCAGTGGTTATCCAACCTGTTGAGAGCCCAAATACCAATTGCGAACCTACCTCTCATGCCTTCACAGCAGTAGCTACCGATTTATCGTCTACCCATATTCCCCATCTAACCACAGGCCCCCAGTGCCGTCACTGTCGTGGCTATGGACATAAAATGCGTACTCACCACCTTTGCCCGCTGAATCCGAAGAACAGCACTGTCACATCAGTCTCGTCTTTTGAATTAACTTCTTACACTGATGATGTTGATATGTCAGATCAGCCTGCTTCGGCCACTACTGGTCCTGGTGCCCCTGCGGACACCTCGACCAGACGATTATAAATCCAGTCAGCCAACAGGCCCGCTCCATTCTGACTGTGGGTCGCTGAATGGACGTACCTTAATTAAAACATCCTCTCCCGACACCCGCTCACTCTTCTGCCGCTAGCTTAAAAATCTACAATTCGATATTTTATGTTTTCAAGAAACCAATGTTTTTAACAGTGAACAAGAAACAATCCTCAACATGTCGTTGGGTGCAACAACCGCTATTTGGACCCAGCATTGTGGTATTGTCTCTTTTCACCCCCTCAACAAACTACAGCTTCACCACGTTACTTCTGATCACAGTCTTCTCGCATGTTCTGTTGAACATAACTTGTTTCCTCCAATTTTACTAACCACCATTTATGCCCCCGCAGAACTGAAGAAACGCATCCACTTTTATCCAACAATCTTAGATCTCCCCATTTTTCGACGCAACCCTAGCTTCGAACCTCAACTTCCGAATTCCACCACGTCAATCTTTCATCCTAATTATCCCCCATGATCATTACAGGGGACTTCAACTACTCTATTTTACAATATATAAACAGCAATTCTGCTCCTCTTGAAGAGATCACAACGACAAGAAACTGGCCACAATCTAAATGGCACCAGTTTGTAACTACTTACTTTATCGAATGCTCACAGCAAACAAACTCAATTAACACCTGCATTCTACCAACATATCGCCGGGGATTATCTCAAACAACCTTGGACTCTTTTCTACGTCTCTCCAACGCTGCTCTCCAACGTTCACTCCTCTCAGATTGACTTCATCAATGCTCAATGGACCGATCATGCCCTGCTCAGCTGTAATTTTACCTTCCATACGGAATTTGGACGCGGCATACAAAAGATTCACCCCCCCCCGATTAGCCATAGATAAATTTTTCAAAGAACTTCTTTGGGTCAAATTAGTGACCTACCTCACAATCATCGCAACTTTGAAGGTTCCTCCTGATCCCCAACTTCAGTGGAACGAAATTAAATGTCTAGTAAAGAAAGTGGCATCCGCGACCTCCCGCCGAAAACGCGAAAATCAACCAAGATACTTACGACGCCTTCAACGGAAGCGGAACAAACTTTTGCGTGAACATAAAATCACTCATATCTATCCGCTGCGATTGGCTACAATCGAGAAACATATTGGAATGCTACAACAAGACACCGCAGAGACCTTAGCTCTTCGCGCAGGTAAGCGATGGCGTGAATTAGGCGAAACTTCCGCTGGGTATTTGAAAAAATGTATTGCCGCTCGCAGCAGCCAACGCATGATTCCCCAACTCCGGCACCCTGATACCGACGAGTTATGCACCTCACTTGAATCGATGACTTCGGCTGCCAACGACTTTTATTCTGCATTATATCGACCAACTCCCGTAGAGATTGACGCCATCAACAGTTTGACAGGCACCATCGAAGACACAGAACGGCTTACTCTTGCCGAGATTGACAATCTCACCAGTTCGTTTACCCTGAGTGACCTTCAAACCGGTGCAGCTAGATGTTCTCGCAATAGCAGCCCTGGCCTAGATGGGATTCCCTACCCAGTTTTACGTCTTTTGCTCGACCACCATCGCGTTGCTCGTCTGGCTGTGACAGTATTCAACGATGCCCTCCATTTCCATCGTTCCCCTGCCAGCTGGCTACAGACATGTGTCTGCCTTTTACCTAAGAAAGGAGACCTTACTGATCTTGCCAACTGGCGTCCTATTTCACTGATTAATTGCGATGCAAAGATCTTTACTCGCCTTTTAAATGCCCGATTAATGTCCACCATGTCTTCCCGCATCAGTCCAATGCAAGCAGGTTTCATGCCAGACAGATTTATAGCTGACCACGCCTTGACTTTACAATTGACCCGGCTTGTAGCGGCTCAACAACAATCGAACTCCATCGGGTTATTGCTGGATCAACAGAAAGCCTATGATCGGATTCACCCGGATTATTTACATGCAGTGATGACACGTTTCGGAATACCCTCCTCAATAATATCTGGTATCTGCACACTTTTCTTTTCCACTAAACTAGCTTTCAACCTTAATGGGTATATCACCTCAAACTCAGTTCCTCAACTTCGGGACTAAGACAGGGTGATCCGCTCAGCCCTTTACTGTATAACATTGCTTTTGATCCGTTCTTAGATTAGTCCAAACCAACCCACAAATTCATGGCTTTGACTTAGGCAGGAACCCCATTGAACCAACCAGTTTCCACCGACATCTTGGACGATTTAGCTGAGGCTTTTGCTAACCTCGATATTTCACCCTCTTCGGAGGATACCGTCGATTCCCCCGCTACGCCACCCTATCAAACGGCTACCCCCGTTGATTCCATTTCTGCTGTCAAGATTTTGGCCTATGCGGACGATACATTAGTTTTTCTTCGGGATGAGTCAGATTTTCATCAGCTCCAGCAATCTCTTCATACATACAGCAGGGCATCTAATGCCCACCTCAACTTTCATGAAACACAGGCTTTCTCCTTGTCTGGTACATCTTTACCGACATGGCAAAATTTCCTACAAGATAAGAATATTATTCAATGGCATGATAGGTCTAATCCAAATCCCTTAACGTATTTAGGCTTCCCTATATGCTCAAGCATCACACAACGTCATGTTGCCTTTTCTCAGCTTCACACCTCTTTACAGACCATATCACATATTTACTCACAACGTCAGCTATCAATTCTAGGACGTGCCACCATTGTCAATAGCTTAATATTTTCTAAATTGTGGCATGTTTTGCGTCTCACCCCCTTCACCCAAAATCAGATCCACAAACTTCGCCAGGTAGGTACCGCCTTCATCAACCGCGGAATTTTCCCAAAGCTCTCTTTGGAACAACTGACTTCCTCTCGCTCTCAAGAGGGTCTCGCTAAACTCGATCCTAGCCTTCAACAATCTGCGCTTGTATGGCGTTGGTTAGGCCCATTACTGCGTACGATCGACTCCTCTCGACTAACTGGAGTCATGACATATTTGCTTTATACCTTCCAATGGTTTTGTAAATCCACAATACTACCTTCTTTTCATTAATATCTGTTATTTCCCAACTATCGTAGAGCTCAGTGGTTTCCTCTTATGATTCAGGGCTCTCATCTGTCCTTTATGAATATATTTGAAATATTTATACACGCGATTGACTCCACTTCCTTTTCTATTCAACCTAGTTCTCTTAATCCTTTTACAGTCCTCTCCTTATCCATTCTAGACGTTCTTCAATCCCCGGAGACGGACCCCCACCTGTTGTCTCGATTAGTGGATCAACATCCTGGTGTGAGAGATATCCGTACTACAGACGTTTTTACCTACGATTTTGCCCAACTACGACTTCGACTACGGAATCCCGATGAGGTTATCGGTCATCGAAACCTCACCTACCTTCTACGTAGCTTAATACGGTCCGGTCAAATGCAATTACGCCCTTTTCTGCATCATCAATGTCTATCCGCCCCACGCATCGAACCGCCTACTCTATCTACTGCTGATGACTATATTAACCTGCAACCGATTCTGACCTACTTTTTCTCCACGAAAAGTTCTATCCCAGATACTGTAATTTATAGCCCACAGCATTACCGTTCCTTGCTTCCGCCCCCTCCCCCATCATTCCGATGCGCTTTACTGTCCCTCACAGTGGTCTACCTTTTGGAAAATTTCGTTCCATTAACTGCTCGTACAGTATGGTACCGGCTACTGTTAAACAAAGTTCCTTACCGCGAATTAATGCAACGTCCCCTCCCTCAACAATTTGATTCTGCGGATTGTCACATTTGTCATACGCCTGAAGTGTCGCTGATTGAGACTTCTATTCACTTTCTCTACACTTGTTCCAGCAAAGTTCAAGTTTGGATACTGGTATTCTCCACCTTCATCAATCCAAGGTACAAATACTTTATGGACGATCTCCTTCAATTGCTCCGTCGTATTAGCCACCTTGACCAGTCTAATCTTCCCCGCTCCCCATCTCTCCCATTTCCCACCTCTCCATTTCCCAAATATTCGCCTGTATTTTGCTCGGCCTTTGGCAGGCCGATTGGGCCTTTGTATTTAGAGACATCCCTCTCGTTCCTTCTCGGGTTTTTGTGTCTGTGTCTCGGGTACTCTCTCGTCTCGAACGCGGTCTCACTCTTTGACCAACAAAGTGAGCTAGTTTCCTTTATCGGATAAATCTTATAGTCTTTATGCGATCACTCTTAGCCTGTTAGAATTTCAAAAATCTCTCATCCACAATTATACCTAGTCTTCTTCTTCCCTCATAACGTCGATAAAAGGACTTTAAATAAAACCGGAGTGGTTTTCCCATAAAAAAAAATAAAATACAGTATTAATCGGAGGATAAAAATCGGCCCAGGAACCGAAATTGTGGAAGTGATACAATTGCACTGGTGCCAACAGGAGTAACTTAGAATCCAGGAATATTTGTCAGAATAATAAAACATCCTCTCATTCCCTTCTTATTTGAGTGATTACTTATAACTCTTTTGTTTCTGAGAGTTTTAATTATAGTCAAAAAGTTAAGTAAGGATAGAATTTCACAAGTCAGTATGTGGATAACGATCCCAGTACAACAAGTCATACAAAGTCTCGAAAGAGTAATGGATCTCACACTGATCTGGAACCCAGCTTAATCACGAGAAATACAATTGACTGATAGAAAAGTAATATAATTAATTTCATTTGGTTACTGCAATATCTACTCCTCGTCTTCAATTCTGATAATGCTCATGAGGTATTTTCCTTTTTCTAGGTCTTGGCGGCGTGAGGAGAGGTCTTATCATACGTTTTGGTGGTCGCGGTGGGCTATAGACAGTTTTATCGTGGAAAGTAGAAATATCCGCTGCCATATATTTTCGCTGTTCTTCAAAAGCCGCCAGTCTTATTTCATTGCTAATTTTTATTTTATTTTCTTTCCATGCGAAAAGCCGTTTCAAAGTTGATCGAAAATCATCCAGTTCCAGTAACAATTTTGGTATGTATAATGAATCAAGTTGATGTGCAACCACCACATCTTGGAAAAAAAATAGTTGCGCCATATATCCAGTTCGTCCTCTCCAGTCCATGTATTCTATGGCGAGCTCTTTCTTGGTGATATTTTGAATGTTGTATGCTATTGCAGAGTTAATTCTAATGTTCTTGCTCTGTTGCCGGTTGCATATTGTAGTGGAAGCGGTACGTCGTTTGAATTCAGTTGAGCATATTTCAATAACTGTGTCATTATACTTTGTTTTCGATAACATATCTATTCGCCTTCCACTGTCCGCCTCATCTTCATTTAGTATTTTTATATTTTGAGTGGCTTGAGAAATTGTTTCTCCATCATATATAGCGACGTCATTTTCATCTTCAAATAATATATCCATCAATTCAGCGAACTTTCGAAGATACATATTTTCTGAATAACTGTCCATCACCTCATCAGACTCCTTTGCCCAGAATTTGAAATTGAAGATGGCTTGTTGTACAATGCGGAGCAATTTGTAATTATCAGACGTTTTATCCGTTTCAGCAAATTTTTGATCGTCAAAGTATTGTAATGTTCTATTGACATTTTTATCAAAACGATGTTCCAATAGATCGTCGAAAAGATTGTCAATTTTTGTAGTAATTGAACTTGGTAGTAGTGTTCTACGTTTTTTGCATTCGTCCATGATCTCTGTATATGTCGACATTTCGAACTCAGCTGCATATTCTTCTCTGTAATTACAATTCATTAAATTGATGTTGCGTGACAAGCACAGCTTCATTAATTCCATGCCTTCCCAGTCCACTTTTTCTTGGCATAGTAATTTCGATGCATTGTTTAGTAGAACAGATGACAATCCTTTACTTTTGGGTATGTATAATGAGTTGGATTGTGGTATGATACCTTCAAGCATCCTCTTTTTGGCCATTACACGCAACTGGTTGAAAAGATTGTGCATCGCTAGCTCACTACCTTCGTGTTCTTGTGGGTCACTCTTTTGTTCCTCCCCGTCTTCTTGTTGTTCTTCGCCATCCTCTTCTTCTTTCTCGTCACCCTCTTTTTGTTCCTCGTCGTCCTCTTCTTCTTCCTCGCCATCCTCTTCTTGCTCCCCGTCGTCCTCTTCTTGTTCCTCGTCGTCTTCTTCTTGTTCCTCGTCGTCATCTTCTTGTTCCTCGTCGTCCTCTTCGTTCTCTGAATCAAGTTCTTTATACTTTTCAAGACTGATTGAAGCTGACTTTGCGTACTTACCAAGAGAAGTAATAGAATTGATTTCATATTGCGCGTTTGCATCTCTGAGAGCTTTAATTTTTTTGTGAATAGCTTGAAATTTAGCGGAAGCTCTGGTAGGGAACTTCTGCAGCTTGGCAGTAGTACGTCGCATAGATGTCAGGTTGTTGTAAAGGCTAATCCAATGTTTCATTAAATGCAATGCTGAAGTGGCTCCAACATCAATCATTGCTATATTCTTTTCTTTTTTCGTGACAAATTGATTAAATGTTGCTTTTGAACTTGTTACTAAATAGCTTTCAACGATCTGTTGTTTTTGAAGAGTTTTTTTATTGATCTTTTTAACCATTGTTAAAGTCTATTACGTTTGAGAGAAAAGAAACAGAGAAAGCCGGTGTGTTCTAGCAAGTTTTCTACTCCTGTAGTGTGTTTCATCTTTGTAACAGGATAATTACTATCTACCTGTAAGAGTACGTGAAGAAAGGTGGGACAATGTCTGAAACTTATTATGTGGTGGGCTAGGTGGTACCCATACTGTTACATTATCCTCCCCAGAGAAGAAAATAAGACGTGTATTGTCTACTCATATTTTAAGTGAGAAGTTCATTTCCTGTCTTGATTTTGTAGAGATCGTGGATATTTGCTGTAGTGTACATTTCTTTTTAGCACGTCGCCGCTTGCTTTGAGATTCACCGACGTACGCCAGCTTAAATGCCATGCTAGAATGTGCACTTGTGGTCTCAATAATACGCCATGATCCTGAGAGTCTAGCCTCACCTGTCGGATCGGTAAGAAAATAGGAAATAAACAAATAACAAGGTTCAATTTTTATTTCTTTCTCAAGAATTAAGATGAAGTTCGTTTGAACGAACAGAATCAACTGGTATTTATATCTTTTATGAGATGGGTATGCAGGCCTGTTCACCATGGACTATGTTAACTGATCTTGTAACCAGGAGAAAGGACCAATAAACACCAGCGACAGGAACACCTAAAGAGAGCAACAGAAATGTGTAACTCGACCCTGACTGGTCGGACTTAGTAGTAGCGGGCAATATAAAGATTGCCCTATCGGACAACAAGTGATTGGGTATATAGACTGGTTCTGAATGATACTAATAGCGTCCATTATAGGAACCAGTAGAGAAGAGGATATAATCGACATGGGCATTCAATGGTTACCATAATCGTGATGAAGATTATAAATTTACAATAAAGTGATCACCGAATCTAGTGTACCTCCTCTACGACCTTTAATAGGTGGAGTCTGGAATAGAATAATGTCTGCGGAATAGCAAATAAAGACCTCTCACTCTATAAGGTAATAGTTATAGAGGCTAATAGAAACTGGATAAGTCACCTAAATCAACAATGTAAATTCTAGACTGAAGTACCAATAGATCATGTACGTGAAGTAACCTGCCATTTAATTATAACTATCAATAACGAAGCGTACTTCGGTTTTATTATGTAATATTCAGCAGTGATCTCTTCATCGATACAACAAGGCCATCGATGCATACCGTCAAGATAATCTCAATGCAGCACGCTCCGCGCCTCACTCGAAACTGATTAAATGCTGCCGTCCAACCATCTCTCTTGACCCTATTCTTTGGCTTCCCATGCCTTTTATTGAACGTAGTCGCTGCCTTAGATATAGGCTGGGCTGGCTTCCAAACAACTATTCCGCCCATTGCCTGCATCACCCATCACGCACTCTCACGAAAGACCATGCCATCGAATGCCTCAATATGCACAACCGTCTACAGCTGCCACACGACATCTCTGATCCCATTTCTCACCTGTTGAACCAGCTTCCAACCTGACCAATAAAACAGCGCGCCAGTGCTCCCGTCAACTGGAGCATAGTCTGGCCAATTGTCCAACTGCTACTTTTTGAAGTCGATTACCTTCAACATGAGAAAATGCCTCCCACCCCGTCAGAAACATTAGGACAGCTTTTCCTAGATTGGCTCTATGCGCCCACAACCACCAATACTTGAGGGTCCCATTATCTCCTAGTCTGCTTCAAGAACCACTGCCTTTTTTCCCCTTGCACCTTCAAGGGTTTTTTAATTCTTATTCCATTTTTTGTTCTGCCCAGGGCAATTTTGATATGTAGTTTATCTGTGTGCCCATTGGGTTTAAAAATATTTTGTCAATAAAATCTATTTTAAACGTACTGTAAGATTAAAACGCGTAGATTGTTTCGGGGATCATCTATTCATTTTTTACGCCAGAAATTAAAATATGTAACCCTAAGAGGTGATAACTGCCCAAAGGCATTTATCATGTTAAGCACCTTTCATTTCTCTTCTCTCTCCATTTTTTTTACGTTTATTGCGTTGACGCATTACTACTGTAACATTTCTCTTTCCTTTACCACTTCTCTGTTTTATATTCTGTTCTTGTTCTTCGTGTTTCAGGTCATGCTTTTACCAGTGTTTATGAAGATTCTGTGCTAGAGAAATCGCTTGTTTGGACCCACGTATTATATTAATTTGTATAAGCTTTCCTTTTAGTAAGAACTCACGTTTATCCTTCGGACCGCGATGCTCCAAGACATCTTCAATTTCATAATATTCATCAACGGCACCTTCATCAATGTTTACAATTTCTAATTCTGAAGGAACGTAGTTTCTTGGTAACAGTTCAATAGTCTCAGGTGTTTTAAAAATGTAAGAAACACCTTTATTCTTTCTAACGACAGTATATGAATCATCATATAGTGCAGAAATTTTGTTACTACAATGAGGTAATCCGATCAATACATGTGTACCAGCAGGAATGTCCACTATTTTATGACTTGAATTGTAATATTCATTAATCTTTTCATTTCAATTGCTCTGTAGTAGGAAAAACAATCTTTTCCGTTTTCTCAATTCGATCTTCAAGTTTGATGAGTATTGAATTTTCTTTTATTTATAACACCACCGATGTATGTAGGCTTTACCTGCCTACCAATTGAGAAGTTTTATCATATTCATCATTTTTCTCAATTGGTTTTTGCAGTTGTGTGCAATTTTTGAGAGTAGCTATAAGTTACAGAAAGATCTCTTCAGTTATAATTTAGACTTTTTTGTATCTATTTTCGGACCACTTATTTTTTTACATTTGGACACTTGTAGTAACCATTTGAGGCCCTCTCCTTTCTGTACGCATTTGTTACAGTAAGTTTCGTTGTTTGATCGGCCCAGAATAATTACGTACATTCTCCTTAGCTGCCATGTGGGCTGGTTGTCCAGTTTTATTCTATGTAAATGACTCCCAATCCTGTATTCTCATTGACTGCTCAGCATCTCTCTTGATCTAAAATCGTATCACTTTAGTGTCATTTTTCCCTTAAAAAAAGCAATAACAATAGGTGATTGTATAAAGTAAGCTGAACGCCTGTTTATTGTCAGTAACTGATGAAGTGATAAATAAACGTGTCTCGATTAATAAACGATTTGATGTCAAAATTTAGCGCGTCTAGATTGTTTTTGTTGTCAAAACTTCTTTGTTGTCCAAATAACATTCTAACAAAAAGTTTCAGTTTCGTTGATATCTTTTCCCTTTTTTATCAGAGTCTGGTTATTATCCTTTAAATAATTATTAAAGAAGTGTTAACAGTGGATCATTAGGTAGATTAAATTAGGATCTCATCACGAGCTACTCACAACGACTGTACTGTACATATTTTGTTTGTAACTGAGTGTTTGTATCTTTTGAGTAGCTTTTTCATCATGCCGTCAAGAAAAGCAAAAGTTTATCTTGAAGCAAAGTTAAAGATAAAGCAACAAAAGAATAAAAAAATTCAGTTCATGATTGCTGCATTTTGTTTACTATTCGTTTATGTACTCAATTAGAATCGTTGAACCATTAATTTCTGGAAACATGTTTTGATTGCGGACGGGAAGGACATGCCCATAAGGGCTCATAATTGTGTCCAGAATATAATGGTAACAGATTGCTGAAAAGGTAATAATTCCTGTTCATTTTCACTGATATTCTGTTCATACACTTTTCTAGCCAAGAAGAGAAAGTCCGGAAAAGACAACTACGAAACAAAGCAAGCTAAAGATAAAGGCAAAAAGAGAAGGCTAGAAGCAAAAAAAGCATCGCCATCGAATACTGTCATATGCAAGCACTGTGGTCTAAGTGGTCACTCAACTAATCGCTACTAAAGCGGAGCTCCTTCGAACAAAAGAATAAGTATGAGCTTTACGCTGGGAAACTGCCCCTTGTAACCTACGTGGACGGTGTTTTTGATGCTGAGTGCTGTATCTTACGGAAAGAGCATGAAGGATTCCAGCAAAAAGTGGTTGAGCTGTGCAGATTTAAACGGGACGTCACAAACAGAGCGCAGCTTTTCATGAATTACTACATTATTAAGGACCATAATTTAACTGTTCAGGAATACATTTATGAACAAAACTTTTGGTACTGCATCCATAAGCTAGTCTTGGGCCAAAAAATTACCAACAAAGCCTACATTAACCACACTGTGGCTCTAACGTTCGATGACGTTGCTACTGACGAACCATCAATTTTATCCCCCTTCAAGGATCAAAAATCAAAGGTTATAGTGATGCTATGGCGGCTGCATGCGAGAGTATAGCAACCACTTACATGAACCACATAGTGGAAAACTTCACTAAACGTATCAGATATTACTTGTATTGAGCATTGAAGCCTACTTTCCAGGTAAAATGTTTGACTTTATACTTTCATAGAGAAGATTTTAATTGCCCAATTCATTGTCAAATAATAGGAAACGAAGAACGGACTCATTGACTCATATTGCCTTCCTAAAATTTTGAATGATATGGATACTTGTAAATGGTTAGAGGAGGTTGATATAACAAAACAACCCGAAGTCGATGCAACAGGCCAATCATTGATGGAAAAGATGCCATCAACTCCAACAATCGAAAATATCACAGCAGCACCATCAACATTTCTACCACCTTTGGCGTTCATGCTGCAGTTGATCGAAACGAAAGCCCTTACCGCTGGTCCGAATGACAAAAAACCCAAATTATTCTCATTAACTCCCACTGTGTCATTCAAATGGAAGCATGTCAGCATCAATGAAAAGGCCCTATGCTGTTTGTCTAGACAGTCCATTGGCAACGGGTCCTATGCTAATAATCTCGAAATCTTCTTTATGTTTTTAATTTTGCAAAGTTCGGATATGAAACCTAAGAAGAAATCTACACTTTGCTTTCTGAACCTAATAACATTAACAAACATTTGTTGCTCAAATAGCCTACAAGACCTTATAGAAGCTCCAGCCAACTCTAATGACATACTCAATTGTGTAATCCACACAGATGGCTTTGCTGTCACTTTCCTATTTGTCAGGGCCAAGAAAAAAAACAGTGACATACCTTTGCTTACACTTGAAGAGTTCACTCGCGATGAAATTGAACGGTACTTCGTACCATTTACTGTGGATGCTGGTCGCAGTCAAATATTCACTGCTGCTGTAGGCTACGACAGCGTTCATCATCAAGTTCGTTCATATAGCAAAGAGGAACGAGCCAACATTGCTGGTTACATCAGGCGCGCAAAGATAGTCGACAACAAGAAAAATATAACCGGCTTAAATGACATCGAATCGGAGATGCCAACCAGCAAAACGGTTCACTCGGATGGGCAATATTTACTCTACCTCTCATACGTTTTGCAACATCTCCAGGCTCTTCATGACTTCTATGGCTTTATAATTTTAATAATTACCAAGGCCGCCTAAGAGCCAATGAGGAGATAACCAATATGCTAATTGATTGAGGATAGAAATATAACATAAGGAAGCAGAAAAAGACCAACAAGAACAAACGTAGAAAAAGAAAGCGTCCAAAAGGACAAAAAACAGTAAGAAGCAAGGTAAGGGCAGATAAAGTTGCGAAAGCGCGACCGCGGAAAGAGTCACAGGGGGTGTCACAGAAGAAGGCAAATAAACCGCAAAGCGCAAGCCAAAGGTGAGTCATAGACACCTGTACCTCGGCTATGCATTTATGCCATTCACTCCCTCTGATTGTTTTCGGTGACGGTATGCGTAACAGAGATTCTGTCCGATATAAAGGGCATTCATCCGGGGTCACGGGAAAGTTATATCGTACTTTGCTGAGAAGACAGCGCTGCTTCCCTGCTGCGGTGGTGGACATCAACGAGTTCAAAACCTCAACGGTGCGTCCCAAATTGCCAAATGAAGTGCCCTTCTCTAGAAGTAACGTCATTTTCGTAGGTTTGTAACAATTGTAATGGTGTCGAAATGGAAGAGATACGAATTGCGGACGGCTCCAGCGTCTATGGTACCAAGGCCTGCAAAACCTGTAGTATAATATGGCAAAGAGACGTCAATGCGGCTAAAAATATGCTTACTATAGCAAATTCCGTATGGGAACACAATGAAATTTTCTCTCGCCATCGCCATAACGAAAATGTTGCTGCAGGTTTTAAACCGACGGCTTAAGGGTTTCTACGCGTTCAGGTAAGTTTATATTGTGAAATTTCTCACTGTACATTTCTGAGGCTTTATTAACTGTTGCTTGACATTACTACATACTCAAACAGGGTAGGTATTCTGTGCTTTGGCACAGTATATTTACCTTGTTTGAGTAATAATAGTTTGCACATTTGGCATTGATTTTTTTTTTGTAGATTATTTTATTTAAAAAATAATAAATTAGTCACACATCGCTGAGGGGTGGGTCATGGAGAGTAAAAGAAGATTTCTATGACAAGTAAATTAGTCGAAAGCAGCCGCTTCCCGCAAGAGCTGCGAGGAAGACAGGCTCAAAGAAATTATGTTGTGTGCTTTACTAGAGACGGATGAGGGATGAAAAGGAATATCATGGAATATCATTCGAAAGAATGACGTCCAGATAGCCCAATGGATACTGAAGCAGACGGTGAAAAATCGAGATTGCTCGGATGAAGGTAGTGATGGTGGCGGGTGTAATCTTAGGGCGGCAGAGATGCTTTTAGGATCAAAGCCGAAGGATGGGAAATATACCGCGAGGCCTTCTTGCCATATCTGCCAACGTGAAGGGCAACTGGTTGTGAAATGTTCGAACATATCAATATCATGATTACAAAGTCTGCAGGTAGCAGATGAAACTATCCCTGCGGCTTGTAAGACTGATAAGCATGGTAACACATTTGGCATTGAGCATTTTGACAGAAAAGGTATGATCCCAAAACAACACTTTTCATCCAAAATAGTTTTTTAAATTAGTCTGAATTTTTATTGTAATACAGTCTCAATTTTAAAGCCATTTCGTGCGAAAGTCAAGCGAAAAAATAGTACGGATTAATCGTTAAGCTCTCTTCCGTGTATTTTGTTTTTCAACTAAATCCACCAATCAAATCGCGACATACCCCTCCTAACCCGTAACCACTTTTGCCAACACCATCTCAACCCATTTGACAATGAGTGTTGCATCCTCATCTTCTGAGGCTACCTGGGCAACTGTAACTGCTCGGAAAAGCGCCAGCCGTATCCCGGCGCCATTAAAAAAGGTTCATGATGGCCAACGTGAACGTTTCGTTGCTAAGCTGCTTTACGAGGCACCTGACGTGGCTGCTTATTTGCGTTCACAGCAAATCACGTCGATCGTCCACTCAACTCTTACGAGTGGGTCGGTTATCTTCAAGTTTCCTTCTAAAATTTTTGATCATTATACCGACGCGTATAGATTGATCACTGATCAGCTTGGCCCTGTCCTTGGGGGATTTAATCCTATCTCTTTACGTAGTACACGTCCCCTTTCCGATTTAATTATTGCAACAAAGTTCAAGTCCGATGATGCCAACACCAAAGCCATTTCGCATGGCGTAACTGTTGAGCATGTCACCTACAAAGCCAGCCGCTTCGTAGATAAGGTTGATACCACTTTCACGCGTGTCAACCTCACCCTCTTTCAATTTTAGGATGAAGCAACCTTGATAAGTAAGCTTAAGAAATCTATGGCCATTTATGGCAAGGTGTGCCAGATCAAGATGCTTACCAATCGAGGTTTCTTTGAGAGCGAACTTTCCATCTTGCTTGACACCAGCGGTAGAGATGACGATGACCCTTCCCCCGTACAACCATTGGACCTTAAACTGTTCTTGTCTGAATGGGATACGTTAGCCCCTGCCTCCTGTCTGCTACTACTGTCGCCAAGCCGGGCACGTTCGTAAAGACTGTCCTGCTTTGCAAAATTTGACCTGCTATAAATGTCATCGCAAGGGTCATATTCGCCGAAATTGCCGCATGGCAGACGTCCCCGTTCCTGTTTTAAACGTTAATGAGCAAAGTGATACTGACGCCATTGCCGAATATGAAGTCCTGAGTGAACTCACCCATAAAGAACGCCCCACCGATAGCCCTACACATTCCTCTACCATCAATGATGAGTCTGGCCTTATCATCCCGAAAAAGGCAAAACGATATGCTACCCGATCAACGACCGCTAAGGCTTCTGTAGATCATACTTTGTCTCCATTCAATACACCCACTGGTACTGCCGGCTCAAAATATGCCAGTATCACTGTTGCTGCCAGTATGGCTCTGGACGAGCCTGCAACACCTGCGCCTTCCGATGCCAACACTAGTTCGGCAACTACACCCCTTCATAGTCGTTTAACTCCTGCTCACACCGATGATATGGATCTGATAATAGATGCGGATACCACTCCTCCCAATATAGTCATGACCGCCCAGGAGGGCAATGAATAATCGACCAATACGCGTCGCATCCTTAAATGCTCGCAGCATTTTCAAGGATGCTAACAAATATACCCAGAAACAATATATATCCCATTTACGTTCCCCTGCTTTGTCTGTTGACATTTTATGTCTCCAAGAAGTATCCGCATATCATTCACAAGACCACCTCACAATCGATCAAATCAAATATTTCCATTCCTTCCTCTTTCCCCAGTGTGCAATCCTACTCTCTAAGTATTGTGCCATTATCTGTTTAAACCCGACGTTATTGTTAACAGATGAAATTGTCACTTTCGATGAACGCTGTTTACAAGCGACCATCATCGATACAGTTACCCGTAATTTTATATGCTCTATAACTAATATTTACGTTCCAGCAACTACCCATGATAGAATGCCTTTCCTCGCCTCCTTGATGTCACAACCGTTTTTTACAAAGGAGGCTCCAGATGTCAGCTTTATTGTTGGCGATTTTAATATGTCGCTAGCTTCTCTATCAACCACTTCAACCAATCCTAGTTTTCATGAATGGTATCGTCACCTCACTCATTATTATGATAACTGCTTCTCTGCAAGCATTCCTACTTTCCAGCGTGGTGTCACTCGCAGTACCATCGATTATTTCTTCTGTCACCGAAGTATTACCCTACGAGTCCTTAACAGAACTCAACGGTACCTACCTAGCGCTTGGACAGACCATGTCCTCATGATGGCTGACCTGTCACCCGATCGTTTGGACGTAGGACCCGGGGTATGGCGCTTCAACCCTTTGCTGCTGTCTAACGATATATTTGTGGATTTATTAAAGACTGCCCTCATTGAGTTCTTTGAAGTCCGTAATAATATCACCTCCAACCCACAAAGTACCTGGGAGGCTCTAAAACAAATATTAAAACACATTGCAGACCTATTCTCCCATGGATCTACTGCTAAAAGGCAGACAACCATTGCCGAACTTCAACACCAACGGGAAGCCCTGCTTTCCTTAAATAAGCCAGCATTCAATATAACCAACAGACAAGTGTCGCTTATTGAACAGAAACTAGACAAATTGCAGGAAGAATCCGCGCAGCAACATCTTTTACGGTCAGCCACTCGATGGCATGAGAAAGGAGAGCGCAATAATAGATACTTTTACAGGGTTATCAAAGAAAGACAAGCACAACGAACGATTCACTCTTTAAAAAGTGGTCAAGATGGCCCTGTCTTAACTAGTACTAATGCTATCCTTGAGGAAGCTCATATGTTCTATAGCAACCTTTATCGCCCTGTCGGCAGTTCAAACGTTACTCGATAATGTTCCGCAGGCGATTGGTCTTACAAACGCTCAACAGAATGATCTTACAGCACCGCCCACGTCAGAAGAACTTATTTCTATAGTTAACCACTTGCCCTCACAAAAAAGTCCTCGGTTAGATGGCATACCGTATGAGGTTTACCGCCATCTGCTTTCCTGGAACATTCCGAGCTTTAAGCAACTCTTCCTTCAAGTGTATGCTGACGCCTTTGAAAATATTTTCCCAGCCACCTGGAAACAAACTCGGATGGTCTTACTGTACAAAAAGGGAGATCCTGAACTCTTACAGAACTGGCGGCCTCTATCGATGATCAACACTGATGCGAAGATTTTCACAAAACTATTAGCTAATAGGTTCAATGTCGTTTTACCACAGCTGATTAATCGCTATCAGACTGGCTTTTTACCGCACCGACTAATCTCGGATAATGGGTGGGTTAACCAAATACTAATGTCACATTATAGCCATTGTGGTATGTCTTACCCTGCTGTTGCTGTCCTCCTTGATCAAGAAAAAGCATATGACCGAGTACATCCTACCTACCTTCAGATGGTTATGAAGCATTTCGGCTTTCCTGCTTCCCTCGTATCTTGTTTATCTAGCCTATTTTTTGACACAGAAATATCCCTTCACATCGATGGATGGTTAAGTGCTCCCGTTCGCCAACAACGTGGCCTTCGGCAGGGAGACCCCTTATCACCACTGTTGTTCAATTTAGCTTTCGAACCCTTACTACGTACCATTTTGTCGAGCTCTGACATCAAAGGCGTTTCACTGCTCTCAACCTCCGCCTCCTCTAGTCGATATGGACAACTTCTAGCTCGCAGTCTGAGTGTCCGTTTTGAACCACAGCCTTTGTTTGACTGGCAAGACACCCCTCGTTTCAAATTATTGAGCTATGCGGATGATTTAGAGGTTTTCTTGACCACACCTACGGAATGGCGTGTCTTGAAAGACCTCCTTACAGTTTATGGTAACGCTAGTAATGCCCGTGTCAATTTGACAAAAACAGAAATTGTTTCCCTCTCTGGTCATCCGCATACGGCATGGCTCCATATTGCTAATCAGGAATCTGTAACCTTTCATACAGCTGAAAGTCCATCTGCTGCCAAATATCTTGGCTATCCTCTTTTCTCAACCAATGCTCAACTAAAACACTATCTAGCTTCCCTTGAACTGAAAATAGTCCGTCACTGTAACCTCCTGAAACAACGGGGATTGTCTGTCCGAGGTGCCTCACTAGTTGCTAATTCCTTGATACTTAGTAAGTTATGGCATCTCCTGCGTGTTGTAGTTGTTTCGGTGGACTGGCTTGATAAGCTTCGTAGCATTGTCCGGTCTTTTGTGGTTCCTTTCTGGCCTGCTCCATCGTGGGAGCGCTTGTGCTCACCTAAACGTTTTGGTGGTTTAGGCTTAGTGGATCTGCACCGACAACAATTAGCTCTTCATCTTGTGTATGTTCAGCGTCTTCTACAGCCCCCTTCATCAACCGATTTTGTCTCCCCATTACTGGCACATTGTATCCAAGTGTACACCGGTCAGTTGTCCTTACTACCATGGATTTTATCGACTGCCACTTATCGTTCATCATTTCGCTTCCTTCCGAATATGCTCCACCTATGTTCTCTGCTGATGAAACTTCCTTCATCATCTCTTTCCTCCTCATGGCATGGCCGCTGAATTGCTGATTTGCCCCTTCGTAGTGCCTTACAGCGTTCCCCTTCGTTTGTAGGCCCCTTACCCGTGGATCTCAATAGCCTCCCACGGCATTTAATCGTCTCTACTGTTCTCCTTTGGTCTTCGATAACTAACTGCTTCTACACGCTAGGGTATACGTATTTTCAGGACTATCCGAAACTGAAAAGGATACCTAGTTTGCTTTCCCAAGGTGTAATACAATGGCTTCCTTTTATTCAAAACCGATTGATTGATGTCCGGGCCCCTCCTACGGCTGCTGCTCCTACGCCCACTTCACGATGGCCTAATGTATCTTACAGCACCTTATGGTTGCCTGATATGTCCCAGTGGCGTGTACCTTCTGGTTCTCAGAACAATACCACCATTTTAAAGCTTTCGCTTGGTATGCTACGGCTATACTGGCATCCTGATTATTCCGTTTTTAGTGACCCTCCTCGGATTCCTCAAGTGTTTCCTTTATGGTATCGGCCTCCGGCTCAATGGAAACGGTTCTGGTCACTCTCAATCCCTCATGCAGTGCTAACTCCATGGTGGCGTTTATGGCATAATTGCATTGGGTACAGAGCTTGGCTGTTTTCCATCAATCCTGTCATAGCTGACTCCCCTCTTTGCCACCATTGCAGAGACTCCCCTGAGGATGGTTTTCATTTTTTCGTTGGTTGTCCACCTAAATGGCAATTTTGGATCACGGCACTGGAGGAAAATAGAATTATCTCTTTTCCTGCCACACCTACTGGCATTTGGCATATATTGTTAACACTTTGTTCCCGTTAGGTTAGATAATTCTCCTCTGCCTGACCACACAATCGTTCAGGTTAGTTTGATACTTTTAAGTATCTGGAAATATCATTGGCGCTGCCATTTTGATTGCATCTCTTGGTCCCTAGCAGGAGTTCGTACAGTCTACCAAGACGAGGTTCGATTCAGAACACTCAATACGAGCTCGTAGTATATTTAATGGTTTCTTTGTCGTAGTTTTTATGTATGCCTTTTCTTCACTTCTTTTATTGCCACTTATCAAAATATAATTTATTGTCCGTATAGTCGCTTTTAATAAAGTACGTGAATTAAATACAAAAAAAAAAATAGTACGGATTCTCATCTTTAAAAATTCGATGACGTCGAGACTCTGCCTAACGCCTTTTTTTCTTGCCTCTTTGCATACTGGTACAAATTTCTTCTTGCACTTATACAAAAAGCAATGTAGGAATCTCTCAAGCAAACCACTGGTTCTTGAGAGTAGAAGACCTTCGGCTTCGTCCTTAGTGAAAATCAGTTGGCTCATAGATCGTTACTATCTGCCTTAAGACTGCATGAGTAGCGTAAATACTGTGGGGGGCAGTTTTTTACCAATCGAAGTACTGCAAGGTATGGTACTATTTGTAACAAACTTATTTCCGATTATACTAATTTCTTCCTTATGACCAACCTTGTTTTAGAAGAATCATTTTATTCGTGTCTCCCCCATAGTATTGTAGGAATCTCTCAAGCAAACCACTGGTTCTTGAGAGTAGAAGACCTTCGGCTTCGTCCTTAGTGAAAATCAGTTGGCTCATAGATCGTTACTATCTGCCTTAAGACTGCATGAGTAGCGTAAATACTGTGGGGGGCAGTTTTTTACCAATCGAAGTACTGCAAGGTATGGTACTATTTGTAACAAACTTATTTCCGATTATACTAATTTCTTCCTTATGACCAACCTTGTTTTAAAAGAATCATTTTATTCGTGTCTCCCCCATAGTATTGTAGGAATCTCTCAAGCAAACCACTGGTTCTTGAGAGTAGAAGACCTTCGGCTTCGTCCTTAGTGAAAATCAGTTGGCTCATAGATCGTTACTATCTGCCTTAAGACTGCATGAGTAGCGTAAATACTGTGGGGGGCAGTTTTTTACCAATCGAAGTACTGCAAGGTATGGTACTATTTGTAACAAACTTATTTCCGATTATACTAATTTCTTCCTTATGACCAACCTTGTTTTAGAAGAATCATTTTATTCGTGTCTCCCCCATAGTATTGTAGGAATCTCTCAAGCAAACCACTGGTTCTTGAGAGTAGAAGACCTTCGGCTTCGTCCTTAGTGAAAATCAGTTGGCTCATAGATCGTTACTATCTGCCTTAAGACTGCATGAGTAGCGTAAATACTGTGGGGGGCAGTTTTTTACCAATCGAAGTACTGCAAGGTATGGTACTATTTGTAACAAACTTATTTCCGATTATACTAATTTCTTCCTTATGACCAACCTTGTTTTAGAAGAATCATTTTATTCGTGTCTCCCCCATAGTATTGTAGGAATCTCTCAAGCAAACCACTGGTTCTTGAGAGTAGAAGACCTTCGGCTTCGTCCTTAGTGAAAATCAGTTGGCTCATAGATCGTTACTATCTGCCTTAAGACTGCATGAGTAGCGTAAATACTGTGGCGGGGCAGTTTTTTACCAACTGAATTGTTGCAAATTTACTCTGCTCACACATAATCATGTGATGTGTGGTAACTATTGCATCTGTACGTGTTTTGGCATTGGAAATAAAGGTAATATATCATGATATCGGTCAATCGCTGTATGGTTGTTTGAATAAAACGATATCTGGAAGAAGTTTTCAATATTTAATCCCACAAAAAAATAGAAGTATCGTTTAGAGATTGATTGAAATTAATAATTTTTTGTACCAAAGGAAAAATGGTGGAAGACAAGCAAAGATCTGCACAGCTGTTCTCACTTTTTGATGTGCTAATCCAGGTGGTTAGTCTATGTGAGCAAGGACATGCTAGGAAATTTATTATAATTCATTATGATAATGTGATGGATAGGTATCTATTAATGTCAAAATTATATATTAATGAACTCTCAAGCAACTTTTAGTGAAGACAAAAAATATATCATTTTTAAGTCAACTTTCGAGGACAAAATTTCTAGACATCAAGGGGCAATCATTTTTGGCTTAGTGCTATTATATTCGCACCACCTTTACTAGTACAATTATTCCAAGACTGACTACCTTCTTCTTCCTCTTCCTGTGATAGAACGTAATTCTTCCTCAACCTCAAGTTAAAAGTGTTTTATCGATACAACATAATTATGAATCTGCTTCAAGCAGTTTAAATAAGTTTTGATATCTTGTGTCCACTGGGTTTTGAAAAGTTTAAACAAATTTACGATGTGTTAGCAATAAAGGATTGCTGATTTCTACAAAAAAATAAAATAAATAAAATAAAGGATTGCAGAATCAGGAAGTTAGTAAGAATGATTCTCTATGAATTACATGACTTCAGTAAGTGATTACTCTGAATACCAATCGTAGTGTTCATTCTAATTGCTTTCAAACTATTAGTCACAATCAAGAGATCGACAAAATATTATGGAAACTGTGCCAGCACAATGTTGTGAATTATTGTGTTAACAATTGATGCTTCACTAAGCTTTTAAAACGTCCATTTATTATATTGGGGAGATTTTGCGTAGGAATCTCACCATTTATTTGCGAGCCTATCTGTAATGCTTATTTAGCAGCTAATAATACTTGATGATAACAGTATAATATACTCATATGCAACGCTTTATGTCACTTGTGGTTGAAACAACTAAAACACTTTTTCTTTTGCTATTTTTACCTATTTCATTCATTTAGTATGATACTGTATTTAGTGACGTGAGCAACATTATCAACAGCCAGCAAATCAAATCCAAAATCGGTTTAAAATATTTTTTTGGCTTCCTCCTGCCTATGTATCTAATCAGCGGGAAAAAGCAGCTCGAATTTTTTTTTTCTTACTCTTGCGTACTTTGCGACTGCGTGTTGGCTTCTTTTCTTTTCTGGATATTTGGCCATTGCTCGATCTTTTTTTTTTTTTTTTTTTTTTTAACATACTTTTAACGCGATTTCACCTTTTATTGCATCAGCTAACCATATAAAGAATGGATGATTCACTTTATGACGAATTTGGTAATTATCTCGGTCCAGATCTTGAGGATGAAGAGGACTTAGAAGAAGAAATTGAGGAGGAAGAAGAAAGGGAGGAAGAACACCTTTCAGATGCAATGGAAGAAGACCAAGCAGAAGTAGAAGAAGAAGAAGAAGAAGCCTCTATGCAAGTTGACAGTAAGTCTCAACACAAACGTTTATGAAGCTTCCAATTGTTGCCGATCTACTATTTACTAACCTTTTTGGTATTTTTCACAAAAAACAACGCGGTGTGCCCTTCTTCATTTTGCAGCTATTCCCGCTAATCAAATAGTACTACACGAAGACAAAAAATATTACCCTTCAGCTGATGAAGTATATGGTGAAGAGGTAGAAACTTTAGTTCAAGAAGAAGATACACAGCCTCTGTCCGAACCGATTATTGCACCTATCAAAGTGAGAAAGTTCAATGTCACTGAAACAGATCTACCCACAACTCATTACAGCAAAGAGTAAAGTTATACAATGAATTGAATATATATTTTATGAGCCAATGATTACATATACTCAAAGACATCATTTCCCCTTATTTGAGTAGATTCATGGCAGATTTAATGAATCACCCGAACCTTGTTAGAAATATTGCCATTGTAGGCCATTTACACCATGGCAAGACGTCCTTTGTCGATATGCTTATTTCAGAAACACATGATATCCCTATTAACGTGGATCAACCTGAGCGTTATACTGATACACATATATTGGAGCGGGAAAGAGGGCTCTCATTGAAGAGTATGCCAGTCAGTTTAGTCATGCAAGATATCAGAGAAAAGTCTTATTTGCTCAATATTCTGGATACACCAGGTACAAATGAAATAGCTGTAACTCAGGAGGAAAAGAGAAATGCCTAACTTATGCTGATTCTGTTATTTATATTGTAGGACATACAAACTTTATTGATGAAGTTGTTGCAGCAACACGTTTAGCTGATGGTGTTGTTATTATTGTCGATGTGGTAGAAGGTGTTATGGTCAACACCGAACAAATTATTAAACATTGTGTCCGTGAAGGGCTTGCAATGACTTTGGTCGTGAATAAAGTAGATCGTTTAATCCTGGAATTGAAGATACCACCAGCCGATGCCTATTTTAAGTTACGCCATACCATTGAAGAAGTGAACACAATCATCCGGTAGATATTAAAAAGGAATATTTGTAAGGAATTGATATATAAGGCGTTCTAACTCACCTTTTCTTGTATCTAGTTCTGTTCCTGGCGGAGAAAATGTTCGACTTTCACCTGAATTAGGCAATGTATGCTTCGCTTCTAGCCAAACGGCTTGGGTTTTCTCACTTAAATCATTTGCTAAACTCTATGCTGATTCCTATGAAGCTGATATTGATGTCAATGATTTTGCCAAACGTCTTTGGGGCGACGTCTATTTTAATCCGGAACGTGGATCTTTCCACCGTAAATCGCAGGATGGCTCACTCAAACGCACATTTGTTCACTTTATTCTTGAACCGCTCTATAAGATTTATGCTCAAGTGATTGGCGAGGATAAAGAAACATTGAAAAGCACACTCAGAACGTTGAGCATTCAGTTGAAAGCGAAGGATTACGATTTAAATGTGAAGCCATTGCTACATTTGGTGTTATCACAATTCTTTGGCCTATCAAATGCTTTCACGGACATGGTAGCCAATCATATTCCTTCACCTAAAGAAAATGCAGCCAACAAAGTAGAGAGATTATACACGGGCCCAATAGACACAGATACAGCGAAAGCGATGATACAGTGTAATGCGGACGGTCCACTTATGATTCATGTCACCAAACTGTACAACAATGAATTTAGTACTGAATTTTATGCATTTGGTAGAGTCTTCAGCGGTAGTATAAAAGCTGGACAGATTGTACGTGTTTTGGGTGAAGGATACTCGATTGATGATGAGGAGGATATGACAATGCAGAAGGTGGAAAATACATGGATATATGAATCTCGGTATCGCGTTGAAGTTGAGGGCGTTCCCGCTGGTGGTTGGGTCCTCATGAGTGGTGTCGATAGTTCCATCATCAAAACGGCTACCATTGTGGAACAAAAATCGAAAGAAGATGCTTATATCTTCAAGCCTTTACGTTTTCCTACTGCTGCTACACTTAAAGTTGCCATTGAACCTGTCAATCCATCTGAACTTCCCAAGATGTTGGATGGTCTACGTAAAATCAATAAGAGCTATTCTATCGTCACTACCAAAGTGGAAGAATCTGGTGAGCATATTGTTTTAGGTACTGGTGAACTGTATTTGGATTGTGTTTTGCATGATCTTCGTCGCATGTATGCCGAAATAGAACTGAAAGTTTCGGACCCAGTCGTGCGATTTTGCGAAACTGTTGTGGAGACGTCAGCATTGAAGTGTTTTGCCGAAACACCCAACAAGAAGAATAAACTCACCTTTATTGCCGAACCATTAGAAAAAGAAATTGCACAAGAGATAGAAAATGGAGATATCAGCATGAAATGGCCCAAGGGAAAATTAGGCAAACATTTAGAAACAAAGCACGGATGGGATGTTCTGGCATCCCGCTCTGTGTGGGCATTTGGACCTGACAATATGGGACCTAATTTACTCATGGATGATACACTACCTTCGGAAGTGGATAAAAAACTATTGTATTCTGTTAAAGATTCAATTCGACAAGGTTTCCAATGGGGCACAAGAGAAGGCCCGCTTTGTGACGAACGTAAGGGCACAGTTAAAATGCGTTTTGTATACTATTGATTACAGCGATGACTGATATAATGCTGTAACTACTCTTTTATAGCTATTCGTAATGTCAAGTTCAAAATTTTAGATGCTTCTCTGGCGAATGAACCCATATATAGAGGCGGTGGCCAAATTATTCCCACTGCTCGTCGTGTTTGCTATTCATCTTTCTTGACTGTAAGTGAAGGACATTTAAAGAACGAGTAGAATTATCGTTCTAACTGCACGGTATATTGTTGCATTATTTCTGTAGGCTACACCTCGTTTAATGGAACCTGTATACTACGTAGAAATTCAAGCACCAGCTGATTGTGTCTCTGCAGTTTATGCCGTCTTGCAACGACGAAGGTAAAAGACTCGTAGCATAGATATTCCGCTTAATTGTTTATTTACTTTTTTTTCTCGCATAATAGAGGTCATGTGACTCAAGATATTCCTAAGGCTGGCTCACCACTATATACAGTCAAGGCATACATCCCTGTGATTGACTCTTGCGGTTTTGAAACTGATCTCAGAACACATACAGAAGGACAAGCATTTTGTCAACAAATCTTCGATCATTGGCAAATTGTGCCAGGTGATCCTTTGGATACAAATCTTATTCTTCGACCTTTAGAAACCAGCACAGGCAATTACTTAGCTAGAGACTTTATGGTGAAAACAAGAAGAAGAAAGGGCCTTTCGGAGGATGTTAGTATAAATAAGTATTTCGATGACCCCATGTTATTAGCATTAGCTCAAACAGATGTTTTGGGTGGCATTTATGAGTAGAAAGGAAACCACGAGTCTTGTATTAAAATTAAAATTCAACAGTTACATATTATCTTTGTATTACTTTGATCTAATCGCTTCTGTTATTCACATTTCTTACGATTTTTCAATAAATGAAAAAGAAAACCCCAATATATACAGCTGATCTTCTATTTGTAGATTCTGACGATATAAGTTTAATTTCTAGAAATGTAGATGTCTGGTTATGATTTTAAACGGTATATTTTGTGCCGACATGCGGTAAGAGAGTGTCAACAAGTATATGTCTTAAAAAGGGCTTAATGAAATTATAAAACGTTCTGACCCAATGACGTGAGATGAACTATTAAAGAATAGATATAGTGAAGTAAAATATGTAGGGGAGCACATAGAAATGATAAGGTAAGGGGTCAGGAATAGGGTTGTTGATTAGCTTGTATAGACAGACAAAGGGCATATACACAGAAGTTTCAGTAAGAAGTATTTTGTGACGAAAAATGTATATCGTAAAGGTCATCGTTGATGGATTGTTTAAGATTAACTCAAGTTGAAAACGCGTTGTTTTGGTGATTGCTTATGTTTACAAATGTTTGATTATTGGTAGCTGTAATTGTTCCCATATCACTTTGTCTTTGTAGAATGCTGTTAACAGGTGCGAGTTTGTAAAAGAAAGGTAAGTTACACGTATACTCCAAAATTACCATATAATACATGTTGAACTACCTTCTCAATTGATTGTTTTCTTGAAGTAAACGTTCTAATTCAGCCATTATCGTAATTTGAGTATATTTCAAGTGTTGTATATGTTGAACAGCTACACAAGATTAGAGACAAAAAGGGCGTGGGGCGAAAAAGTGTAAATAAAGAGCATAGCTAATCTGCAATGTGCTTGAGAATGCTTACTTCTATGCAGCAATGCCACTTTACTCATTTTCTTATTCAAGCAACTCGGTAGCTCATTTCTTAAGTCGTCAAATCCATCTTTAATTTGTGCGCGACGTTTCTGTTCTGATTGAATATGTATTTGTCTTTTCCACTCACTGTTGTAACTGTCTTTTGCTGTCTGATTGTAAATAGTAGAAGAGGGAAGTATTAAGCCTTTCTTCCTCGTTAACTTTACAGGCTGATTTAATGTTGAAGTATGGCAATGAGAGTTATTATTACTGTTGAACGCGTTTAATTGCTGCTTTTGTGCTGAAAATGAAAGATCGTGCATGTGATAGCCATTAAAAGAGAAGGATGAACGTTGTATTTGTTGTTGAGACGCGGATGAATAAGTGGCTTGAGTGGTAGCATTATTAGATTGTGATCGAGCAGTGGTAGAGATTAAAAATTTTGTGGGTGAAAGGGAAGGAGAAGGATAATAAGGTGGCCTACTATTGTCGCTAAAATGATGATTATTTGCGGTACTAGGCTGTTGTGTCTGTAAATGTTCAGGTTGTTCAAGTATTGTACTGAACTCTGAAAGAAAAAGGTGATCTATTGGAGAAGTATCTATTGAGGCTGAAATGAAGAGCTTTTTGATTATTACAGCATATAACCGAAGATACCTAAGCATTCATACATACCTTGTTGGTTTTGTTTTTTTCGGGAAGCAAATGCATTAGTCTCATTATCCGTAATTTCATAATATGACATAAAATCAAACGGTATGAGTCTGGATAAAAGCTCAGGACCACTAGCTCCGTTATTGTCAAACTGAAAAGTAGGTGGTTGATGATTATGAATGGGATTAAAATGTTCTTTGGACATGAGTCTCACGAGTTTTAATATATATTGTGTGTTAAGTAAAACGACTGCAAGAAATGAAGGAATAGTTCTAGAATGAAGATACCTAATATGAACGAGATGGTAAAGAAGAAAATTGGAGAAGTATAAAGAAAAAAAAGAAAAAAAAGAAACCAACCAAAACCAAAACAAGTAGCACTATTAGGTATAAGAATAAACTACAAATGTGTTCCTGCTGCTTGCTGTTGTAATGAGTGACGTTAAAAATCACAGCCGCTATAAAATACTCTTTCAATCCAACTGATTGTTTTATATTGCATTTGTTTATGATAGATTTATGCAGAAAAATCATTTAAGCGACACAAAACATTATGCGTGTCTTTGAACGTTACAGTATAAGTAAACAGTTCCTAAGCTAAATATCTTAACGGGTCGTTTATTCACTTCAAATAAACTTGGTATTTTAAAGAGCGTACAGTTACAAATGCTAGGGTTTAATATTACAACATACAAATAGAAACACAAAATGAAATGATTGTTTTGGCTAAGGATTTAAACTCTGGCCTTTTTTCTAGCTTCTCTTCGTTTGAGTCTCTCAAGACGTTTCGCTGACATTTTCGCTGCCAAAGCTTCTTGTCTCTCTTTCTCTTCTCTCATCTTCTTTCGCTCTAAACTGATAGCACGTTTTGCCTATAGAATTGAGTCGAATAGAGGATTAACTCAGTTATGAATACCAATGTTTCAGATACAGTACAATTCTATACATTGACTCAATAACATACATCTTTTTCAGCTTTCTTTTCGGCCTTCAGTTCTCTCTCCAAGCTTTTCGTCGCTTCTTTCTTTGCACGTTCTTTTGATCGTTGATCCCAAGTCTTTTTCAATTTTTTTGAGATTTGATTACGAACTGTAGCCGTCTTTTGAACCTTCCAATTTTTGCCTGTCATATAGTACAGAAATGTTAGCATGTACAAGTAAATCTATCATACCGGCAATCCAGGACAACAGATCGACAATGAAAAGTAGATCGATTTCCAGAAAAACTCGTCACTAAAACAGGCAAAGATTGTATACTAATTACCTGATACTCTTTTATTAATGGTATCTACTACACCACCAACGTCTGCTTTAGATGCGTTCTTTGTAACTACTGTGCTCATCTGTATAAAGGATCTGTCAAAAGAAAAGGCAAGAATTTTGCGGATCAAACTTTTTTTTTGTCTTGTTTTTCATGCTTCTCAAAATTTGTGACTCGTCTCGGAAAGCTTGATTTCTTGAACCTTTGTGTTAATCTTTCTCTTTTTTCTCTCTTTGTCACTTATCAACATATACTAACGCGGTCCCTACTGTTTACTTCTCATACCAATCCCACGCATCTGACGCTTGTTATTCTTTAATTTTGTATTATTGCTATCTGTTTTCTATTTATGTGACTGGAGTGCGTTTAAGTTTGGCAATCACTTAACGAATAACAAGTAAATGAATACGAGATCAACGCGTCGGTACAACCTGCCTAAAGCAGTTTCAATTACAACTACACATTTGATCGATGAGTATAGTAGTACCAATTTGAATGGCTCTAAGCTTCCTGTTGATTCATCCTCTGCCGTCATTCCTGGGACCCACGATCTGTTAGAAATTAAAACAGATCTGGAGGCCATTCTGCCCACTGTAGAGAATCGAATTGATCAGATGGAAAGCGACCTTACTTCTATCGAGCAGTCTCAAGTAGAAGAAACGAGTGAGATTGAAGAAGGTATAAGCTAGTACCACATACTTTAACTATGCTTAAATTATCAACTTAGCTAGTATAATGTTTACCCTCAATAGCGTCACCGGATATGACTCATTCCGCAGAAAGTAACAGTATTTCAAAAGACGAACCAGGTATAACATTCATAAACGTACACTATGGAGACATATAATGTAGCTTCTTTCTTAACATGCTGCCAACGCTCATTCTTTTCAGGTGATGATGTTTTTCATCCTTCAACTTTGCTGAACAAACCAAAATTGAGCAGGCAGGCGTAAGTTTCACTGTACAACGTTTATTGTATTAGCATGAATCTCAATTTTCCATGCAATTTTATGATAGTGCTCTGGACGCTATAAAAAAGAGGCGCAGGAGAGAGGAAGCGGAAAAGACTAATAATTCATTAAATGAAAAGCAGCAATCAGCGTCATCAAATTCTGAAAACCCAGTAACATTCGAGGAGCAGAAGGATGCAACAGATTATCTTGTCAGATTGAAGAAACTGAACGATATCGAACTTTCGCTTAAGCCTACCACTCCACCAGCATCAGCCACTGTGGAAGCATGTGAATCAACTGATTCCACTGCTAGTGAAAATATAAATGGTATGAATAATGCAAGAACTACGAATACCCGGATAAAACTGAATGATGCGCAGGCGCATAGACAACTGCAACAACTAAAACGGCTTACAAAAGAACAAGAAGATAAAGAAGATTTTGTTCGCGTGAAACCAAAAGAACAGATACCTATTACGAGCTTTTGGACTCATATGGAGCCTTACTTTCGCAACTTAACGGAAGAGGATCGTGATTATCTTAAACAAAAGACAGAAGATGAAAAATACTACCTGCTACCGCCATTAGGTATGCATTATTCTGATAGATGGGCTGAGGAAGACCAGGAACTAGGCTTAGCTTTCATGGATTCGGCAGCAACATCATTATCAATACCACGAAATGGTTTTCATAAAAATAGTACTAGTAGTAATGACAGTAGCAATAACAACAATGGGCATAACTCTGATAACAACCATAGCAATAATGAAGAGATTGAAGTAGAATTCGGCACCTTGACGGATAGGTTGATTGCTAGTTTAGTAAAAGAAAATATACTATCATCGGATGAAGAATATGAGAATGATGAAGATATAAATGATGATCTCGAAGACGAAGACGAGGAAAAAGACGACGATCCAGCTGGTGATGAACCGAAGGATACTTCAGAGTATGCTAGTGTCTTAACCACTGAAATTATAGACAAATACCAACCGTTATCCATACTGCAAATGAAAGTCGATCCTACAGCAGAAATAGTTGATTTTGAAGAAAGGTTGAAAAGAGAACTTCGCTATGCTGGGTTGTTGACAGATGACGATGTATGTTATCGAATGAATATCGAGGAAGCTGCCATTTTGAAAAACTAATAAGACATTGCAATGTTCAATTTGACGTATAGATTGATTGGAAGGCAAAAGAAGACGATGAAATATGCGCAGAACTTCGTAAACTGAGCCGCAGTTATAAAGAGCAAGTTAAAGCAAATGAGTACCGGAAGAAAAAATTACTAGAAGTAGTCGATTGCCAATTACAGTTTGAGCAGTATAGACAAGTGCTGGATACCCTAGATAACCAAGTAGAACAAGGATATCTGAAAAGATTTGTAAGTTTCTTCGTTTTTTTTTTTTTTTTTTTTTTTTTTTTTTTTTTTTTTTTTTTGTTTCTTCCACCTACGTAATTGGATGCTTTTGGCTTAATCTGTTACTTGTACTATGATTTAGCGTCCACAAAAATCGAAGAAACGCAAAGGAAATGGGCCAAAACCGACCTTATCAGAAAACACAATTTACGCTATGGAAAAACGAAAAACTTGGGTCGATGCTCTAGGTGGCATTTTCTGCGATAAAAATATGAACATGCCTCAACAATCTATTTACACTGACAATAACTCTGATAACGCTCTCGGTTTTTCAACGGAAACACGTCCGCCGCCTTCATCAACGAGCAATAATCTCTAGGTTTGATTCCCCAAATTTGTACAGTCTATACCTTCTGCCATTTGCACGACATCATTGTACATTTCACATCTATTACATACACTACATATGTAGCACAAACACATTCTTCCATCATATAATTTATATGTATTATATGTGGAAATAAGAAAAGCTCCTAGCTTTTCCTATTATTTATTCATACTTCTACAATTTTATTTATTCTTCATTCATTCGTTGATTTATTCCGTCTTCTTTTTGCCAAATAATAATTTTAACGAAGACCAAACGAAAGCTGCCAATACACCTACAGAATGGCCCACATATGTGGAAATAACACATGAGATAGGCCATGCTTGCCACTCTTTGTCCCAATCCAACGGTAGCACAATAGCGCCTATCCACGCACCCGACAATGCACAGATGGCTTGAGCATATGCATAAATTTCTGATGTCGTTGTAGGGCTAGTTTTGTTTTTGCGAGAAAAAAAAAGCAAAAAAGCAAAAGGTAATAAGCTATTGTGTGACTCAAGCTTGCATACAATCTTTCCCTGATTTTTTACCTATGTTGTAAAAAGACCTTGATCCAAACTGATTCTGTCAAAGACTCGAAACAGGGCATAATGGTAAGGATGGATAGATAAGCTGAGAATAAGAAGGTGTTGGGTATTTTTCTAATGAATCAATCAACAGGCATGTTGAGTATAATTCGTTTAAAATTAAGTTGCATTTGCTATAAGAGTGAAGAATACTATACTCAATGAGTGGTGCACCAAATAAGACTATCAAAAGATGTAAAATGCCGACTGCAGCCATTGTAACTAATATGCTACATCCTACTGTTTTCTATCGATAATAATAAACGGATAGTGATATTCGTTGTTGTGACGGGTTTTAGAAGGTTTGATTAAACCAAATGACACTGGTAAATGAATAATATTTAAATGCTATATTGTCTTACGAAAGCTTTGTTGATAGTTCCTCTGAATAAATTGGCCAAGATGATCAAGATGACATGGCCCACAAATAAAACTGGCACAGTAGCCGATAATGTTGGTACAGGATCCTTTAATAAAGAGCTAGATGGTATTTTAAAAGTAGCAACATAATTGACGCCAATCGCCAGCAGGCCTATAATAAACTCTGTGCCTATGGGATTCATTAGACTGATGTGCTGTTTGTTGGCTTTAAGAATAAAAGGAAAAGTACACGGTGGCATTATAAGCAGGCTGTCAATAAATATGCTCAGCCAATGATTTCACAGAATTTTCTGAAATAGTTCGTGTTAAAAACAGGAACAACTTTTTTTCGTGTTCTTTTCCATTATCTCCTATCAAAACCGCTCTATAGCATGTCGAAACGTGAACGTCCGAATGATTTCTTTGCTGAAGATGATGACGATTTTGATTTTTTGATCGAATCAAGCATAGCAAATGATACTGGAAAAGAAATTAACATGGTTGGATTGGATGATTATCTGAAGAATCACAAAGAGTCTACTATTTCAACAGCTCAGCCAAAAAAGACGAGTAAGAAACCGTCATAAGGGCAATAAGGGACGGGTCAGTCGTAAGTAACACCTTTGCATGATTTCTTTCTTTTCTTTTGGATAGCGTATGATTCCAAGGCTTTCGATGATCTTATTTTTGGTGACAACGAGGACTTTTTGGATACTTCAAAAATTACAACTAGTGCATTCAACGACGCCGATCCAGTTCTCGATGAGGATCGCTTGTTCAACGACTTTGATCAGTTTAATTATCCTGCGTCCCCGCCTTTATTGCATGAAAGCAATGGTTACAATAGGGAAGCTCAATCAACCAATGGTCCATCCGTTGTTGACGCTTTGGATTATATGAACATATCAGATCATGAAGAGGAGACAGATGAAGTGAAATCGCATCAACCAAGATATAAAGGCAGAGATTATACAGTAGCACCCGAAAAGGGTGCCTTCACAACTGCTATTTGCCCAACAACCGGGAAAACACTATTTTTCGCAAAAAAAACGGAAACTGAACTCAAACGGAAAATGAACGACTTGGTAAAGAGCGTCATTAGCAACAATAGCAACAACACAAAGACTTTTAGTGGTAGGCATCTTACAAAAGCAAAAAATGGCCTACTATCAGAACCGCTATGGAAGCTGAGAGAGAAGATAGAGAGCGCTAATAAGGAAGAATTGAAGCGAATTGAAGAGTAAAATCAGCCTTATGCCTTTTATAGTGCATAAAAGTGTTGAATAGTGGAGGTTGACGTTTACTTATCATCCTGTTTCGTTTATTTGTTGTAGAGAGATCAAGAGAGATAAAAGGTCTAAGAAGAAGAAGAGACTGGTCGAATTTGAAACAAATCAATTATGGGTGGATAAATACCGACCTGCGTCCTATTCAGATTTATTGGGTGATCAGCGAGTCAATCGAGATGTTCTAAAATGGCTCAAGCAGTGGGATTATTGTGTCTTCAAACGAAAACCACGACAAGAAACAGAGCGAGATAAACAATTACGACAATATAAGAATACATTTGGCACTGATTTGAAATCAAACGCGTTCAAAAAAGTAACAAAAGAAAATACAGACCCATTACTACGGCCAGAGAAGAAGGTAAAATATACAAAATATACATATTAAGGATAAATTACCACAGACTGATACGTCTCCTATGGATTAGATCTTACTCTTGTCTGGTCCACCAGGATTTGGTAAAACAACCTTAAGTCATGTACTTGCACAACAAGCCGGTTATAATGTCATCGAAGTGAATGCAAGTGACGACAGAACAGGCGAAGTAGTGAAGAGCAAGATCAGATCAGCACTAGAAATGCAAGCCATTATTCGAGAGGAGAGTTCCAAAGTAGATGGTGAAAAAATCATGAAAATGACACAAAAACCTAATTTATTAATCATTGATGAAATTGATGGTGCTAGCAGCGGTGGTGGAGCCGAGGTAAAGTGAATTGATTATAGTGAGCTTTCATGTGAAAACATGAGGGGTAGGGTATTACCGCTTTTATTTAGACTATCCATAACATTCGCTCTTTCATATATCCCAGAGTTTCATTAAACAGTTAGTAGCTTTGGCAACAGCCGATTTTGATAAAGACAAAAAGCCGCAGAAAAAAGGTAAAAGAATACTTCTGTCATGCTCAGTGTTTGACAGAGTTGCGAAACTGAATTTATCTTCAAATGATAGGAGGCAGAAAGAAAGAGCTAAAGCCTTTACTTAGGCCGATTATCTGTATCTGTAACGATCCGTAAGTTAAAACACTACGAAAATATTATACCCTTGCAGATCGTTAAGACTGAAAAAAACTTCTTTCTCACAGTTACACTCCCGTGCTACGGCCCCTACGTATGGTAGCACAGTTCGTTCAATTCAAAAAAGTGCCCATGGTGTCGTTAGCGAAACGTTTACAAGATATCTGTTATAACGAAGGCTTAGAGAGCGATCTACGGACACTAAGTTTATTATCAGAAATTACGAATGGAGATATCCGAAGCTGTTTAAACACATTACAGGTAACGTGTAAGTGTCGTATGTTTTGTACGTTTAAGCTGATACTGAATTATTAGTCCAGTTTATTCGAGGCAAAAGCACCATATTTACCAAGGATATGCTAGACAAAGCGGGTCTAGGTAAAAAAGATATGGGAATAACATTATTTGCTGTGTGGGAGGATCTGTTCAACGCACCCAACGCGCGTAAGAAGAATGCAGCGAACAAAAATGATTTTGGTATGTGTATTTATCGCTACGTCTACCATTATGGTTCATCACCCTGAATTAACACGGCTCGTCTTCGGTTGGGATTTTTATACAACCATCCAGCTACTAACAAATTTCTGGATCGATTGCTCAATCTTATAATGTTAAACGGTGAATACGACCGTCTCATGCAAGGCTGTTTCGAATCTTATCCCCTCATGCGGTACCACGATATTGCCTTCAAAAAAGTATGTCAACTAACTGAATGGCTTCACTTTTACGATCAAATCAACAACCGTACTAGCGGACAATTTGAATTCGACCTTTATAAATACCTTCCTTTTCCTATTGTCAACTTTCATCGCTTTTTTGCTGGAACAACTATGCAAGAACATCGTGTCGAGTACCCTCGTTTTGAGTATGAAACATTCGCCGCAAAAAAGTCTTATGAAAACCTCATCGAAATTTTCATGGCTGGTATCCAACCTCATAAACGGCGCTATATAAGCAAAGACATGATCGTGAATGAACTCGTGCCGCGCTTATTGCACATCATCTCACCCGATTTGAAGCCTGTAAATCAGCAACTGATCAAACCTGCAGAAAAAGCAAAATTGACAAAACTAGTTGATAAAATGATTGAATTTGGTCTGAATTTTCGACAGGAGAAAACTGAAGAAGGACAATTCGTGTATAAATTAGAGCCGTAAGTTATTGTAAGATGAGTCTTGTGCTTATATACAATTTAGAGTAAGCCCCTTCTTACCAAAAAACACGCGATTATATAGTCCGGTTGAACAATTGCTACAATTTGAATTATCCTCTCCAAAAGCTATTTTGCCAAGGCAATACGCTGTAAGGCAGATGATATCCAACGAGGTAATTTTACAGCAGCCTGACCAGATAAGTGAGATCTGATAACGGGAAAGACTGACAACAGTGATAACAACTTACTTCATTTGGCTCTCTAGATTGAAACGGAGATTCTACGTAGACGAGAGGAAGCTGCTAACGAGCGAAACAAGGGAAAAGAAAGGAAGAACCCCGCCCAGGAACAGATGTAAGTACAAAACTGACACATTTGAAAAATACAAGGTCAATTCTAACTGCAAGGATACAATATCTAGTTCGTTCACTGAGCAGTTAAAGAACAAAATCAATAAAGAGAAGCAAGTTCCGTTAGATTTTTTTGGCCGTCCGATTGTTCCGAAACAGAGTAGCAGTAGTAATCAACAAAAGGCATCAACCCATCAGTTAAAAATGCAAGGTATGAAAAAAATGCTTTTGTGACCTTAATGGATAAATGAATCAGTTATACTAAGGTTTTAAACTTTCTTACAGTTGACGAAAAAAACACACCAGTTGCATACAAGTTTCATGAAGGCTTTTCGAATGCAGTCAGAAAACCCATGACCGTAAGGATGTTCTTATAAAAAATAAGGCAACAGTTTTTGTTTCTTGAGCATTAGACGTCCATACTAAATCATCTTAAATAAACACAAGAGCAAGCTATACACGTTAGCCATTTACTCTCATTCTTCAACGTACACTGTGGGCATATCCAAACATTGTCTTCGTTGTATATAGCATCCGAAGGTATCAGCGGCAGATCGGATGTTGATGGCTTTTCCCTAAGGCACATTTCGCATACTAACACCAAAGCTTGATTCAAATAAGTACACGTCGGACAGGTCCATAGACCCTCTTCTTTCCGTGTCGTTTCTTGTACAGCAACATCAACGGTAGCTTCATCGATTGTCAAATCGATGACAATGGTTACACGACTTCGCTTAGCCGGAAGTTCGTTATCTGCCTTTGCCTTCCTCTTTCCCTCCATGTTATTAAGACGATCACAGAGACTTTCGCTGGTATTTTTTTTGACAAATGCCTGATCATTACCAGTCGACTTCCCAGACGAAGTTGCTGCAGAAACAGGCGGTACAAATTCTTGAATGCTTCCACCACACCAAATTTGGTCTTGCAAACGTTTTTCGGCCGCTGATGCTGCTGCTCGAACTGGTGGTAATATCGGATTATTGATTGATCTGATACCCCCTAATTGTACACCTCCAAATGGCAACATTAATCTTGACATTTGTAGCCTTTTTTCTGCAGCCTTCGCAATGATTTCGTTATTCAAGTAACGTGGTGCAACAACTCTTGCTGAACTTAATCGATGACCTGTGGAATAAAATCCTTCACCTCGATAACCAGAGGCTATCAAATCTTCAGTTTCCCTTTTAAGTTGATTCAGTAGTTTATAGAATTTCTCATCATGCGGGCCATGGACAATATGAGTGATTCTGTATTATTGTAACAGAAATAGAGCAAGGTGAGCGACATGATATGGAAGTGTGGAAAAATGAGCTCTTCGCAGCAAATGAAAGACGTTGAAAACTTACTCATGCAATAGGGTGGCTAAAATATCTTCGTTGTTAAGGAACTGTGATTGATCATGGGCAGGTCGCAAGCGTAACTTGATTTTCCAACCCCTGTTTATGTTGACACCTAGTATAACAGCATAAATCAACTAAAATGTCCAAACTACGATGAAACTTGAGATGGCATAACATACCTAACAGATTGGGATTAGCGGGAAAGAATTCGCAGAGATTTCTTATGGTCCAGTTATGCTGAATAAGTATTGGTTTGACTTGAGAGGCTAAACGTTTTAACAATTCTAATGCGTCATCTGATTTGGGCTTTGACTTTAAAACTTGAAAATCCTTTACAGGATCATTGACCATGAACCGAGGAGCTAGTTTGAAAAAAGAATGTCAAAGATCCGACACTTCTTTGCAGAAAAGAGGTCTGTGTTCCTCAGTTTGAAACTTTTTTACTCTCTGTGCTTCCAAACTCAGTTTGAATTTTTTTTTTTTTTTCTTTGAAATGTTTAATCATCATCATGAATCGCTTCATATCCATGAAATATTTCTTCCTCGTTTGTAAATAAAATCCCTCTTGTTTAGAAATCATCTTTCTATCTTAACAAAATATAACACGCAATAATCGAATGAGTCGACGTAACTCTACTGCAACGACCCTTGAAGAAGGGTCGGTTCCGAAAGATATAAAGGGTTCAATTGTAGGCGAGGAAGTGCCTTCTCGTTCGTATTATTCGTCCCACTTAAACTATGATACAACAGGTAATTTTGAATAATAGTCATCCACTCACTTTCTGTCGGCAGATTACTAAGCCTACATACCAATGGACAACAGAAGGAGAGCCAAGATATTCTGCTTCAAATGAATCAATTCGAGCGCACTCACTAGCATTAGGTGATAAATACATGCAGACAACGAGCCCAACATCATCCCCATCGTCTTCAGTTAAAAACGTGCAACGCACGAATTTTAAGAAGGCAACGCCTTCCACTTTTGACGAACAATCTACTACGCACTCTGTTTTATCTCATTTGCTACAAAAGGACGACCATAAAAAGAAGAAAGACAGTAGCAGTGAACGAGAACCTTTATTGAGGAAAAGGAAATCAAAAGATTATCAATCAAATGCTGTTGCCCATGAGCAGCAGGATTCTGACGACGCTGATAGCAATTCGACGATAGCGGAAGACGAGAATGGAGAAGATGAGGGCACCATGCCATATCAATCACAGCCCAATGAAAACCCTGAACAGCATTACCGTCAAACTCATCAATTAAATAAGTATAGGTCAAGTCAGAAAAGACGACGCGGTATCTGGGAACAGCTTAGGAAAAACCCTAAACAATTTATGCATACATGTTTGACACAACCTATACAATATATACCAGCTGTCATTCTGGGCTTACTACTGAATTTATTAGATGCCATCTCGTACGGTATGATTACTTTTCCTTTGAATAATCCAATTTTTGCATCGTTTGGTCCAGATGGTATATCTATGTTTTTTGTTAGGTATGTACAATCGTATAGGTTATATTTTATGCGAATCATGGAGTAAAACTATTTCTATCTTCATGCAATAGCTGTATTATATCACAAATTGTATATTCAACCGGAAGTGTATTTGACGGTGGCAATGGCAGGTAAAGAAGTGATAAAAATGCGGTGTCATTTAAACAAGCTATGACTAAAACTTTGAGAATGATGATGTTAATTCTGTGATATTGTAGTATGATGATTGAAGGTAAAAAACTCAAACTAGTTACAGATCGAGTTTCATCAGGTTTTTTTTATATATGTATATTGCGAAACTAACAATTACGGAATCTATTCAAAATCCTACGTATGACCGATAAAGTGGTCCCGTTTCTACATCTCATGTAAGTGGCCATTTTTTTATATATGGCTATGTCGAAAGTTCCTGCTGTTAAATAGTCTTTTTATCCTCTGGTCTTTTCTTTATATGTGCACTCTTTAACAATTCATGCTTATCCCATATTACGTAAATGTCAACACTCAAATTGCTGGAACCGACAATAGGGCAGAGAAAATCATATCTGTAGCAGGACAGAATAATCCTGCTGTGGTTATTCCATCTACAATGGTTGCGTTTGCACTCAGTAGTATAATGACCGGATTGGCCTTTTTTCTATTAGGTGCCCTCAAATTAGGCTCTCTTATTGGTTTCTTTCCTCGACACATTCTCATTGGTACCATTGGTGGTGTAGGCTGGTTCCTTGTTGCCACTGGTATTGAAGTTTCTGGTCGTTTAGATGAAAACCTTGTATACACCATCCCTATGTTTAAGAAGCTATTCCTGAACCCACATGTCTTTTCCTTATGGTTTTCCGCTTTGGCTGTCGCACTTCTTTTACGTTTGATACAGCATCGAATTTCCAGCCCGTTAGTAGTGCCCACTTTTTTTATGGCATTACCAGTTGCTTTTTATGTGATTGTCTTTGCATTGGGATTGGATGTGAGTAAAGTAAGAGATGATGGTTGGATTTTTCCCTTGGTAGAAAGCGACACACCTTTCTGGCATTTTTATACACTGTATGATTTTCGATTAGTCGATTGGCGTGCTGTGGCAGAAACAATTCCTGCAATGCTCGCATTGACCTTTTTTGGTAAGACCATTTTTTTTGTGTTTGATCTAGCAATAATGTCAACAACAACAGCAGCAAGGAAATCGCCACTCTCTTTACATGTAAAATGTCAAAAGAACTGTTTCAACTGACAACGACGTCTTTTTTTCCCTCTAGGTGTTCTTCATGTGCCAATTAATGTGCCTGCATTAGGCGTATCAACGAACAAGGATGATGTAAACGTCAATCGTGAGTTAGTTGCTCACGGGATTTCTAATGCCGTATCTGGTTTATTAGGCTCAGTTCAAAGTAAGCGAAAAAGCCTTGACGTTTCATAGTCTGAAATACTAGTAGTACGGAGTTATTTCTTATCATCAATCTTGCTTAGATTACCTTGTCTATACCAATTCTTTGCTATTCATTCGATCTGGCGGTGATAGTAGAGTTGCTGGCTTCATGTTAGCAGGCGCTACTGCTATATTGTGGATAATTGGACCATGGATTGTCGGATATATACCCGTTATGGTTGTAGGCAGTCTGATTTTTCATCTCGGTCTCGATCTCCTCAAAGAAGCTCTCATCGATACCTGGAATGCTGTTCACTATTTGGAGTACATCACTATTTGTGTCATCATTGTTTGTATGGCCACATTAGGCTTTGTAGAAGGTATCGTGGTAGGCATCATTATGGCATGTATCTTTTTCGTCGTCCAAAATTCTTGTCATAGCCAAGTCATTCGCGGTATCTATACGGGTCAATACATGCGTTCTACTGTACGTCGGCTCTATCGTCAAGAACGGTTTTTAGAGCGTGTAGGTGGACAAATTCAGATTGTTAAGCTTCAAGGCTATTTATTTTTTGGCACCATTGACCAAGTCGAAAGAGCTATTCGTGGCATGCTAGATGAGCATGTATGGGGCCTTCATCCAATTCGATTCCTGATTTTGGATTTACAGCTGGTGCAGGGACTGGATTTTAGTGCAGCAGAAGCGTTTGTTCGTATTCGACGACTATTGCGTGGTCGGCAGGTGTATATGATTATGTGTAATGTAGAGCCTCGTTCGGAAGAGGAGAAAGCATTAGTGAAAGCTGGCGTACTGCTTAATCATTGTGAGGAACAAGACGAAGGAGATTTGAAACGTTTTGAGGGTATGAATGATGCGATAGAATGGTGTGAAAATGTGCTTTTGGCAACCTATTTTGAACATAAGCCCAAAAATTTGCAAAGTGAGTTATTAAGTGCTTTTTTTAATGCTTAAAGGATGCAAGACCACCCTTTCTCAACCGAAACTCTTTGATTCTTAGTATTCAACTCAGTGCCACCATCAAGAGTTCCTATGACTACAAAGCCCTCTTATTCCTATTCTCAACATTTAGCTCACTCAGGCTCACCGCGCTATGATAGTATTACAAACGCTATATGTCAAGTTTTTGATGGTATGTAATTTTACAAAATTAATATTCTGATTCAGTGATAATTGATAATTTTCCTTTGTGCTGCAATTTAGAATCTCATGCCCCCGTTGTTCATAAGAATACTGTCCAGCCTACACTTATTCTTGTGCAAGCCTTCGGCGAGATTGATAAAGGCAAGACACCCATTGATTTCTTCCATAAACTTAGTCAGTACTTTGAACGTGGTACATGCGAAAAAGGCTACTTATACCGTGAAGGCGACCCTTGCGACTATCTTCTAATTTTGGAGCAGGGTTGTTTGCGTAGCTTAATGTATGTGGCGAATGAAGAAGTTACAGTAGAAATCATCCTTCCTGGTGCTGTCGTGGGAGAAATTGGTATTTTCAGCGCAGGTAGCTCACGACGCGGTCGTAGTTTGATGGCAGATACCCACTCAGTCTATTGGAAACTGACCCGTGATGCATTCGACAGGATGTGCCAAGAGGATCCCAAGATGGCCAACCAATTTATACTTTTGGCCATGTATTTCACATCGGAAAGATTGGACACCATAACAAAATATGCATTCCATTTGCATTAATTCCCTTTTAAATGTAATAGTATTTCATACAACTAATCAATTTGTAATAGTATTCAATAAAAACAACTCTTTAAGACAATGGTCTTACCTACTTTGTTATTATATAGAAGTCAATATGCTGAGCCCAATAAGATACTAAAATGGTAGTAACAGCAAAAAAATGAAAACCTGCATATATTGAACCATTTGATGACTTGAATTAAATGTAGGCATTACTAAACAAACTTGGCTCGTTTCTGCATCACAGTCATATAATCGTTTATTTCGTTGATTATGTGTACTAGCTATGACTTATGTCTATGTACTAGATTACTCTAGTTCTGTTCAATCCGACATAATTTAAAAGTGATGTTCGCTATATTAGATATAAGTCCACATCAAGTAGATCGCTTAATAGCGACTTGTTTGCTTAACACAATATTCGTCAACCAGTTAAGGCTTTTATGGACTTACCCAAACGGCGCTGATTAGAGTGATAGATGGACCAATTTTTTGAAACTATATTGATATTATAGTTTATTCATTTGGAAGCAACATCTAAGTACTACTGTTTTTCCTCATATATTCTATTATTTTATTTGTTTTTCGAGGCAGCTTTGTTCGCTTTTATGTAGAACTGTGTTGTATGTCATCGAGTTACTCAGGGCAATATTTTTCAGTACGGTTTATTCTCCATTCATCGGCTGCACGGACGAAAGGGCGTAAATGATTAGAGCTTTGGTCTGTACTAACTGAAGGATGTGGTCGCTTTTGCTCTGGAAAAGTGCTTTTACCATTGATGCTACGAGAATCTTCGAAGTACTTCTGTTGATGTTGTTGACGAGTTATTGTTTGATAGTACAGAGGATACTGTTCGTCTTTCACTTTCGATCTCTTGTCCTGGTTCATTTGATCTTTGTTTAATGGTTGCTTTTCTCTCGCCCGTTCAGTAAGCTGTCGGTTGGAAATGAGTTGGTCATTGTAGGCGTTACGCATAATACCCTTCATCTTTTCTTCATGCGCAAACTCAATTTCATCTATGCCACGTTGACGATTTGGGTTTCGCAAAATTTCATCGCGTTTAACTAACTTCATCGGCGACCTAGGAGCTAATTTGAAGGTAGGTGAAAGGGGACTTTGCAAATTCATTGGATCTTCAATGGTTCCTCCAGCACAAGTGAAAACAACTGATTTTTCTCCAATCTCTTTGTTCTGTTCTGCCATTTCTTCTTCATCATCAGTTAAACTTTTCTTTTTTCTACCAGTATCAATTTCAAAAGTGTTGTTACCACCGTACAAAAGTTTGTCCTGTTTACTTGTCAGTTGCTCATTGATAATCACGGCTTCTTCATTGATGGTAACATTCTTCTTTTTCATGCTTACGTTATTGTGAGGAAAGATATTACTCCGTCTATTTGTAAAGGAACCCTGTTGGCTTCTCATCCTTTTATCGCCGTAATTATTACCACTATCAATTGTTGGCAAGCTGTTCTTTTTCCCTTTTTGATGGTACAGTTTTATCCTTGACTGTTGTTCACGCGTGAGTTGAAGCTTCACGGAATCAAATGCCTTTTCGTCATTGTCTGTTTCGCAGAAAGATGACGGTAAGGTTTTATTATCAAACAAAGTGGCAAGCCAACGTTGAAGGCTGGCTAGACTAGCCGACCGCGCATGAGACACACGGTTGGTATCAGTGTTTTTGATATGATTGCTATTATCATAACTGCCGGTAATAGCAACGTTGCCATTAATACGGTAAGGCTCAACCATAAGTTGGTCACGAAAAGTCCTATCATAGGACTCACTAAGACATTGACCAAATGTTGGCACTGGAACTTGGTTACGTTCTACTGTGGAAAAAGAGAGATCTGAAGTTTGCACATTCTGTTTATAAACTCTTCTGCCGTATTTATAGAGTCGATAAAGGAAGCAAGATAAGAAAATTAGTATCACTAGGGCACCAGCAATGCCAAATCCAAGCAATAAAGGGTAGTTTTTTGTAATTCTCTCCTCCCAAGAATCATCAAAGTCTGAATTAGGGTAAGGAGTAACATTAGAGGTTGGGATAGGTGACTCGGATTCGCTAGTGACAGTTGCATATACCAAATCAATCGATGTAGTTGTCAACGTTGGATATACCGTTTCAGTTGTATATGTGGCGTCTAATTTAACCATTCGAAGTTCTGCTTCTGTTAGTGAAGATATAATTTTGTAACGAAATGTTGAGGTATTGTTATCTGCGAGCAAACTTATGCTGTACACCTGATATGACGAATTGTAATATAGTATAAGGATGAGCTAAATTTTGAATGAATGGACGCAAATGATATCTATGAAATTTAGTCACTTCGGGTTGTATGCCGAAACAAACCCTGTTGAAAAAGTAATAAAAAATGGGGTGGGAATGAAAGAAGAGATGTAGAGTTTCGACTGAACAAAGATATGTATTAGATTATTATACGGAAGATTTTGTATAGTTTTGATCATAGTTCGATAGTCAGAATTTTAAGTTATACTTGAGGAATATCGTGAGCGATTGAAAGAAATGCCCTACCTAATCAAACGGCTCCGTCCTTAAAATTGATATGGAACGCAAAGTTTGAAAGTATCAGTGTTAATACAAGAGCCCAGGCTGTTATTCATACGTTAAAAATAACAAAGCATAGGCCCTCATGTCAGAATTTATGGATTTTTCCTTTGTTGTATCCTAATAGATATAGATTCGCGTTTTATTGTACATTTACTTGTGACAGAAATATATAAAGTTACTTTAACTGAATCTTTACTTTCGGAAAAGGAACGACAATCTGTAAATTCCTAATTGATTTTTGTAGAAAAAAAAAAAAAAAAAAGAAATGCGCCAGGAACGAAAACTGCTTTCTCCATTACAAAAGATCGGAAATTTTCTTCTACGTCAAAGAGAAAATTCACTACTGTCACTTGTGCTGTAAATAAGTGCTGAAATCTGCTTCATGGCTGTAGAATGTTCATCATTTCTGGAGTCGTTTTGCTGTTGCCCTTCTTCAAACTTACTGGTTTCTTTTTTGAAAATGTCGACACCCGTACAACCTTTGGCTAATTTGTAAACAGAAGAGGTGCCGAAGCCCTCAGAATTAACTTTGAGTTCAGAAATATGCTCTTTTTGCAGACCAGGGACACCTTCTTCGGCGGTAGGATTATTCAACCCGAGCATCCCATTAAGTGTGTTTGATTGTCCCTTTTCAAGCCCAGTATCACTGTTATGGTTGCTCATTTGCGAGTTGCTATTGTTAATGCCATAACTGTTGTCTGAAGACGAATTATGAATACTTCGGCCATCCCACGCTATATAACCGTAAGCCCGTTCACCCATCTCAGCCCAGTCCGTTCCAACTATTTCATCTTCATCAGCTAACCGTAGGTACAGGTGAGGAATCTTATTGATTATTAAGAGAATGAGGTACCTTGAATTTTTTTGTTTCGATTAAAGTAGGATTAGCCTACAATTTAATACGTGCGTCCTCAGATTTTTACAGCCACAATACTTACGTTACCACAAAAGACCAACTGGAGACAACAGCTATCCCCGCTAGCTGTATAGGCATCTGTATCCAATTGCCATCCAACCAGCCGCCCAGAGGAATTTCGGACAAGGGTGTATTTTCAGGATAGCCCAAAGCAATAATGTCTCTTTGCGCAAACACACCTGTTAGTACTAGACCGGTTAGACACCAAATACATCAAGGCAATCATCAATGCGCATTTTATGCTTGTAATGGATAGCTACGTAACAGACGATAGATCCCACAACACCAAATGCTAAGGAACTCGAAGGAGAAACAAAGCCTGAGCCAGGTGTTATAGTCGCAAGCCCAGCTACTGCCCCTGTGCAAAGACCGATAATGCTCCATTTTCGAGTATGACTGTATTCCAGAAGAACCCAGAGAAGAGCAGCTGTACAAGACGAAAAGTGTGTGCATACGAGGGAATTAACACTTCGTGCATTTGCAGCCAATGCACTACCTGCATTAAATGCAAACCAACCTATTAAAAGAAATTAGTTACGTTCAAAATAAAAGAGAAAATATCGACTAGCAATCTAAACGAAAGAATGATTTCCAAATCTATTACCAAACCACAATAATGCTAATCCGAGGAAAACAAAAGATACATTATGAGGTATGTTCGAATTTTCATGGTAATCACGTCTCTTCCCTAGAACCATGGCATACGCAACTTTAATATGTAACAAAATGGATCAGTACCAAATAATGCAAAGAATAAACTATTCGTTAGAAGCCTCCGATCATGTACCTGCTGCTAAACCACTTGAAATATGTACAGGAATCCCGCTATACACATGTATATACGTACATTTTAGTGTGGTGCCCTTTTAATACCTCTAACAATAATAAGAACTGTAATCTAACTCACCCAGCATAATCCATAATGCCCATTTTATAAAGCCAGCCATTGCTAGACTAGAATACGGGAAAGAAGCGCAATTTAAGTGTACTATTTAGAGCTTCGGATATCTGTTTAGTGATAATGTTACCCAAACCCAGCAAGTTATGACATCTATGACAAGCTTCAGTTTTAGACATACATTTCGATAATATCTCATATGTTTGTGAATGATATGAACTGTTAAACTTTAACAATATACTACCATAAACTAAGGTTGTCCAAACAAAAATGAAAACGATTGCTGGGCCAAGCTAAAGTAATGAAATGGCAGATCAACATTAAAAATAGTGCAAAAATTGAAGACGATAATAGCTATGATTTACTTACAGACATACGCTCAGCAGCTGAACCAAAAGCTAATGCTGCAAAATATCAGTGTATTTCATGAACATCAATTAGCGTATATAAGTTGATATGATATATGCTGAAAACTCAATAAACTTCTATTAATTTACCTGGTGTTATACAGGCAAACATAGCTTGAAAGATCATAAATGCGGACGCTGGAATAGTTTGCCCATCAAAGGCTGGCTTTGAGCCCACGCCACGCAACAAAAAGTGAGCTATTGTCGAGAACTTTTCTGTGAGTAAACTTCGCCAAGGTAGGATTCCAATAACCTGTAACATATAGTAATCAATACCAGAATCTCCCATGAAACTATTGCCAGTCTTTGAGAAAATCAATGAGTAACCCACCAGATACCACTATAACAGTGTTCAATCATATTGTTATTAGTCTTTCATCGCTGGACCTAATTCTGGACAAACACATCGATACCTGAAGAGAGACAATGGCTACTGATAAGATGGTTAAATACATCAGGGATAAAGCATTTTTTGCACGAGCAAGGCCCGCATAGAAAAAGCCTAAAGCTGGTGACTAGAATATAAAAAAAGGTCAGGATTTATCGTTCAACCACGCCAACAGTATACATACCATAAGAAAGACCAAACAAGCGCATACTATCACCCACGCTGTATCACCATTACTGGTCGTATAAGAACTACTCATGGTAGAGCTACGCTTCAATATCAAATTCGTATTAGACAAGAATCTAGAAATGCAATCTTGGATCGCTTTAAATTGTTAATAAATGTGTAGGATAAAATGATATCAAAAGAATTGCTTGATAGCAGGTAGCAAAGATTAATGGGAAAAAGCTGTATAGTTTCGTCCATCACCATAATATCTATTCATATAAAAGCTGAATCATATAATTAAAGAGTCTTTTTCCATTATAGGTGATATTGATAATGCAAAGTGGATGCAAACAGATAGGAAGCTTTTCGGCCGAAATTGCATTTACCACCCTACTATCATGTCAATTAAATTACTTACTGCTTCTTCTTTTATTTTATACTATACTATTATTGTTTGAAGACAGTATCAGTTTGGCTAGAGTAGGGCAATTCGCTATTCGATCTTGCTATGATAAAAATTAAGCGAAATACTATGTTTCACGGCTCATCATAGCTTGAAAATTATTAATCTTCCCATGCCAACATTGACCCCTTTCTGATTAATTACAGCTATGCAGTACAACGACGATGTGAGGTTGAAATAAGACTTAACCCTGTCTTTCTCTTTATAAGCTAGTATCCCACATCACAAGCTAAAGCTATCAAACGCAATTTTCAGTTTATAAACGTAAATGATAATTTATTATCGCTTTGCTGATGGAGTATCGATTTGATATTCATGTGGTATATCTTCGTTATGTTCTATAGCTTTTTGGGCTATAAAGCCCATAAAACGATTTCCATAAACTGATGGTTTTACTGCAGATATGGCATTTTTGTCCTGTGTAATAGATTTAAAAAAGTGTTCTGACTTTTTCTTTAAATCGTAGGGAGTTAATATATCAATGATACCCATATAATACAGAGTAGGAAAAGGCTTATTTCTCTCATCTGTAGCTTGAAAACCACCGTCGTCGGAATAAAATACACAGTTACGGCGCCTAAAGTAATGGCAGATCAGCGCATACTCTTGGAGTGAATCAAATGTCTTAATATTTACTTACTCGTCAAAGGGAGTGTCTGGTAATTCTGATGCATTAAGTCGATCAGGGTTTGCTTCCATTATTACTTTACGATACACCATAGCTCTACTCTCTCGACGTTTCATCATGGACGCACGGCGCTCTGCTAGTCTTGTATCAGGCTGTATATTTATGTCAGTTAGGACAATATCAAGTCGAACGTGGGCTTTCTGATATACTTACTTGAAATGTTTGTAAGGTTGAGTTTCGAACATTGTCTTTATTACCACGAATGATATCATGTATACCGATCATCAGACTGTAATCCATAATGTTCATTCTAACCAGGAGTTTAACGTCCCGTAATAGTTGTGTGATAAACAACTTGCGTTTTTGTGGACCTAATTTCAATTTCATGCCGCGTTTCTCCCAGTTGAGGTCTTTCATTACAGCATAAGGATTTTTTTGGATTTCTTCTTCTAGTAAAAATCTGCCAATGGTCGATCCCTTTTTTCCCAAAAAGAAAATGATTTGCTGTTATTGATATGCTTCTCTCACGAGATAATTTTGATTGTAAGTATACCTTCAAATCATATGTTTCATGAATATCATTATTGGGGGGCAATACATTCCCCATGACAACGAAGTGGATTTTGCGTCCATGAGGAAGTTTGACTCGATGAAGACCATAATATCGACAGAGAAGAGTATCTGGATTCGAGTATACGTGCTATATATAGAGAATATATCTATTATTAGTAAGAAGTTGCACTAGATAAATCAAAATGGAAAAGAGATTCGTTTGACGAATGAAACGGCATCTTACATCATAATAATCTCTAAGAATATCCCTCATAAACTTATGCTCGGTATGGTGAATCGTTTTGATGATGAATCTAAAATCTCGAGAATAATAAAAGAAACTACCGCTTTTCCCAGCTGATGCCAATTCTGATAGGATATATTTACTCGTCAGTGAAATCTAAATTTAACATTTACAGTTACGTTATGAAGATATTAACCAGCCGTTAATTTAAACTTGCAACCGAATTGGGAAAAGGCTAATTTAGCATACGTTACCAAGTAATCGGCTGGATCAATACCAAATCTTTCACGTAAAGCACGAAAAACCCAAGGTGCATAATCTTTGAATTTAAAATCGTACTTGGCACCTGGTGTTAATTCATCACCCGTACTAATACATAATAATGATTGTTAGTATGGTAAATGATAATCAACGTAAGTAGATGACTTTAAAAAATGCATAAATTTTACACATCAAATGCAAGTTTATGAGCAGCTGCAAAATCTGTATCAACCAAAGGACGATCTGGCTTTGCTGATACTCTTCCGACCGCAATACGAATACCGGTAAGCATGTTATACATAAGAATATAATTTTGATGACCTTCAGATATACGAGTACCCATGAGGACACGATCATCGTCATCGTCTTCAAGTAACGGCTTACGACGAGATAAACGTTTAAAAGCCTTTTGTCGAGCCGATAATTCTTTCGCAAAATCTTCTCGAATTTCAGGCATGCCTTCTTCCATACGTTGAGGTAAACCTATGGCTGTATGGTTTCGAATAAAAGTATGTCTATTGTTTTTACGATGCTGTTGGTGAGAGGTGGATGACGAGGTAGATGAGAATGATGCTGCTGTAGGAGATGCTGCTGCCGTTGCTATTGTTGCTGATGGATTTCTTCGGTTTCTGAAAGAAGATGCAGTAGCTAAATGAAAGCTGGTAGAGTGGCCCTTGGAAGGACCTGCAGGTGCTGTATAAGACGTCGTAAATGGAGGTGGGGTTTCAAGCTCGGCTAAACTCGATTCGGTCATAATACTACTGCTGCTTTGATTGCTAAATGACAGTGGTAAAGTTTCCTGGCTGCCATTCTTAGTATTATGGTAATCACGCTGAAGGTTGGTACTAGTAGGAATAGATGATGTTATGTTATGGTCGAAGGTATTTATGGAAGGGATATTACTTCTGGTAACAGGGTATTCTTGATTAATGGAAGTAGTGGATATGGTATGGCTGGCTGATATAGTCGACCGAGGTTTTTCATTAGAAGCAGAAGTCAATGGAACCTGTGCATTTCGGTCGGAATAATTCTCTAAAGGGTCTGTCGGCTTGTATGTGAAATAAGATAGTGGGAGTTGCTCGGCTGCAAGAGCCATTGCGTTATACTTTCGATATTATTTATTCTATTGAAAACGTGCGACAATGAGCAAGCGATAAAAGAGGATATTGCATAAATAGCCAGAGAGGCGAAAAAGAAATACAAACCAACAAGACAAAGAAAATATATGAATAAAAGAAAGGAGAAAGATAAGGAAAGCAGGAGAGAGGCTATATTTGTTATTTTACTACTTTCAAAAAAACTTACTGCCGTAGATGTACACGTGCGGTTTGAACAAAGAGAGAAACTATTTCTTTGCACCAAGCTGGTAGCTTCTCCATTTCTGGTAGCCTGTACGACCATAAAACTCGGTTAACTCAACCCAATCAACATAAGACATTCGTACACCACGCTCGTGGAGTATTTGATTAGCATAAGCGACGAGTCCAAGCCCAATACCTCTTCCTCGTTGTTCGGTCGCCACGCCTACACAAGCCAAACCACCACTGTCTTTGCCAAACAAGCTCTCGTCTGTCCATACGAGGTCCGTGCGAGACCGATGTGAGCCCTGCGTTGTAAATAAGACTAGGCTACCCAACAATTTTCCTTCGCTTGAACCCTCTTTTGCCACGATCAAGTCTTGATAATCCCCTAAATCGGCATGATGCTGATACGTTGATGCCCAGCAAGGAAAATCGGTTTTTTGGAGATCGATTATTTCTTGAGCCTGCTCTTGAGTAGTGATAGGGCCGATCCAAATACCTTCTTTCTTCATACGTTCCCGGATAACTCCAGGTACTGTATAGTCACTTAAATCACCTTTCAAATCCCACACTACACCAAGCATATCATATCCACGATGTTGGAAGAATTCTTGTGCTTCCTTACCCATTCTATCATCGTTGGGAACACCACAGAAAAAGCGAGGATACGTTGCGCCGAGCATTATCTGTTGTGTATTTCGTTCTTGTGAAAACGCTTCTAAACATCGATCGTGTAATCGACTGCCAATACCATTTCTTCTGTAGTTGGGATGTACCACCAATAAGGCGAGTTGTCCTTGTGAATCAATAGTTTGTGTCGCTGCAAACCCAATCATTTGCTGTTCATCATCGTTGTCTTTGAATACTGCAAAGTGGCGTGGATTTTGCATCCTAGCGAGAATCAAGTTGAATTTTTCAAATGACAGTGGCCAGTTTTCTTTATAAACGCTGTTCCATAGTGAATAAGCTTTCTCGAGCTCCATTTCTGTAGACTTAAAATCAGCGACTGTAACAGTAATAGGTTCATTTTTAGCATTTAAAGGAAAAAGGGTTACAGGAAGTTTACTTCCATTTTTAATTTCACCAAAAATCAACCGAATACTGGCTTCATGAGCGGGTGGTGTATATTCATACGTGACAGCGTACGTTCCAACATGGTTAGAAAAAGCCATCAAATCATACGGATTAATGACAGCAACAACGATCAAGTTTTCAGTATATTTCGAGATGAGCTGCACCATGTTGCTTTGAAAAGGGTGTAAGTTAGCATTCGCTGTGCCAATAATCACCATATCTGCCTCAGTGATTTGATTTTTTGACAAAACAGTGTTTTCGTTGAATATAATATATTCAGTATTTTTATGCCGACGCAGAATGGAGTCGTACATGGAGTTGAACGGTTCAGGTTCGGAATCGATGGCCAATGTCAAAGGAACATGCGCCCCTAGAAAAAGTATCCTTTGTTCGTCGTCCAACTGAAGAGGAAGCAAGTTGGACTTATCGCACACAATGGTAGGAACGGCATTGTAAAGTTTTTCACTCAACTTCGTGTGAGCTTCGCAACCAACGATTCCAAGATCCTGCTTTTGCAATGACGTTTCCCACGTCAAAAACCTGCTTTTTAATTGCGATACACGGTCGAGAGAGGCTCTCAAACTCTCTTCTGACAATTGACCTGCTTCAATGGCTTCATGAACAAGTTGAAAGGCGTTTTTTTGGAAGCTGTAGGTATGAGATAACATGCTTATATCGTTGCCGGCTTGCAATGCCATGACGGCACCTCGAGCGGAACCTACCGACTCTTTCACAGCATCCATCTCTAAACAGTCAGTAATGATCACTCCTTCGTATTGGTACTTTTGACGCAGCAGATCGGTCACCACCTCACGAGCAATGCTTGCAGGCTGCTTTACTTGTTGTATAATCTTAGGCAAAGAAATATGACCTACCATAACAGAAGTAGGATGAGACTCTCGAATGGCTTCCAAAAATGGAATGAGTTCCAAAGACTCTAGTTGTTTCACGTCTTTGTCAATGACAGGAATTCCTAAATGAGAATCGGTGGCCGTGTCACCATGACCTGGGATATGTTTGATACTGGTAGCAACACGATTTGCTTGATAAGCAGTGATTTGTGCTCTTCCTAGTCTTGACACCATGGATGGATTTTCACCAAAGGATCGGACGCCAATGACAGGATTGAGGGGATTGCTATTGACATCCATTACGGGTGCTAAATTCCAATTAATGCCCAATGCCAGCAATTCCTTTGCTGTGGCAGCAGCTACTTCACTGGCGGAAATTTCATCATCAGTAGCACCCAGCGCCATACTTCCGGGTAAATAAGTTCCGCTTGTGCCTAATCGACGCACAACACCATTTTCCTGATCCACAGCTATCAATAAGGGACGTATATGACCAGCTTCTTTTGCAGCTTGCTGAAGCTTGTATGTCAGCTGTTGGGTTTGTTCTGGTGTTTCAATATTACGAGAGAACAAAATGACAGAACCGAGATTGTGATTTCGAATGAGGTCAAGTATTTCTTCGGTGGGTTCTGTTCCGTGGAACCCACACATAAAAAGTTGACCTATATCATGATGTAAGCTTGGTGTAATGGTCATCTTTGTTTCTGTTTGCAGAAGAATAAAATGTGGAAAGAAGAGAAAGACAGATCGATACGGTGCGATGAAAATAAAGGGTGCAGTTTCATTGTTGTACAATAATGAGCCTGGGGAAGAAAGGGTTCAAAACTAAATCTTAATATTCAACGTCCCTACAGCTTTATTTGAAATAATACTGTTGCTCGAGCACAATCATTAGAGTAAGCTCGAAATTTAATGAGAACTTAGTAAGCTGACTGTGGACGAAGTTAAAAATAAATGTATACTCTCTATGAAAAAAGTACAATGGTGGGCTGCGATTCAACGTTTATGTAAGCAATGCTTGTGAACCTGAATTTCTTTTTAGGCAATTATGACTGCTGTTGTGACGCTATTTGAATTTGAATCAAAAAGAGAAAAAGGTCAGAATGATTTTTTCTGCCTTCGTCAACTCATCCATCCTTCTACAACTATGACAGATCTTGAATCCTTTGCCTCATTTGATTTTGATCCTCGGTTAGCTAGAGCTGTTGCTCAATTGGAATTTACAAAGCCTACACCCATTCAAGCTCAAGGGATACCTTTAGCACTTGCTGGCAAAGATATCCTTGCTAGAGCTCGTACAGGGAGTGGTAAAACAGCAGCCTATGCTTTACCTATTATACAGAAAATCTTGGCGCAAAAAGAGGTCAGTCATTATAGACAAAGCCAGAGATTGTTTATTTCTAAGCTCACCTTCTAACACAAATTTACGTTATAGTCATCAGATGATACAGCATCCATCAAAGCATTGATTTTAGTACCTACAAGAGAATTAGCCGAACAAGTGACAAATCATATTCAAAAACTTTTGGCTTATGCTAAACAGTTAGTGAAGATTGTGAATTTGGCCAGCCAAATGTCTATTCAATTACAAAGGTAGACAATAGAATAGCTTACCCTCGATTGCGTACAAAGATCAATTTTTCTTAACGATCCATGCTTCCTTTTTCGAATCTGTTTTCAATAGACCCTTGTTAGCAGAAAAACCAGATATCATAGTAGCGACACCTAGCAAAGTACTTACACACCTAGAATCCAATTCGATGTCCCTCACAGACTCACTTCAGTTCTTGGTCATCGATGAAGCGGATCTTGTTCTCAGTTTCGGCTATGAAGACGATCTACGAAAAATTACATCTAAATATCTACCTAAAATATACCAAAGCTTTCTTATGTCAGCCACGTTCACTAACGAAATTGAATCGCTCACTTCTCTCGTGCTTCGAAATCCAGCAATCATAGCATTAGACGATACAAAGGAAGAAATGGAGTCACTCACACAATACGTTGTGCAATGCTCAGAATTCGATAAATTTTTATACACCTTCTTGATGATGAAGTTAAAATTGATCAAGGGCAAAATTTTGGTGTTTGTTAATGATATTGACCGTTGTTACAAACTCAAGTTGTTCTTGGAACAGTTCTCGATAAAGTCCTGTGTATTGAATTCAGAATTGCCGTTGAATTCAAGATATCATATTGTGGAAGAGTTCAATCGTGGTATTTACGATTATTTGATTGCTACGGATGAAACTGAATTGAAAGGCGAAGTTGATAGTGAGGACGAAGAAAGTAAGAACGAAGAAGATGAAGCAGAAGTAGAGGTCGAGGCAGAAGATAAATGTAAGTAATATTCGTTTAGGAAGGAATGTGTATTCAGCATTGACTTTTTTTTCTTTTTTTTTTTTTCCTCCAAATATTTTGGTAGCTCAAAAGAAAAAGAAAAAGAATAAAAAAGCTCAAAAAGATAAAGAATATGGTGTTTCACGTGGTATCGATTTCCAAGGAGTAGCAGCTGTCATAAATTTTGATTTCCCTAGTTCCTCTAAAGCTTATACACATCGTATCGGACGTACAGCTAGAGGTGGTCAACGTGGCATGAGTTTATCGTTCGTTGTGCCGAAAGATCTGATGGAAGAAAAGAACAAAGACGTGGCCAGAGGCCGACATGTTTGTGACGATGCTGTCTATGACAGAGTTAAAAAGCAACAAGAAGCAAAAGGAGGTGAATTGAAGCCGTACAGTTTTGACAGCAAGAATGTCTCAGGCTTCCGATATCGTGTGCAGGATGCTTTAAAGGCTGTCAATAAAGTGGCGATCAAAGAAGCACGAATCAAAGAAATCAAACGTGAAATTTTCAATTCTGAAAAATTGAAGGCACATTTCGAAGATAAACCTAAGGATTTAGAGTTTTTACGACACGATCATGCTTTACAACCAGCAAAGGTACAACAACATATGAAACATATTCCATCTTATCTAATGCCGCACATCTCTATGCCAACCGCTATGGCCCATAACAATACCGAACCAATGGACGTCAGCCTGAAATCACAAAAGCGTAAACGAGGAGGAGCGTTCAAGAAGGGTCCAAATAAGGTAAGACTTTGGACACTGTTTTTAGTTTTCATAGGTAGATGGCCTACTAACTTGGTTTTTTTTTCTAACAATTGAAGAAACGTAAGGATCCGTTGAAGGTTGTTCGCAGGAAGTAGTTATTGCTATTATACTTTAGTATTTCATGAAAATAGAATAAATAGGAAACATAGATTATGCCAAAGAGTTAGTGATGTTTGATTAGAGAGAATGGGACAAGAGTAAAATAAATAAAAAACGGGCTGCTGAATAAATATTAGAATAAATAATGGGAGAGGGTTGTTTCTTATGAAATCTAATCTGGCGATAAGACATCTGAAATTGAGATTCGCTTATATTTCGGCGTTCGGCTACTGTTAGTACTATTGTGACTGTTACTAGCGCTATTCGCATCACTGTTATTGCTGCCGTTACTTTCCTTGCTATAATTAGTATCGCTATGCTTGAACTCACGACGACTATGATCAGGTGTGGCCGTGTTATTATTCAAGGTCAAAGTGCTGCTGTTGTGATTGTTGCAGTCGCTGGTGTGATAAACGCTCTCAATCTTTGGGAGGTGGTGATCTGATCGAGTGGTTGATGATGACGGCGATGATACATCGGACTTTATCGGGGTTGCTGATGGTGTTCCATGTACAGAGGTGGATACAGATGGCAAATAATGGGATGGATATGCATTCGACGGGGTTATACCACCTACTTTTGTATGTCTTATAAACGATGGATGATCTTGCGAATATACGGCGTTTGATATACGTTTGTAGGGTGAATCGTTTCGTATCGGGATTTTGATGCCTTGCTTTGAAAAACATCTAGAAAGTGAAGTTGATTCTATAAAAGGGAATAAGCTTAATATGGAACTGACAGAGAAACATCATAGAAGGAAGCGGAATGTTAAAGAATAACAATCATGAAAAAAATAAAATGAAAATTACCGGTCAATCCAGGAAACTGTCATGATTTGTTTCAATCGAAAAGTTTGTTTCAAAGCAGTTTGGTGTGGGATCAAGGTGATGCAATATAAAAGAGATTAATGAATGAAGAGCGTTGGCCATCATTTTGAGTTAAGTCATTGGATGATCGTTATTACCTTCTTGGCGGGATAGACTTGAAAAGTAGATGAAAAAACGGTTTGTTGGATCTGCGTCGTCTTCCTTAGTGGTTCACTAAAGGTCAAAGTTAGTTGCAAAGGCACAAGAAAACCAATATCAGAGGATCCTATTACGAACTAAAGCGAAGATATAGAAGACTTACCCAAAAGCTAGGTCAATAAAAACAAATTTCAACGTAAAAATGCCTTCTGTTCTAACAGACAAATCCTGGAATATGAAATACGTGCCAAGTTTATTTTCTTCATTGTACAAATGATATGCATTGGAGACTGACGAGCCTATTAAATTACGAACGTATTCTGGCTTAGTATTGGATAACACGACATTGTCGTTGTGCTGCTGTTGATTCGTTGACCATGGTGTATAGACTAACGTTCTATTTTCTGTCATATCCTCGTTATACAGTTCGCACTGAACCAGGAATAAAACAGAATCTTCTGGTCTAACGGTATTAGAGAATCCGTGAGTTTAATCCATGAAATAATGTTATGTCATACGTTAATGAATGAAAGCAAACTTACTTCAAATCAATTGCTTCACCAAAAGAATTCTTTGCTGTTAGTTGTAATATTGGAGGCGGATCGATTGGTCGTCGGTCTTTTTCACCAAATCCACAGCATCTTGCTCGAATAGGATTTTGTACAACAGCTAGTATTATAATTTATGTATTTTTTTTTTTTTTTTTTGAAAAAAGTCTAATCAATTTTGATAATACAGAAATTTTTTTGTTATTTGCTGGAATGTCGCTTTACACAAAGAATATTTTCGATCGAGTTGGCTTGGCTTTGATAATTTGAAAGGCGGCGGTATATCATGGTTCATAATTAGCAGTTTTACAGGTTCTCGTATTTGAAGAATCAATTACAAATTTTATGAAATTGTTGAGAATGTATAAAGCTCAATACAAATAAATCTAAGGTAATCGTCTGAAATCCGTTTTAAAGGAAAAGGAGCAGAAGAAGAGGTGTTCAATCTAGATTCAGTCAGACGCTTTTAAGATGAAGGAATAGTAGTCTAAAATAACAAAAAATTCGGAAAAAAGTGAAAGAGAAAGCAAATCAAAAAAATTAAAAAAAAAAAAAGAGGGAAAAGAAGAGACGTTGAAAAAAAAATGGATTTTGTCGCTTTATTAGGTCATCTTTTAGTTTCTTTTTCTATTTTCTTTTCTTTTTCCTTTTGGTCGGCCGGCCGACGTACTTTTTTTTTTTTTTTTTTTTTTTTTCCTTTCTTTCCTTTTTCAATCAAAGCCAGAAAAAAAAAAAAAAAAAAAAAAAAAAAAAAAAAAAAAAAGGCCCTGCATTCACCAGGCATTCCCGTAATAAGCCCAAAAGCCTTTTATAAACATATTTTTTTATTTGGTGAAAATTTAAAAGATTCGTTTTTTAAATTTTGAATAAGTTCCTTTGATGAAAGGAGATACAGCCCTTTCTTTCTCTTGATTCTTTGAATATTTTATAAAAATGAGATTTCACAAGGAATGAAAAGATACAAAAAAAAGGAAACAAAGATAAAGTTACAGTCAAATCGATTAAGGGATAATGGAAAGATCTGAGAACATTAGAAATTATTCGATGAGTATAGTAGATAGTATATGCATACATAGAGTTATAAAAAAAAAAAAAGTAATCGTTGTTAAGGTAATAGTGTTAGGGATCTATGCTAACCAAACCGAATTGGTAGGGTGCACCGAACTGGCATTGCTGGCATTGCTATGTTTACTTATAATACTCAAGCTATCCTCCTTGTCCCCCTTCTCCTTTTCCGTTATGTGTAAATCATTTGAAGAACGCGTCGAACTTGCGGCAGTGGTTGGCGGTGATGAGGGTGCAGTGGTTTGTCCATCAACGACAATCACTGGCGGTGGGATAACCATGTTGGGCGCTGATGCTTGTCCAACAGAGTCTCCTTCCAACCCCATCTGACGCAGTGTTTGAGATAAAGTGCCCATCCTGCAGCAACAATACATTCGATGTCGCATATTTGACGGATCATAGGAAATGAAAGGAATTATAAACAAATAAGCACAAGTACATCTTCCCATTTAACCCTAAATATTCCTTTTTTAGTTACCTTGCGTAAAACATTTGTAATTTCAATCGCGTCGATTCCTGAAATAGATCAGATAATGTGCGGCCATTGTAATAACCTTGTCTAATGTTACGTATAAAAGTATAGAATTCACAAACAGAGACCAATCTGTCACGACAATAACGATCTATACATGCCCAATCGTCTAGTATGGAAATACGGAATCGATAAGGCAAATCATTTTCTGTCATATAACCGCATGCTTGACATTCTATCGATGGTTGATGATGGGCACCATTATTATTGCTGCTGATGGATGCAGTACTACTGCTACTCGTTAATGAACCTGTACTGAGATATTCCCAAAGCATGTGTTTAGTTGCTGAGTTTCTTAACGGTGTCTCAACCGCCTTCTTTGCCTGTTCTTTTGAAAAACCATAAGGCGTTTTTTCAATGAAGCACGCATTCATCAGAATAGCATCTACTAACTTTTTAGGAGAAAGTCTTGAATTTGGTCCAAATCGTAGACACGGCTCGACATCTTCTGATAACGAATTTTTCATATACATATTTGAAGAATGCAACTTTCGAAGAGCTATCGTTTCTCCCGTCTTGACAAAATCAATAAACTCTTGACAAACGGAAGGATCCGTTGTGTTGGCTACAATCTCATCGCTTAATCTTTGGCGTGTAAAAAGACCAAGCAGATCACGAGCAGCACGGTTCTCTTGAGCATCTAAAATATCCCCCTCGTCGTCATCCGTCAATGAAAGCTTTTCCCCTGGCAGAGAATCCACACTGCTACTCAAAGCACTACCACCACCACCACCACCACCACCACCACCACCGCTGCTTCTTTTGCTCCTCTTCTGTTGTTCTTCCATTAAACCCATCATCTCTTTCAATTCTTTCAACTGCAGTTCTTCTGTTTCCATTTGCTCGCGACATAGTTTCAACTCTTGCTTCAAACGCTTATACTTTACTTCTAATTCAAATTTGGCCTTCTTCTCTGAAGATACCATTTTGTTCGCCTCTTCAAATAGTTTTTGTGAAAGCTCCTCCAATTCATTTTCAACCTCTGTTTTCGCTTGGTATGCCTTTTCGGCTTTTTCCTGACTGTCTTTATATTTTCCTTCCAACGACTTCAGATCTCTCTCTAAAGAACCATAGGCGGTCTTTAATTGCTTCAAATTGTCATTGGCAGTCTCACTGGCCTCCTTTAATTGATGAATCTCTTTTGCGCATTTTTTTGAATTCAATTTCTCAGTTGAAAGCAAGAATTGTAGTTTGTCTATTTCATTTCGTTTTCGTTCTCTATCTTTCTGTATATCAGATACAATGGGTATAATTTCGTCGCATAATGCACAATGTTCGGACTCTTTCGAAACAAAAATATGATGGCATGGACAAACGGGCTGTCTTGTACTTATTGTTGACGGAGCAGTAGTAGGAGCAGTGGACTCTCTTTTGCTTTTGTTATCATTGTTATTCAAAATCGAGGACGATGGGGTAGGAGTTATCGGTAAGCTACTGTTGGAACTGTTCCGATGATTGCTAATCCTAGCAGGTCGGGGCGAAGCAGGCGCAGAACTCTCCATCATCGTTTGGAGATGTGAATATAAGTTGGCAATGTCTTTTGTTGTGACTGACTTATCGTTAGCATTAGGAGACCCCTCATTCTTGGATGCTATTGCTGTATTTGAGGACATGAAAGGCTGTTAGAGAAGGGTAATACAGAGAAAGGGAATGTGGAGTTTGTTGGACTGAAGGAAAGGGTTGGATGATTTTACACAACCAGAAAACTCATATATCTGGTTTTCTGTCAAAGATCTATCCAATCAAAGCTTGCTTAGGAACCTTTTTTGGAACTCTGAAAAGCTATGGTTTCTCATCCACATTTTGGGGGAACTCTTGTAGTCTGCTCTCAATGGGTCAAAGAAGACTAATACTTTTTTGTTCGCGGAAAATGTCTTGATCAATAAACTCAATCAAGAATTGTTACCTACGTTTTTAGTGACGTTATGCGACTCGAATAAAGTTTTCTTGATTTTGATGCTGTATCTCTTCCCTTGATTGACAAAGAAAGAATTTCTCTTATCCAATCATGGGTAGTTTGACAGAGAGATCAAGTTTTTTGGAAGAAAAGGAGCTCACTATCTGGTGGAGCATGCCATTTTTTAAGGGTAATATGCCTTTTGATTGTACAGTTCGCGAGGAGGGTCTTGTGATTTGAACAAAATGCAAACTTTAACTTTTCCAACAACTGCACGTTTAAATTAGTCAACATGAAAGCTTTCCTTCATTTTTCAGTCCTCAAACATTGCCTCCATAAGTCGGTAGTATTGACAAAGTGATATAATCTGTCGCAAGGAGGTAATATTATGTCGGTTGCTCTTATTGGACTCACTGCGCTCAAGACCTTCTGTAATAAGCCTTTTTTTCGTGGGTAGAGACGCCTCGGATCATGTGTAAAACGGCTCATCATGTGTCCAAGAAAATACCAAGTACCATATCCAGGTGAATACTGTTATTTTCCAGGGAGATCCAATGACACCTATTAGTTGTCATATTTTCTAAACCTTACGACCTATTGTAGCGCTTTCAATTTCCAATTTGTTTGAAGTATCTCTCGCAAAATCCTCATGTCTCATAGCTTCAATCCCTGAAGAAAGGTTGACTGATCCAAAAATAGATAGGCTGCATTTCCGGTCAATAAAAACTTTGATATTATACTTCATAAGTCAAAAAAGTCGAGCTCACATATTTCTGGCCATTTTGATACAGAATCCGATAAAATCTGATATCTTTATATAATTAGCATTATTTGGTGAGTGTGTACAATTCTACTGTCGCATACATCAATATCAAGGAGTTCTTTCACGTTTGATGTGATTATTGCTAACGACGAACAGTTTGTAATGTTGTCACTGTTTGTTTTCAAGATGAACTCGCCTCAAAAGCATCAAAGCAGACTGTTATATGCCTCGTAAACGACTTCAATGTTCGCAAAGTCTAGGCACTTATCGCCCGCTTCTAAAAAAAGAAAAGAAGCTAAGCCCTTGTACCAACTATTACGTACTACACTGTTATTGAGCATAAAATATCCAATGAATTTTTAATGTCAACCCATTAGCTTACTGAAGGCTTTTTGTTGGCTCCTTCATGTGAGCTATCTGTAGAATGAGTATAATATCCATTTGATGGTATATTGTATTAGCTGCATGTATCGGAGAAAAAAAAAGAAGAATTATGTATAAAATAGGCGTCTATATATGACAAGTGAATATGTACAGAAAGATGATGCTTATTATCTTGAATAGTTGATAATGAATCAGTTTTGATAGAGATAAGGATTGTTTGCGGCTGGAGGTGTCAATAGTTTTGCAAGATTTGAAGGGATCTGGCCTTCAGGATATCTCCATTCTGGATGATGATACAGCTGTAAAGTATTACTGGCATACCATTTGGGTAAATCTAATATAACAAACAATTCGTTGGCAACGGATCACTATCTTAAACGATCAGAGTCGTATCATTGCCTTACCGATAGAACTAGGGTGATTCAGCTTCTTTTGCAAATCTAAACTCATTAATTCTGATCGACAAGATTTATCACGATGAATTTGTAAACCATGGTAAAAGCTGGGCATCATTGTACATTTTTTACCACTACGGTAGGCAAGATAAGTTAAAGCAGCTTGATCTTGACGATGGTTCTTTCGCGATGAGCCTGGTGGTGCAATACAGTTTTTATTCAAGCCACATTCGTACCAAGGTGTGATCAATTCGTCCATAATAGTGCTGTTATTCGTATCGAAACCCAAAGCAGCTCCGTTACAGTTGTGGTTTTTACTATATTTTACTTTGGCCGTAGCTGCATCCTCACCGTAATACTCAAAAAGTCCTGGGTGAGTCCATGCAGTCATGGTTTTGGACGATCGAGGGGACCAAAATCCGCCTTGTTGATGAATAATGTGTGGAATGTTGCGAATAAAGTCAGCGGTAATAATGTTACCAGCATCCAACCAAACTAAAAGCCCATTGGATTGTTGTGTGTATTTTTTACTGGCCTCGTGAACAATACCGGTCTTCCAGGCATATTCACCAGCATTGATAGCAACATCCCAGAATCGAGGGTATTTAAAATAATCAAATAATTCCAAGTCATCAATCAACCCGTTTTCTAGAAAACTGTCAAGCACAGGTAGTTGGGTACGATTCATGCCGATATTATAAAGAACGACGCGCGGAAATTCGTGTGGTTCGAGCTCTTCACGCAACGCATACAATGAATAAAGAAAGTTTTCAAGCGAACATAAATGGTTGGCACTGGACGCTGTGACAATAGTGAAAGGATATTGTGTTGGTTTAGGCGAAACGGGATGGGTGACGACAATTTTCTTCGGGTCTATTGTGGCTGAAGTGTCTGTGAGTTCATATAAAGTATCTGTGAACAATGACTGCTGTGTCTCGTCGAGGATAAGTTGATTATTCACTATTGTTTCGCAGTTATTTGTGCAGGTCTTCACTAATTATATCAGAGAATGTTAGTGAATGACTTCGAGAGCTAGGATTGAACAGAGCTTACCTGACGTTGTAGTAGTTGTTGTGTAAACGATCCTTATCTTCACTGTCGATAGGCAAAAAAAGGCAATAAAAAAAATGATAATGACAGGTACACTCATGATATTCTTCATTGTAAATAAAGATTTGTATTTGGATGAAGAAGCCGTCGAAGATAATGATTTACAGAAACGAGGATTTGACATTTCTGATACAAGAAGGATGAGACAACCGTTGCTGAAGACCTGAAAAGAAGAACAAAAACGTCGTACGGTGGCAAAATTAGTACGTATTTTATACTATTTCTGTTGCAAAATGAGATCCGGTCAATTCGGGGATGAGAGACCAACCTCAGTTCTTCTTGCAAGTGGACTAGAAGCCTTTGTATCACGTAGAATATTATGTATTTTTTGTTTTAGGGAAGCAAAGGAATGTGTAACATTAGTTCTCAATAACAACAAGTTACTAATTATAAATAGCTTCAATATGTCACTTACTTTCATTGTCAAAGCAAGACAAGTATTTCGCAGCGCTGAGCGTATTGTACGCATCGAAACACTCTATGAATGAAAGTATTGGAACTTAAAAAGATGCATGTGGCATTCTTATAATGATGAAGGCTGAAAAATCATTTACTTACTCTTAGGCAGTAATTTCAGCCAAGCCCTTTTTGCATTTTTCCTTTTTTTCTTTGCCTCAATTTTTTTTTTTTTTTTTTTTTTTTGGATGTGTGGGTTGTCCATGAGAACATCACCTTATCAAAGTTGTTCCAACCATCATTTAATCCTGTACATTTGCTGTTAAGGCTGCAACGAAGCAAGACGAAATGACCTCACTCAACGATCTATGGTGTCACAAAATAGGCCAATAGATCTTTTTTTGCCCGATGTTTACAAAGTTGCTGTCAAATTTGGACTTTTTAACTAACAGTTATCAACAAACAGTGCTAGGGCCTCTACTGGCAATCTCATACACATTATATAATAAAACTATGATATTTTTGTTTATACTTAATTTATTAAGATAGCAATCTCACGATGATCCTTTTTCTTTTCTCCAAGGCCTTAGAATGGCTATATGGAACCTGGCTCTTTCTGAACGAGCAGCACATTATAAGAGCTCCGTCTTCCTTATTTGATAATGGTAACTGGGCATTTGCATTGGTGTAAACAATAATCACTAACGGAACCTAACACTAGTCTGCAGCATCAATTGAGGCGAATTAGTTTTTTGTCCCTTCCCCTCCCCCCCCCCCTTGAATGATCGTTTCGCGTGGATAACTTACTTTTGTATGCTTTCTTTATTGGATGATCCCATAATCAACAGATCTGGAGGATTATTGTTAACATATTCCTCGATAATATACTTTGCATCTTTTTCATCTTTTCTGACAATGACTTTTGCTGACCCCTATATTCCATGCGTTTCCATGAAAACAGTATACTGCTTAATTCTATGATTGAATGAAAATTTATAAAAGAACACTGTAGAACTTACAGTTTGTTGATATTTCGCCAAATATTCTTCCAGTTTATTAATCGCTTTTTTCGCATCTTCTTCAATATCAAGATTGTTCATTCTATCCAAGCGGCCACTATTTGTAGAGAGCATTATGAGCAGCGTTCATAAAACAGAATACGTGTAACATACATCGTTCAGCTGTGGCGCAGAAATGCAAAACGTACATGAATGGAAACGTTGACAATCCTGGTGGATTAAGTCCAATAGCATAAAGTATGTTCAATTGATACGGTACGCTTAATTTAGCACAAAAATCAATTGCGTAGTTGATAGCTTTTAACGAAATAGGAGAGTCGTCTGCTGCTATTATAATATGATAGGTTGATACTGTTGTATGATTATTACTGCAGAGGAAAAACGTTACTTCAATTTGTCAATCCCCACTTCGTTTGTGTATGTCTTGATATGAGCGAAAAATAGACATGATAAATACCTCATCGTTAGAAGAAACAAGTAAGAATTTAGAGAAAGAAGTGAACTTTCTGTTCTTTCCCAACAAAAAATGTTGGCAATAAGGGAAATCAGCCCATGCTTCATGCGGGTCAGGTACAGGAGCTTTTTCCGCCAATTGTATCCGGGGAAAAATCAGTAAAATGGCGCTTTCGTGAGCGACCCTTCCCTTTCAAGCGTCAATTGTCTCCATGATGCTGCAATACCATTTAGCCTTTTCCTTCCTTTTTCTTCTAATTCACTCTCCCCATAGTATCACGCATAATGTATATCTTCCTTTTACTGTTTATATTAATAGTTATTGGTACGTAATGCAAATCATAAAAAATGTAGCATCCAACTGTGTTAAGCTTATTTGTTCCATATAAAATGCTTAGCTTGTTGGATTTGTCGGAAAAGAATAAGAACAGTAATATCTTCTGGAGCAAATAAACTCAACCGCTTGTTGGGATACCACCTGTTGCCGACTCATGCTGGATCATTTGAAGATGATATTGAAGATGGTCTCACCAGTACGAATTTCGATCTGAATGTCAACATTAACGAGGAAGACAGTAGAGCTGGTCTCAAGGATAAAGAAGAAATTATGAGAATTATGCGAAAACAGAAGGTTTCTTTCGACGAAGCTCGGCTGATTCGACAACAAAGATTATTGAAGAAGAATGTAAGATTACAAAAGAGTGTGTTTAGCTAAGACATTGAAAAATAATGATCCTGTTGCCATTGTTGTAGAACATCGATCCTGCTACCGGTTTACCAAACGATCCTAAATTTGTACAATTTTGAGCCGCTATACAATTTAAACAATTATTTATTCACTATTCCATTTTGATGGTCTCTTGACCCTGTTTGCTGGTTTTTCTAGGCAATGAATCATACCACACTCACAGGTTATCCTTTTTTAAGCTTTCTGAACTGTTCAATTAAACAGCAGCAGCGAAGCTTTTTTTTTGTTTTTTTTCCAGTCTAGACAACTTTTTTTTTTTCGTTTTACGTTTTGACATGCGACACAATGAGTACAGCACAAATAAGTAAACCTTGGTTCAAACATTTCAAACAGATCGATGATTGGCAATACTTAAAAGTGGCAGTGTATGTTTCAAGTTCTTTTATGAGGACATCAAGATGTTCCAATTGACTTAGTGAATTTCTTCAACTGTCTGCGTGATAGTTGGTCTGACGAAGATTTAGACGTCAAGATCACAGAGCTTTCTTTCCGCATGAGTATTCAACAAGCGCTTCAAAGTGTTTTTGGTGCATCAGGCACATCCTGTTATATCAACGTGTTGGATTGGAATCCTTATAAAAACCAAGGAATCATCAAAGTGAAGCAGAGGTAAAAGAAACAGTGGCAATATCACTTCACAGTAAATAACCTTAACTCGTACCTCCCTTGCGTTCCTTCTTCTCAACAGTGAGTTAGTCACTGTTTGGTCAGCTATGTTAAACCATCAATTTTCGATCAGTAGCAAAGTATGCACATTCGATATCCTAGCGTCATCAGCACACCTTATCAGTTTAGCTGGATAAAATTAATACCACATGCTTTTTATATATAATAATGTATTGAACGACTAGCAACTTAGAACTTTGTAAATAGTAAACCATTATCGCTTGAACCGTAATAAATTAAGAATAGCCGGTCCTTAATCCCATCCTGTCATGGTAACCTCTGCTGTATGAACCCATTTGTTTCCGGTCTCCTTCAAATTAGATACTGCTTCGCTAGCCTCCTCGTTTCCTTTGTTGGTTGGGATTATCCAGCTAGAACCTGTTTCTGCAGAAGGTGCGGCCGCCACAGCATTATCTGAATTGCTTGTAATCCATCCATTCTTCGTGATATCTTCTTCTTTGAACTTGCCTATATCTTCTTTTAAAGTTGTTTCCCTCTTTCCAGCTTCATCATCTGTAGCGCTGCTGTCGTCTTGTTCAGCAGCAGTAAACGATGTTGGAAGGTTGTTGCTCGTGTTTATAGTAGAAGATGAAGGAGACACAGAAATATGCTGTGCAAATAACTTTTCTGAACATTTTCTCAAATTAGCTACCCATTCTTCCATCTCTTTCATTGATTTTGCTCGCAGTGTCCACGTCTTTCTATCTTGGTAATGGTGATTCCACCTGGATTTGGTAGTTGCTTTCCATTGCTTGTTTGTCAAAGATAAGGTGTTCGTCATAGCAGGTTTCGCTGATATCATTTTTGGCTGCAATTGAAACATTAAGGATTGATGGTGGGGGTTGGTGAATGTAGATATAATGATGACCGTGTAATGAGGAACGTAAATAGTAGCATCAGGGTTGGATGGATAGTTTTCGGACCGTTGATATTCGTGGAGGAAGCCTGCAGCGGTCAGTACATAAATGCAATCCAACCAGCGGGTTGTAAACAAAGCACGCGACTTGCCATCCATACGTGTAGCAAGTATTGGTTGCAAGAGAGGATGGGCCAGTTGGATTTGATCGGGATGACGAAAAGAGGCCTTATCCGATATAATGTTGTAATGTTGTGGAGTGACATCGATGCTGCTCTGACGGTCGAGTTCTCCTCCTTCATGATGGCTTCCTTTACGCTTATGGCTACTGTTCCAAAGTTCAGTAATGTAGATAAGTCCATTATCTTGTCGTAAGGCATAGAGTTGCTGTGTCAAACGTTCGAATTCAGAAATGAAATGTTGTTCGGCTGCCCATGTTTCTTGTTGAACACGTAAGACGGTTTCATGAATTTTATTCTCTTGTCGATAAACCTTCACTAATTGATCCACAACACCTAATAAAGTAGAGGGACATATATATACATATAGATATAGAAAAGGAGGTCGACAAAAGGGAGTATTAGAATCAGTGTGCTGCGTGTCGCGCGCACCCAACGGCTCGTTTTGCTCTGGTCGTTATGTAATTTGATTACCTGCATTCATTAGCCATGGATCTTGCCTTGTATGTCCGTAATAGGGGTGTTCTTCAAAAAACAAAATTTGTTGATTTAGCGCCTTTATCCGTTTGGCTGCTTCATACTTCAACTTTGTCAAGGTCTTCAGTGACAATCGGTCATCTTTGCTGATGCATTTCATCATCCATTTAAGTTCTCTATTTATATTCTCGAATGTAGGAATGGCCTGGCTCTTCAAATAGGCAGCAAATTGCACATGATCCTCTGAAGCCTTGTTATGATAATGTTTCCATGCTTCAATGATGCTATTCACATGCTCCCCTCGTCCAGTATGCATGGAACACATACTGCTGTCGTCGCTGATTTTGTGTGCGCTTGACATAAAAGACGTGCTTTTTTTTCGGTTCCCCTCAGAAGAAGGAAGTGACATACGATTCGATGAAGCGTCCAAAGAGGAAGCGTTGGATAAGCCAGTTCTGACTGATTCTACTCCTGAAGTATGGTAAACCTTTGAGACTTGCTGTTCCATATCTGCCAACATTTTAAAGTAATCTAATAAATGCTTGGAAAGCTGCTGGCAGGTAGTCAACCGTTCAATCAATTGCTGGACTGGCTTAATAGCGTTAGGACTATTCTGAGTAGCATTGACAAAAAACGCCTCTAATGTGTCAGCTTGTTGTTGATGTTGTTGCTCCCCTAGGGAACTCATGGAGGGTATAGGTTGAACTTTTTTCGTAGCGAATATCCTGTCAAGCACAAGATTTCTTTTTGGTAGGTCAAATGCAAATTCTGGAGGTGGCTCTAGATTTTTCTGTTGTGTTTCTGCTACGGCAGCCATACTAGAATCGTGTTGGTCAGTAGAATAAGCCAGAGTTGAAGCCAAGTTCAATGTAGAAATCGACGGATAAAGCTTCTTAAGTGAGGTATACGGTGACTTTTGTACACCTGGACTGGTGGCCATATTAATAGTAGATGATATAAAACTACTCATTGATGTTCAAAGAGCAAATAACAGGAGCAAAAGTGAATCTCAAAGGAGGCCTATAACAACCGTGGTGGTAATATACTCTTAAATCACATATTTTTGCAAAGATATTAATGTATAAAAGATATTAAGAGTATTAGAAAAATTTTAAATTCACCAGGCCATCTCGACAAAGACCGAGCGAGGCTTGATTAATATGAAGAAGATTTAAGAAATCTATTAACTGTTGACCGCTCACTATTGGAGAAAAAAAAAAAAAAAAGAGAACTAAACATTGTGTTGGTATATTAAAGAAGTTGATAAAGCCAAAAAAAATAAAAAGAACATGCATAAAAGTAACCTTGAGTTTCGTTTCAGAAGATGATGGTAAGACAATTGTATTTTATTCAGTTATTAATGAGCTTCTTCTCTAGGCTTCTGATACTCACGGAAAAAGTTATAGCATATGTCAGGGCCTCTATCATTTATCATACTTTTTTTGTCAGAAAACTCGTTAATACTCTACTCATAGGACACTATACCTACAAAGTCGAATCAGACGGTAGGAGTGACAATCTGTTCCAACGACTGGCTATAGAATTAAGCTTAGCGTATTGTTAAACTTAATGGATAAGTCACTAAGTGATTTGCATAGTGCGCACTGAAAACAGAGCAGGGTAGTCTGACTTGTGGGTACAACCATTGACAAAATTCATGCCAATGAAGTCAGCCTTGTTAAATTTTCCGCTGCTTTTCTGAGAATTTTTTATATCGGGGTCTTCCCTAATGCCTTTATTTGCAAACGCAAGACACACTGCAGTATCCGAGTTTTCCATTTACGGCAAAAAATCTGACGTATTTTTCGACTCTGCTTTGTTCTTATTCTCTCTCTCTCTTCCTTTCCTAGCTCTCTTCCGTATCCGTTCCATTACACCGTTCTACACTCTAATTGTGCAATTCAGAAAGTAAACATCAAGATTCGAGATTTTATATTGGACAAAACAAAAGTGTTTCGATGCACTCGGCATATACGTGGATATTTGCGACAGGAATCATTGTATTTTTTGTTGTCCTTGTGATATTGTTATTCTTTACAAGATCACCTATCGAGTTACCGCTTTCCTTCAACGGAGATTTAGAAGATCTGCTGCTTTCTGATGCAGAAGAAGATATTGTAAACTTATCAGAAGATGCAAGGCTTAGTTACGAAAGCGCAAGAAGTAAAGCTGACTGTTTCATAAGAAATGAAAATAAAGAGGCAGCAATTTTTTAACTTTTTTAACATGACATTTTTTACTCAACAGCTTGGCAAGAACATCACCCGCCTAACAGCATTCCTACTGACATTACTCCACCGCAATATATAAGTATTCAGGAAAAGGGGGTCTCAGCATTTGAGTTTGAATGGGATTTGGAAGCCAATTGCTTTGTCGCCGGTCGAACAGAAATACAGTTTATGGAAGGCGAAAATTGCGTACAGACGAACTTGCCTTTACCAAGGAACCAAGAAGTGTATTACTGGGAGGTAAAGCAAACAAAAGAATTTGTCTCTCGAACTAATAATAGTCAACTGAATAGGGTGTTAACTGAAAATTGTATTTTTAGGCGAAAATGTTTGACAAACCTGAATCAACAGTTGTATCCGTAGGTGTTGCGACGAAGCCATATCCCAGCTGGAGATTGCCTGGTTGGAATCGATTTTCTATTGGGTACTTCTCGAGCAATGGGAACAAGTATTTTAGCTCACCTTTCAATAATAAGCACTATGGCTTACCGTACAAACATGGTGATGTTATTGGTGTCGGCTATAGACATCGGACAGGATCCATTTTTTTTACGAGGAATGGTCGAAAATTAGAAGAAGCCTATACAGGTTTAAGATGGAACCTGTTCCCCACCATTGGTGCGAATGGGCCTTGTCAGATACACGTGAATTTGGGTCAGGCAGGCTTTGTATTTGTGGAAGCCAATGTTAAAAAATGGGGATTGGCTCCATCGCAAGGCACGTTATCACCACCACCTGCTTACGGAATTGAGCGTGATACAGTATTATTGGCAATGGGATCACAACCAAGCCTTCAAGATCAACACTGCGATAGAAATCTGCAGCAACAGCAGGAATCACCGGATAACTCCACATTAACCCGACCGTATGCCGCTTTGATTGATATGAATGGTGCAAGAGTGCCACATGTTCCTCGTCGGCCACCATCTTATAACGAGCATCATCATCCAAATGAACAAACGAACAACAGTGGCCCTACCGAGAATGGTAACAGTAGTAGCAGTAGCAGTAGTAGTAATAACAGAAATGATAGTTAATTCATCCGTCATCATACCATCATCGTCATCTTCATCGTCATCTTCATCATCCAATATGAGCCCATCATCACCTCTCGCTTTCAATGATGAGCCCAACTTATAACCCATTTTTCGAATTCCCCTTGTCCCCTCTCGTTTCACGAATTTTGAATATCGTCAGATTCACTGAAAGATTTTATTTTATTTTTTTCTTTAATAATGTAGATAGCATATGTATTTATTTTCTATTCTTTATTCAATAAAGATATTTAATATTTCATCATCTAGTGGACAAGAAATTCGTCAGATATGCAAGTGAAGGTGATTGTTTGTGATTTGTGTATAATGATGTGCGATATAAATAATGATAGTGATGTCTAATAATTCAAAAAAACAGAAAAAAAAAAAGTTATTTACATTTCGAAGAAATCGTCATTGTTTTCTGTATCTCCTTCGTGAACTTCAACATCTCCAGTCTTAGTAGCGCTGGTATCCAAGTTTTCGATATCAACGGGCGTTACGGGCTGAAGAATACCTCTTTTGATCAACTGCTCTTTATAATTCTCTCTATATCGCTTGTTTAACTGTACCAAATCCTTATCGCCGTCTTTCAATGCTTGTTTGATATCATTCAAAAGCTTTTCACGCTTTTTCTGGCTTTTGGGATCATTCTCATTGGATTTGGGATAGAGTGATACATAATCAGCCGTGCGTGGATGATGCGTAATATATAACAATCGTATCTCTAATTCTTGTATTTCCTCGTCTATTGCTCGTTTACTGTCCTCGTCGACTGCTTCCTCTAATTTTCGTTTGGCTTGTTTTAATTTACGTTCTGTTTTATTGCGTTCTATTATCAAGAAAAAAAAATATTCTATCAGTCCATACTGTTTCATTCATTCAAATGCGAGTAGAAAACTATCATAGAGAACCCTCCAATTCAGTATGGGTCAGTTGCTGTACTTACCGAAATGCTTTACTTTATGGTATTTGCTGGATTTACTACGTTCAAATTCATCTAATGTTCGTTCTCCCAACTCAAATTCCAACGCGCGTAGTTTTCTTTTATTTTCAATAATAAGCTGCGAAGGAGCGCCTTCCTAAAGATGAAGAGAAGCAAACAATCGTCAGTTGAGCAGTCATTTGTAGCCAATGGGGCAATGGTGATGTATTTACTCTGTTTATGGCTCGTTTCGTATCGCGGATTTTCTTTTTAATCTGACTCAAGCTCATACGCTTGTCGCCTACAATATTTTGTTTATTTCTGTTTCTTGTAAAAGAAGATTTGTTTGGACCTTTTTTGTGAACGACCATGTTTGTACGTATGTAAAAAGACGTTGTTATTACTGGTAAAGTTGCTTCTTTTGGCCTGAAGCCCCCGCCCACTTCTTTCTTGAGAAAACGAAACACGTCACGCAATGATGAGTGGCTTCAAACTTATCGTTTGCATTAACCAATCAAAATCACTCCAATGACACTTATTTGTATACATGTTTGCTTTGTCCTGCAAAAAAAAGTAAGCTTTACTTAATGAAAGACTTATGAATAGAAAGAGTATTCTGCAGATTTTTCCAACAGCATTCTAGCCGCCAACCTAGTGATAAGATAAAATACCCATGCATATGCCATTTAAATTGTTGGATAAACGTCAGCTTTTCGTGAGATAAAGGAGCTGTGAAGACTATTGTTCTCAAGAGGCAGTCTAGGTCATGTCGCAGGAAAGATAAGGTCAATTAAAGAAGTTTGTTTGTAATATTGATTTTTTTTTTTCTTTATTTCCATATGAAGAGCGGTACGAGCTATTTTTATCGTTGTTGCCCCTACGTTATTTTATCGCTGTTGCTCCACGTTAGAAAATCAAGGAAACGTCTACACTGAAACAGTAAGATAGAATGAATGTGTCATACTCTGAGGAGGACGGCCACGACGAAGTTGTTTTATCGCATCTTGACCCCCCGCCCCATTACATTCGTGAGACTGCTGCCACTCCGGTTTTCCCGCTGGACAACGCATTGCCCTTCCCTCGCCTCCCTCTCCCATAAGAGCCTGAGGAGAGGAAATGAGGGAAAGGCACATGTCCAGAATTGCAGCGCCGTGACTTGCCAAGTGCTTGCTCCGAGGTTGTACCTTACTGTTACGGCCACGGAAAGGTGCATTGCGATACTCCAGAAAACATGCAGGAGTGGAAAGAAAGAAGACAAAAGAACCTTTGACTGGCATGCACTACGAAGAGCCGTTTTTTTCTCTCAGCAAACGGCCCAAAAACAAGCAGATACAAGGGCTCATGACACCCTAAACGCGCCCCCCAGGAAGAAGAAACATCTTGTATGCGCCGATTACCCTTTTTCACAACAAGAATTAAATTGCATTTTAATAACATATTTGATTCAATCTCCTCCCCCCCCCTTTCTTTTGGGTAAAGGGGAATTACTATAAAACGCTTACATATATGGCTGCATATGCTATAAGCAGCCTGCCATTAGTCGCGCCATTCACCCAACAGAAGCCTACGAAGCAAGGTTCTTCAATGTTGCAACCGTAACAGAAACATAGGAAACACCTTGCTCAAATAGGATGACGTGGGTCCACAGTGCTCTCATAGCGTGTAGTAAGCGACATGCGTTCTGACAAATGCTGATAGACATTACGTTTTGAAATATGCATGGTTTAATTTTGACCAACTAATTGAGAGAATTCAATTATCAATAAAGAGTAAAGGTAGAAAAGATATAATTTTTTTTTTTTTTTACCTTTTTAAAAGAAAAAGAAAAAAAGAACGATAAACAACAACTAGACAGCCACGCGAGATGGAATTGGCGGATGTCACGATGTCACGATTGTTGTTTACCGGAGGTTCAAAATTTTTCTAATGTCTGTGGTTTCTTTTTGTTCAGAATTTTCAAAGCAACAGAACAGAAGAATTGGTTTTCTGGAACGTTTCCAGAACATTCCTGCTGACGGATGGCTTCAGGGAACATTCTCCATGCGAAACTGTTACCCTAATGCCCTGTGAAAGATGTGAGTAAAGCTACGGTTAATATCCCATGCAATACCGTTGAGGGAACCTATACTTACATCCGGGCATAAAGTGAAAAGGAAGAGCAAAAAGTAATAAAAAGAACAATTCGTCTTTTTCTTATTTATCGACTTCTTCGTTATAATTACAACCCCGCGCGTATGGACTGTTGAGGTCGTTCATAAAGCAGCATAGATAATCACACACTATGTGGAGAAATGTAACTAATGACAAGCTTTGGCTGGTATCTTAATTGACGGAGGTTATGTTTCAAATACAAGCAAAAGACCACTATATCATTTCTGTGATTTATTAAGAGTTCCTATCCTTTACTTGGCTAAAAACAAAGGATATGCCTTTTGTTCGTTTGCGAAATGGAACAATCGAGAACTAATAGAACCTTTTTAAGCAGCAGGAACATGATGATGGCAAACAACGTTTCAAGTCCATCGACTCAATCCATATTCCTTACTACTGCTCCTATGCAGATTTTTGGATCGACAAATAAGGGACATTGGGAGTTTTCCCAAAAGTCGCCACAATTGACCCACATATCCGGATGGATACTATTTTGAATCATAACCAACAGCATCACTTACCATGCTATCGTCACTTGTGGCCCTTTTATGCAATTTATAGAATGCTTGTCTATTCTTGCTTCTTGTATTGCTGCGGCTGTATTACTAGCCTAACTTTGCCAAAACAGGCCTGTATATTTGTGTATAAAAAAAGATGGTTCTATTTGTTCAATGCTTGCAAGGCAAATTTCATAGATTCACAATATGAAAAGATAGCATTAAAGATTGGGATTGTGTGATATAGTGGTTCAAATAACTTTTTAAACAGCCTGTGAAGGTGGGCTATTCCTTTTATGAAAAAAGCTTTTTTGAAACAGGAAAGAGGGTCAGATGCGTTCTTAAAAGTTGAAGGAGGATATGCAGAATTCTGCGTTTCTGTTATCTGCCTGGGTATAGCATATTTACATTTGGCATAACATACATCCCGTCCTGACTTGTCTACATTCAATTGAGTGCATAGCTTATATCATGTCTGCAACTGCTGAGGTTGCGAAGCATTGTAGAAGGGGGGGGCGTGTTATCTTACAACAGCTGAAGGTTCGTCTCGATGCCATCCAAAGAGCGCCAGCAAGATATGCTTCGTTATCGATCAGCAATATTACTTATTCCGGCTATCCTTCATAACACTATTCTCCAAAACAATTATGCTCCATATTATATTATTGATCGGCCTAAATCACTATTCATTCTGGTGATAAGGTTTTAATCAATGATACGTTGTATATACTTTGTTACTTTTTGAGAAAATGTCTTATAAGCCCTTGTTTTTTTCTCTTTGCGTGATTGTCGAGTATCAATTTTAGGAGCATGCTTCCAATTCCGAAGAATGCTGCTTGCCAACTCAATTTGGACAATAAATTTCGTAGCGTTAGTGCGTACTATGACTTGGCGATTAATAAAGTGGGTATCACATTACATATGAGTGGGCTGTTCATAGAACTTTTACAATTTGAAAATTTAAAGATATTGGGTAAAACTCTAATTTAATTTTTTCTAAATCTTGATCACGTTACATTGTGGTTGAAAAACGGCAGTTTCGAACCAAGGCTTACGGCGTACGTTAAATAGTTAATACTGCACAAGCCAACCATCAAAATATCACCGCTGAAGATGTAGCTGTACAGCTTAGCATATGATCAAGACACATCTGCTGTAACTAATAGATTAGCGGCTAATTTCTATCCTACTGTCACTCTAACTTTTGGTGTAACAAAAAATCGCATTTTTTACGATGGTGGGGGGGGGGTGGAGTTGCTCTTTGATGAAAAGCTTGTCCACGTTACTAACGGTAGTTAAAGTGTTGCTTACAGGGAAACATTGCATATTTTTAACAAGCGAAAATCATATGAAGGTACATCAATGCCATTTCTAAGTTTGTTAAACTCTCCAAGTGGGCATTGGGCGTCAATAGAATGAACCAGCAAGAGATCCATTGGCAAAAGAAAATTCAACGATGTGGAGCAAACTTTGGAGATAGGAGTAAACAACACCTTAATAAATAGGTAGTTTTGACTTTTCGAGTAGCAACTTTATGTATTATCTTTTGCTGATCAAGTTCAACATTCGTATAACACGTCCCTTAGATCTCTTGCTCCCTTCCTTGAAGCAAGAGTACGATACTCTCAGTGCTCTTGACAGAACATTTCAACGTTATGCCAACAGTCCAGAACTGCCCTTGAGAATGCTAGTAGGTGACCTGTTCGAGTTTGACATCAGATAACAAGTTTCTGTTTAGCATTGCATTGGTAGCTACTGTTAATTCTAATCAGCTTGGAAAGATAGGTTATTGATCAGCTTATACGACATAAATGGTACTATTCGTCCTGTCTTTGCTGTGTCAGTCAATGACTTTTTTCAGCCCTGCCATCAAGCGGAAGAATTTTTAGACAACTGGCCGAGGAGTGGCTGTTACTATAAGGCGAGCCCAGCATAAGATCCTAAGATAGTAACCATGGTCGTAGCAGCACGATAGAAGAGTGGATACAATGCCTACTATCATGCGTTTTCTTCATATTTTAATTATACAACAATTATCTTTTGCTTATTTTCAGGAACAGTGTTCTTAAGCGGTATGCAAATAACGTATGAATAGGATCCTCCTTTTAATTTAAAAACAAATACCAATTACAACTTTACAAAAATTACAACATGTCTTTCCTAACCATTGCTGTTGAAAACACCAGTCGAATGTTTGATAAGAAACATTTACCTTAACGGAAAAGGGTACATTTGATTGTCCCTTCTGTTTCAACCCAATTAATGACTATTTTCGTAAAGAGGTGATAGGCTTTAAAATCTATGAGCATAGCTATATCTCTTTTCAAAAGCTGAAATAATGCTGCGTTATCAACAGCGAGAGATTCCTCAAAAGAAACCAGATGGTAGACCCCAATTGCTCTTGAAAAGTCAAAAGAATATAGAATATGCTAAACAAAACTGGACTTTGACGAAGAGAGTTCAGTAAGCATCTCATTTGTCAAGACCAAGACTTTCCATTGTGAACAGAAGGATAAAAGAGAGATTCTTGTTCAAAATACCGAGGCAGGCTTTCAAATTACAAGCATGTGCATGATAACCAAAGTGGTACAAAAAATGTTCCATTTGAAAGTGCAAGCACAATATTGACATGATGAACTAGAAAAAGATAATGCATAATAAACTGTAATTTATTGGAAAACGTGATTAATGAAATGGTTGTGTAAAGAGTAGATAGAACTTATATGTAAGTGAAGGATAACTGCAGTGAAGAAGGGAACTGTTTTTTTAACTGTACAAAGGTTGATGAAAAGGAAAGAGGAGCATTTGCTTTGGGAAGAGCCATTACAAGTGATATTCGTCATTTTGTTTCCTCTAAATGGTCGAAAAATACTTAAAAATAACAGGTGTATATTGGTACATTGTCACAATGGATAAGGAGACAATGCTTAATACAATTGTGTCTATAGCGAAAATGTTAAAATGACGTTAGCTCATGAGAACTCAATGTTGAAACATTACTTCTTCATTAAATAGGGAGTTGCATATATCCTTACTGAATATAGCCTTCTCCCAAGGCTCTAACATGTATAAAGCTGTTTGTAATTCATATTGATATAATTTTCTAGACAAAAACTGAGAAAGTCGATTACTCTCCATGATTCGAATGCTCTTTTTGTAAAAAGGGAAATAAAGAGGTTAATACTGTTTTCAGCAAATGGAAAAAAAAAAAAAAATTAAGTTTGAATCAGAAGTTTCAAGTCACGATTGAGGTCCAGCATAAACGGATCCATTAAAAAAAGAAATTGGTTCGTTTCTCAGAAGAGTTAAATTCAGGAATCATTTTGATACCCTTCAGAAATTAAAAAAAAAAAAAAAAAAAAAGTGAAAAGCACTTATCCTCACTTAAAGCTCTAATTTCAGAAAACAGAGATAAGCTTAAAATCCCCGTTGCTACGATAAAATGCATGCTAATTGTTTCAAGAATGATGTCGCATTAGATTCGACATGTAGTCTAGCTTTTGCCACTTGAATAACGAATAAGCTTGCTTTGCTTCCTGCAGGTCTTTTAGTATAGACTTTCTAATTAACCTCTAACTTTTTGATTATCACTAGCACGTTACGCTAGTTGCTTGTGTATGTGGCAATCTTGCGTGTATTTGAGATGCTTATCGTTACAAAAATCTCTCATTTCGTCTGTTATGCAATATTAATTATGTCTATAGTTCGTCTCTTTGTTTCTCTAGAGTAAGGCCTTCCTTGTATTTTGGTTTCTTTATAATCGCCTTTGCTCCTTTGTTTCCTTATTTTGCTGTCTAAATTCAATTTGGTTTCTTCTTTTTTTTTAGGGTCCTTTGTAACTTACTAGTTCCTTAAAGCCAAGCAAAAAGCTATATATTCCTCTTTTTCCCTTTCTCTTTCAATCTTTTCAAACGAATGCAGCAGCAAGCAACAACTATTGAGCAGGAAGTATATACATCGACAGTCATTGGTGCATCTGCAATGGCATATCAGTTTCAAAATCAATACAGCGGCGGCGGACTACTTAAATATCAAAATATATACCATATAGACTGGAAACTGCATTCTTTATGGATTGTAGCCATTATCAGTTTCATCATACCACATTTATGGTGGCTAGTTCCACTGCCAGGCTCAGAATTATTGCCAGCTTACCGAACATACCCGGCAACTTTTTTTAACACAATATTTACTGCATTTGCCTGTGCACTCGTTTGTCGATCAATTACAGTTGCTTTGTTGAAAACTTTTGAAAATGGAATATATCCTGATTCCGTCGTGCGGTATGGCTCCGCTGGTGGATTTGGTGCCATATGGAGTTGTGTTCGCTACAGATCTGGTTTTCGTTATTTCTTGATTGCTTCTCTTGCTACTATTTGCATGCTTTTGGGAAATGCTTTGCAAAGTGAGTTCATGTCTTCCTTGTCTGTTTCTTCAAGAGTAAGCAACGTCTTGTATGAAACTCAACTAGCAGAATGCCGCCACACGACTGCGCAGGATTTTGAAATGGCTTCAAACGCATATACTAATGGATGGATCAACCATAACTTATCCGACGCCTCGGGTCTACTTATAAAAACGCATAGCCCCTCAACGGCATTATCTGTTCTTACATCAACATTGACACCTATCTCTGCTTCGTTCAGTGACACAACCCTCAACAAAAGGTGGGCAAACGGTATTGTCGAGCGATGTCATGATAAGAAGAACAACAAAGCCGGCGTACCTCGATGGAATGACCAGAATAACAGTTCCAACAGCAACGGTACCCTACTGTTGCCTGGTGAGCAATCGACAGCACAATTCGATCAACCGAACGTACAGCAACCAAACCAATATCAGCAAGCTCCTCCAGAACCGGTTCAAGACTACAGTAACCATAAGGTTTTCTTGACCATCAACGGTGAGCAAGTCGCTATCGATAATGCAACATCCTTATATGATTTCAGTCAAAGTAAGCTGATCGTGTCAAAAACTTCCGATAACGCTGTCTATCGCTACGATAATACAACCAATGCTATCCGCTTAAATGTGATTCGGTACACTACCAATGACGGCAAAGAAAGCATTATTTTGTATTCCAATCCTCTCCATGGTTACTCTTCTGGATTCTATGTCACCTCGGTTGCTTCGAATTTCACTTGTGCCGGCAACGAATGCAAACCAATCAGTAACAGCAGTCTCAATCATGCTGATAATCGAATCGTTGCTGACGCATTAGCAGAGGCTATTCAATCAGGTATTGGCATGTATGGCACCCTAGCCATGAATAACTCTCTCCCGCTTAACCTCTTGAACAACCAGTCGCTGGACAATAAAGGTGCGCTCGCTGATTCGCTCTTTGCTAATCCTGCCTGCCCTGAAGCTAAACTGTTGCCAGGTATCCGCACTCAAAAGCTGCTGACTTATTCAGCGGCTCAATGGACAATTCTTAGTATCATTTGGACCGTCCTTTATGCTATTCTTTGGGCTATTGGAGCATGGCTCATCGGCTACTCTGAAGAAACATGGTCAGAATTAGCGAGAACAGGCTTGATGTTACCCCAACTAATACATAACTCTCCCAACCTCTTTGTGGATAACTTGAACGGAGCAGTTGTTGATCAACGGGCGTTCTTGACTATGGAAAATGGCAAATTCGAATACACCAAAGACAATCAAAACCACCATCATGGCTACACTGTAACAACGGAAGAAGTGCTGGATTCATAGAATTTCCGTTATCTTAATAATGTTATATAGATGTCTTCAAGTTGTAAAAAGAAAAGAAAATCAATCTTTGTCATATTTTGTCCTCCTTTCACCTTCATATATCTCAGTTTATCGATCCGAAAATTCGATATTTTACTATTCTTTACTATCCATAATAAATAAGTTTAATTGCTGTGTATTTCAAAATAATTTTTCCCCATTTTCACCTTAATGTCATCATAAGACTGCTACATTTGTCAACAACTTCCAGTACTTTAGAACCAAGCTTTGTATAATTCTACATAATCTTTGTTTGCTGGAAAAGGCAACCTATTTACGACCGGCAAACAGGCATGTACTGCTAATGATGGGCAATAATACAAGCAACGACCAAAACTACAGTTAGCAATGCATAGCTTGTATTGCAGCGTAGGAAGCTAACAAAATAATATTATTATTCACAATCACTGGTTTCAATGTGCGTGCCGAAATCTTCGTCTGTGAGTGGTGACATCTATAAATCTCCTACTGAGTCCCTTTTAATTTTTCAATATGTGTAACAACATTTTTTTAACTCCCACAGCATATTGCTCTTTTCTGAAGGACATACTTCATCATCTACTGTGATTAATTAGATCGATGTGAGTTAGGACTGGTAAATCCTTATTCTTTTATCTGTTCCTTCCCTTCGAAAAGCAATAAAGGACGTTTAAAGTTGGACATTTAAATCTATTTAAACTGGGTCGTCGAAGAATCTTCTCGTAATAGTCGATGATGGTCTGAAGTAAAGAGGTTAACCAAGTCTAAGTTTACTAATGGATGTAATAATAAAGCTGTGTGATGAAGTTTTTCCGTTTTAATAGTTGTTGTAAACATAAAATAATACTGAACTCTCGGAAGGCTCTTCTGTATACAGCGCAAAGGGTTGTAATGCCTATGTTATACTACAGTAGAGGAATGTCAATGATGCAAAGATTCTACTTGCTATTTGCTGTATCTAACATTACATTGCTCTTGGATATCTGCATAATATTATATTACAGATCCATATAGAGTTTAGGATAGCCTTGATTGATAGACTTTCAGAAAAATACTCTTTCTTTAGGAGAACATTATAACATTTTGATTATTTTATCTTTGCGACAATAATTCACTTGATTAGAATAAAGATGCTATAGCATTTTAATTTAAACAAATCAGATAACTTTATTTTGCAGATCTAATAATCTAATAATGAACACAGAGTCTAGTCAACTGAGGCTATTAACCAACAGGTTGATTCACAACTTTATCTTTTGATATTATCCATAAGACGCAAGTGAGGTATTTAAAACAGTTTATCTTGTCCATACCATCAGTCATTGGCTGAAGAATCTTTTACTAACGATCGGCTTTTATGACCAACTAAATTAAAATTATAATAATGCATACCTTGAAACAGCAAGTAATTACGTGCCTGGGGCTTGTATTGTAAGTGTTTACCTCCACTAGCAAATGGCTGATTAAATTCTTGAGATCTTACTCATATTCTTTTGGAAGGAGCTTTATAAGGCACATTTATTTGCCTTTCAGTGAAAAGTGAGGGGTATAAAAATGCATCAACAAGATAGAGAGCTATTTCACAGTGGATCTAACGTAGAATAAGTTATAGGCAGCCTTGCTAAGAACTTTGGATGGATCACAAATAGAGAAACGGGTATCATCAAAATTGTGCCATTCATTTTTGTAAGCATTTCGAACACAAGCGGTATAATGGCCTCCTGTCAAAGAACCATAATGATTCGATACAGCATACAAATCATACTTGAAAGAAGAAGGGTCAGGTGTTTGGCTGGGTGGGAACATCCATTCAGGAACGTAACGGGACAAATCTAACCCACTATAGAGAGGGCAAAAGAATATATATAATGCATATGTATCACGTTAGTACTCTTATGCAATACATGCTAAGGAAAAGAGGATACTTTACACCATCGCAGAATTGACGTAAGTTTCTAGTTTATCTTTAAAAGGCCCATCAAAAGAAAACCGCTTCAAATGGATTAACAAGACATCCGGCAATTTGGATAATGTGAGTGCTTTACTTGCTCGTCGTCGCGTTTTACAACGAGGACAATTCCATGCATCATCCTGGTCCAAAATCTCTTCCTTTACGAAGTAATCCAAGCAATCATATATACTAACACTGGAGGGCCCATGTCGGGTAGCAGGGATTGGTAAGGACAGTGACATAAAAGCATTATACGTAGTTGACGTCGTATGGCACGTCAAGCAAGTGAGTCGACTACGATATTGTCCCTGAAACAAACTTACGACTACGCTCGAATTGCGCTGCAGATACTTCTCCCACGCAATTGCACTCGCTTGCCAATCTGGTAATTTCTCAAATTGTGCCTCGTCCTCAGCCGTTTCAAGTGATACTGAAGGTGAATATCCTTTCCTACCTTTTACAACCAAATTGCAATCCTCATGCAAACCATCCAACAAGAAATTCAAAAATTCTTGAGAATCGTGCTGTTCACTGCCTTGAAACTGAGGTGCAAATTTGATCAATGCTTGTCGAAAAAGAACAGGAGAGATAAAATTGTAATTTTCACTCCACATGGTACGTAGCAAGCTAGCAAAGCTTTCGGCCAATTCACCGCCAGTACCCAAGAAATTATCTTTGTTGATGTGTTGTCGATAAACACCGGAGATGTAATAACGGGCAAAAGGAATTGTTCCACTTAGACATTGAATAATAGAGTTCATAAAGCATGTATTTCCTAAATTCTTAAGACCAGTAATTCCTATCATGACGCTGCCTTGTTGGGAGAAAGCATTTGATGAAATAGGACCCATACGGTATTCATTATGAAGAACACGCGGTGGCGATGTTGTCGTAGATGTGTCATAATAGTTATTCTGACGAAAATTAGTGGCAGCAAGTTCCGAAATAGTAGTATTAGTAGTAGGCGGAGATGGTAACGGCCGTGTCGGCTTAGGCGGAATAGGTGGCACTTCGAACTGTTTGTTTGTGGTAGTAGTGAATCCATGAAAAGGATTATCGATAAAAGTCTTTTTCCGTTGAAGAGTTGATTTATATGGTGCTGATGTTGATAAAGCCGGGCTAGGATGTGGCACAGGCATAGCCGTAGCATCGGCGCCAATGCCATTATAGGATTGATTTAATGTATTGCTAAAGACTCCACGAATAGGAGGAACCGTTTGGCCATTAAAGCTACTTTTGGTCATTGATTCTTTAGTTCTCGTAGATGCCGCATCGCTGAACTGTTAGCAATAAATTAACATGTCAGTATAGACAAAACTTTTGCACTTAATGCGATATTAACATGTATAAACTAGCAGCTTACATAATCGTAAACTGTATGATGTACTTTAACAGCAGTTACTGAAGGGTTATCCGCTGAGGGTTCATTGTTGGTATTCAATCTCGGGGATGCTGAGTGATTCTTTCGCTGATTGTCCTTTTCACTTTGCTGCTGTTGTTGTTTTTCCTTGCCATCACTATGGGCATACCTATATATGCCTCTTTCACCTATGATTTGTTTCCATGCGTTGAATCCACCTGCTAACATTATGGGTGCTCTTTGCAGCGTCTTGATAAATTCAAGCTCATAAATGGCTTCCGTTAATTGACGTAGAGCAGGACACTGCTGGATCGTCGTTGAGTTTGCATCATAAAAAACGATAATATCAAAGTGGTGTCGATGGGCAAAAATTTGCTGTTCTGTGTCAGGATTCAGTAGCATCGACTCTTCAATCTGTTTCGATGTAATGCTTTATGTTGATCATATTTTCAAGTTAGTGTTGCTGGTAGAAACGTAAGAAAAGAAACAAAAGGAAGATGCCCATCAAAACTCACTTACTTTTGCTTTAAAATCAAAGGTTCTATTTGTACTATCCATTTGTGCTTTATAAATCCTTGATCAAAGATATGTCTGGGTCGAATATCCAGAATCAGTACACTGGGTTTTTCCTGTTGTAGTTGATGAGCATCACCCTTCCTAAGACTAATCCAAGATGCTAACTGCTTTGGGTTAGCTATTAAAGTTGGCGGTGTAAGAGTAAAATTCTTCAATGGGGATGGAAACTGGATGTTGAGACCTTGCTTTTCCTTAAATTGTTGCTGCTGAGACGAGCTTATGCTATTACAAGTGTCTGCCAAAACCATATGGTCATTAGGGGAGATATCATAAGTGTGTGGTGGAGGCGGTGGTGACAATGAAGAAGAAGGTGTAGTTGGAAGTGAAGATGAGGATGACGGTAAGAACGACGGTTGGGACGGAGGGTTATGTATGTCAGAAGGAAGATGTATTGGAACGGAAGGTAAGTCGTCTAGCAAAGTTTTGGAGTCGAAATCATCTATAGCAGGGTATTTGATAATAGCAGCTTCCAATAAATCTTGGCCATTGTCTTTGTCATCAGCTTGTAACTGTGCGGTTATTTCTTCCAATAGATTCAAAATTTGATCATTTGTACGCTAGGTTCATGAAGTACGGTTCACTTGTCAGGCTGAATAAAGTATAACTACAGATCCCAACTATTTTGTATTGTTTCTTACTCTTTTCAATTCTTTATAGAGCGTGTCTTTTTTGGCTTTATCAAACTGAGGATGTTTCTTTATAATCTCCACCATTATACTACACATCACAATCTCAATTAGAATTAGTTCGTTGCCCTTTGTTTTGCTTTGCAAGAAAATTTTTACCTGCATCCTTTCATATAATAAATGTATGCATTATCTAAAGAGCCTTTAGCATATGCTGCATCGGCCTGAAAGAAAGCGTGGAGTCAGAGAACTTTCTGTGTATATTTACTTGATCAAAAAGGAAAATGTCTTTACTTGTTCATATAGTTTGGCTACTGTGCTTAGCCAACTTTTAATAGCGTATTTAACAAAATTTGTTTTATCTACAGTAGCTTTTCTGGATAAATCTGCAATTGCTGAACCTTTTGAAACGGTCATTATTGTTGCCGTCAGTTCAGAGAAATAATAAAAATCGAAAAAGTAAAGCTGGGCAACGAGAAAAAGGAACTGTGCTTTTTATCCATCTTTGTTCTTTGCTGTAAGCATAATTTGATTAAATCGCCGCTTTCAGCAGATGCTTTTTTAACAGCATGCATTCTTTTACCTCATTTTTTTTTTGTTTCTATTCAGTTTTTTTTTTAGAAAAATGTCTGGTTTTCGCCGAAGTAGCAGAGTAGTTAAACAAACTAAAGAGTTAAAAAACAATCGAGCCGTTTCCAGTATACAAAAGAAGAGAAAGTATAGTATTATGCAGTTGTGGAGTATGTCAGAACATGGTTGACAAGGACTGTATTGCCACTTTTAAATTTTGCACAGCAAAAATAGTGTAGCTCAAACTACAAAAGAAATAGTTGAAAAGATCGTCAAGCAGGTACGCGAAATATAGAACATTTTGAGTAGAGCATTAACCTCAATGTCAACTTATGATAGGATGAAGAGAAGAATTTACAGAAGACTGCTATTACCAGGCAATCGATGAGAAAAGTAGGACAATTTTTAACGTTATTTGTCTTCTCATTCTCATTGACTATCACAATTATTGTAGTTGGATAACAGGCCCTCTATACTTTACTTTATGGATAAAGACGCTCATTTGGAAAAAGCAATTGAACATTTTAAAAATCAAGACCCCAAACTAGCTGCTTATTTGAATGATAAACTGCTTTTGAAATACAGAAGTCGACTGTCTAGGCACTCGGCTGGGCTTGTAAACGCATTCAGGTACGGAATGTTTAACCCACCACTGAGTTCAATCCCCTTGATTTACAGGAATCATTTGCAGGTGTCTTGGTACTGCTATAATATATCAGCAAATACATGGTAAAGCAGCTGCTTCAATTGAATCCCGTTTCATTCAATTGTTTACTACTCTCTCAAATGGTTTTCCTACACCTGAACAAGTTCTTGAAAAAAGTATTGAGGAGCTCAGATCAGCCGGCCTCTCCGCCAGAAAGGTGGGACACATTTATATAATTACTTCCGAACTTCTACTAATATTGCCCCTTCATTATTTATAATTGGTATTCAAGGCTGAGTATTTACGCGATTTAGCCGCCAAGTTCAAAGACCAAACGATCCAGCCGGAGCATTTTGAATCTATGTCCTATGAGGAAATTTCAAAGCAATTGTGTTCGGTCAAAGGGATAGGACAGGTACATAAACTAATCGTAAGTCGAATACAAAATCTTATCATACTTATCATACATTCTACACTAGTGGACAGTCGATATGTTTCTCATGCTGGATTTGCACCATTCGGATATATTGCCTGTGGGTGATCTAGGCGTTCGAAAGGGAATAATCAAACATTTTGGTTTAACCATTCCTAGCAACTGTAGTAAATCTAAAGTGTTTCCTGCTCCTGATCAAATGATTGAACTGACACGGTGTTGGAGACCGTACCGAACTTTAGGCGCTTGGCTTATGTGGCAAATTCAGGATATCAAAGTGGTCGGAGAAGATGCACATGCAGAAGAAATTGTTTGAGCAGCAACATTGTTAAGCAATATTGTTAATGATTATTTGGTAATTGAGGAACTTTCGGTTGCCATTACGATCAAAATGGTTGTTGATCTTCAAAGAATTAAGGTTAATCAAAAGAGTTAGAATTCTGTGAGAACTTGTTATACTCTTTATTCAGTGAAAATCGTACAAAAGAAAAAACTTGTATGGATGAAAGATTTTCTATCTTTTAAAGAATGATGTGTTGGTCTGAGTAGAGCGGGTTTAGTCGGTGTCATATAGACTGTTTCATCAAAGACACGGGTACCTTCACTATGGTTGAGCGCGGGTACTTACTCATTGAGAGGTTAGAGGATCGGACTGTAAGCAATAGGCGACGAATATAAAAATAGAATGGTAAGACCACTAACCAATGTCCGTTTACTGACAGATCATTGTGAATGAGTGAATTATTATTGAAGTACTATGTACTATGGATATGTAAACCTCATATGTAGCATTTGTAGATCATAATTAATATCAGTCGCTGTATTTCAACTGTGCAAGATTCTAGAAGTCTAATCTCGTATTATGGCTATGGTTACTCCTAATGTCATAATTCCGAATCATAATGTAGAACTCTGGCTCATATAACAACAATGGTGATTTTACGAAAACTCGTGTATCTATTAGCACATGCCATAATCTTCTTGAGTACGCTTTTCAATATTACTGTTTCCATTATATCCTTATCAGTTTTTTGAATACTTTTAGAATTATCTCTGGAAATGGTGAGTCAAAACAATTTCTTGTAACCACCCCCCCCAACTTGAATCTGTTCGAATGCGCCATCCTTTTGAAGTGATTACATATATTTTTCTCACCAGAAGCCTTGGCATTGAGTATCGAGGCAACAATAAGACCCTAAAGACGCAGGATCTCAAAAAAAAATAAACACTTAAGACAAATTAGAATAATAAATCATGGTTGAACGGATATGGTGTATACCTAGCAAATTTGAGCATACCATGTCGATGAACAATCTTAGTTGTTCAGCATTAGCGCGAACACCAGCATCACCCGTTTGCAATTGCAATAACGGCTATGCAGCCTGTATCAGTTCTTACGCCTACTTTAACAAATGAAGCTGGATTACAATAACGAAGAAAAGAACTTGCAACAAGACTAGCTACATCCACGATTAACTGGCAGATATTTAAATGAAGCCAATGAGTACAGTTTGTTTGATCACAATTCAAAGGAAGAGTAAGTATTGATTCAGACATGCCGCAGCAGAAAGTTTCGTGATTAAGCAACGACCTGTACCAATATTATGACCGCCTGATAACAATACAAAGACAACAACAATGCTACAAGTATACGAAATACCTGTCACCACAACACGTAAAACACACTTTAAACAAGGCCCGGACGTAACGCACCTTTCAGCTGAACGATAAGTCCAAAGCCTAAATGACAAGAATTTCAATTAAGCTTATTGAAACCTCTGAAATGATTGCTAGCCGTTTGCTTTAAAGTTTTGTTTCACAACCGAAAACGATGGCTACTGCACAGTTCTCTCATAAAAAACGAACGTAAAAGGGATTACTGGTGTGAATTCGATACGACCTGAAAGTCCAAAGCCATGCCTGAATATGTGATTAACAGAATACTCGACTGGTTAAAGCGAGGTTGAATTTCGTAGGCTTAACAATATCACTACAATGCTCAATTTTTTAAAGGCTCCAATTTTTTAAAGGCCCTTTTTTAAAGGCACTTTTTTAAAGGCACTTTTTTAAAGGCCCTTTTTTAAAGGCCCCATTTTTAAAGGCCCTTTTTTAAAGGCCCTTTTTAAAGGCTCTTTTTTTAAAGGCTCTTTTTTTAAAGGCTCCAATTTTTTAAAGGCCCTTTTTTTAAAGGTTTTTTTGTGCAGTTTCTTAAAGATTAAACTTTTAAGCGAGTTTGACATTCAAGGCACATAAAAAAGAACTGTTTGAGTATTTCAAAAAGCATTTTTTTTACAAATAAATAAAAATTTGTCATGAAATGATATGGTAAATAATAATTGTGCACCAAAACAGATGTGAGAAATCAATTCATATACGCGTCGCAAAGTTCCTTATAACAATTAGAGCAATCTTCAAACCTTCTTGCACATCCACATCCACATAACATATTGCCTTCGGCATCCAACGTTGTACTTGGGTAATTAAGAGGTGCTGCATCGACTACTTTAGTTGCAGAGGAAGTTGTAGGTATTGAAGGTACCAATGATCGCTTGTTATTAAGGTTATTGCTACTATTGTTGAACCCAATATACACATCGTTTTTCATAATTCTTGAAGGATGAGCATCGCAGCCAATACAGGCACAAGAATCCCCACAACGACAAGTAACCACTCGAATTAATTCACCTTGCTGGTTTTTTGATGGCGGTCCACAACATGAGGTAGGCGGTGGTATATTTGGTAAAGGAACAGATTCCATGGACACTGTCGATAAAGAACAGGAGGAGGAAGAAGATGACACAGAGGAAGCTGATGTAGCATCATTGGTTGAATTACTTTTCCTGTCCGAACAACAAGACAGCGAATACGTATCCTCTGCTTCGATTGAAGGCGTTGTTATCGTAGGTGAGGTGGACTTAGAATAGGTGTTAGTTTTATTAGAGCAACATGCTGGTTGCATTCTTGTGGTTGTAGATGTTGCTGCAGTTACCCTCTCGATCATATCGTCTGTTATTGGTGGGCTGCAGTTATTATTGTTCACTATAGGTGAGAAGGTTGTTCCCGCTAAGTTGTAACCCAACCTAGAAGGAAAAGTCGTTTCAATAGATGGTACTGGTAAATCCATGGTTCTGAATGGTGAATGACTTTTCGGAACTGTGGTATGACTATAAGAGAAATGATTGATCGATGGTATAATGGTTTTGTTGCAGCTGTTTTTAGTTTTGCTCCCGTTATTGTCGTCGATGGGAGATCCTATTTTTGGTGCGATAGGCCTTAATGTTGTTGTTTCAATTGTTTTCCTTCTTTTTGCTAACGAGGAATGATTATGCGTTAGAAAGTGAGCAACAACAACCCAAAAAAAAAAAAAAAGGGAAGGAAAGGAAAAGTGCCAAAGATTCGATAATACCTTTTGTTTCTTCAGTAAAGTCAGCAGTAGTTTTCACTCTGAATTGATCCGCTTTATATAATTACCATACGCCTTGCGTATCAGTTAAGGTAATTGATTCTTCTTTTTACTTCAGTACTTTACTATTTTGAAAGATACCGCTTACTTTTGTCTTTGCAATTACATTTAACGTGCAGCCGCCTGGATATTCGTAACTGCTTACATTTGTCGCATTGTGTCGAAGGCCTCCCTTTTTTTTTTATAGGAAGTAATTGTCGTTCAGTATGTGAGCACTGTGTCGCTCGATGGCCCTATATTTGCGAGTGAAAAATGTCAAGCTCAATTACGCATTCTTGCAATTTAGGATACGAAAGGGAAGTGAGTTAACAAACTTAAAATAAACCTTAATGCATGTTTCTATAATACAAATGAGTTAGTTAGAGTCAGAATACAGTTTTGAATTTTCATATGAACTTCTGGCATTACCACAGGCCCATTTTTCACCATTAATGATCATTAAGAAAAGTTAGAGGTATAGAAATTGCTTAACCTTTAAAAAAAAAGGCACAATAGAAAACTTTGTTGACGGAAGTTTAAAGAAAAAAAAAGAAAAAAAAAATTTGGATTATTGGAAATGCTTACCTTCCAGCAATCTAATAATAAAATTACGTTTAAACAGAGATTTTATTGACAAAATAATTTAAGCCCAATGGGCACACAGATAAACTACATATCAAAATTGCCCGGGGCAGATCAAAGAAGTAGAGGAATTAAAAAAAAACCCCTTAATGGGAACAAGGGAAAAAAGGCAGTAGATCCTGAAGCAGACTAGGAGAAGGTGGAGCGATCATTGATGACTGTTGTGGGCGCATAGAGCCAATCTAAAAAGAGCTGTCCTAAACTTTCTGACGGGATTGGAGGTACTTTCTCATGTTGAAGTAGTCGACTTCGAAAAGTAACAGCTGAATGATGGGCCATGTTGTACTCCAGTTGACGGAAGCTTTGTTGCGTTGTTTCAGAGGTCGGGTTGGGAGCTGGTTCAAAAGGTGAGAAATTGGGTCAGAGATGTCGTGTGGCAGCTGTAGACGGTTGTGCATATTGAGGCATTCGATGGCATGGTCTTTGGTGAGAGTGCGTGATGGATGGTACAAACAATGGGTAATAATATAATTACGTTTAAACAAGGATTTTTATTACTGACATTTTTAAGCCCAATGGACACGAGATATTAAACTTATCTAAATTGCCCGGGGCAGCTCGAATTGAGAATAGAGCGATGCATAATGTCTGTCAGGGCGCCGTGGTGGGCGAAAAAGCATACTATCTAAATGGGGGAGGGGGAAGGGGCTAAACTAATCATTATAATTGGTAGGCTAAGACTTTGGGCGCGGTTCGGGATCTTGCTTAATTAAGCCTGGGCGGGCACCGCAATTATTCATAACTTGTTGAAACACCAACACCGACCGAGAACCACCTTGATAGCGGCATTAAAAAACCCTAGGAAGCAGAGAGAAAGGGATCAAAGCTGAAAAAATTTCAGCGGCGTACAGGAATCGAACCAACAATCGTTGGTTTTTGGAAGCCAAGGTGTTAACTACCTCCACCGGGGGCTGGGCCCCATAATATAATTATGGTATTTTCGCTTCAGATTCAGACTCTTTGAAGAAAAATTCGGACTTTTTATTGGGAAAATTTATACTGGTTATAGGGAAAATTTTGGACTGATCAATTGTTAAATTGGGATTCTTTACGAAGCTGTCTCAGACCGCTTTCTTTTGCATCCCAAGATGGTCGCAAACACTTTTTTCTTCCATAACCGATCCACCAACCGCCTCATAATGAAGCGACCAGGTGAATATAATGTGAAACCGCGGTTGCACTCACATCTTTGGGCCAAGTACTCATAGATTCTACAGTGCAACTTCAAGCCTACGTCAATAGATTGCGGGCAGGCTCTTCTATAGATACCGACGACCCAGATCAGGATTTAGAAGCATCACTACTACGACGATTGGCCAACAGTGCCCTTTGGCCTCATTTGGCTTCAGCGTTTAGGCTTTATCCTAACAGCCGAACACAACAAGTAGCAGATATAGGGGTAGTTCCCAAACGGATGTTCAATCTGTTCTGGTCCCTTCCTTTGTTTCTTCCGGCTCGTGACCTAGGCTATCGCACCATTTTCAAAAAATTACCATGCTTATCAGTCCTACAAGCAGCAGGGGTAGTTTCATCTGCTATCTGCAAATTTTGTAATTATGATATTGATATGTTCGAACATTTCATAACCAGTTGCCCTCTACGCTGGCAAATATGGCAAGAAGGCCTCCCGGCATATTTCCCGTCCTTCTGCTTTGATCCTTAAAGCATCTTTGCCGCTCTCAGATTACACACGCCTCCATCACCACCTTCGTCCGAACAATCTTAATTTTTCACCGTCTGATTCAATATCCATTGGGCTATCTCGACTTCACTCTTCCGAATGATATCCATGACATTCCTTTCCACCCCCCCCATCGGTCCTTAGTAAAGCACACAATATTATTTTCCTTGAGCCTGCCTTCCTCACAGCTCTTGCGGGAAGCGGCTGCCTTCGACTAATTACCCGTCTGGAGCTTGTCTTTTCCTCTCCATGTCCCACCCCTCAGCGATGTGTGATTAATTTATTATTTTTGGATAAAGTAATTTACAAAAAAAAAAAAAAAAAAAAAAAAAAACCGCCAAAAGTCGTATTTACACATGCTATGCAATAATCTGGTTCTTTGTTTATCTATGATCCAATAACAAAATCAAGTGATGAGAGGTCTCATTCTCAAAGATGCTGACAGTTCCCTTAATGATTACCTGTATTTCATTGTTCAGATATCCTTAAAAAAGATTGAAACTAAAAAAAAAGTGTCTTATCAAGTACAAAGAGCTCGGTGATACTTCCACAAATAGTAGCTGATATTCTAATATATATACAGCAAGTCAATTCCTTTGTTATGTTTTCATTTTAAGAAGAAGCTCGATTGCGATATAAGCGGAGATGACCAACTGATATATTGGATCTTGTTTAGCCGTCTATCTTGTGTACAATTCTAGGAAAGTGGTACGACTGTTTATTTACTATTACTAGTAGGTCTTTGACTTGAGAACAATCTATTTCACAAGAAAAGTGCATTGCATAATGTAAATCTTTCGACTTAAATTTTGCTTAGAATAATATAGCATATTCAAAACCTATTATGCATTTAGTTCTAATTTATTGGCGCAAGAAATGACAAATCATCTGTGAGGTGTAATCGTATACAGAGGATGATACACGCTATGCACTTCTCAATGGCCTTCATCCGAATGTGCTCGCAAGTATTTTGAAATTTGTTTGTTAGAAAATCCGAAATAAGTAAATACTGTACGTTTAAACAATGAAATGGACACGAGATATGAAACTTATTTGGGGCAGCTCCTAAGGCTAAGTAGTATGTAAAAACCCCTTAGGGTTCAAGGGTAATCAGGATCATGTTCTATTGGGAGGAAGGGTCAATTTTATTAGACTTTTCTTGATACAATTGGCGATCTAATTTAAGAAAAGTTGTCAGCTATACTACTTCCACTTTTTCCTCACTTCTGTTTTTCTATATAACTGTTATCAAATATACTACTCTCTCTTTTCTTTTTCTCTATCTTTATCTTTCTTTCTTACAAGTTGCTTTAGAATCATATACTCTTTAGCAGAATCAAATGACATGACCCGAGCTTTATTACGAAGCTGAAGCTCTCATCAATGAAAAGAAGATCGACAAGTACGTATCCTTAACATTGCTTATGTCTGTTGGAAACTTGCGGTATACTGTAAACATTGTATTCATCAGAATGATAATGTATTCTCTACTTTTCTAGGCATACTTATAATACGTATAAAAGGTCTTTTTGAACTTGGGGATATTGTGATTTATCAAATTGGAATTTATAATGGGTTAAGTTAAGTAGAACAAAGAATTTCATTGTCGTTATTTCAAGTTGGAGTTCGGGTCTCATTGATATCTATTTACAATGAGTAATGATTTAGAGAAAGTACGTGTTTGAAATCGTTCACCTAGTAGTTTAGGTGAATACATCAAAGGTATGTAGTGATGATTACCATCATAGCTTGAAATACCGATGTAGAGCGCTAACAAATTATCGTGCTATTTCAACAGGGAAAGAAAGCCATCAGATACTCTATCACAAAAATTGTAGTATTTGATGGAATTGTGTGATGTAATGGCGGCTAAAAAGATGTATCACATTGCTCAAGAGATTTGGGCTGGTCATGGAAGACCTAGTACATTTTGCTGTCAATCACAAAGCGCCACCTCGAATGTGGTTGTCTCCCCTCGACGGGAGACATAAAGATTCTACAGGTTAATAAGTCTACATTTTATCAAAAATATATCCAAAAATATTGTACTCAAATTCCCAATTGTTTTGTTCGTTTCATCTGAAAACTAACTCAACGCTGTCTGAATCTGAACCGAAAAGACTGTAGTCATAGCTCTCTTCCGTGTATTTTTTCAACTAAATCCACCAATCAAATCGCGACATACCCTACCTAACCCGTAACCACCTTTGTCAACACCATCTCAACCCATCTGACAATGAGTGTTGCAACCTCATCTTCTGAGGCTACCTGGGCAACTGTAACTGCTCGGAAAAGCACCAGCCGTATCCCGGCGCCATTAAAAAAAGTTCATGTTGGCCAACGTGAACGTTTCGTTGCTAAGCTACTTTACGAGGCACCTGACGTGGCTGCTTATTTGCGTTCACAACAAATCACGTCGATCGTCCACTCAACTCTTACGAGTGGGTCGGTTATCTTCAAGTTTCCTTCTAAAATTTTTGATCATTATACCGACGCGTATAGATTGATCACTGATCAGCTTGGCCCCGTCCTTGGGGGATTTAATCCTATCTCTTTACGTAGTACACGTCCCCTTTCCGATTTAATTATTGCAACGAAGTTCAAGTCCGATGATGCCAACACCAAAGCCATTTCGCATGGCGTCACTGTTGAGCATGTCACCTACAAAGCCAGCCGCTTCGTAGATAAGGTTGATACCACTTTCACGCGTGTCAACCTCACCCTCTTCCAATTTGAGGATGAAGCAACCTTGATAAGTAAGCTTAAGAAATCTATGGCCATTTATGGCAAGGTGTGCCAGATCAAGATGCTTACCAATCGAGGTTTCTTTGAGGGCGAACTTTCCATTTTGCTTGACACCAGCGGTAGAGATGACGATGACCCTTCCCCCGTACAACCATTGGACCGTAAACTGTTCTTGTCTGAATGGGATACGTTAGCCCCTGCCAGCTGGAAAGGCGCACCTCCTGTCTGCTACTACTGTCGCCAAGCCGGGCACGTTCGTAAAGACTGTCCTGCTTTGCAAAATTTGACCTGCTATAAATGTCATCGCAAGGGTCATATTCGCCGAAATTGCCGCATGGCAGACGTCCCCGTTCCTGTTTTAAACGTTAATGAGCAAAGTGATACTGACGCCATTGCGGAATATGAAGCCCTGAGTGAACTCACCCATAAAGAACGCCCCATCGATAGCCCTACAAATTCCTCTACCATCAATGATGAGTCTGGCCTTATCATCCCGAAAAAGGCAAAACGATATGCTACCCGATCAACGACCGCTAAGGCTTCTGTAGATCATACTTTGTCTCCATTCAATACACCCACCGGTACTGCCGGCTCAAAATATGCCAGTATCACTGTTTCTGCCAGTATGGCTCTGGACGAGCCTGCAACGCCTGCGCCTTCCGATGCCAACACTAGTTCGGCAACTACACCCCTTCATAGTCGTTTAACTCCTGCTCACACCGATGATATGGATTTGATAATAGATGCGGATACTACTCCTCCCAACGTAGTCATGACCGCCCAGGAGGGCAATGAATAATCGACCTATACGCGTCGCATCCTTAAATGCTCGCAGCATTTTCAAGGATGCTAACAAATATACCCAGAAACAATATATATCCCATTTACGTTCCCCTGCTTTGTCTGTTGACATTTTATGTCTCCAAGAAGTATCCGCATATCATTCACAAGACCACCTCACATTCGATCAAATCAAATATTTCCATTCCTTCCTCTTTCCCCAGTGTGCAATCCTACTCTCTAAGTATTGTGCCATTATCTGTTTAAACCCGACGTTATTGTTAACAGATGATATTGTCACTTTCGATGAACGCTGTTTACAAGCGACCATCATCGATACAGTTACCCGTAATTTTATATGCTCTATCACTAATATTTACGTTCCAGCAACTACCCATGATAGAATGCCTTTCCTCGACTCCTTGATGTCACAACCGTTTTTTACAAAGGAGGCTCCAGATGTCAGCTTTGTTGTTGGCGATTTCAATATGTCGCTAGCTTCTCTATCAACCACTTCAACCAACCCTAGCTTTCATGAATGGTATCGTCACCTCACTCACTATTATGATAACTGCTTCTCTGCTAGCATTCCTACTTTCCAGCGTGGTGCCACTCGCAGTACCATCGATTATTTCTTCTGTCACCGAAGTATTACCGCACGAGTTCTTAACAGAACCCAACGGTACCTACCTAGCGCTTGGACAGACCATGTCCTCATGATGGCTGACCTGTCACCCGATCGTTTGGACGTAGGACCCGGGGTATGGCGCTTCAACCCTTTGCTGCTGTCTAACGATATATTTGTGGATTTATTAAAGACTGCCCTCATTGAGTTCTTTGAAGTCCGTAATAATATCACCTCCAACCCACAAAGTACCTGGGAGGCTCTAAAACAATTATTAAAACACATTGCAGACCTATTCTCCCATGGATCTACTGCTAAAAGGCAGACAACCATTGCCGAACTTCAACACCAACGGGAAGCCCTGCTTTCCTTAAATAAGCCAGCATTCAATATAACCAACAAACAAGTGTCGCTTATTGAACAGAAACTAGACAAATTGCAGGAAGAATCCGCGCAGCAACACCTTTTACGGTCAGCCACTCGATGGCATGAGAAAGGAGAGCGCAATAATAGATACTTTTACAGGGTTATCAAAGAAAGACAAGCACAACGAACGATTCAATCTTTAAAAAGTGGTCAAGATGGCCCTGTCTTAACTAGTACTAATGCTATCCTTGAGGAAGCTCATCTGTTCTATAGCAACCTTTATCGCCCTGATCCTATCGACCTGTCGGCAGTTCAAACGTTACTCGATAATGTTCCGCAGGCGATTGGTCTTACAAACGCTCAACAGAATGATCTTACAGCACCGCCCACGTCAGAAGAACTAATTTCTATAGTTAACCACTTGCCTTCACAAAAAAGTCCTGGTTTAGATGGCATACCGTATGAGGTTTACCGCCATCTGCTTTCCTGGAACATTCCCGGCTTTAAGCAACTCTTCCTTCAAGTGTATGCTGACGCCTTTGAAAATATTTTCCCAGCCACCTGGAAACAAACTCGGATGGTCTTACTGTACAAAAAGGGAGACCCTGAACTCTTACAGAACTGGCGGCCTCTATTGATGATCAACACTGATGCGAAGATTTTCACAAAACTATTAGCTAATAGGTTCAATGTCGTTTTACCACAGCTGATTAATCGCTATCAGACTGGCTTTTTACCGCACCGACTAATCTCGGATAATGGGTGGGTTAACCACATACTAATGTCACATTATAGCCATTGTGGTATGTATCACCCTGCTGTTGCTGTCCTCCTTGATCAAGAAAAAGCATATGACCGAGTACATCCTACCTACCTCCAGATGGTTATGAAGCACTTCGGCTTTCCTGCTCCCCTCGTATCTTGTTTATCTAGCCTATTTTTTGACACAGAAATATCCCTTAACATCAATGGATGGTTAAGTGCTCCCGTTCGCCAACAACGTGGCCTTCGTCAGGGAGACCCCTTATCACCACTGTTGTTCAATTTAGCTTTCGAACCCTTACTACGTACCATTTTGTCGAGCTCTGACATCAAAGGCGTTTCACTGCTCTCAACCTCCGCCTCCTCTAGTCGATATGGACAACTTCTAGCTCGCAGTCTACGTTTTGAACCACAGCCTTTGTTTGACTGGCAAGACACCCCTCGTTTCAAATTATTGAGCTATGCGGATGATTTAGAGGTTTTCTTGACCACACCTACGGAATGGCGTGTCTTGAAAGACCTCCTTACAGTTTATGGTAACGCTAGTAATGCCCGTGTCAATTTGACAAAAACAGAAATTGTTTCCCTCTCTGGTCATCCACATACGGCCTGGCTCCACATTGCCAATCAGGAATCTGTAAGCTTTCATACAGCTGAAAGTCCATCTGCTGCCAAATATCTAGGCTATCCTCTCTTCTCAACCAATGCTCAACTAAAACACTATCTAGCTTCCTTTGAACTGAAAATCGTCCGTCACAGTAACCTCCTGAAACAACGGGGATTGTCTGTCCGAGGTGCCTCACTAGTTGCTAATTCCTTGATACTTAGTAAGTTATGGCATCTCTTGCGTGTTGTAGTTGTTCCGGTGGACTGGCTTGATAAGCTTCGTAGAATTGTCCGGTCTTTTGTGGTTCCTTTCTGGCCTGCTCCATCGTGGGAGCGCTTGTGCTCACCTAAACGTTTTGGTGGTTTAGGCTTAGTGGATCTGCACCGACAACAATTAGCTCTTCATCTTGTGTATGTTCAGCGTCTTCTACAGCCCCCTTCATCAACCGATTTTGTCTCCCCATTACTGGCACATTGTATCCAAGTGTACACCGGTCAGTTGTCCTTACTACCATGGATTTTATCGACTGCCACTTATCGTTCATCATTTCGCTTCCTTCCGAATATGATCCACCTATGTTCTCTGCTGATGAAACTTCCTTCTTCATCTCTTTCCTCCTCATGGCATGGCCGCTGGATTGCTGATTTGCCCCTTCATAGTGCCTTACAGCGTTCCCCCTCGTTTGTAGGCCCCTTATCTGTGGATCTCCATAGCCTCCCACGGCATTTAATCGTCTCTACTGTTCTCCTTTGGTCTTCGATAACTAACTGCTTCTACACGCTAGGGTATACGTATTTTCAGGACTATCCGAAACTGAAAAGGATACCTAGTTTGCTTTCCCAAGGTGTAATACAATGGCTTCCTTTTATTCAGAACCGATTGATTGACGTCCGGGCTCCTCCTCCGGCTGCTGCTCCTACGCCCACTTCACGATGGCGTAATGTATCTTACAGCACCTTATGGTTGCCTGATATGTCCCAGTGGTGTGTACCTTCTGGTTCTCAGAACAATACCACCATTGCAGAGACTCCCCTGAGGATGGTTTTCATTTTTTCGTTGGTTGTCCACCTAAATGGCAATTTTGGATCACGGCACTAGAGGAAAATAGAATCATCTCTTTTCCTGCCACACCTACTGGCATTTGGCATATATTGTTAACACTTTGTTCCCCGTTAGATAATTCTCCTCTGCCTGACCACACAATCGTTCAGGTTAGTTTGATACTTTTAAGTATCTGGAAATATCATTGGCGCTGCCATTTTGATCGCATCTCTTGGTCCCTAGCAGGAGTTCGTACCGTCTACCAGAACGAGGTTCGATTCAGAACACTCAATACGAGCTCGTAGTATATTTAATGGTTTTCTTTGTCGTAGTTTTTATAGTGTCTGCCTTTTCTTCACTTCTTTTATTGCCATTTATCAAAACATAATTTACTGTCCGTTGTTAGTCACTTTTAATAAAGTACGTGAATTAAATACAAAAAAAAAAGACTGTAGTCATATGAGCGACTGATCCTAACCATGTAGAAAAGTAGCAGTATGTCAGGGTAGCCTGACTATCACATTAAAAGCGTACATTTGCACTGTAGAGAAAGGTTAAGTCAAAGTGGATCTCTGAAGAACAACTGAGGAAGAATTCTACGATAAAAATCTCCGGTGCTTCGAAAGCATGGTTTCACTCTAATCGAAGTAGTCATTGGTTATTTTTTTACAGCTGATCGTAGCAATAGAAGTTTGTTTTTTCTTCTCTCTTTTTGTTATTTTGGGAAGGAAACGTAATTGATTGTTCATGGAATTACATAACCTAAGCAACGAGAAATCGTGGAAAGGAAAGCCAACGATAGATCAGATTACTGATAGTGTTGTTGGTGAGTAAATTTTTTATACATCACGTTACCCGTTATCTGTCAAAAAGAGAGAAAAGAACAATTAAAAGAGAATATAATTTATTGTAGGTGAAGAAACTGACCATGAAATTATAAGTTTCAGTCATGGTGTCGATCGTGATACTGAAGGTGGTTCCTCCTTTCTTGCTTATTTCAACGTTGTTTGTGTGGTGGCTGGTACTGGTGCACTTAGTTTACCTTATGCTTTGAAGCAAGGAGGATGGATCGGTAATATGATACAATTGAAATGGAAGGTTAACGAACGACATCTGATTTAAAATGACATTGTGGGTACAGGATTGTTTATACTCGGCCTCAGTTGGTTTTTCTCTACTTGTAAGTATCTTAATCTGGTAACTGCATTTTTAAATACAATTTACTCATGCGAGCATTTCCTTTTTTTTTATAATCGCTAGATTCTGGAATCGTGTTAATTCGTAGTTTATATTACAATGGACGCACACGGTTGTCTTCCTATCAAGAAGTAGCAGAGGCTGCATTTGGTAAAATAGGTGGCTGGATATCCTTCTTTTTTACTGCTGTCACTTTGATTGGTGTACCCGTTCTTTACATATTGTTGGCTGGTCAAAACATTCATAGTCTTTGTATGGGAACAGCTGGTGAACTCACTTTTGCTCTCTGGGTTATTATATGTACAGTAGTGGTAGCTATTCCCTTCATCTTTTTCAAGTCCATGAAGGAAGTAGGTTTTCTCAGTGCTTTTGGTATGCTGTGCACGGTTATTGTCGTACTTATCGTACTGGTCATGGCTGTTAAAGATAAACCAAATCAAATCAATGTTCACCATGATAATGTTATTTGGGATCAATTCCCTATTGCTTTAAGCTCTATTGTATTCAGTTTCGGTAAGAACAATTTAGTAAAACACATAGGTATCTCTGATCCTGCCAATAATTCACATTTGACTATTTTTTATTATCATTTTTTTAATAGGTGGGAATCCTGTCTACGCTCATGTCGAAGCTGGTATGCGTCATCCGCAAAACTGGAACAAGGTTATTTTGGCAGGCCTATCCACTTGTTCAGCCATTTACTTTTTAACTGCCATTCCTGGTTACTATGTGTATGGCAATCAAGCGCAGTCACCGATTTACAATAGCATACCTGAAGGCGGTGCGAAAATAGCAAGTGAAATTATCATAACCCTTCATGTCCTTATGGCGGTTCCGATTCTATTGACCTCCTTTGCCCTTGACCTTGAAAAAATGTTTGGTATCTCCTCTTTCAACCATTCGCGTCCAGTTGAATTTCTTTTGCGTTTCACTCTACGTATGGCATTAATGGTGATTATATGTGTGCTTGCTATATTCGTGCCCTTCTTTGGTGATTTTATGTCCCTGTTGGGTGCTTTCTCTAATTGTGCCTTAATTTTGATCTTCCCCGTACTATTCTATTTGAAATTGACCGGAATTCGAAACAAGCATTGGGCCGAACTGTTTTTGTGCTTCTTCGTAGTACTATTGGGTATTGTAGGTTTGATCTTTGGTACGAAGTCAGCAATTGAAGCTTTGATATCTGATTTTGCCAATCAATAATCTGAACGGCACTATCTTACACTCACATTCACACTTACACCCAATTGTGTCACTAGAAGCTGTATTAATGTTAATTTCTATACTTTGTATTATTTATTTTCCTATATGTTTCTGTTCCTGTTTCTCTCCTTGTATTCCTGTACTAACGTAGCAAGAGGATGTCAATCCTATCATAACCCGTCTATTAACGTCGGTTGTTGTAATTAAAGACGGAAATGAAGGTTTTCTTTGAAAATGACAAGTGTTATATATTGATACTTCAAATAAGCGAGTTGAAGTCAGATTTAAACAGCACCCTACTGCATAAGCGCTTATTAGCTGTATAACTAGTGATAGCACTTGCGTTTACTTTTCAATAAGAAATAAATTACAGACTATTTTGTACCATAACCTTGCGTTTTCATCTTCAGCTTTCCTAGAAATATCTTCATCATTTTAGTGAAACCCGCAGAAACCATAACTTAGTTTAATTATAATTATTGCTTGGTATTGAGTTGTAACAGATGAAGAGATAGGATATGGCACAAACAGTAAACTGTGATATTCGTTGATTTATATAACATGAAAAAATAAGACAAGAAATAATAAACACGAAAAACTTGATGAGAACAATCTATCGTCTTTATATACATTTTTCAAAGTAAACTATATTTACTGCATCAATAAAGACTTAGTATAGTTGCTGCTGTTGACAAAAAGTCGAAATGTATAGCTTACACTGATGCATCATGGTCAAACAATACTTGGTAAATCCAAGTTTTCTGAGGTTAATATGGAGCCGTCTATTACAGAGCGAACTGATTCGTAGTGCGATATCCTGACAGATACAGAGTGATCATGCATCTGTATACACAATCCAATAACCTTGGCAATCCTTTGTGTAGCTCAGACAGCCCGGAATGAGAATTAGTTTTGACCAAGGAGAAAGCATTGTGCATGATGATGACGCATTCAATGAGGTAAGAGCTATTGTACTCTAATACGTGCAGCCTGTCTGATTTATCCGTTGCAATAGCAAAGTATTAAACGAGCTTAAAAATACCGTTTCGTTGTTATTTTATAATGATTTGTTTTAGATCATAGTGGTTATGTCTCAGTTTCCTTTTAAATAGTGGATTAGTTAAAGCATTGATGTGGATACATCACTGTCCTAGAATACATTATACCATAGTCTTTCTATATTGCATCTAATATGGGCTATGTACAAGATATAACATGATAAATGCCTCAAGATAACATGATAAATGCCTCAAGTATGAATAAATGCACACGACACATATGAACCTGAAATTAGTGACTAACATACTCACGCCCTCATAATAATATGAACACCAGGATTTTACACAGGAAAGAATCGTCTCCTCCATTTAAAGAGTAATAAAGACATTAAGTCATAGTCACCGACTTTAACTGTTATCAGTTTATCACAGCTTAAGCAACATCTCAGACTTGTTCAATTTCTGTAATTCTTTATGGTTCTCATTTGTTATGCTAATGCATCATACTATTCAAGACTCTGCTTATAATAAGCATTTAGAAGAGGTGTATTAGATTCGATAATCCCCCTTCTTTACCCTTCTCGTTATATTTCGATGATAACGTCGACTTATCCTCTCTTATATTGGCTCTTGTTACGCTAATAATGTTTTAGGAAGCCAGTCTATATTTGATCACTTATTGTTCCATCGTAGGGTAACTCTAACGATGACAGCAATTACTAATTCTAACCAGGCAAGAACAGGGTGAGTATCACGCTCTCTCTTTCAGTATCCCTCTCAGTTGTTGTTATTGGTTATTCGTTCTCCTGGTTGCTAATACTAATCAAACCCATTCACATCTCCATGATGAATAAAAGATACATATACCATACTTCTGTCCACATTGCTGTTTTTCAAAAATTCGAACATTTTTGCTACTGTCTATCCTACTTAATTTTATTCTTGATCTTTTAACGATACTACAGGAATAAAGGAATCGATCACCTATCCTTCGCCGGCTTGTTTGTTTTCCTTCACACATTTCTGATAATGTGTCACGCCAGTGTAATATTACGCTTGTTTCAAAATTAAGCTTTCTAATATAATGGTCGCCTTCTGATTATCATTTGTCACAAGTTCAAACACGCTAATCTTTCTCAAGTGCAACCTGACAAGGCTTCATGGGCTCTTTTCCCTTTCTTTCTTACATTAAGTCCCCTTCAGTTTGTTTAATTTGTACATTGAATGACCAAGAAACTTTTATACATTGAATTCTTCTGTCACATTTGTGAGAAAGGTGGTTTTACCAAAAAACAGCACTTAAACCGGCATTATTGTATAGTTGAAAGAATGCCACTTTCACCTTCATTGAGAGGAAGGCCTTATTATAATATTCCCATCGATTGTACTATTACCACTGACCAGAAGAATGCACATGTTATCAAATACGCTTGTCCTTGCTGTCATGTATTGTCAGAGGACAAAGCCAATCTTGCAAGACACGTTGAAACACACCGTTTTAAACAGAAAGCTGACGCTTTTATTGAGGAAGGGTAAGCTCATTTGTGCGTAGAATATAACATTAAAGTCTTAAAAATGTACAATGAATCAAATTCTCGCTTTTTTTTCATATTCTTTTAAACGGAATGAAATAGAACGGAAGACTACTACATCGATGAATCAGATAAGGATTCCGATCCTGAACTGAACGATTACGTTGATTTTAATAATATGGCGGCTTCTGCAGACGACGATTCCGACGTTAAGCCAGAAGAGTCAATACCAAGTGACAATCGCGCATCTGTGGTAGAGCCCATTTTATCTTCTGAGCTTCCGGCAACGATAACGCCTCTTGTTGGGACCAACAGGGAAAACAGAACGGAGCAACAGGCGATTCTCCACGCTTGCCAAAAACAAGCACACGAAGAAAATGAGCGAAACAAAACGATATTCATTGTCGATACCTTGTCATTGCGACCATTTGCTATTTTAGACCAAAAAGGAAATGAGGAAAATGCACTTGCTCATGAAGATGTTATAAAAAGATTAGCGTCCAATCACTCGTCAGTTCAACCAATTGTGCCAATGAAACGATCATACCAACAAGAAAATTCTAGCATCGATAGTACTTTGTGTGCCAAGTGCATCCTCAAGACACATATCGATTTGGAAAAGCTGTTAGCAACATCTCCATATGGATTATTACTGTCACAACGAAAATACAAACTTCTGACTGACGAAATGTGTGAAATGATGAATCAAGATTGGAGGCACAATGCTCAGGTGAAATACTTCACAGCAGCTATCCTGGCCGGATCTATCCTTTTGAATACTAGGAAAAGTGAAGCGATTATGATCAATACAGTTGAGTTATATGGTCGAACCAAAATTGTCGATGGGCATCGGGAGCCGTTTGGCAATCAAAAGGATGGGGTTCATACAACGTCGCTTCCTCCTCCGCTCAAAACTGTTCATCTTGATGTTTGGCCCGTTTGTTTGTCACGTAATGATGGCCCTAAGCTTGTCATTGGAACTCAAGTGTCAAATGCACTAATCACGTCAAGCATTCGTTTGGATAAAAACCTGCCTCCATCTGTAGGCGGTATCACGACCAACTTTCATTTGACTTTCAGTGATTCGTTTGCCTCCAAGATCTTCGTCGATGTGGAATCTGCGACAGCTGCCAAGACCATAATCAGTGATCCCACCAGGACATGTGTATCAAATACAGGTATACTTTCACACCAACTACGACAAATCCGTACTCGTTTTGATATGTCCAGTACATATACCTTGGCCCGTGCCTCAGGTCCGTTAACTAAGAACCACACATGTCATCCCTATACTATTTTTACCTTGATTGATTGCGATCGTGGCCGCAGTCCTTGTGCTGCCTTGTTTGACGCAGTCGCTAATGAAGTCTTAAAGAATGGCAACAAGGCTAACCTCATGAAACATGTTGTTTTAAGCTGCTATGAAACTGCCACTGGCCAGGTAAAAGAGGTTCTTGAAAGCATTCTTACTTTGTATAATCAAGACGACAAACTACCTATCTTATTCAACATTGTTCTCAATAAGAAGTTGGAAATCCTTGCAAATCTTCTCATGCCTTCAATTGTCTCATGTAATGCTTCCGTAGCACGTCAAATCAAGTCCGCCTTTGAATACCTTAACTAATTATATTCTTTTTTACTTTTCCCATGCTTTTCATTTTGACACTATGAAATAAACGAAATCACAATGAAATTCAACTTTTGAGTCGGGATAAAAAAAACTAGGGACGAAAATGTTAAGAGCCTTCAGAAAATGTGCCCTTTAAAAAAGGGGTCTTAAAAAAAAAAGAATCTGATCACTCAGTACCTTTTCCAAACTCTTGAGCATTCTTATTGAAATCAAAAGCAGACATGTGAATGAACGCGCAATTCGTTAAACTTCGGTCCATAATCGCATCTAAAAATCGAACTGTGCCGCACCTCAATCTTCCGTAGACTGTTTCTCTTTGTTGTAACGATAAGATAAAATATAAGAAAAAGAAAACAAAAGGAAATCAGTGAAGACCAAGTTATCTTCTTTTCTTAAGTAGAATATTCTGATAAAGAATTGAAGACAAAAACCATGTAGGAAAAAAGTACTTCTATTTATATTTGTGGATATTGTGAAAAACTTTTTCTATCGAGACTCTTAGGTACAAGATGACCTGATGATAAGAGAAAAGACATACCCAATTGTTACTGCACGGTTAATCATGCTATAGCGGTGTCTTGACCGATTGGATCGGTGACAGGAGGTAAGTGGGTTGATCTAACTAAAGCTTCCTTTGACCCGTACTTCAGCAGTTTCATTATAACTAACGTGACGGACAGGATAAACTATTCCTTAATTCTGCCGACGTCTACGTTTCAGTCTTATTGAATTCTGTCAGAATGTAAAGGGTTAAAGTAAGGATCAACAAGTTAGAAGATAATAGCTTAAGTAGATTAGATTTATGTATTGTGGTTTGATGTGCTAAATAAAGTTATCTGATTTAATCAGATCCAAATACTATAATATCTTATTTCTAAATGAAGTCAATTACTCATCCAATGTTGTCTCGGATATACAGATGAAATACTCTTCCGTAAAAGAAAAGAATTGTTCTAACAAATCTATCACTCGCGGTTATTCTAACCTTCATAAGGATCCGTAGTCTCTTATTTCAGTATTATGTAATAATCCAAGAATAATATGCTGTTGGATACAACAAACAATCCAGATTTTACTGCCTTTACCAGTTACAGTGTAGTGTACTGCAACAAATAAGATTCCAGGCACACTGGGACAAATAAGATTTCATCAGGCACACTTCAACCTTACTGGTAATCTAGATACATCTCAGTGGCGTTGTACAATTCATTAACAGGAACAATATTACTTGGTTGTCACTACTACTTTCTTAATTCCACTATAAGCTCAGTTCAACCTCGCATTCATATAAAAGACCATTTAATTTCTAAACCAAAGTAAAATTATCCAAGAACTATTGTTCGGTCTCGCTGACTCACTCAGTCTCTACATTTAGAAACTTATTAATTATAACTCCTGATATCTAAGAATATCACAGTTTGGTTTTCGGTTCACTCGTCATGTGTTGATCGAGTGACGATGAAGTTGAGATGTGCTAAGGTAGGTTGTTGGAAATGCCGAAATCTGATTGGTGGATTCAAAAGTCGTGATGAATACACGAGAAAAAGGCCTATGCTGTTTTGGTTTTTTTTTTTTTTTTTGTTTAAATTCATGTTACCTATGCTGGTTTTTTTTTTTTGTTTAAATTCAGGTACGCTTTATTCAACAATAGTATTAAAAAACAAACTGTATAGAACGGGTAGTTGAATTAGTGCAGAGGAGAGAAAAGGGTATATAACATGAAGAAAGACAATACGTATGTTGCAACAAATCCCAGCAAGGAGCTTAGTCTGCGGCTTGCGGGGATAGGGAATCAGCCCAATTTAGGGTGATCGTTAAGTTGACCGAGGATTTAAGACGTTGCATGGCATTATCAATTAACCAGACTTCATTGTGAGTAATCGTATACCAATGGTATTTCCAAAGAGTTTCCAGTATGTTGCCCACCAGTTCAAGAGTATACTTCTCGGTATAAACAGCGGATGGGAGCTTCAGATTAATCAGGACATGCCGGACATCGTCGGGAGACCTTAAGACTTCACTAAGAGATAGATGAACCAAAGCGTTAGACCAGTAAAGCCATTTTGTAGGGCAGCCAACAACAAAGTGGTAATCATCCTCAACGGAGTCGGAACAGAAGCGACATACCGGTGAAGGCCATATCCGAGGCCGGAGACGATGTAACGATAGCTGGGTACTGAGAGATTCACGAAGCAATCGCCACCAACAAGTAACTACTTGATGTGACAACCGTAAAGACCATAAGGTCTTCCAAACCTGTGGATGACTGAACCCGGGAGGGCATAAATATGGAACCTGTGGAATACCAAGCAATGACAATGGACCCGGTAATTTCTCTTGAAGATATCGCTGCGACCAAAACTGCCTTAATAGTCCCGGAGTTAATTTATGAAATGGAATTGCCCTATTGTTACCGATCTGAAGCGCCCAATGATTACAAGAAGGAACCCATAGAGAGGTATCGAGAGTAACTATCTGTGAAAATCGTTGATCGGCACTCCAGAATCGCTTACCAGGTGGCGGAACATCATGACTGTCATGTCCCGACCACTGTCTACAGTATCGAAACACGAGTGAGAATTAATTAATTTAAACACAGCATAAACGGCTGTCATCTTAGACTTGAATTGTCGATTAAGCAATTGTTCACAAGTCAAACTGGTATCAGATCCATAACAGTGTTAGAACACGCCTTCACTAATCTCTCATTAGATCCATTAGTACTCATTGGTTGTAACTACATCTTCCTAACATCCTCTATAAGCTCAGCTAACTCTCTGAAAAATATATAAAGCCTTCATGTTCTCAAAATTGAAATAAAGATTATCTGACTTTTTCGGTCTCGTTCTATCTTGGTCTACAAAATTACTTAAGAATATCTCAATGACAGAAGTCACGCGGCATATACCTCTTGATGCTAGGACGCCAATCGATAGGGGGATTGTCTCTACGAAGTAATTGGAGTACTTCGCCTGTCTTGGTAGAATATGGAAGATCAGCTCGAAGAAAATTGGTGAACATATACGGATAGGACCAAGACACCGCATTAGCCACCGTATAACCTAAAGGTATCTGATTCGGGTTATAATACTCATCGTCGGCTGGTGAAGCTTTAGGCACGATAGCAAAGCGTAACGGTGTGTCCGCATACCATCGGCCTGGCCAGCTAGTATGACTCCGAAGCGCTGGAAGTTCAGTCAGAAGTCGTGTCAAGATAGATAACGTAGGCAGCTGCCTGAGGAGAGGCAAAAAGGAACGAGAATGCTGCAACCAAGGAACAAAAGAATGATGACCAGTACAGAGATACAGACAATAGCCAATCAGTGGAGTAACGAAATCATTCACACTTTTTGGGCGAAGAATGCGCTGAATGTAGATAAGTTGTAGGGCTAAGTGTTGCTGATTGTCATGTCCCGACCACTGTCTACGGTATCGAAACACGAGTGAGAATTAATTAATTTAAACACAGCATAAACGGCTGTCAACTTAGACTTGAATTGTCGATTAAGCAATTGTTCACAAGTCAAACTGGTATCAGATCCATAACAGTGTAAGAACACGCCTTCACTAATCTCTCATTAGATCCATTAGTACTCATTGGTTGTAACTACATCTTCCTAACATCCTCTATAAGCTCAGCTAACTCTCTGAAAAATATATAAAGCCTTCATGTTCTCAAAATTGAAATAAAAATTATCTGACTTTTTCGGTCTCGTTCTATCTTGGTCTATAAAAATACTTAAGAATATCTCACTGATGCAGATCAATTACACCTAGTCCACCGATACGTTTTTGCAAGCAAATAGAACGCCATGAAGGAGCTGGACGAAAAGATAAGACAAACTTTCGAACGATAGTACAGATCCCATTCAGCCACGTCTTCGGAACTGGTACCACTCTTAGTAGATGCCAAATTTTGCTAAGAACCTGAGAGTTGACCAACGGAGATAAGCCTGTGATATTCTTAAATATCAGGAGTTATAGTTTAATGAGTTTTATATGTAGAGACTGAGTGAGTCAGCGAGACCGAACAATAGTTCTTGGATGATTTTATTTTGGTTTAGAAATTGAATGGTCTTTTATATGAATGCGAGGTAGAACTGAGCTTATAGTGGAATTAAGAAAGTAGTAGTGACAACCGAGTAATATTGTTCCTGTTAATGAATTGTACAACGCCACTGAGATATATCTAGATTACCAGTAAGGTTGAAGTGTGCCTGATGAAATCTTATTTGTCCCAGTGTGCCTGGAATCTTATTTGTTCCAGTACACTATAACTGGTAAAGGCAGTAAATCTGGATTGTTTCTCAGATTGTTATATGAATTAGAGGTCAGAACGTGACACATTGGCTAACATACTTTACTGCATCTGCTAACAAGTTAGGCCAATGCATATCTTGGTTATGAATGTGCTTGACAATATGATCAGCACCAAAATGCCCGAATTTGTGAGCATCATCTAAAATATCTTGTCTGTTTCATCGGGTGTAACATAATTTTTGTCTGAGAATTTTGACGGGTTCTGAACATAGAAGACTTTTACTTTTCCATCTTTTCTGACTGCTTTGTTCTTGCTTACTCTTTGCTTTTTGTCGAGATTGTGAGTTGTAGATGTCTCATCACCCCTCGCCAGTTCCAAGGTAGTCTGAAAAATTCGAGATAGCTTGTCGCTGAGAATGTTCAGTATGCCAGGAACGTAAACGACATCAAAATCATAATCGAGAATCGTTCCCATCCAATTAATCATCATAGGATTGATGTTATCCTGTGTGAATAAGTATGTCAAACTGCGATGATCAGTGTGAACAGTGAAATGTCGACCCCATAGAAATTTGTGAAACTTCTTCAACGCAAAAACGATCGCTACTATATATAATGGATATTCCATAATCAAATCTACGTTACAATCTCTACCTAACTAATTGCTATCTAATTAACTATATCTACGGTAACAGAACTTATAAAATAAAACTAATGTAAAATGTATAATATAAAGATGTATATAAAAATAAATTTAAAATAATTTTTTTTTTGTCTCTCTCTTTTTTTTTTTTTTTTTTTTTTTTTTGTTTCAACTTGCCCTCCCTGCCAACCATTATATTAATAATCTAAACTATATAAGTCTGCTGAGTACATCAGCGGGATTCTCAGTTCCGGGACGATATTCAATTCTATAGTTGTATCCCATCAAATACGCTCTCCAACGCTGTAATTTCGCTGCTGGTTTGTTACTTGTAAAGAGAAATATCAGAGCTTGATGATCCGTGCGGATAACAAATTGTTGCTTATTGCTGAAATAATGTCTATATCTATGTACCGCCCATATAATTGCCAACGCTTCCAAATGATTTATGGCATAATTCCTCTCAGATCCAATCAATGTTTTCGAACCATAGGCTAT